TAATTGGCTAGCCAAGTTATAGAGGATTTAAAGGTACCAATGTATAAAAATCCTTCAAAGAAATGGCAGATAAGCTTGCCAAAAGAATCAAGAAACTAATCCAAGATGACTGTGAACCATTTATGAGATCCACTAAGAACTCATGATTTATCATCAAACATTATTATTATTAATGGGAAAAATTGACAACAAGAATTTTCAACCAATTTTGAATTTAGTCAAATTTTTTTGATAAGGATTGACTTCTTTTTCTAAATCAAACCATCTGAATTTCAATTAAATTATAATTATTTTCTTTTTCAATAAATTGCAAATGAAAAAATCATTAAATTCATAAATGAGAAACTAAATAATTAACTTGCTTAAAAAACGGCAAACTATTAATTGAGTTATTTAAAATAATTTTTTTTTCTCTTTTCATTAATTTAGATTTAATTCAGGCATTTGATAATGCCCTTAGATCTATAAATAATATTTTGAGGTTCCATTATTTGAAAAAAAAACAAAAATATCCTTTTAAGATTAGGAACCATAAGATTGGATATGTCTGTAATAATAAGATTATTTCATTATTCATAAAAAGAATTTATATAAAACGTAAAAAATTATTTTTGTCATAAAAGTTAATTATATTTGTTTATATTTGAATCTAAGTCCATATTTTAGTAATGGCTAAACAACCAAAGATAATAACAAGTAGGCATTAGATAAAACTTCTAATGATATAATCTTAAATGTTGAGGAATTTCATACAACACAAAATTGCTATATATATATTGAAACTTTGATCATTTAACCAGGGCTAAAGAATTTTGACCAATATTTGATTCAAAATTTAGTAGAATATTAAGTATTTTTGTTTAGATGCTTTCAAATATAATAACTTAAGTAAAATGTTTTAAGAGATATAACAATGTAGCAATGTAATATCAATTAATGTATTGAAAGATTTCAAAGTTGTAAACCAATCATCAAAAGTCTTTAAAACAAACTTATGGATATTAACTATATACATTATACATTAATTGATACTAAATGAATATGAAGACTTAGATTAATGAAATAAATTAACGTTTTTTCAGAAAGCTTGTGTACTTATTTTATTTGCCAATATTTGCGCTCCAACAGCAGTATAATTATTATCTATTTTCTAAGATAGTTAAAGCTTTGACATATCAGTTCATCACCTTCTCAACTGTATGGTTTCTATCTATGCAACCATAATGTTTTAATCAGTGTACAAAATTTTTTTCGCAAGACACTTTTATAGTCAAAAGTATATCTCCATCAATGTTATAGAATGATCAGGTTTGACTATTATAAGAAGTCCAAGTATATTTCACAAATAAAAATTGTATTGATGTTATTTGAAAACTTAAAAATTTGTAATATTATCAAGTGCACATAGGATAAATCTAGTTCACAGCTATTTGTTAAATTCTTGCAGTTGACTTAAATAATGTATTAGATTAAAACAATGGATTAATACAATTACATTTCTACAGAATACTTAAGAGTTCTTTTATGAAGGTATTATAGCAAATTTAATTATTTCTTATTGTTAAATAATCGTATTCATTTTGAAGAAGAAAATGCGATTTGAGTTCTCAGTTAATATTTAATTTCGATCCTTTAGCAGTTAGAACATTTCCATTCTCTCCAATTAAGATCAGTAGATGCAAGCGATTTTCAATGTTGGATGATAAAAAATTCGAACTAATTATAAGAACTGAAGCGATTTATAAAATTAATTATTTCAAAAAAAAGCATAAGCTTTAACTTGGCTCAGCACTTTGATATATTTTGAGAAGAGTAAGTTATAGATTATTTCAAAATTAAAACTAAAATAATTTAAACGGCAATAAATTAAACAAAACAATCAAAAATAAATAACCTACTATCAACTGATAATAAAGATATTATAATCAGGTTTAGTCTAATAAAAGGAAACTAATGTAAAATAGATAGGGCAAATAGTAAATGAAATATACAAGAGATAACCTAATATTAATAATAAGTGTCAATTCATAATTTGGAGAGTTACTTATTATGTAATTACTCTCATTTGATTCTAATTGCAATACCTCCATATAAACTTGTTTAGCTTCTAATTTGAAATTCAACTTAAATAGTGAATCAGCTATAGATTAATTAATTAAAAAAGGGTACATTTTGGTTTAAGCGAAGAAGGATTAACGCGAATGGACAGAGCTTAATCATAACATTAGAAAGCATCCCAAAACCTATTTTAAAAGATTTAATAGCAAATAGTAATGAAAATGAATACATAATTCCATGCCTAAACAATAATAATTTGCCATATTAGTTACTCTTAATATTACATGAAAGTTTTTTGAATAGCAAAACTGAACCAGAACATTCAATTGCTTCATCTTATTCCTTTAGGCAATTTACTGAACCCTTATAAAAGATTTCAAAATTTGAAAAAATTGATATATGATCAGCAGGTAGTTATTTTTTCTTAAACTGTATTTTTTCTATTAAAAAATGCTTATTATAGGCAGCAGTAAGAAAAGAAAAAAGAGCAAAATAATATATAAAATTGAAGGTTAAAAAGATATTTAGATTGAAAAAGAAAGAAGATTCAAGGAAGTGCTTTTTATTCAAAAAAATGTTATAGCTCTGATACCATTCGCTTTATGACCTGTTTTTTGAACATTCAGAATTTTACAACATAATAGGCTTTTTTATAGATATTGTTGAGGAAAAAATAGAAACAAAGGATACGACTTTTATGATAGCATTTCAAATGCTATTCCAACACCCATCATTTCAGAAATTATGTTATCATTTACACAGACTTGCTTTGACTCTGCTAAAAGAATATACTTAAGACAACTTCCAAATAAGCTAAAATGAAAGTGAGAGCGATAGTGAACTCAAGAAATGGGATTTAAAATTATAACATACATTCAATTTTAATGAGAATTATTAAATTTGAATTTTTATGACTTTTCCAAAATTTATTTCTACTCTGTCATTTTTATTCTTAACTTTTATAAGAATTATAGAGTAATTTAGGATACCGCAATTTCAACAATGAGTAACTTTCTTTTTTTAACTATTTAATGTTTTTTACTAGCTTTAATTTATCAAGAAAGAGAGAAAATGGATTTAATAATAAAATCGATCATCCAAATCTATTTGACATTGTGTCTTTGCTGTATAATTCAACTATGAAAATGAAATAATTAGTCCCCTTGGGAAAAATAATTCCACTATCAACATCTTTTTTAATTTTAGCTTAAATTTAATAACCCGTTGAAGTAACTTAACAATCTCTAATTATAGAATCTAAAACTAATAATAATTGGCCATTTCTATATTCTATTAGCCTTACAATTTAATATGAATATAAAACACAATTATCTTCCGATTTCTAATCATAGGAACCACCACCACTGTTGTCGAATTAAAAAAATATTAATAGTCTTACCACATTATTCACCAAGAGATTGTTTAATTGTTATGAATAATTTTATTTAAAATAAATACTTCTTAAACCCTTCAGCATCCATTTTTTTCCATATATGATCCTCCATCACTAATGTTAAAATATTTCTCAATATGAATAAAGACAGTAATCTTGATTCATCTCTCTTTTATAAATGATATCTCATAAACCAAATTTTCCATATTCATGCTTTGAGTTATTTCTGCTTAGTTCTTTCCAAAAGTTTTCTTTAGACCTGCCACTGAGTATAATATTGTCATTTTATATTTATTATTGTTACTATTGCATTCATCAAATTCTAATAATTAATTTTTTTTTCCGAATTGCACTCCATTTATCCATTTAGTAATTTCATTGCGATTCTAATCGTATTATCCTAATCATAACAAAAATTAGATATGTTCTATGTTATTCAACTCTTCATTCTATTTATATATAATCTCGGTTTATAAACTTTTGATAATATATTCTGACAATTTTTCCGTCCATGATGTATTTCATATGCAATTTCAACTTGCAAAGTTTTAATAATGTCATAGAAAAAAATGAATTAACTAATATCTATGCAGTTCAAAGTACATTATAATTTAATTTCGTATCTCCTTTTAAGTCTGCTTTCAATCCAATAGTGGTTCACACTGTTTTCAAAAGATTCCTTCCATGGATGAAAACACCCCAATTTTTTTAAATGTATCTTATTAATTCATTTCAATTTATTATTTCTCTTTGAATTCTTCAAATAAGATAATAAATTTAATTTTCGATATTTTAAGTAAGACTTCTTATGATAATTCTATTAAGATATGCAAAAATTAATTATTTTGAAATTTTAATATCAATTATTCAATATAGGTATTTGTTCAGTTTCAATTCTATAATTTAACTTTCATTTCACTATTTTTCCCTATTTCATCTCACTTAATAAATTTAGAAATTTAACAGGAATTATAAGAATTCTCTTAAATTCATAATAGTTTGAAATTCTTTAAAACTATACCCTAAATAAAATAAAAAATCATAATCCTTCATCTACGAAGTTCAAAGTAGAATTTGGAATTAAGGAACTTTTGAAACAATAAAAATAAATAATTATATANTTTAACTATTTAATGTTTTTTACTAGCTTTAATTTATCAAGAAAGAGAGAAAATGGATTTAATAATAAAATCGATCATCCAAATCTATTTGACATTGTGTCTTTGCTGTATAATTCAACTATGAAAATGAAATAATTAGTCCCCTTGGGAAAAATAATTCCACTATCAACATCTTTTTTAATTTTAGCTTAAATTTAATAACCCGTTGAAGTAACTTAACAATCTCTAATTATAGAATCTAAAACTAATAATAATTGGCCATTTCTATATTCTATTAGCCTTACAATTTAATATGAATATAAAACACAATTATCTTCCGATTTCTAATCATAGGAACCACCACCACTGTTGTCGAATTAAAAAAATATTAATAGTCTTACCACATTATTCACCAAGAGATTGTTTAATTGTTATGAATAATTTTATTTAAAATAAATACTTCTTAAACCCTTCAGCATCCATTTTTTTCCATATATGATCCTCCATCACTAATGTTAAAATATTTCTCAATATGAATAAAGACAGTAATCTTGATTCATCTCTCTTTTATAAATGATATCTCATAAACCAAATTTTCCATATTCATGCTTTGAGTTATTTCTGCTTAGTTCTTTCCAAAAGTTTTCTTTAGACCTGCCACTGAGTATAATATTGTCATTTTATATTTATTATTGTTACTATTGCATTCATCAAATTCTAATAATTAATTTTTTTTTCCGAATTGCACTCCATTTATCCATTTAGTAATTTCATTGCGATTCTAATCGTATTATCCTAATCATAACAAAAATTAGATATGTTCTATGTTATTCAACTCTTCATTCTATTTATATATAATCTCGGTTTATAAACTTTTGATAATATATTCTGACAATTTTTCCGTCCATGATGTATTTCATATGCAATTTCAACTTGCAAAGTTTTAATAATGTCATAGAAAAAAATGAATTAACTAATATCTATGCAGTTCAAAGTACATTATAATTTAATTTCGTATCTCCTTTTAAGTCTGCTTTCAATCCAATAGTGGTTCACACTGTTTTCAAAAGATTCCTTCCATGGATGAAAACACCCCAATTTTTTTAAATGTATCTTATTAATTCATTTCAATTTATTATTTCTCTTTGAATTCTTCAAATAAGATAATAAATTTAATTTTCGATATTTTAAGTAAGACTTCTTATGATAATTCTATTAAGATATGCAAAAATTAATTATTTTGAAATTTTAATATCAATTATTCAATATAGGTATTTGTTCAGTTTCAATTCTATAATTTAACTTTCATTTCACTATTTTTCCCTATTTCATCTCACTTAATAAATTTAGAAATTTAACAGGAATTATAAGAATTCTCTTAAATTCATAATAGTTTGAAATTCTTTAAAACTATACCCTAAATAAAATAAAAAATCATAATCCTTCATCTACGAAGTTCAAAGTAGAATTTGGAATTAAGGAACTTTTGAAACAATAAAAATAAATAATTATATATTAAATACTTAAATAGACTTAGAATAGATAGGATGATGTCAGAAAAGACAGCGATAAAAGGAAAAGAGTGAGGTTTCTCATTGATGCTCCTAACAACCCGGTCGAGCCTAGTTGCTCGGAGGACGATGTTGAATTATAATCTATATAAGTTGAATACTTAAATCCTAAATTGAATTCATAATATTGATAGCCATATAGACTTAGAAGCCTCAGATCTTAGGTCTGATCACATGATACAAATCTCCATTTGATATGGAATTTATAATATAAATACAAGCAAGTTCATCAATTTTACTACCCTAGCATATAAAAAATTTGTTATCGTTATTTTTTTTATCTTTATGGAGTCCTTCATCATATATATGAATGAAGTTTAAGTTTTAATAATATTGCCATTGACATATAATAATATTAATCAAAAGAACTTTATTTAATTAAAGCAATAACTATATTCTAATTTTTCAACTTACTAATTTGGAAATGTAAAAGTAGTTATTGATTATATACTACTATCTGTGTATATCATTGGTTTTATATTTTTGTATATTAAATAAACTTTTAGTGAATAAAATCTATTAACTTAATCCCAAAACCATATTTTAAGGTATTTAATTCATATTTATGTTATAAATAAAATATTATTGAAAAACTTAATAATATTCCAAGTAAAACCATATCCACGTGTTATTGTGTAAATAATATTACGAAAACAACTACCATTATCGGTTCCATCAAATAAGTTTTTATTTTGAGGAAACAGCTGCTCCTCTATCAAATATAACACATTCTTATAGTTTCCTCTTGTAATTGATTTCATTCATATTTCTGTTCTCTTACATATAGAATTAGTCACTAATTGAACATTTATTAACAAAAACGTGACTGAAAGAAGATACCTTTTCAATTTTTCATTTAATTATTTCGAATTCAATAATTGTAATATTCATTTACTTAATATTGCTTACATTTTTTCTTACTATCAATTATTCTAAATTAGCGTAATAGAAATCAATTTCTTTAAGAAGCAACTTATAATAATGAAAGTTAGATAATATTTTTCTTTCAAATAGCATTTTATATGAATTGTGAAATTCTGAATTCAAATGTAAATTAAGATCTTAACATTTTTCCTCAGAATTTCAATATTCCATTGATGAAATTTATCAAATTTAAAAAATGTAATGTTTGAATCTTTGATTTTTCAGAAAATTCCAATTTTTTTTTTTTTNACAGGAATTATAAGAATTCTCTTAAATTCATAATAGTTTGAAATTCTTTAAAACTATACCCTAAATAAAATAAAAAATCATAATCCTTCATCTACGAAGTTCAAAGTAGAATTTGGAATTAAGGAACTTTTGAAACAATAAAAATAAATAATTATATATTAAATACTTAAATAGACTTAGAATAGATAGGATGATGTCAGAAAAGACAGCGATAAAAGGAAAAGAGTGAGGTTTCTCATTGATGCTCCTAACAACCCGGTCGAGCCTAGTTGCTCGGAGGACGATGTTGAATTATAATCTATATAAGTTGAATACTTAAATCCTAAATTGAATTCATAATATTGATAGCCATATAGACTTAGAAGCCTCAGATCTTAGGTCTGATCACATGATACAAATCTCCATTTGATATGGAATTTATAATATAAATACAAGCAAGTTCATCAATTTTACTACCCTAGCATATAAAAAATTTGTTATCGTTATTTTTTTTATCTTTATGGAGTCCTTCATCATATATATGAATGAAGTTTAAGTTTTAATAATATTGCCATTGACATATAATAATATTAATCAAAAGAACTTTATTTAATTAAAGCAATAACTATATTCTAATTTTTCAACTTACTAATTTGGAAATGTAAAAGTAGTTATTGATTATATACTACTATCTGTGTATATCATTGGTTTTATATTTTTGTATATTAAATAAACTTTTAGTGAATAAAATCTATTAACTTAATCCCAAAACCATATTTTAAGGTATTTAATTCATATTTATGTTATAAATAAAATATTATTGAAAAACTTAATAATATTCCAAGTAAAACCATATCCACGTGTTATTGTGTAAATAATATTACGAAAACAACTACCATTATCGGTTCCATCAAATAAGTTTTTATTTTGAGGAAACAGCTGCTCCTCTATCAAATATAACACATTCTTATAGTTTCCTCTTGTAATTGATTTCATTCATATTTCTGTTCTCTTACATATAGAATTAGTCACTAATTGAACATTTATTAACAAAAACGTGACTGAAAGAAGATACCTTTTCAATTTTTCATTTAATTATTTCGAATTCAATAATTGTAATATTCATTTACTTAATATTGCTTACATTTTTTCTTACTATCAATTATTCTAAATTAGCGTAATAGAAATCAATTTCTTTAAGAAGCAACTTATAATAATGAAAGTTAGATAATATTTTTCTTTCAAATAGCATTTTATATGAATTGTGAAATTCTGAATTCAAATGTAAATTAAGATCTTAACATTTTTCCTCAGAATTTCAATATTCCATTGATGAAATTTATCAAATTTAAAAAATGTAATGTTTGAATCTTTGATTTTTCAGAAAATTCCAATTTTTTTTTTTTTTTAATTTCAATTTCTCATCATATTTCATTTTTATAACTAAATATAAATATAAGGAAATTGTTTATCAATTTGATTCTAATACTATCATTTAATTCGCAAACTAGCTTACATTCTTAAAGATCACTATTACATCTTTGAGATCAAACAAATTCAAAGAATATCTAAAAAATTATTTCGATTTGAAATAAATTATTTAATTTTATTTAATAGATAAACTTAATATTGGAATATTTCAATTTAATCTGTAAAAGCAAGAGAATGACAAATGAATTATGATGGAATCAATATGTTTATATTTTAAAGAATTTCACTTTAATAATTAATTTATAAAAAAATGATTGTTGAGTATCCAAACTATTCTTTAATCCAAATTTAATTATCCTTTTATAAAGATAAGGTTAATGTTTAAGCATATTAATAAAGTTTCAAATAAATATAGCAAACTCATTAAGCTAATTTATTACGATTTCAGACTTATCTTTTTTTAAATAAATATCTATAATTTAAATTATATTATTAATATCAATCATACATCTTAAATTTGAATGTCTACCAGGGTTTCAATTGATTGCACTTGATTGTACAATACTTATGTAATTTTAATTCTATTTAATACTATATTAATATTTATCTCCTTATAGGCAGAATCGACCAATTTAAATCTTGGAAAATAAGAAATCTCATTAATTGTTCCATGACAATAATGTGAAAATTAATACATTTTATTGGTCGAGCAATTCTAACATTTTAGAAATTGACTCACTATTTTTTTGGTTTTTATACACTTCATATAAATCTTCATATTCACAATGCTTAAAGCCTTATCTATAATTATATTAGTTGATGCTAAGAATGATTAACTTAATTCATTGATCTCAAGAAAAATATCTGGCTTAGTTGATACATCAAAATCATAAGCTTACGATATTCTCAACGTGAGACATTCAAAAGGTTTAAATATAGTAGTAAATTGATAAGCTAACCATCCTTGTAAAAAATAATTCTTAAGGAAGGCTCCATACCCTATAATAATAAAGAACTGTTACATGTAACTACAGTATATGATAATGTTCCTGATTGCCGTTCAGCCCTCGATCTGAGATTAGTATAGGAATCCAAACCATTATAGGTTAAAAACAACCATTTGTTTGAATATTAAGTTAAGGTTCCACTATCGTAATCACTTGTATGATATAAAACATCAATATCTGCAAATGCTTCTTCTATTCCTAATATCACTTAGTATCCAACTTATTTTAAATTTGCACGCCATGCTACTGTATCCACAATACTTACAGTTACCTGCGTAGTTGTTATTGATGAGATCTTGAAACATAAATAATTCTCATACATATAGTTTAAAGTTAACATCTTGATATATTCCCATACTTGTTAATGTGACAATACCAAAATTAGCATTTGCATTCTAATGAGGAAATGTCTGTTATGTAGGATTTAGCATATTAAAATTGTTAATAACTTATATTCTCTGGTCATCAATTGCATACCATCCATACTTTGCATTATGAAAAGGAGTTGATGTGACACATGTGATAAATAATTCGAAACCTAAAAATATAAAACATAATACTTGTTGTTTAAATATTTTGTGTTTATATTCTATAATCTGCCCCCTCTCCCATATCAATTAATTCAAGCCCTAAGATTACTTTAGGAACATTGGCAAAAACTCCATTGAAATTTATTGTATAAGTTTATTAATATCCAGTAGTACATTCGCTAAAGCCTGAAACTGTTCCAGAGTCGTATTTAAGAAACCCGTATGCCTGATTAATAAGACATATAAACAAAAAGGAGATAAGTATCATTTTTAATTATGAAATTCTTTCTAAATTAATCTTCAACTTTTATCATAATATTTTGAAATTATGAGTTTATTTTTATCTTTATAATTTTATTATATAATAGATCTCTTATTGAGTTGTCATACTTGTTTTTAAAGTCATAGCTCATTAATAAGCTTCTTATCCTTTGGTACAATTTCTATTGTGAGTTGCATCATTAAGAATACTTCTGTATTGATTATTTTATCAGTATAATCCCATAATCAGAGGTCTAAAATATTTATTCTTAATGGCTATTAGTAAAATTTCATTGTTTTTACAGTCTTTAAATGGCTGAAAATAGATTTTCGCCATTCTAATGTGATAAAAATATTTCTCCTCATAAATGTTCTTTATCCGTAAATCATTTCTGAGCCAGATGTAAATAGCCATTTAGAAAATTAGAATCCTTAAAACGAAGACGGTTCGCATAAATTCTTTAAAAACAATTGATCAATTAAGGCGAAAGCTAATAGCTAATAACTAATTTTTGCTTAGGTTACAATCATATATTTTATTTAAGTAGAGATATTTTAATTATCTCAAACCAATAATAATATTTAATAAATAAGACATATTTTGAGAATTAGTTCAATATTTAAAAAATTTATGTTTATATACTTCGATTATATATTCACACATTCTTAATGACTAATAATTCATTTAAAATGCAAGAAGAGAGGTTTCTATGATGAAGATTTATTGAAAAGAGATAATATTTAATTGGTACTTTTCAAAACAAGATGGAATCAAAAATATTGCTTCGTATCATTACTTGAGGAATACAGCATCTTGACAATAATAGATCACTAAGTGCCGATTCACTTGTTCACATTATCATATTTGCCTTAACAAGTATTGTGATGGCCATTTTATTCAAAGAAATCCGCAACTTATTTTGATCAAGTAATCTATTAATTACTATTCGCTTTGAATAAATGAATAAGTTGATTTGCAGAAGGTTAAAATTTCAGAAATTTTAACCTAATTAGGAGCGTTGTAGTTATATCAGAATTGCCAATTTTCATGCTAATTATAAAGATAGCATTGTATTTTCTTTAATTAACAACTTACAATAAATTTAATCAACTGATAACTGAAAAATATGATTCTTCAAATTTTAAGTCTTGTTATTTACAGAAAATTATATTTTCATTATCTCATTTTTCTCTTAATCAATTGAACTTTATGAATGACACTTTAAAATTATTGTTTTTAAAGTTTTAAGCATTTGCACGTGATATATGATCATCACAACAACTATTTTTGATGATGTTATTGTGCCTTAGGAGGATCAACATATGCCTTCCCTATTAGTCGCTAATGAGATGTTCTAGTTTTTGATTTAATTATCCAATTATTGATTCTTATTAATTTCGTCATTGTGTTTTTGTTTTAATTCATCATATTGAGCTTATTACTCCTATTATTCTTAGGTTGATTTCAGCTTCAATGACTAAATTTCATTATTCTAGTTTTTGATTTAGGTTTCCAATTATTGTTTTATATTAATCTCTTCATTATGTTTTTGTTTTAGTTCTTCATATTAAGCTTATTAATTTTTTATTCTTTAATTAAATTTCCTCTTATTTCTTTAGTTGATTGCAGATATTTAAAGAGACAGACTTGGTGACTTTTTAACTTAGCTAGTTACTAAATTGTTCATTATGCACTTCAGGCCAACAGGGCTTATTAAATTTATGAATGGTTGGTTCTTTAGATTACAAAGGATGTATTGTTTTAAAACAATCCTAGATACCATCAATCGAATCCTCAATTCTATTAAATGAAGACTAAATACAATAAGTAGGATACTTGAATTTTTGAGCGCATAGCCTAAGTAGATTCCTCCATTATCAATGATGATTAATAAATATATTAAAAACACATTATAAAAGAATGTATTTCTATTAAACAGAGTTAATTAAATACTTATGAGTCATTATAAAAGTAACCTTTCGTAATTTAATTTCCTTTACACTGATAAGATTAACGATAAGGTTTCCAATTTCTAATTCAGTGCTACAAATTTTTTTTTGGAGACTATCAATCTGATTTGAGAAAAATACTTTTCAAATTTATTTATTGAAATTGGTAAATCAATGAATTTAAAAACTTGATTGTCAAAGCATTATTTAAAAATTTTAAATGGATGCAGAATAACATAACAGTAAATAACTAATATGAAATAGATGTACAAGATTTCTTTTCCTAAAAATTCAGAAAAAGTACATAAAATTATTTCAAAGTTTGAAGTATAAATGAAATGTTAATGAATTTTTTTCACGATTTAGGGTGCACAAGTATCTTCTTGAAATAATGATGGCTCTATAATCTTAATAGAAACTGAGATCAACCACTTTATTATACTTATAAAAATAAACTAACATTAGTTTAAATTTTAAAATCAAACAGTTCCAGTAACGGGAATGAAGTTGTATTTTATTTTTGAATAACTTTATATACCTTTAATATCATCTGAAAATCTCAGGAAAATGTTGATTTTTAAATTGAAACAAAATTGATTTTTAAATTCTCCTTTAAAATTCAAACCCTTTATGCTTAACTTAGAATCCAAATATCCACCTTTCTAACTTCAATCATAAAAGCAGAAGCTTACTTTAAACATAGTCAAATTTTGAAACAAATAAAAAAAAATTTATTCAATATTTATATTTATTGAATCAACAAATATAGAGCATTGATGAAATGTTCTAAATCTATAAATAATAATGAAAAAATTAAAGTATTAATATCAAACCTGATTTTCAAGATATATAATTTAATAAAAGTTGAACACAAAGGCAATTTAAATATTATTAATAATTTATAAATACTATTTGATTTTTGATAAATACTTAATTCTAATGTTGGATGTTAATTTATTGCATTATTTATTCGTGTGCTTTTGAAGGTGTAGAATATAATGAAAACTTTTAATCATTTTAATATAACTTCATTTATTTTATAGTTAGATGTAAAATAAACATTGATAGAATGGATGATTTCAATGTATTCAGAAGAATGGTTTTTCCATTAAGATTTCAAAATTTAATAAATTTAAGAATTCTTTATTGTAATGCAGTATGAAAATGTGACAAAAGAGTATTACTATCAATCTAAATAAAGCATACTATTCTTGTTTTAGGATTAGAGTTTTTTTTGATTGTTTAAAATTATTTGTAAATATTCCTAATGGAATTTACAATTTACATTATTTGATTCTAACAAGATTAGAAGTAGTCGAATCAAAAAAAGAAAAATTATTGTTCAATTTATTATTACATAATATAATAAGATAATGATAACTTTTTAAGTTGTGTTACACGTCTTTATTGGTTTGGTTAAAAATTAATTATCACTAAATACATAGCTAATATCAAATCATTTTTGATAATATTTACCATAGTTAAAATTGATGCGTAAAGCAACAATTATATTAGGACATATCAATTTTAATTAAAGGTATCTTGATAGAAATTTCAAGATTATTGATGGAATTAATTTATATGAGGAAATAGAATTTCAATGGTATCACAACTTTCTATTTCTTTTAAATGTATATCGTTATTCTTTATTTTATAATGTATATGAATAATTCAATAAAACAGCGAAGGAGAAATGGGTTATTTCTTTTATGATTTTCTCTCTTTCAATCTTTTAATCATGGATGTTAACTTAATTTCAATTTACACTGCATATTTAATTAAGGGAGCCATAGTTCCAAACATGAGTAACCCCATTTAAACAAAAGCTATATTAATCTAATTATCTGGACTCAAGAGATTTGAAATCGCTTAATCAAAAAATATACTTAGTAAAGTAAAAAGAATTATAGGTAATTCAAAAACTAGAATAACAGCCAGGTCTATCTTATTCCTTATCAAATCACCAAAGACTACAATAGTAAGATAGAGAGAATTGATGAATGTAATCAATAGGCATTATAATAGTGAATTATTTTGATATCCAATTAAGATATATAGAAATAGTAATTTTTTTATGAGAATTAGACCTTCGTGTTGCAAAGATTTTAATTTTTGTAATTCCATTTGTGAATTTTTCAAAGAGAATATATTGGAAATCAATTTTATGATAATGATGAAGATAAAGTATGCTATAAAATTGGAAATCTGATACCTCAAAGTATCCTACTTTTGAGATTACAGGTAAAGCAAGATTTTAAAAATTAAATCCCAACTATTCACTTAAACAATATAAATAAAGCCATTTAATGAAAATATTCTTAATAAGCCAAAACTTATTTTATTGAATTTATGTATAACAAATGCAAGTTATTATGCCATGCATTGTTTATTGGTTTTATAAATTAATACTCTAATTTAAAGAAATTATTTTTAGAGAACAAAATTCAAATAAATTTTTGAAAGTAGAAGTACAATTAATCCTAATCCACATTGAGCACAAAAGGGCTATAAATTAGTAATCAAATCACTGTTGATGTTATATGTTAAAAATTTTCCAAAAGCCTATAATTATTTAATTCCGATTAGGTTGTCAAATAAATCAACAAATTTCAATTTTTCTAATAATGGAAGGATAGTTATTACTTCCGACGATTCAAAATAAATGTTCAAATTTTCAGGAAAGTCTATGTTTATAAATTTTAAATTTGATTAATATTAGAGTGTGTCCAAAACTTCAAAACATTCAATTGGATTTCCAGAAATTAAGATTAATAAACTAGAGAATCCGAGACTTAGTAACATAATCATATTGAATGAACTAATCTTCTTGGATATTCTCTTTTATGATGGAGTTATCACTACTGGATTTTTAAGACGTATTTTACAAAAGTCATTGTCTACTTAAAAGTCATTATCATCAACTAATACTGTTTTCAAATCAACTTAGAAATAAATTTCATTATTTTATTATTCCAATATTTATACTTTAAATAAGTATGTAATTTCTTATACTGTGATATATGTTGGTTCAACAACGAATACTTTCTCTATAATATAAGTAGATGGATCTATATCAACAAGATAAGCATGTAGATTTTTGGTTAAATTTTAACTATTATCCAAGACTTTGATTTTGTCTGTAAATGTCAAATTAATAAATAAAATATTATATGTTTGGTTAACAACATTTAAATTAAAGTGAGGTGGTTTTGACTAAAGGCAGGTACTAGTCTCTTATTCTAGTTAAGAACATGCCCAATTGATTTGAACCTAGCATTTATTTGTGCATCCATCATCAGAAATTAGATTTCCATCATCGCATTCTTCGTTTTCAGATTTTGCTCCATTACCACAGACATCTTAGCAATTATCATTGACTATTTAATATCCAAAATAGCATTTCATACATTATCCCTGAATACATTCATCACAGTTTAAAGGACATGAGAACTTGCATTAATAGCATCCATCAAAAGGTATATCATTAGCATCGTCACACTATTCATTAGAAACAATAATTCTATCACCACAGATAGAATCGCATTAGTTATTTTGATATAAAAATCCAATTTCACATTTTTGACTTTGAATGTTATCAAGACAAATTTTGTGATTGCAATTTTGACAATCTTCTTGGCATGAATATTAGCAAAGGTAGCAACCATCGTACATCTCATCATTACCGTCATCACATATTTCAAATCCTTCAATAGCTAGTCCATCTCCACAAATTGGTGTACATGATTAATTTTGAATTTCAAAGTAATCCTAGCATTTTAAACACTCAATATTGGCATTACACAATTCGCAATATTGAGGACATTCAAATTTACATTCAAAACATCCATCCCCACTTATATTATTTTAGTCATCACATTATTCCTGAGATTATGATGCGATCTATCCATCTCCACAAACTTATACACATTTATAATCAATTAAACTCCACCCTTAAATACACTAAAAACAAAAAGAATAATAGCATTCTTAACATTCCAATTGACAACTACTCTAACATAAAAAGCATGAATCAAATTAAATGTTATTAGAATCATCACAAAATTCATTTTCTTAAACAATACCATTATTGCAAATAGGAAAACAGTCATTATTTAATGTTTTTTCAAACTCATCCTCGCAAATTGAACACTAATCTAAAAATGAGAGTTAACAATTTTAAGGTTAGATATAAGAACATAATTTGAATTAATGAGCAAATATTCCATAATTTGAAATCTCGCATTGAACATCCTAGTTCCAAAAATAATCGCTGATTTTGACATTGATGTTTAAGTGTTCCTGATAAAGATTAATCAAGAAATTAGATAAATGACAAAATTATCCTGATTCATACTAAGTTTCAAATTCAATTAACTTTTGATCATCTTCTAAGTTACAAATTAAGACACATGAATTATCCAGTAATTTATACAAATAATTGCACAATATACATTAACCAAATTCGCAAATTCTACAGTTCAATGGACAAGAAAATTAACATTCATAACATCCGTCATTAGGTTGTAGATTTCCATCGTCACATGCTTCTTATAATACTATTAATTTATCTCCACATAGAGGCAGACATTATTGAGATATAGCATCAAATATCCAAAGCGAGTCACAATTTAAACATTAACCTCTATAGCAATTACTGCATCCTTCTACACATTAATATTATTATGAAAAGCAACCATCAAATACTTCAATATTTTTATCATCACAAATAACACTGCTGTCTAAAATGATCTCCTTTTCTGCATCAGTAAATACTTCAAAATCCCTAATACCATAATAAGGAGTAGAAGTTGATTCAGTTGTAAATGATATAATTACAATCCTTAGATTCAAAGTCTAATCGTTGCTTAAAAACTCAGGTATTGTAATTGTCCCTAACTTAAAATAAGAAGCACATATTGCATTTTAAGTAATAATATTGAAAGAAATTTAACTACTTAACCATTGTGTATTTCCATATATATTTAAAGATATGCCTCCACTAATGTAAACAGAAAATAATTTAAATTACATTCTCACCTTAGTATGAGGGGAACTCAACATTAAATCTACGGAAGCCTCTTAGTTAGTAATAAACTTTCCATAATATTAAAAACCTAATCAATATCCATAACATTACTTCCGCATGTTTCAACAGTATTATATGTAGTATCGTCTCGCTTCCAACCCTCACCGTCAGTTAATTAAACAGTTGTAAAATATCTCAGCACTCGATTCCAATTAAGACAGGCCCCGTTTGAATCGCAAGAATCACAATGATTTGGACACTAAAAAACTGATAATTTAAAATCTGAAATTCCCCAAAATGCTGATAATTAGAAAGATTAAAGTGTAATTATAGCAGAATTACTATTATGCCCAATCTATTTACTAATAAAGTAAATTTCTCCATATTGGCCACTTCCACAAATATCAGTTCCTGGTGATATTGTTGGATTACCTGAATGTGCTTCAAGCTCATCAACATTAAAAATGTAAGGTGATCCAGTCCAAGGCCCTAATCTAGTTTAATATAAATAAAAACAAACCCCCAAAATTTAAACTCAAACGCAATTTTATTATGAGGTGGAAGGATAAATGTTTTTGTTATGGCAGTCGAGTATCCAAAGATTGATGGTCCTCCGAAAATGGTACCTGTTGGACAATTAGTAATATGAGAGGGATCTAAAGCCTAGAATACAAGCCAATCTAAAATATTCTTTTATTCTACTATCATTTGAGCTAAATGGAGTCATAAAGGATGAACTTATTTCAGATTATGCAAAAGTATAACTCATATTATTTAGTAAAATTAGTTCACAGAAGATGTTTAATATTGATGGGTATTTAAAACGAAGGTTCCTAAGTTCTATATTTGGAAACAGATGTATCATGTTCAAATATTAAATTAATTAATTGAATTTTCATATAAATTAAATAAAAATTGAGTTATTGTAATCACCTTACTTTTGTTAATTGCAAATATGCCTTGATGCTTACTTTTGATCAACACATAATTTTCTTCATCACATGCTTCATAAATGTTCTCTATAATATTTATAAGTGAATATATCCTTCATCCCTAATTTATTTCTTATTAGAACGCCTTATAAATATTTGTACAATTTTGTATTAAAAAAGAATTCTCATTTTGATGTATCAAACTTTTCTCAATGCTGATACTTATAATTGTTATCACCGCACTATAAACATTTTGAATTCAAGAATACTCTAATTATTCAACTCATTTTTTAATCCCACATTTAATCCAAGAAGAGGGATTCCTAGAAATCATAATAATGTTGTTTGATTTATAGGCCTCCAAAATATCATGTTATAGATTGAAGTAATTGATATTGTAAATACAAATTCCATCAATTATCTCAACAACCCTCATGATACAATTATTTTGAAAATTTATTAAATTCTGGTAATTCAGGCTGTTGAATCCTTCCTTACATATATCTAAGGATATTCACTATGCTCAACGAACATCTCTAATTAATCATTTTAATTCTAATTCATAGATGAAAATCATTAGTTTAAATAATTTTTATCAGCTTTTTTTCAATATATACTAATACTTAATTGAAAAATTTGTTTCGATTAAAGTTTCAATGTTTCTCTTATTTATTAATGAACGAAAATATTTCAATAAATTGAATAAATAATATGTATTAATGATGAGGGTTACTCAGATTTATCTATTACTAATTATTACAAAATCCAGAAATCAATAATTTATTTAATACTACTGTGGATTCCTTCTCTGCTTTTCTAATTAACTTTCAAATTAGATCGAAGTAATCTTATTTGGTTGTAGTTCAAATTTTTTTCAAACAACTATTTAATTAGAGCTTAAAAAAATATATTATGCGAAGATGTAGGGAATAGTGTCTAAAAGAAAAACATTTATCCAAAAATTCCTTGGATATTATAAATTTTATCATATCTGAACAAGCGAGACAAATCAGATGATTTATTCTCATTCAATAAAGCATTAAAAGCTAATGAAGACGCTTAAAATTTAGAACATTTTTATAAAATTCTTTATTATTAAAATCTGGAATTTCAAAATAATTGATCGATTAATATTACTATATTTGTCATTATAGAAAATTAAAGTTCATAAATATATAAAAAAATGAAATTACACTTCCTAAAATTTAGAAATGAAATAAAATTTTATAATCACGAATAATGGTAAAATGTTGAAATGCAAGAAAATCAATTTACATTTTCAAAGGGAGATCATGGTTGTTGTCAATATCTTTTTTGATATTTCTATAAATAAGATAATTTGAAAATTCTTAAATAATTATTGAATCTTTCAAAATCTGCTTTATTGTCAAAATCATCAATAAATTCTTGTTGCATATAGAAATGGAGTAAAAGAAAAATTGGTTGGCAGATTCATTAAATGCAGGCCAAAGCTCGGGGTATTTGTATATCGAGACTTTGATCAGTTTTTGTAAAAAAAATTGGTCATTGTCCCTTAAAAGTATTTAAATTAAGATTAACCTATCTTTCCAGATCGGTGAAATGATGATCTATTGTAAAGATTGTTTAATACAAATTCAAAAAAATGAGAAATTATCAAATTTTATAAAACCAATAAAAATGAATTGAAGATTTCTACCTAATTGTAAATATAGGCCTACTAAATCTTTCAATAAACTACAATAGCACATTTTTAATTTAAAAAATCATTAAATACTTTCTAGTTAAAGTTATTTCTAAAAATAATTTCAAAAAGCGAATAAGAATGCAATCCCTAAATAAATAACATAATTCATTTAAGTGCTAGTTTTCACTTGATATCAAACAAGAAAAAATTCAAATCTCTTAATGATGGAGCATATCTCTTAACTAGATTTAATATTTTTGTCACTTAAAATAGGACTCAATTGTTAAGAAATGCATCAGAGATGATAAGTCTTCTAAGTTATGAAAGATTTTTTATCTGTTTAATCTTGATTTTCAATTCAAATTATAGAATGAGATAAGTAAATTTTATAATTTAATAGATCTTGAAATATTGTGAATTTTATGAATAATATCAAAATTAATGTAATAATAACAAATACTAATTAAATGAAAATTTATTGAATATAATTATGCATTAATATGGATGATTTATCATAAAGTTTAAGTTTATGTCCCATTGATGCAATCATACAAACAAAAATATTGGAAAATAATTTGAATAACAGATGATGAAAAATCTTGACAATAATTCTCATTTTAAAAAAGGGTTGAGAAGGGGATCAATTATGACGATTTGAACAAATTTATGTATATTGGATGAAATCACAAACTATTTTAAATTGAATTTACTATAAATAAAATACATATTAAGCAATAAATATATTGTATGAAATTTTGTGTAATCATAATCTTATTACAAAAAGTTTGCTTCATAATGGGTTCAAAGTGGCTTATATTTGATATCAGATGAACTTTATCAAGAGGAGACTAGCAATCTAGCTTACAGAAACACAAGAGGTTTTTTCAAACCATTGACATCTTATACAACTGCAAATTTTATTAATTGTTCAAGTCCATGTAAGAGTTACATTACTTTAAATTAATTGAACACTGAAGTCTAAAACATATACTAAAATTCATATTCAAACAGAAATGTATTAACCTTTGATCTATATTTTCATGGTACATGGAATAACCAATCTATGAGTTTAAGTTTAGGAGACTTTAGATAATTTATTTATTACATATCTCCAAGTGCTTACTATATTGATTCTGGATTTTGTGATACTACACCATACGAGGTTAAAACATTTAATTATTAATTCATAACAACTTAGTAAGGAGCAATATCCTTTAAATTATCCAATAATATGGACGGAATGGTTTCTATATCCAAGATAGTTTAAACTATACTTATCTGCTATCCTTCATGTGTAAACTGCTATGGTCCCTCATATAATTAATGTTCTGTATGCTTTTATGGTGATACATCTCAAAATATTTGTTCAGGGTGTCCTATTGGCAAATATTATGTGCGATTTGTAGGATGTAAAGAGATTTGTGATTTTAACTCAAAACTTTTTAAGGATGGATTCTGTCAATACTACCCAGGTAATATCTGTAATATTTTAGTGCCATATTTCCTATCCACAAGTTTTAGTAGTAATCAATTTTATATTGAAAATCTAAAATGGTCAATTATTTATGATAAAAAACATATTGATACATCTATTTCTATCAGCCTTCTTAACAATCTAAGAATTTATGGTATTTTTAAATATAATTCTGGGATTTAAAGGTATGTAAAAGGAATAAATAACTAGATCGGAACTTACTTATTTGGCTTTAAAATATAGATTTTAATTTTTGGCTTATTTCAAATTAATGAAGGCATAAAATTCAAACTTAATAATACTTATTATGGATCAATATTCAAAAATTCATCAGGTATATAAACGCATAATATTCACATTTTTGATAGTTATTATGTAGGATCACACCCATAATATTCATATTGTTACAATTATGAAATTCATATGTTTATTGATATACCCTAATATCCATTTTTATTTTCAATCTCCAGTAATTTCACTTATTAAATCCATAATAATTTGAAGGCATAATAGTGTTGGGTGGGGATTGGTTTATTTTATAGTAAATGCTGGATATTGCCCAGAATATTGTACTGAATGCGAAGTATCGTTTAAGTGTAAAACTTGCAAAACTTCCTATTTACAATATCGGGATGGTAGATGCATTGCCAATTGCAATTAACCATATTAAAAATCAAACGGCTCATATTGTTAAGATCAAGATGACGAAACTCCATGTAAATGTTTGACTTCATTGATAGATTCCAAATATTTGGTCCAAGAGTATATTAATTTAGCAAATGATCCAACTTAACAAAATTAGAATATTATAATTTCACAATCACCATTACCGAATAAAAATTTTTTAAAGGGTCCCAACATCTTTTTTTTATATGTGGGGAATTATCGAATTTTTGGTGGTCCTTATGTTTGGTCCTGTGCTAAATTTTACAGAGGGCACAAGATTTACTATCCCCATTACAGTATTACTATAGGGTTCTAAATCAGGCTTGGTCCAAAATTCCCTTCTACTGGATAATTTATTTATACTGTAGAATCAAATCCTAGTGTAAATATTACATGTAGTAGCCTAAATGGATAAAATGTTTACAATGTGTACGAAAAAATTAACCATAATGGGTCTTTGTTAAATATGTACTGGGAATGTTAAGGGGATGATAATGAACCTATTTAAGCATATTGTGCATTTTATAATTATTATATTGCAGTTCACTATTGCTAACCATTTTGCTTAGAATGTACAGATGAAAATACTTGCACATTATGGAATAGTACGTATGATTCTAATGTTGTAAAATTCTTTTAGTCTGATTGTTTAAGTAATTATATTACAATGGAAATTAAGTACTTGTATCACTTGTGTTTCTCCTATAGATTGTCAAAGTTGTTAAGCTACTTATACTCTTACTAAGCTTGGATGTGTTTGCAAGTAAAACTAATATGAAGAATCAGATTAATGCTATGAGTGCCCTCCTTTGTGCAAATAATGCTAACGTTTGACTTTTTGTATAGATTGCCTTTTTAGTGATTTTAGAGAGCTAGTAAATGGATAATGTGTGTGTTTTGAGGGATATTATCAAGTGGAAGGCAGTTCGGTTTGTTTAAAATGCAATTCGTTCTGCAAAGAATGTTTTGGGGCAACTTCTAATGATTGTAAAGTTTGTAGTGACATTGTGGGCATTTAATAGATTGGTTCTATTTGCAAATGTGCAGATAATGCAGTTTATGAAGAATAGTCTAATTCATGCACTAATTGTCATTCAACTTGTTAGACTTGTTTTTCAAAATACATAAATGGATGTCTAACTTGTGATGCAACATTAAACAGAATTCTGAAAGGATTAAAATGCGAATGTTCCTTTGGCTATTATGAAGATACTAATATATGTTTGAGTATGATAAATTACTATTATATTAGAATGCCCTTTGACTGAAGATAATTCTTTACCTTAATACTATGTTTTATGTGAGGACAACCAATTAGCTTGGTTATAATAAGTTGTTATTTTGTGGTGATTCACCAGTTGTAGGAAATGAAGAATATGATGATAATAAATGATAAATGCTTTAATTGTAGGTTTTAGTGTTCAGCTCATTGTATGAATTGTGATGATGGTACTGTACTTTCATGTCCAGATGTATGTGGAGGTGGTAAAATTTCTGGTAATGAAGAATGCAAAGATGATAATAATATTTAGTTTGATGGATGTTATAATTGTAAATTTCAATGTTAAGAATCTTGCACAAAATGCCTAATGGGAGAGTATCAAATGAATTAATTTAAGTTATCAATACATAGACCCATATACCTGGGGATATAAGGAGAGATGTGGAGATTAAATGATTGTAGGAGAGGAATAATGTGAAGGTGGAAATTAATCAAATACTGATGGATGCAAAGAATCTGGATATTTTGTAGGGTTGGATGTTGGTAATGCGATAATGTCAAAAGAAATGTCTTGCTTGCGAATTTCCTAGATTAATTCCAAATTAATATTTTTGTTAAGAAAACTGTGGAGATGGAATAGTTACAGCAGATCCTTATGGATTTTCTAAAGAAGTTGATGATGCACGTTGTAATTCAAGCTGCAGCCAACGTAAATAAGGGCATCAACTCAAGAATATTATTTATGAATCTATTTGCCAAGATAACCTATTGGTTCAGAAAGAATTGTGTGAATCCAGTTTCATTTTGCCATATTAATGGTGCTAGAATTGTAAAATAAAGCTTTAGTCTCCTGTTTATAATATAATTTGAAATGAATAATTGAAACCATGATTTGACCCTTTGGAGTTAGNGTACGTATGATTCTAATGTTGTAAAATTCTTTTAGTCTGATTGTTTAAGTAATTATATTACAATGGAAATTAAGTACTTGTATCACTTGTGTTTCTCCTATAGATTGTCAAAGTTGTTAAGCTACTTATACTCTTACTAAGCTTGGATGTGTTTGCAAGTAAAACTAATATGAAGAATCAGATTAATGCTATGAGTGCCCTCCTTTGTGCAAATAATGCTAACGTTTGACTTTTTGTATAGATTGCCTTTTTAGTGATTTTAGAGAGCTAGTAAATGGATAATGTGTGTGTTTTGAGGGATATTATCAAGTGGAAGGCAGTTCGGTTTGTTTAAAATGCAATTCGTTCTGCAAAGAATGTTTTGGGGCAACTTCTAATGATTGTAAAGTTTGTAGTGACATTGTGGGCATTTAATAGATTGGTTCTATTTGCAAATGTGCAGATAATGCAGTTTATGAAGAATAGTCTAATTCATGCACTAATTGTCATTCAACTTGTTAGACTTGTTTTTCAAAATACATAAATGGATGTCTAACTTGTGATGCAACATTAAACAGAATTCTGAAAGGATTAAAATGCGAATGTTCCTTTGGCTATTATGAAGATACTAATATATGTTTGAGTATGATAAATTACTATTATATTAGAATGCCCTTTGACTGAAGATAATTCTTTACCTTAATACTATGTTTTATGTGAGGACAACCAATTAGCTTGGTTATAATAAGTTGTTATTTTGTGGTGATTCACCAGTTGTAGGAAATGAAGAATATGATGATAATAAATGATAAATGCTTTAATTGTAGGTTTTAGTGTTCAGCTCATTGTATGAATTGTGATGATGGTACTGTACTTTCATGTCCAGATGTATGTGGAGGTGGTAAAATTTCTGGTAATGAAGAATGCAAAGATGATAATAATATTTAGTTTGATGGATGTTATAATTGTAAATTTCAATGTTAAGAATCTTGCACAAAATGCCTAATGGGAGAGTATCAAATGAATTAATTTAAGTTATCAATACATAGACCCATATACCTGGGGATATAAGGAGAGATGTGGAGATTAAATGATTGTAGGAGAGGAATAATGTGAAGGTGGAAATTAATCAAATACTGATGGATGCAAAGAATCTGGATATTTTGTAGGGTTGGATGTTGGTAATGCGATAATGTCAAAAGAAATGTCTTGCTTGCGAATTTCCTAGATTAATTCCAAATTAATATTTTTGTTAAGAAAACTGTGGAGATGGAATAGTTACAGCAGATCCTTATGGATTTTCTAAAGAAGTTGATGATGCACGTTGTAATTCAAGCTGCAGCCAACGTAAATAAGGGCATCAACTCAAGAATATTATTTATGAATCTATTTGCCAAGATAACCTATTGGTTCAGAAAGAATTGTGTGAATCCAGTTTCATTTTGCCATATTAATGGTGCTAGAATTGTAAAATAAAGCTTTAGTCTCCTGTTTATAATATAATTTGAAATGAATAATTGAAACCATGATTTGACCCTTTGGAGTTAGCCTAATATATTTATATTCTAAACTTAAGTTCCTCTCTTTAGACCAATCCTTGATCCCTGTTTCTCATCTATTCTTGAAGAAAATTGTAAATTTGTTTTACAATCTCATATACTATTTTTTATTGCTTATCTATTACCCTCAACTTATTGCATAATCGTATTTCGTGCTTCTTAAACAATCTATCTTCTTGATAAAGGTTTACTTAGTAAGAATAATTTCATTGTTATTCATCTTTCGAAATATTCTAAAAGTGTTTTTTTCAGCATTGTGTTAATCTATTTATTTTTATGTTTATGATAAAATTTGCAAGCTCCTCCATTTAGTATTCTCTTAAGTTGTTCGAATGGATTTACTTCGCTGTATTATGCAAAAAAATATTGTTTAACTTTCTTAAATTATATTTCATAAGCAATTGATTCAGTTAAGATTGTAAGAGTTTTTTTGGATATTCAAATTATTTCTGTTTTTTTCAACTATTAATTAGAGACAGTAAGAGATCTATAAATATTTTAGCGCTTAGCCTACTTTTCCCTTCTTACACTTCTTAGCTTGATAATGCATGAAAGATGTCAAAGTATAATTCATAAACTTGGATGAAGAAATGTTTAAATTTTTAAACTCCAAAAAAAAGAATAAATAACTAAAACACAGCTCAATTTACAATGTTAAGAGTTTTTTTGATTATAATCAATTTATTATCAATTTTTCAAAACAAGAAGGATTGCCATTTATTGAAGCAAAAACAGGAAGAATTTTGAAAATATATATATTATTAAGACATAATGAAAATTTTAGTATAATTTTTGCTTTCTAAAAACACTATTAAATTCCTTAAAGATAATCTAATTTTTTGTCATTTTACAGCCTTTATAGCAAGATAGTACATTTAAGATTAAATTTATAATTTTCTTTAATTTTAAATTCGATTTTTAACAAATATCAACAAATAGAGAGTTTTATCAATAATAAATATTTTTGTTACTTATTTGATTTATTAATTTGCACAATGGAAGCAAAATTTGTTCCAAACAATAAACAGATAATTAAGGTCAAAATCATGTATTATTTTTGGATTTAGCATTTATATTTGATGACATCACAAGTATATTTAAATACTGTAAAATAATAGTGTTGGATTTCTATAAAATTTTATTGATGCATATTTATTTTTTCATTGTGTTATTCTAAATAATTACCTCATAATGGTTACCATATGAGAATTATTTGATATCAAACATAATCTATCAAGAAGCCACGAGCAATGATGCTTACAAATACTCAGAGAACTTTATTAAGCCTTTGACAACGTTCACAACTGCATATTTTATCAATTGTTCAAGTCCACCTACTAGTTATATAACTTTAGATTACTAACACTCAGAAGTTGAATATAATAATTCCGTTTCCTATTCAATGAAATAAGTTTTATCGTTTGATTTATATTTCTTTGGTACCTGGAATAATGAATTTGTGAGTGTAAACATCGGAAACTTTAATGAACTTAATTATTATACATCCCCAAGCACTTACTATTTGGATTCAGGGTTTTGTAATAATACACAGTATGAAGTTCAAACATTTAATTATTAATTCAGCTAATCTTACTCAGGAAAATTGTCTTTTTAAGCATAAAATAATTTTGGTGGAATGGTTTCAATTAAAAATATATTTATAACTTAACTTAAATGTTATCCTTCCTGCACGACATGCGATAGTCCACAATATAATTAATGTTAAAGTTGTTATTTTGGGGAAGTATCAGCAAATATTTGCCCAGGATGCTAAATTAATAAATATTATGTGAAATATTTGGGATGCAGAGAAATATGTGATTTTGACTCAAAGCTTTTTAAGAATGGTTTCTGTTAAGAATATCCAGGTATCCTATTAATCCTATTAAGTGACTTATTTCCAAAAAACCAAATTTGAAAATAACCCATTGTGCGTTGAAAATCTAAAGTGGTCAATAAATTATGATAAAAACCATATTGATTCATCTATCACTCTTGGCCTTCATGCTTAAATTTTATCTTATGGAATATTCAAATATAGTTCGGGGATTTAAAGGTTTGTTAATGAAATAACACCAAATTAAGGAACTTAATTGATTGGCTTTCAAATAGTGCTGTTGAAATTTGGAAATCTTCCTCTTAATGAAGGCATAAATGTAAAACTTAACAATACTAATTACGGATCCATATTTAAATTGGCATCAGGTATATAAACACATAATATTTAAATATTTGATTTTATTCCTCTAGGATCGTATCTTTCATATTCAAATTGCTAGCAATATGAATTGCACATGTTTTTAGATATACCTTAATACCCATTTTTATTTTCATTGTCCAGTAATTTCACGTATATTATCAATAATATTTTTAGAGATAGCAGTACTGGATGGGGATTTGTTTCTATGGCAGTCACATCTGGATATTGCCCAAAAAATTGCAATGAATGCGAGGTATCATTTAAGTGTAAAACTTGCTCAAATTCATTTTTAAAATATCGTGATGGTAGATGCATTCAAAATTGTGGAAAAACTTACCAAAAATCAAATGGGACCTATTGTTAAGATTTCGACGATGAAACAGAATGTAAATATTTGTATTTGTAAATAGATTCAAAATATTTGATTTAAGAATATATTGACTTCGCAAATGATCCAGCTTAAGAATACTAATATATTTTACTTTCGTAATCAGCATTCCCTAATATCAACTTTTTAAAAGGAGCCAATATTTTATATTCATATTGGAAAAACTACCGAGTATTTGGCGGTCCTTATGTTTGGGCATGTGCTAAATTTTAAAGAGTGCATTAAATCTAAGACCCACATCACAGTATTACTATAGGATTCGAAATCTTGTTTGGTCCAAACTTCCCTTCTACTGGATCATTTATTTACACTATCTAATCAAATCCTAGCGTAACTATTACAGCTAATAGCGTGCCAACTCCAAATGATGATGGTACAAAAATTTACAGAGTGTATGAAAAAATTAACCATATTACAAACTAGTTAAATATGTATTGGGAATGTTATGGTGATGATAATGAACCTGTTAGGTCATATTGTGCATTTTTAAATTATTATATCGCTGTTCATAACTGTTAACCATTTTGCTTAGAATGTACAAATTAAAATACCTGCACATTATGGAATAGTACTTATGATTCAAATATCATAAAATTCTCATAGTCTGAATGTTAACCTAATTAATACTACAACAGAATTTAATTAAAATGTTTAGATTGCCAGTCTTCTTGCACAACTTGTATTTCTTCTATCGATTGTCAAAGTTGTTCAGCTACTTACACACTTACTAAACTTGGATGTGTATGCAAATAAAATTAATATGAGGATTCAAATTAATGTCATGATTGCCCTGCTTTATGTAAATAATGTTTAAGTCCAACTTAATGCATAGAATGCTTTCTTAGTGATTTTAGGGATTCAGTTAATGGAGAATGTGTTTGTATTTAAGGATATTACCCAGTTGCAAGCAGTTCAATTTGTGCCTAATGCAATTTTTACTGTAAAGAATGCAATGGTCCATCTTTTAATGATTGTCTTATTTGCAGTGACATAGCTGGTATTGAATAGGTTGGCACTACTTGTAAATGTCCACATATAACATTTTATGATTACTTTTTGAATTCTTGTGTTAATTGTCATATATCTTGTTAGACCTGTTTTACTGCAAGTCTTAATGGATGTCTAACTTGTGATNTAAACACATAATATTTAAATATTTGATTTTATTCCTCTAGGATCGTATCTTTCATATTCAAATTGCTAGCAATATGAATTGCACATGTTTTTAGATATACCTTAATACCCATTTTTATTTTCATTGTCCAGTAATTTCACGTATATTATCAATAATATTTTTAGAGATAGCAGTACTGGATGGGGATTTGTTTCTATGGCAGTCACATCTGGATATTGCCCAAAAAATTGCAATGAATGCGAGGTATCATTTAAGTGTAAAACTTGCTCAAATTCATTTTTAAAATATCGTGATGGTAGATGCATTCAAAATTGTGGAAAAACTTACCAAAAATCAAATGGGACCTATTGTTAAGATTTCGACGATGAAACAGAATGTAAATATTTGTATTTGTAAATAGATTCAAAATATTTGATTTAAGAATATATTGACTTCGCAAATGATCCAGCTTAAGAATACTAATATATTTTACTTTCGTAATCAGCATTCCCTAATATCAACTTTTTAAAAGGAGCCAATATTTTATATTCATATTGGAAAAACTACCGAGTATTTGGCGGTCCTTATGTTTGGGCATGTGCTAAATTTTAAAGAGTGCATTAAATCTAAGACCCACATCACAGTATTACTATAGGATTCGAAATCTTGTTTGGTCCAAACTTCCCTTCTACTGGATCATTTATTTACACTATCTAATCAAATCCTAGCGTAACTATTACAGCTAATAGCGTGCCAACTCCAAATGATGATGGTACAAAAATTTACAGAGTGTATGAAAAAATTAACCATATTACAAACTAGTTAAATATGTATTGGGAATGTTATGGTGATGATAATGAACCTGTTAGGTCATATTGTGCATTTTTAAATTATTATATCGCTGTTCATAACTGTTAACCATTTTGCTTAGAATGTACAAATTAAAATACCTGCACATTATGGAATAGTACTTATGATTCAAATATCATAAAATTCTCATAGTCTGAATGTTAACCTAATTAATACTACAACAGAATTTAATTAAAATGTTTAGATTGCCAGTCTTCTTGCACAACTTGTATTTCTTCTATCGATTGTCAAAGTTGTTCAGCTACTTACACACTTACTAAACTTGGATGTGTATGCAAATAAAATTAATATGAGGATTCAAATTAATGTCATGATTGCCCTGCTTTATGTAAATAATGTTTAAGTCCAACTTAATGCATAGAATGCTTTCTTAGTGATTTTAGGGATTCAGTTAATGGAGAATGTGTTTGTATTTAAGGATATTACCCAGTTGCAAGCAGTTCAATTTGTGCCTAATGCAATTTTTACTGTAAAGAATGCAATGGTCCATCTTTTAATGATTGTCTTATTTGCAGTGACATAGCTGGTATTGAATAGGTTGGCACTACTTGTAAATGTCCACATATAACATTTTATGATTACTTTTTGAATTCTTGTGTTAATTGTCATATATCTTGTTAGACCTGTTTTACTGCAAGTCTTAATGGATGTCTAACTTGTGATGCCACAAAAAATAGAGTTTTGAAAGGATTAAAATGCGAATGTTCACCTGGCTACTATGAAGATGCTGATAATTGTTAGAGTATGCGCACATCAGTATTATTTAGGTTGTCCTTCTGTTGAAGATCCTTATTTGCCATAATGTTATATTTTATGCCAAAACAATCAATTAACGTGGTTTTTAGTAGAATGTTCCACTTGTGATATAGACTTTTAATTGGTGAATGGAGAATGCTAGCCATTTTGTGGTGATTCAGTAGTTGTAGGAAATGAAGAATGTGATGATAATAATACAATTTTAAATGATAAATGCTTTAATTGTAGGTTTTAATGTCCAGCTCATTGTTTGACATGTGATGAAGATACTGTACTTCCATGTCCAGATGTATGTGGAGATAAATTGATTACAGGCAATGAAGAATGTGAAGATGGCAATAATATTTAATTTGATGGATGTTATGATTGTAAATATTAATGCTAAGAATCTTGCACAAAATGCATAAAGGGTGTTTGCTAAGAGTGTAGTGGAGGGTGGTACATAGATCCAATTACATGGAGATGTAAGGAGAGATGTGGAGATTTAATGATTGTAGGAGAGGAATAATGTGAAGATGGTAATCAATCAGATACTGATGGATGCAAAGAATGTAGATATTTTTGTAGGATTGGGTGCTCATAATGCAATTATGACACAGACTTTTGTCTTGCTTGTGAATTTCAAGGATTCATTCCAAATTAATATTATTGTTAAAATAATTGTGGAGATGGCTTAGTAGTAGTCGACCCTTACGGATTTTTCGCAGAAGCATGTGATGATATAGGTTGCAATTCAGATTGCAAATCCTGTTAATCAGGATACCTACTCAGAAATCGTATTTGTGAACCTATTTGTTATGATTCCTTATTGGTGATTAAAGAAGAGTGCGAGTCCAGTTTTATCTTACCGTATAAAGGTTGTTAGAATTGCAAAATAAAGTGTTAACCTTCTTGTTTAGAATGTGATACAACAGGGATGGGATGTTTGTAATGTGATGTTGGCTATTAACTCGTCGATTAAACTTGTTATTCAATTTGTGGAGATCAGATCGTAACTATTGATGAGGAGTGTGATGATGGGAATTTAATTACTGGAGACGGATGCCATTTTTGCTTATATAGTTGTTAGGATTCCTGCTTGAATTGCATCAGGGGAAAGTGTTTGAATTGTTTAGAAAATTACTCATTAGTTATATCCACTTGTTAATTAATATGCAATAATAGCATTGCTTATCAGTGTCTAGAAAGTTTAGAAAATTGTATGGTCTATCAAAATGGAATTTGTTCAATGTGTTAAACTAATTTTGAGCTTGATATAATAACCAATCAATGCATCACCGCTTAGCCAACTAAATCCGAGATCTGGTCAGATTGTATATAGCTGATAGATAATTAGTGCCTAGTCTAAAATCAATCATTTATTGACTTTATTACAAATCCAGATTTTTAAATTGATGCTTGTCCCTTAAATTGTAAGATTTGTACATTTAACAATTGTTTGGAATGCAAACGAGGTTATGAGGGAAAAATGTGTCGACCAATTTGTGGAGATAATATCAAAGTATCAGAAGAAGAATGCGAAAATGGAAAAGGCTAGCTTCCTACTAATTGTTATAATTGTATACTATTTTGTCCAGAATTCTGTTAATTTTGTGTTTTTGGAGTCTGCTAAATATGTTAAGTTGGATATTATTTAGATATTGTAAGCAATATTTGTTTTTCTAATTGTGGCGATAATCTATTAGCTTCCGATGAGGTTTGCGATGATGGAAATGACATGGAATTTGATGGGTGCTTCTAATGCTAATTTTAATGTCAAGCTGAATGTATAGATTGTTAATTTGGAATATGTGCGCAATGTTTGGAGCCATTTGTCTTCGTCTAATCTAAAAGTAATTGCGAGCTTTTAAAGTCTTGTGAAGCATAAGATGGCTTCTATTATGAAAGTAGTACGAATAGTTGTGTTAACTTATGTGGGGATGGCATCGTGGCAGGCAACGAAGACTGTGATGACACAAATGAAATTCCATACGATGGTTGCTATAAGTGTGAATTTCAATGCAATAAGCAGTGCGAATTTTGTGATAAAGGAATTTGCCTTATTGAAACTTGTCCCTTAGGAGCTATATGGATGGATAATTCATGTTGTGGGGATGCTATCTTAAATGGAAATGAAGAGTGTGATGATGGAAATAGTATAGATTATGATGGATGTTCAAACTGCCGATTTCAGTGTCATTAATTTTGCAATATCTGCTTGAACGGCGTTTGTTAAGAATGCCTAGATGAATATACATTAGATTAGAATAAATGCGTTTAACAAGAAAGTACCCTAACAGGCGGTTAAGATTCCGATCATCTTAATTAGAATTAGGAAGAGGTTTGTCGTAACGATGAATGCACATTTTCTTATAGACCAAAAATGATACTGCGTTTTTTAAATTAAACTTTCTCTCATTAATATGTTGAGATTAATTTTAATTAGCAAGTCAGATATGCAGACTCGGCTGATTAAGAACAATCTTAGATATTCAAGATATAAATCTCAGATTTATACGAATAATATTATATTTTATAGCTTTATTCTATCACAAGCATCACTTAAGATTTATAAGATGTAAAATATGTTCTAGACATAGAAATTTTATAAGAATTAGTGGAAAAACCCCTTTTATAAATTACATTAAAATAAGGCATAGTTAATTGCAACAATCAAACTATTATATAACCATAGCAATCTATTTTCCTCAAACTGCCTAGAATTTTGAATGAACAATAAAAATCTCGAGCGATTGCTATAAGTCAAACAAACAAAGCCTTTATGATCTCTGCACTCTCTATTTCTACTGTATCATTGATTTTTGGTGAAACCTCCTTATTTATTGAAACTTTGAGCACACTTTAATATCAGTCCTATCTGAAATTTATTAATCTTGAGTATCCAGAAAATTTATACATTTATTTTTAAACTTCTGAGATGTTAACTCTATCCAACTACTTATAGAAATTATAGATTGATTATGTATTAGGTTTTATTACACAAAAATAAGAAGATTAAATATAAACTGATGGAAAGTTTGCTTTATACAATGTAGATTGCGATCTTCTTACAAATTTAGTTCCTTAAATATTTTAGCTTATTCTGATATTAATTATAATAATTAATATCAAAAAGATATATTTTATTTACTAAAACTTTTTTTCAACAATGTTTTCTAGTTATAATTTGTTAAATCTATAGAGCTTTAATTAGAAAATATTGTTAATTGTCTTAAATGTTGGATAATCAATTAAGAATATATGTAAATTTAGATTTTAATGCAGCTTGAGCTTAATAATGCCTATTTTCTGTTTAAATGCATGGGATATTTTTTTTAAACTTTTATTACAAATCCATTATAATAAAACATCTAAAGGAAGAGAATAATTTTAATATATTAGCAGTCTTTTTATTTTAATAATATATTTAATAATTGTTTTGTAAGCTTACAGTAAAAGTATTTTATAAAAGTAACTTACTTTTTAGAAATGCCTAGAATTGAGATATGCAACATTCGATATTTTTAAAATATTTTCCTTTCATGTTGTGATAGTTTTTTTTTAAAATCATGCAATAATTCAGTCATTGTTAATAGCAATAAACAGCATACTTCAATGCTTTGTTATTTAAAAATATTAAAAAGTTAATAAATTAGATAAATTTGTTAACATATTTAATGAAGCAACTGTAGCTCTCTTTAGTTTAACTACATATGTTTATTATAAAGAGTGTTTGTTCTCTTACTAGACGAAAATTCAGGTTGGGTTTTTTCATATGGGCGTCCTAATGTTAAGTCTAGCTTTTGTCCTGGGTAAGCAAATTTTCAAAAAAGTATCAATTGTATACAAAAAATTTGTTGAATAAAGAAAAAACAATTACTAAAAACCACAGGATATATTTTATTGACTTTGAAATTGCGCTTGTCTATAATTACATAATTAAATTATATTAATTTTTGTATTATTCGTTTTATTAATCATAGTCTTATTGTATATATCTTAAATTATCTTTAGGATTTCTTTATAAATTTTAGATTTTCTTCCCCATATGAAACAAATTGCCTAAAAATATACTCAATTTATAAATATAAATATAAAGATATTTTTAATTTATATAAAGAAAAATTAAAATTTAAGTACTTTCACTTCCCTATTTCATTAAGCGTACTACTGATTTTGGATTACAGGTTAGCACTATAGACTTTTTATTAAAAATCTGCTGCTTAGTTTATTTTAATCTTGTCGAGTAAATATTGACTTTTCCGAAATGGTCATTTCACATCTAACTCAATATGATTAATAATAAATTTAATTATAAAATAATTAAAATCAAACTAGAATTAAAGTGTTTTTATTAGTATAATTATGAACTTTTACAAATGCCAAATAATGTTAGATCAAAGTACACAAACTATAAATAAATTTAGATCAAATAAACTAATAATTTTGTCTTACTCTTGTGAAACATTATTGTATGAATGTGTAAGATTATTATTGAATACGGGATACTCATATTAATAATGAAGTCATTAAACTATTAAGATGAAGTCATCATATAGTATAAAAATAATTAATTGACAAAATTGTAAATATTTATTGAATGCATTAGACATAATTATTATTCCTGCTATTCACAATAATATCTTGTTATTCCTATCTTCCTTAGCTGGAAATTGACTTGAATGCTCCACCAAAATAGAGATGGATGAAGGCAGTATAAACAGTCCTTGATTTACATGGATATGAAAATTCCTTTGGTTCAGTATTTGCTTTTCATAATCAACATTCTTTCCATATATTAAACAAGGATGACTACGATACAATAGCGTATTTTTTAAGAAAGAACTTTCTAGAGCATGCATTAGAATTGGAAGGGATAGTAGAAGCTTTGAATAGACCAGAGATCACCTTCGAATATATGGCTGGCTGGGCATATTTCCATGAGATAGCACATGTGACGAATTAATTTTAAGAGTGCACAGGAGTTTTGTTATCAGTGGGTGACTAAGTAATTCATGGAAGAAATATGGATTAAGCACCAGGATAAGGTAGAAATCTGGTGTTGCATTTATTCATAAAAAAGGATGGAAAATATATTGGAGAAGTAGTCGATTGGTATTGGTTCAAAGGTGGATTTATTACAGCATAGAAATATAATGTTGCGAGTCTTGAAGAAAATTGGAGAATTGATAAAAGATTAACAAAATAATCAGTTATGACATTTATTTAAAGTGGATTACCATCATTAACTTAGTCCTTTAGAGAGGTCTTAACAAATGATAAACTCAACACATATGAAAAAGTAGTTTAGTATCTTGAGACTCATGAGGTGGGATGTGGTTTATATTATATCGTGAGTGGTAGTAGTAAGGATTAAGGTACTATTATTACAAGAGGACCTTAAGAAACTATTCCATCATTGAAATTAAACGCCGCAAGTGGAATTACGTACTTAGTCTAAACAAATTATGATCATTGGGAAGTGGATCCAGAGGAGGATCCCAGAAGAACTGTTGCAGAGGATTTACTTTCAAAAATGAAAAGTAATCTAAAGAATGAGTTTGGCATTTATGCTGTAATGAATACATTTCCTGTCCACAATGAAGGTACTTTTGTGACTGTCATAATGAATACCAAATACAATAGATTTACAACTTTAGGACAAGAAGCTATTACATTTTTTGATGATGAGTGAAAGATTCAATAGATATTATATATAAAAATAGAATAACAATATAATTATTATTTAGATAAAAGAAAATTACTAAATATCTTTGATTTCGAAAAGGAAGTTATATTTATCAATAAAAATATAAGACATTTATAATCCCAACCGATTTCAAAATATTATATCATATCTAACTTCATTTATGTTTTGTTTAATAAAAAAATTAAATAATATTATACAAATACTTATTTTGTAGAACAAGGTATTTTTAGTTTTTATCATTCCAATTCTTTGGAAATTGGACATCAGAAATTAATTTGAAAGAATCTTTCCAATTATAATTAATTTTTTTTTTAATATGAAAGATTGATTTTAGCAATATTGAAATCAATAAAATGACTCAATATCATTAATAATTTAATTCATATATTTGATAGAGATCGTGCCTTTCACCTTGATATTATTATTTTCCTTTACCTATCCAGGTGATCAAATACTTTCCACTATTCGATACGGTGGCAAATAATTAATAATATTTGGATTCTAATTGATCTATTTTTTAAAATCTTCCATCAACTAATTTTAGAAAGAAAATTGATTTGTTATATTTAACTATTAATAATTTACTTATTGAATCATACCAAATAGGAGTATACGAAACATCCTCTTTTTCTGACGATAAGCGAAATTATTAAATTTCAATAACTTTATTCCATTCAATTTTACAATAAATTAAATTACCATCCTTTTGAATGAATACAAAAGATGAATTGTCAATAAATTTGATCCTCATTCCAAAACCTTTACATTTTTATTTGAATATAAGTTTTAATTCTTAACCAAATTAATACAATCTTAAGGACTCATCCATTCCACATTGCACTAAATAATTTTAATCATCATTGAGACTAAGTCCGAATATGGGTTATTTATTTTGATCGTCTTTATATTCTTTAATTAATTCTAGTGAGTCGGTTTTAAAAATTTTAATTTACCCTTTTTAAGATCCAATAATTAATTAATCTCCTTACTTATTAAATAGCATAACTTTTATCCCTCCTTCCTATTAATAGGTTTTCTATAATTTCCATTTTTAGTATTCAGTGCACACCCATAGATTGATTATACAATCAGCATCTCCTCCTCCAGATATAAGGGAATTTGAATCCTTATCAAAAAGTAGACAACTTATTTCACCATTATGTCCTTTCAATTCAGTACTAAAATTCATTTTGCCGCCTACAAAGTCCCAAATTATTATCACATTATGTTTTGCAGTGGCAATTAGATTATCATTATAATTAAAGCATAAGGCTTAACATTTTTAAGTTTATGATTCCTCACTTATACTTTTATAAATTGTTTCCTTTTGAATTTTTGATGATTAAATTAATGATAATTGTTCTCCACTCAACTTCTTAATCTAATTCTCCAAATGATCTTTCGCTATAATTAAGTCTTATCTCATATTTTCATTTACATTTGTAATAAATTTTTCTTCAAATTTTTAAAAATTATCTTAAGTGTTGATAAAATCTTTTGCAATATCTGATAAATCTAAAAAATCATCATCCATTTTTGCAGCATTTAGAATTTTATCAATAATATCGATTCTTTTTTTAAATCTTTGTTCCAGATCGATGTAGAAATTTTCTATGTTTTATTAGATTCCGATTTTATCTATAAGAATTTAAATATTTGCTTTAATTTCAGCTCTCTTTTATTCTGAGGTATTTTTGAATTAAAAAAATTTCATTAAATATTCATTCAATAGAACTGATAAACGAATCTTTGTGTTATCACACTAATAGCATACTCTTCTATCTACAATATTTAAGTCATTTGAAATATCAATTAATTCAGTCTTTTAATTATGCTTAGGACAAAGCTTAGCAATCTATTAAGGATAGTAATTAATAAAGTCATTTAATTTTTGTTTGGAAATGTCTGTATAACTGATAAAAATTGAACTTTTTTGTAATTGTATTATGCTGCTTAAATGTTATTATAGTTCCTTTCCTCCTGATGGCACATTGAGTAATAAGGATTTATTTTTATCAAAACATTTTTTTAGTTCCTATAATGACATAATATAACCGGTTAAGAGGTCTGTGGTAGAATTTAAAAAGTTTTCTTACTAGGGAATTTCTGTAGAGCCATACAGAGAATAATTGAATTCTTGCTATGGGTGTTATGATTATGGTTATGAATCTTCGAATTTACTGATAAGTTAATTGAGTGTTGCTTCAAAAATATTTACTGCATACTCTCTTTTTTCTAAATCTGACATAATATTAATATACCGAAGTAATTTTTTTCTCTCCTTATTGAATTTATTAATTCTATTACGTCAATGATATTTTTTATTAATATTGATATATACTTATTTATTAATAGAATATCGATTGAATCAACAAAAAACCCAATTATATAACATATTAAAACATCAATATGGAAAATCATTGTGAATCTTTTAATTTGCCATTACAAATTTCTAGATTATAATGCAAGTATTACCTTCCACCATCCTTGTTTAACATTTTTCAATATCTTCATTCGAGTATGTACTAACTTCCATAAATATTAGTTTATGTATTTCAGCAAATATTTATGCTTCTTCTAATGAAACTTCTCTTGGTTAATTATTGTCAGCCACCTTATCTAATTTATTACCAATTAATATCATAACAGCATCCTTGTCTGCCTAGGATTTTATATCATTCAACCAATTTTCTAATTCATCAAAAGTTGACCTTTTTGTGATATCATAAACTAAATAAACTCCTTTTGCTTCTTTTTGATGACTAATATAAATATCAACATTTTCATACTATGATACAATCTATCTGTACCTTTTCTATCCACTTGTATCCCAATAAAGTAGATTTACTGTCTAATTATTTGATAATTAGTAATTTTTTTAAGCATACTCAACACCAATACTTGGTTGGATTACCTTTGGCAGTCTTCTCCAAACAATTCTTTTGTTATTTAAATACAACCACTACCTATTGAATAAATGGGTTTTTCCAACTGCTGTATTTCCAACAAAAATGACTAACCATCTTTAATTGTTTAAATACCCTTATATGATTTAATTTCTTCTGGCATGTCCATTTGAAGTTAAAATTATAATTTTCTAGTAATTAATAATGTAAAAATTTAGGTTTTAAAATGATGTTGATGTCAAAAGGATATCATCAATTGTTAGTATTATAAGGAGTGTATTTTGAACCTGATTGAAAATTGATTATATATATTATTCAAGAGAATTGATTTGTTATGATATTAATGATAATAATAAGAAATGAATAGTGAGATTAAGATCTGAGTTTCTTAATTATTTATAACTTTTAAGATAAATGCAGCAATAAACAATAGCACAATATTAAATATTATTATTGTGGAATACACATCGATTTAAATATTGTTGAATTGATAAAAACAAATTTATATATTATTTATGTAAGTAAATTACGAAGCGATTATTGACGGTACTTTAATAATTTGATGGAGTAGAGGCTAAAAACAAAATGATGAAGTGGCAGGAAATAAATGAACAGAACATGTGGGAATTATTTTCGAACAAAGAAGGATACATTGTATACACCAAGAAGAATCCAGAAAATGGTATCAATATGAATAGATCCCAAACGGAAATTGCCAGAACACCCGAGTAGATTCTAGATTTGGTTGCTGATGTCAATAAACGACCACTATATGATGAAAAGGTGGAAACTGTATGTTTTCCACATAATATAATAGGCTCATGTGGTTGAATAAATAGATGCCAACACCAGAGTTATTTATGTGAGAATCAAACCACCCATCCCATTTATGAGTAGCAGAGATCTAGTTATGGTTTAGAAGGTTTATAAACAAAATGACGGAGTTTATATTGTATGCTGTACTCTCTTTCTCAATATCATTAGCTAAGTCAATTATTCATCAAAAAACTCCTCCAATTAACAAAGTCGAAAGAGCTGAAATGCATCTCAGTGGCTGGATCATCATTCCACAATAAAATCAAATGACTAAGATTGTGACCCTCTAATGTTTTGATCCGAGAGGAGATGTACCAACTTCAGTCACCAATCAATATGCCAAACTCTAGACAGACATGATGAAGGCTGCAGTCAAGTACATTGCACTTAATTATAAATGATTCATAATAAAAACATAATTAAATAAATTCATACAATTATTCTATAAATTTAGAGTGAAAAAAGATTATTGAGACTAAAAACATTACTATTTATACTCTATAAAATTAAATCTCAAAAGCATTCTTATGATATTAGAAAATTAGATCTCTAAAACCTAGAATATCCCATCTCCTCAACTCAAAATAAATAAGGATTATAAATCTTAATAATTCTCTTCACTTAACACAAGTCATCAATCAATAGATCAAGAGAATTAGTATCCTCAAGAAGGCAAATTGTTGAACTTTATCATGGAACTAGAAGAACTCCAACAAAAGTCCATATTCAATTTAACTTTGAACTCCTTGTCCTTAGAACAATAGAAATGTATCCAATTTTTTGTATATTTTAGTGGCTCTTACAGATGATCCCAACAATTCCTAATTAAGAAGGTAATTGCAATATAATAAACACTATTACCAAGAATTTCAGTCTTCTCTTCAGTATGAGAATGTCTACCTTGGAAATTGTCTACAGAATCAGAAGGTTTCGTAACAATTAAGAAGTCGAATGGTTGATTGGATGATTGAAGTATTAGGAAATTATAACGAAACTACTACCAATGCCACATTTTTTAGATCTGTCTCTATCATGGACTACTTCCTATTAAAATCTAATACTTAATACTCTGATCAGCATCTGCATCTCATTGGGATAAGCAGCATGTTCATAGCTACAAAACTAGAAGACATCTACCACATCCCTTTATAAGACTTTGTGTTAAGAGTTGGTCATAATAAATATTCTACGTAATTTTAAATTATTATAATATAGAATCAAGGTCAAAGGCATGGAATAAATCATATTGGAAACATTGAATTATGAAATTACTTTCCCGACTATTCTTGATAGACTTTATAATCTTTATTATCAATGTTTCAGTGTAAACAATGAGTAAGAGTAACAAATATTAATTTTTAGTACTAATTTGTAGAACATATTAGAAGCAAGCACCTACATCTTAAAGATGTGTCTTCACGATTATTCGATGAATACTTTTCACGCCAATACTCTAGCTGCCAGTTCATTCTTTTATTCAATATGTGATTTTGTTATTTCGAAAGATTACCAGCATTAAGATCAAATAATTGATTAATTTGTACTTATCCTATTAAATATCATAGAGTAAACGAATAACACAAATATCTGAGATAAATTTGTTCGAATTTAATTAATGTTAAGGGAAATTAAAGGAATTGATCAATTCATTTAAGAAAAAGTATCCAGATTTATAGAATTTAGATAAGTTTTCTTGATTTTATAATATTAATTCTTTCAAATAATTAGAATACTAATTCTTATAGTCACTTATATATTAATTTAAAAAGAAGTTATTTAAACCAATTGTTATTATAAAAATAAATGTTATAGAAATAAAATTATAAAAAGTCTAATTTGAACAATTAAGCTAAGATTCTGGTTTATATACTAATGAAATATGATATGATAGTTATTCACTTCATTCAGTTTTCAAAATGGTCAAGTTGTAAATTGCGATATAAACAAAAAATATTGAAAATTATATATAAAATATATTTATATTATAATAAAAATGGGAATGTGCGAATCACGAGAAGAATTGAAAGATCCTTAATTTGGAAGATCAACAATTTAGCCAAAGATGTCAGAAAATCCAAATTTAGATTTTTATAGAGGTGTCTACCCATTCCAGCTCAATAATCAGATCTAATTCCACATGAAACATTGGAAAACCTATAATTAACAATATCAATGGATTAAGTTTTATTCAGATTTAGAATCAGATAAACAATTTATGCAATGGCTTTATCCCAATTTCTTTTAATCATTTTTCAACACAACTAGTTTTAGATTGTCAATCAAGGAAAGGAATAGTTTCATAGAGGATGAATCTGTAATATTGATTATTTATGGTGTAGATTATGAAATAGTATTTGGATAATGTCAGAATGTTTTAGAGATTCTTAGGGATAGGAAGAGATGAAAGCTAATAATTATAAATCATAGATCAACAATAGTTTGATCAATGCATTTACTCCTACACTCAAAATTTGGTAAGGATCCAACGATTTATTTCCTCGATGAGCATATTGGGTTAGAGGGAATTGGCACTTGAATTCTTATAAGTTATAAAGAATAAGTTGACTAAAAAGAATAAGATATATACATCGAAATTCCAAGGTTTTGAGTTATTGATTGAAGAGATTGATTTATCAGCACAATCTTTGTATTCAAAGAAAGTATTTCAAATATGTATAATAAAAGAAGCCAACAAAATCATTTGGAGAATTCAAGACGCATTATGTGTAAGAGGATCTATTGAATGAACCCTGGGTTTAGGCTTAAATATTAACAAAGGCACCAATAATAGCCATTTAAGAAAAAAGGGAATCGTTCGAAATTAAATAAGAAGTTTGATGATAATGATTACTTTTAATGAATAATCATTTTTTAGTTTATAAATTGGTATTGATTTTGGAATTTACAGTTTTGAACTTTTCCATTTTAAATGGTTCCTTTTTCTCTACTCCTTGAATAGCTGCTAATTTTTTATGATTTGTATCGTAAAACAATTAAGATGCCTTGTTACTCTTTACTATTGACGAGGATAGTTTGGAATCCTTTATTTAGATTATAGGATACTTATGAGTTTGCTCTAACTTAGTATTTCTCTAATATGGTGGATTCTGCTTCGATTCCATAAGAGTTACCCATAACCAATTTCATGGGTGTTGATGGTCTAATGTTAATAATTTGAAATGAACCTATTTTTACGACCATACCTGAATTCTTCTTCTGGCAATTCTATAGCCTGTATGTTGGTACCCTTTTTAAGTTTTAATCTGGCATCGTGTGTCTATCTAAATTTGTACATATCCTGAATAGAATGTACAGTTACATGTGCTTTGACAGACCCATTATGAATGGACTATTTGTTTAATTCAGCGAAATCTCTGTTGGGTACTTTGTCTTGGGATTCTTGGTGGAATTTCCAAGTCATGGTAACTGAGTAAAAGATTGTTATTTACCTTCTTTGGCTCCTTCTTTATCCCTTGCCAAAGGTTATCCATAGACGAAGCCTTGATTAGGGAGATTGTATGTTGAGGGTTTGGACTTGCCTACATCATCTTTCATTAAGAGAGGATTTGAGTGATTTTGCGAGAATGGCGGTGTTGTTTGCATTTTAATAATAAATAATTAATTAATTTTATTCTAGAATTGTGGTCATTGAAATGGGGTAGATTGATTAGGGTTGTATTGATATGTTTAGGAATGATAGTAATAATATAATGTTGATTATATAAATATATTAAATATTAATAAGCTAATGAGCCAGGATGAATTTTGGCCGAAGTAGGAGGGGATTCAAGAGGGTTAGGATGGTTAAAAGAAGAGAAAGAATAAAAAAAGAGTAATTTCAAATCCCAGTTAATAAACAGGTCATTGGAGTGAATTGGAACATTAAACATATATCGATTTTTTGAATATGCATAGATCTGTGATGGAGTCACAAGATTAAAAGAAGACAAGCAAAATATTTAAGTTGATGAGTGAGACCATTGGTACTAGAAGTCCATCGCAATGCAGGTTCTTGATTTCACCATAATTATTTAGATCTCATCATTAGAAGTTCAATCCCTTTGTTCATCAAATCAAGAAGAGACAAAAGAGGAAAAAGGACAATTAAAATACAGAGAAACTAACTAAGAATGACGAAAATGCATTCTTGTAATCTTTGCAAATTCAGCATCAATTATTTTAGTAATAACCTTTGGTAATTCTCTAATCAATGTATAGGAATATTAAATGTTATAGATTCCTTACTTCCCCTATGTTCCTGTATTTGATAACTCATTGAAAGAGGATGATAAGTTTAATGAGCAATAGCAGTTGTATTTTCAACAGTGCATGCTCCTGCAATAAAAACTACCGTAATAATTGGATGACAAGAACATATGTTGTTTCAATTTTAATTTCATGCCCCAACAGTAGATGCATTTAAATTTTAATTACTTCCAATAATAATAAATGTTCAACAATGATTTTCAAGTTTTGAATTCATGTGATCTTAACATCAAGGAAAACTAATTCGATGAGCAATGATAATTAATAAATCTATATAGTGATGTAATAATATAAATAATTATAATATATATAAAAATAAATGGAAGAATAAGCAACAGTTGAGAATGTCATTATTGAAGAAAAGATTTCAAAATCTAATGGAGACGTGATAATTAAAAGATATCAAAGAGGAAAGACCTTAGGCAAGGGTGGATTTGCTAGATGCTATGAGATTACTGAAATAGATACAAAAAAAATATTGGCTGCTAAGATTATTTAAAAGAATACTTTGACAAGAAACAGAGCAAGATAGAAAGTACGTTTGTGATATATATTTTATAGTTGATATCGGAAATCAAAATACATAAATCGTTACATTAAACCAACATAGTTTAATTTATCCATGTATTTGAAGATCATGACAATGTTTATATCATTTTAGAGTTATGTACAAATCAAGTATAAATATGATGATATCTTCAAAGACACTAAATGAGTTAATAAAGAGAAGGAGAAGAATTACTTAATTGGAAGTGCAATGCTATATATTACAATTGGTCAATGCACTTAAATATCTTCATCAAAATAAAATCATCCACAGAGATTTGAAATTGGGGAACCTGTTTTTGAATGACAAAATGGAGTTAAAATTGGGTGATTTCGGATTGGCAACCAAACTAGATTTTGATGGAGAAAAGAAGAAAACGATATGTGGTACTCCCAACTACATAGCCCCAGAAATTTTGGATGGCAAAATAGGTCACTCTTATGAAGTAGACATCTGGTCATTGGGTGTTATTATCTACACTCTTCTAATTGGAAAACCTCCCTTTGAAACCCAAGATGTCAAAACAACATACAAGAAAATCAAAGCATGCTAATACACATTCCCTGATCATGTAGTCATTTCAGATCATGCTAAAAATCTAATCACTAAAATGCTCGTCCTAGATCCAAGTAAAAGGCCCACTCTAGACTAAATCCTACAACATCCATTTATGACTTCCAATCCAATTCCAAAAACTGCCCATATTTCAACTTTAGTTGGTCCTCCTTCTATGTCATGGTTGTCACAATATTAATCTACTCAATCGTCTTCATCTCAATAAAAAAGATTAGCTGATACAGCACCTTAATAATTAATGAAAGTCATTAGTCAAGATAGAGTGTCACTTTTGAATGATGCTCAAACTCAAAATAATTTTATGAAAGATTCTCGAGCATCCTCTTAAAAATTAGTTGATATGAGAGCCACTCAATAATCTGCCAAAACACTACCCACAGGGATTACTAACAACATGAATAATGTACATTAAATTAATTATTTTGTAGAAAACATTTAAAATTTAAAGAAATGAGATCTTTGTTAAAAAATGGGTGGATTATAGTAGTAAATATGGACTTGGTTACTTATTAAATAATGGTAGCAGTGGTGTATATTTCAATGATTCAAGTAAAATAATTGCAGATCCAAAATAAACTTATTTTGAGTATATTGAAAAACAATCAGATAATTAATAATACGAAGTCAATTCATATTCATTAAATGATTATCCAAAAGACTTATAAAAGAAAGTTACATTGCTCGAACACTTCAGAGGATATCTTGATACTGATAGTACTGATAAAGATGGTATTGATCAATCTGATGACAACAAAATTCCTATGGTTTATGTTAAAAAATGGATGAAAACTAAACATGCTGTTATGTTTAGGTTGTCTAATAAGGTAGTTTAAGTTGACTTCACTGACAAAACCATCATCATTCTAAACTCTGATACAAAATCTGTCACATACATTAACAAAAAAGGAGAAAAACAGAATTTCCCATTGAGCACTGCTTTAGAATCATAGAATCACGAAATGACAAAAAGGTAATGTTTATTTAATTACTTTTAGACTTAAATATACTAAGGAAATTTTGTAGCATATGTTATAAGGAACGCAAGCTTAAGTAATCAATACATAACTTACTTTAACTAATTGGAATTAAAAATGAACCTATAACACATCATTCAATTATATTTAAATATTATCTACTTAGTATTAAAATATACAGTTTCAACTGATAAAAATATTATATCTTACATCACTTATTTATATACAATTAATTAATTGGAATATATTTTATATTCTGACTAAGATAACATGTTTGATAAGCATTCTTACTATATTCTAATTTCAATACATCTTCTACTGAATCTAAAATATTAATCTACAAATTATCAATGAGTACAATATTTCTAGTCATTTTATCATAACATATTGATATTGGATTGCAGCAGATGAATAAGCATTTGATTACTTGAATATTAAGATTTATAACAATAAATTAGATATCAAAAAAGAGAGACATATACCATAAGATAAGTATTTAGAATAGTAAAGCTATTAAATACTCAAATATTTGAATTCTGCATAAATGTATGAAGTTCTTTAATGCTAGAACACTTAGCTTTTTATTTAGTTCTTTTATTGATTACAACAATATTGTTATTATCTGTTATAATGATTGAAAAATTGAGATTATCAAATTCAATTTCATTTCTTTTATCCAATTTATTAAAACCTAAGAGTTTAATTTATTAGACTAGATCATTATCGATTGGTTATTGTCTGCGATATTTTTGAGTATTAATCTGATCAAATTCTTTGAAGAGAGGTAAAAAGATTTATTCATTTTCTTTGCTGTAGATGTCCCTGGTAACTAATTCTCGTAGTACTAATTTGTAATCCATGCTTTAGGTTGATTTGTAGACAATAGATTTCAAGGCTTCTCTTAAATCCCTCTTTTCAATGTATTTTTGATGTAATTCAACAGCAACTCGATTATAATCTATATTAAGTCTGGGATCAATTCTATCAAAGAGGAATTTCTCCTTTTCTAAATACATTTGATAGAAGCTCTTAAAGATTTGAAAGGATACAAATATGTTTGATTACTCATCCAATAAGATTAAGATTATTCGTTTAAGATGATTAAACATATTTCCCTATCCTTCAGTCTGATCAAACAATAATTCAAATAGAATATGAAAGAGATTGGCTTTGGTAATTTATTCAACACGTATTCTCTCTTTTTCTTCCAATTTCTCAATTTTCCTTAGATAGAGATCGAATAAATATTGCTTAATTTGAGGTTGATAACTTTCCTCTTGACTCAGAATAAATTTACTGCAAATCAATTTACTAAGAATCATCCTAAATTTTGTCCTGTTTACAATACTAACAACTCCTCTGTTCTAAACATAATAATAATTCTACGATTTACTCCTTGTAAATAATATTCGTATAATTAGAGCAATTCGTCTATATATGAGATTTCATATTATTTTGGTTCAATTAAGACATTCAACATAAATTCAAGTACATCATTCTGTTCCTGCCTGTCGAACATTGGACAAATACAAGACAAAGGCTTTTAATTCAAAAAACCAAACCAAGTATTTCTTACTAATTGTCTAAATTGCTCTTCATTATGTGCTAATTGTCCAATTTTAGAAATCTGACTCAGAAATGAGGTTTTAAAACTTTCACTTAATCCCAAATTGTCAACCATTTTTTCATAAAACCTTTAATAATGAGAGTTGTTTTTGTACCATTTCTAGACAGAATCCAAATGCAATGGTAAGTAATAGTCATAAGTCTTAAGATGCTCAAACACTTTCTGATTAGGCTTCATTATTTATTTTATTATAATAATACATTTCAATTTGTATATATGTTTTGAATATGAATCATTAATCTTATTCTGACAAAGCTGTTCCTTCCAATGCTTATCTTTATTGTTCCTCTTTGTGTTCTTACTCCATCTAATCCTCTCTCATTATGTTGTCCAAGTCTGTCTACAATTTGACCATAGCTGGACCTCTCTCAATCTCTTAAGTCATTTGAAGATATGCAGTATTAAATTACTTGGCCAAATGATCACCAGAATCTTACTCAATGATATTTCCATTTGAATCTGTGACTGTGTATGAATAAACACCAGCATTATTAGATAAATCAGTAACCTATCCTACAACACCTGGAATATACTCAGCATGAGTTTCAACTAAGGATTTATGTTTCTTGGTCTCGTGCTTCACATCTTCTGAAGTAATTTGAGCCCAATGTTCTATTCAATTTACAAATTTTATACGAGCTTCCTTTGGATTCAGATGGTAATCGCTGTCCCCCAAATTTACAAATTCCATGAATGCACTATTGAATGTTCTCTTCTAGTGAACTGCACCGTGTGATTTTCTCACGTGTCCAGCATATGCTGTTAATAGCAATGCGCATACAAGAACTGATTTGTACATATTAAAATTATTAATAATCGTTTTTCCACTTTTTACTTTTACATTACAAAAATAAAATAACAGATTTATCCCCTTTTAATAAACATAACCAAATGTGCTTGTACTTGTCTACAATATTTGTTAACAATAATTAGCCCAATCCCTATCTAACTAGATACTTTAACTTTACTTTCAAAATATTTTATTAACATCATGAATAACTTAATATAATAAAATACATATCTTAATTTTAAATTGTTTAAGATGCTATTTTTATCATAGTAATTGATTATCAATCTTACACACAAGGCTTAATGAAAATCCAAACTGATATACTATCTTTTGGTTTTGAAATAATTAGACATTAAGTACTACAATTTATTTGATAGTATATCACACACATATATATATATATAAGTTCCTGTTTATAAATAGAGCAAAACTCTTAATTAATTATTTCACAATCTTGTAATTTAATTACTAAAAAATAAAATGCTTAATAACTTGAGAGATAGTTAGTAAAACAAGTAGGTTTTAGTAATTATTTAGTTACTAAAGTTAACTCGAAAATTCATTAAGCAATTAAGTTTAATAAGCCTTCTAATCAACTGTTTAGTTTCGAGTAATCTCTTTTCTGCTTTATTTCTTGATGGTATTGATTGTGATAACTTTGCTTATTTCTATTGTTGTTGCCAATAAATATAGACAATCCTAATAATTGCTTTTAGTGGGAATTTTGATGATTCCATTGTTAATTGTTCTCTTTGGATGTACATTGTACGTCCAACTTTAATTTTCTGATGCAAAGGAAAGATTGAAAAAAGTACCCCAAGAGAAGTAGTTGAATAGATGGATGTACCAATCATCAATCACTTTTTTCTTTTTCTATACGAACTAATCTTAGTTTACTGCGATAAGATTGACTTACTTATATATTGTGTTTGCTATCTTTATACTCATTCGCAACGTGTCACTTTTATCAAAAGATGAATACAGTGACGATGAGGATTATAAGGATCTAGATGAAACTAATAACAATGATAGAATTAATTACTAAACTAAACCAGAAATTAGAGGAAACTTGTTACTCTCTTTAATTATCTTCTGTTCAGTTTTGGCTTTCCTTTTCTTTATTTACGAAGCCTTGAAAATCGTATTGACAATCTATTTGAAATGCAGAAATCGTTCAGTACTTCAATATTAATACACTGATGTCAATCTAAGTAATTTTCAATTTAATCAATTGATATTTTTAGAGTTATCAGATGGAGCAAAGCATTTTGTGGACTCTTTCTTGTGAACCATATTGGGAAAATGATGATCTTGTGCACTATATTTATTACTCCCAATTCTTCCTCATATGTCCTTATCGGATCTAATATTTATTACCATTTCTTTATGGCAACTCTAGTAAATGCCTTATTCAATGAGATCTCTTCAAGTATACAATATTGCCCATCATTTATTTAGTCCAAAGACCTCCTCAGAATGACAGTTCTCTATTCATCAACCATCAAGTGCTAATAGATTCAAAATTAAGAAGTATGCAAACCAAGAAAGCATTTTAACTGTTATTAATTACATCCTTCATTTTTACAATAGTGGGTACCTGCATGTTTAGAATATAAATCGATACATTTAATGGAATCCTCAATTTTGACATTTTCATACTTTATGATTGTTCCATAGTTTAATTAATATTGTTAGGTTTGGCCATTATGAAATACTTGGTCATTCCCTAATTTAATAGGGAAAATGTCCGNGTATATCACACACATATATATATATATAAGTTCCTGTTTATAAATAGAGCAAAACTCTTAATTAATTATTTCACAATCTTGTAATTTAATTACTAAAAAATAAAATGCTTAATAACTTGAGAGATAGTTAGTAAAACAAGTAGGTTTTAGTAATTATTTAGTTACTAAAGTTAACTCGAAAATTCATTAAGCAATTAAGTTTAATAAGCCTTCTAATCAACTGTTTAGTTTCGAGTAATCTCTTTTCTGCTTTATTTCTTGATGGTATTGATTGTGATAACTTTGCTTATTTCTATTGTTGTTGCCAATAAATATAGACAATCCTAATAATTGCTTTTAGTGGGAATTTTGATGATTCCATTGTTAATTGTTCTCTTTGGATGTACATTGTACGTCCAACTTTAATTTTCTGATGCAAAGGAAAGATTGAAAAAAGTACCCCAAGAGAAGTAGTTGAATAGATGGATGTACCAATCATCAATCACTTTTTTCTTTTTCTATACGAACTAATCTTAGTTTACTGCGATAAGATTGACTTACTTATATATTGTGTTTGCTATCTTTATACTCATTCGCAACGTGTCACTTTTATCAAAAGATGAATACAGTGACGATGAGGATTATAAGGATCTAGATGAAACTAATAACAATGATAGAATTAATTACTAAACTAAACCAGAAATTAGAGGAAACTTGTTACTCTCTTTAATTATCTTCTGTTCAGTTTTGGCTTTCCTTTTCTTTATTTACGAAGCCTTGAAAATCGTATTGACAATCTATTTGAAATGCAGAAATCGTTCAGTACTTCAATATTAATACACTGATGTCAATCTAAGTAATTTTCAATTTAATCAATTGATATTTTTAGAGTTATCAGATGGAGCAAAGCATTTTGTGGACTCTTTCTTGTGAACCATATTGGGAAAATGATGATCTTGTGCACTATATTTATTACTCCCAATTCTTCCTCATATGTCCTTATCGGATCTAATATTTATTACCATTTCTTTATGGCAACTCTAGTAAATGCCTTATTCAATGAGATCTCTTCAAGTATACAATATTGCCCATCATTTATTTAGTCCAAAGACCTCCTCAGAATGACAGTTCTCTATTCATCAACCATCAAGTGCTAATAGATTCAAAATTAAGAAGTATGCAAACCAAGAAAGCATTTTAACTGTTATTAATTACATCCTTCATTTTTACAATAGTGGGTACCTGCATGTTTAGAATATAAATCGATACATTTAATGGAATCCTCAATTTTGACATTTTCATACTTTATGATTGTTCCATAGTTTAATTAATATTGTTAGGTTTGGCCATTATGAAATACTTGGTCATTCCCTAATTTAATAGGGAAAATGTCCGTATTGTACAGTAGCAACAGGCATAGGCTATTGAAGATCAGTAATTGCAAACGATTGAGAATTAACAAGTACGATTGTCCACAGAGTAGGCATAATTGGACATGATTCTTAGATCGTAGAATGATGAGATCTATGAGAATACTAGAAATAGGCCTCCATTCAAGAAAGTGAAAAATCTTGATTTCGTAATTTAAAATGAAAATGAGAAATGCGATTGCATCATTTGTTTGCAACCAATGGTACTTAGTTCAGATGATCCTCTACTATAATTAAATTGTCATAGCACTCACATCTTTCACAAGAAATGTATTACAGATTGGCTTGTCTAAAATAAAAAATGTCCATTATGTAATACTCAAATTTTATGACATAATTATTATTATTTTTATATTATTTTCGAATTAGAATCAATCCGATAGCCATACCAGTAGAGAATATATGGTGAATAAATGTGATTAAATAAATATTATTATATTAATTTTAATGAACACAGAGAGCCAAGCAATTGATTTAAACAGCAAAATATTAAAATCCAGTTTAACAAGATAATTCACAAGATCTCCAACGAGATCAAGAAAAAGAATCATTTCATTACCCCCATTAGAGGCAGCATAAAATTAATACTAGAAATTAAAGCAACGAAATATTAGCTACCACAAAGAAAGTCCAAGAGAAGTATTTATTTTATTTATCAGTGTTGTAAGGTTTGATCTGTTTGACCATCAGAGAATTGAATGGACTCTGTTTGAACACCTGTCGATACACCAAAGCCAAAGAAGAGAAAAAATATTTTCTTAATAACAAATATTTTGATTCTTGTTTTAATGCAATGAATAAAAGGAAATTCCAATTATTTAATAAATGATTTTAGAAATATCTCATATTCATATTATTTTATTTCAGACTATTCACATTGCTTTTTCAGGCCTCTAATCCAATTATCTCAATCCGTTACTTTATTACTCCATCAAGACTCTTACTGAATTAATTGATCCTAATCTAATAAACCTGAGAAGCTCATGAAATTTTGTGGAACTTCTTTATTGTGGAATTTGAAAATGTTATCTAAAATTAGGGATAAATTAATTAATACGATTTTGTAAATATAAATCAAATTATAGTAATCAAGCATAGGGTCAATTCAACATGCGACTTTTGTTATTGAAGATCTAGTAAAAGTAATTGAGGACCGAGTTTATGTTATGACATCTGTTAGATTGAAAATCAAATTTAACTTCTTTTTAATATACCCTAACATTTCACGTTTCTCCACCTGAGATTCTCCGTGAATCTCTAATTTTGATGAATTATTTTTCAGACAATTTCATTTTGACATATACTTATGATTATTGTTGCATTATGGCTATGAATTATATATTGTATATATATAAAATATTATTATCAGATATAAGTTTATTTTTTTAATTGAATTGGTTTAACAGATGGAATTTGTGAGTTACTATTAAACCTAACTCTTTTGAACTCTGTTCGATAATTTTCATTTTATTTATTTTATAATGTTAAAAAACTTCATTGTATATGAGAAGTTGGGAGAAGGTAATAATAGATGCAATTTAATACTATAGGATCCTTTTCCACAGTGTTGAAGGTTAAAAGATAATCGGATCAACAGGAGTATGCAATGAAGAAAGTGAGGATGGGACAATTAAAAGAAAAGGAGAAAGAGAACTCTTTGAATGAAATTAGGATATTGGCTAGCATTCAACATCCAAATATAATAGCCTATAAAGAAGCATTCTATGATGAATAATCGTAATGTTTGTGCATTATAATGGAGTATGCAGATTAAGGAGATTTATAATAACATATCTAATAGCAACTTAAACAAAAGCAATACTTCTAAGAAATAGAAATCTGGAAGATGATTTACTAAGTCTTATTAGGTATTTAAATTTTGATTGCATAATTTATAGCTTTGCGAACGTTACATCAGATGAAGATATTACATCGAGATTTAAAGTCAGCCAATGTATTCCTTCATGAAAGTAACTACAAACTTGGAGACATGAATGTTTCTAAAGTGGCCAAAAAGGATTTAGTATATACTCAAACAGGAACTCCCTATTATGCCAGTCCTGAAGTTTGGAGAGATTAGCCTTATGATGCCAAAAGTGATATCTGGAGTTTGGGTTGTGTGGCATACGAGATGGCTGCACTTAAACCTCCCTTCAAAGCAAAAAATATGGAAGGCTTGTATAAGAAAGTTTAAAGAGGATTATTCGAACGAATTCCCTCCAAATTCAGTGGAGAATTGATGACTATCATTGGATTATGTTTACAAGTCTAAAGCAAATCTAGACCATCTTGTGCTCAATTGCTAGCCAATCCTATTCTATTGAGGAATGCTCGACAATTCATTACTGAAAGCAGAATTTCCTAATAAACTTAATCATCCTAGAATGGTTCTATGATGCTTCTATAGACTATTAAACTGCCTAAGAACTTGAGGCAACTTAAAGAGAAACTCCCTAAATCACAATACCTTATCGAAAGTGGCAATAAATCTTATGATGAATCTTTAGTAAATAGGTCCTTTCTACCTAAAATTCAAAATCAAAAAGAGATTAGACACAATGGTTCTGTTCCACCCTTAAAAAGCGATAGCTATCTCTAGTAATACTAGTCATACTAACCAACATAAATCAATTCCTTAAATGATAATAAATCTAAACACATTGGCAATTCAGTCTAAATACTAGACATGGAAAGAATCAGACAGAAGAAGTTACTTGAAAAACAATAAAACTTAAAGATAAGCGTCATTCAATAGAATGCTATACCCTACAACAATAGTTCATCTTCTTAAATTCAAAATCTGTATTAAAACAAACTGTCTAATCATGACTCAAATCAATAGAAGCATTACTCTGAAGCTCCTAAACCCATCTGGTGGGGATGATTCAAAGTTTTTTATTTTATCTAAGAGATCTTATATTCAAAAGATGTAAAAATATCTTAAATATTTATAAAATATATTAATTGACTAGATTCTTTTCAATAATGGGAAATTATGTCTTAGGTACTCTTATTATGTCCTCTCCTTTTGATTAAAAGAAAAATATATTTTTATATAATTTCTGAAGGTGTATAAATTTATTTGCAACTTTATAGTAATCTAAATAATCAATTAGAAAAAGAAAATGTTTAATATATTTAATTAAACCCATATAAACTAGAAGAAATGGATAATTATAGATCATGAATTTTCAATTTATTATTAAATCCATTAATCGAAACAGTGAAATTCTTACTTATTAACTAATATGAGTTTAGACTGAGATAATTGAGTGTTGGAAATAATAACTTTTATTTTTGAAGCAATACTAATTTAGTTATTTTAAACTAATCTCAAAATTTGTATAATTTTATTATAATATAAGATTATTTCGATATTAAGGTTTAAAATACATTTTGCAGCAACTCTGAATTAAATCTATTAAGATATACTCGTTTTTCTAGCCTTTTTTATTTGAATAAATTTACTGTTTTTATGTAGATTTGCTTATATAGATAACGTATAATTCTTAATAAGTCTTGAATCTGACAATAACATTTTAATTAGTAAAGTGATTAAATATGCATTTATTAACCAACCATAAGTCTTATCAAAATTAAATAATAATTAAAGTTTGTTAATTAAAATTACGTTCTAAATGGAAAGAATCCATCCTGACCCTGAGTAATCAGAATAAAATAGGTTAATTTTTCTTGCTTACATAGGGAGCAAAGTCGAAGATAGAAAGAGGGATAATATAAAGTAAATTTTTGGCCAATTTTTTATATTTATAAACTTCTTATGTTCTACATTGTTATAAACATCATCTTTTGTATATTTGTAGCTAGCAAAAATAATGATTACAGTTAAATCATATATTTTTGCTCCCTTGAAATAATCTTAAAGGTGATTATTATAATTTGCTTATTGTACCAATATTGTTAGTTTATTGAAGCTGAGAATAAAGCAAGATTCATAAATGATTAAAATCAACCAGAAATTGAAGCTAACATACTTCTATATTAATCAGCATTCTAATTTGTAATCGCATTTTCAAACTAATCCAAATATTTATGGATTAAAATCATACTTTTTTATTGTTCTCTTTCTCTATTAATGCTAAATGTGTAAGTAAATCAAAGTTAACTACCTATTTGCATGTGTCATAATTCTATAGAAGATCAATATATAGAGTTTAATTATTCTGAATTAAAATGCCTCTTAGAGAAAGATTGTAGAATAGAAGACTTCGAAACCAGCTCATTTCCATATTTAAAGCAGGTAACTTTAATGGATTGGCCACTCATTGTTATTTTGTTGATTTTACTGTTTGCTAGAGTTTTAATCATGCCCTTTGCATGTTGTTTTCGGAAACTTAGGATTAAAGAATACTAGCATAGTTATAATGTTATATGTATTTCAGCACATTATACGTTTTAGATAAATAAACAGCTCTCTCTTCTGGGTCATTTATCAGTGGATCCATCATATTTTCCAGTTTAGTAAAATTAATAGTTCTCAGTTTATTAATGGTACTTACTAAAAATAGTTCTTGTTATGTTTTAGTAGCATCGAATTTATTCTATCATATACTGATAGCCATGGTGTTCAACTAGATCAAATACACCATCAATAGCGGTATTAAGTAACATTAATTCTTTAGAATAAGCACTTGAAGATTTGTGCTATAAAAATTATCAAATTCTTATAGATTCCATCTTATGGATGAATAATTTTAAAAATACATTTTTTCAAGGTGGATTAATCTTATGTCTAATATTCACTTCAGTAGGCTAGTCATATTATGAAAGATCTGATAAAAGTACAAATATAATGAATTATGATATTTTCATTGAATTCGATTGTGGAATATTTCAATTCATAATGTTGACCATCTTGATTTATAAGTATATCATTTATCAGAATTGCAACAAAGGTAGGATCTTAGTATTCAACAAATATTATCATGGAAGCAATCAAGAACTATCAACCAACTAATCATCATTTCAAAATTAATCAATGATAGCTAATAGCAGAATACCAACTTAACCTAATAACGCAACCATAAATCATCAATAAACTAACAGACTGAAAGAATTAAAATTTTTATCTGAAGAATAATCAATCTATAAGGTTGTAAAACATATAACAACTGAGGCAGACTGTCTAATATGTTTAGAATAGTTGACAGTAGAATAAGCTAATGTTGTATCATTAAAATGTCACCATCTTCATATGTTTCACTTTGAATGTATTAAATAATGGTTTCAACATCAAACAGCATGTCCAACTTGTAAGCATGAGTATTGTTTAAATTGATTTATCATCATCAACCTTTTACATAATTAATTTTATCTCATATAACATATTTTATATTACCATAATTCATTTTTGATGTTTCAACTTATTTGTATCATAAATTATCTCTGATTTACCATGAGAGAATTGTTTTAAATTATGAAATATAGAATTGATAATTCATAGATGTTTAATAGTGTGGGTACTCTTAAATAGTAATGCGTAGTGAAAAAGTGGTAAATCACAATATCCAGAATTGAATAAAAATAAAAAATTAAATAGAAATTGGAATTTCAGAAGAATTTTGATGAGTTGTGAATGAGGGAATCAAAAATGAATGAGGATTAAATGGATAATAAACAGAAGTTGAGTTTAAATGATCCAGAATATTAATAAATCTTGGAATATATATTTAATTTAAATTACAAAGTGATGGCTTAAATGGATCTAGAAGTTACCAAATCTTAATGTGACACTTCGCAGAGTTCTAAAAAGTAATAGAAGAAGTGTGGACATTGGAATTAAGAGGAACATGAATCATATCTTCGCTTTTTATAGGAAAATGGCAATCATAATAAGGGCCAAAGGTTATTTAAGAAGATGAGCCAAATCATTGGAACAAGAACACCTAGTTAATGCAGGTAATGCTAAATTTAATAAGATTAGATCTCATCATTAAAAGTTCAATCCTTCAAAACCTTGTTTTAAGTTGATTTAAACAAAAATAATGAAAACAAAATAATGGGCTCGCTTGTACATGAGTAGACATCAGGAAAAAGATGAAGATGAGGACTGAATGATAATTTTTTATGTAAATAACAAATTCAATTTTTGCTTGTTGGCGATCTTTAAATATTTAAATAATCAAGAAATTTTGTTTTCTCGAGCTTCACCAAATTGAAGGGCTTTGGTTTTTGATGAAATATTACAAATACCTATAATAGAAAGGATACACAGAATCTGTTAAGTTACTGTAGAAATCCAAATAAAAATGAATAAAAATTATGAAAAATGTTGAATTGACTATGAAGCGAGTATGAGTGGTAATTTAATATGAAAAAGTGCTATCTTAAGTAATAACTGAATCTGTTATGATATTTAATATATAAAATGAATTTTGAGAATATTGTGAAATTTATGGAGAAATCAGAGGGTTGTTTAAATTATGATTTGATTAATGCGCCTTTTGTGCCAAATACATTTTCATTGTGGAGAGATGTTGTCTATGAAAATTTGGATTCAGACTTATGGTTTGAGTTTGTGAAATAGATTGACAAGTCGTTGTTTTAAAAATATTTGGAGAAGGTAAGAGAAGCATACGCTAAGAAACTAACTTATTAAGATTTGAAGTTGAATGCTAGATACGATATAGATGCCAAAAAGTTTGAGAGCGTATTCGAAAATGATTTAAGTAATGATGTTTTAAAATGATAATAGAAAAGCAGGTTGATACTATAACAGTGCATCTCTCCTATTATCAAGCCTAGGTTGAATATGCATATGATTTGTTAAGGAGAATACATACTTATAAGTTCGTGGACTTCAATGTATAATAAATTTAGACATGGCAGAAAGATTAAACTTTGTATTAGAAATATTTAGATAAAATTGTAATGATTATTTAAATTTATCATGTAGATGAAAGGATTCATTACAAATGTTGAGAATATTGCAACTGAAAAGATAAAGGAGTTCTGTGCCACTGGGTTAATAAAAAACAATTCATTTTTGGAATCAGGGAAATCCTTTTTTAAACAATTAATTTTCAATGGAGGAGTTGCTGTTTCTAAATTGAGTAATCTGAATTTGGGTTTGTTTGTAAGATATTTAGATAATGATTTAGATTGGCGGAATAATAGCAGAATAAATTGTCAGTAAAGTGGCACTCAGTATAATGACATAGAGGATTAGTTCTAAGTTGGATTTCTTGTAATTGGAACTTGATCAAATGACAAATGAATTAACATATATCAATTCAGATTTGGATCATTTGATTTACAGAGCAGTCGAAGAATACCCCAAGAACTTTGATTAGAACAAAACATGTAATTATAGATTTTAATTGAATTCAGTTATTCAAGCCTTTGTTTAAAAGAATTACAAAGTGAATTTGGGATCTGACATCATTTATTGTCCTGATACTAATACTATTATTCAGAAGAGTGTCGAAGAGGACTGTGTGTTGTTGAATGAGGTTGAATACAATCTACCTCTTTAAGAAGAGATTGATGAAGATGCATGTGTCATAAAATTGTCATCCAATATTTCAGATAATATTAATAAATAACATTTTGATTCTATGTATTGAATTGATTATATGAAATAATTATTTACTTAATTAATTTATAATGTAAAATAATAACAGCTTCGAATACTAATCAAGTCAAGGTAAAAGAGAAATTATGCTCTAGTAAATTATCTTGGAGCAAAAATAGAAGATTAGAGACCTAGAATTACAAACTCAAAAACAATAAACACCTCCAATGTATAAGCAATAATTATTGGAATGCACAAATCAATTGGAGGAAAGCAAGAACATAATTAAACAACTCCTGTAATAGAAAGACCAATTAACTCAAAAAATACAAACAATTGAATCTGAAATGGAAGTGCAATAAAGTCAAGCTGTTTAAGAAATACAAACTCAATACAATCAGAGAATCAAGCAATTACAACATGAAAATCAATTATTGCAAGAAGAATTACAACAGTTCCAACCATTATCTAAGGCATTAAATAATTATACTCAAGAAGAGAAGTACATCTAATAAATCAACATTCTATACGATTTCTTAACTTAATGGCAGAAATAGAATATGTCAGAATTAGTTTATTACAAGCGAGAATTAGAAATACAAATAAACCAAAAAGAAGCATTGAATTCAAAGCACATCGAAGAAAAGAAAGAACTCACAACCCAATTGAATTAGAGAATTAAATTGGATCAACAAATTTAAAATGATGTCATACTTCAATTATAAGCTACTCTTCAAGAAATATCCAAATTCCAAAACGAAATCAAATAATTTAAGCTTTTCAATGGCAATTATCAAAAGATAGAAGAATCTCTCCTTCAATAAATTGAAAATCTTAAACCGATCTCAACTATTCAATAAATTTAATAGGTTAAATCTAACCAATCTCAATATGCTACAAAAATTGAGAACAATCAGCAGGATGATCAAATTGCTTATCTGAAAGCAGAAAATGAGTAATTAAAATAAGCAACTGACGACATCAAGTAATTATCTTTACTTAGAGAGAAAACATTAAAATAGGAGATTCAAAGGAACAAAGATAAATGTGAATATCTCACCTAATAAATCGAGAGTAGAGAGAAACATTACATTTAAGATTTACAGAAAATTAAACAATATATTGAATAAATAGAGAAGAATTATGAATCAAGGGAAAATTTCTATAAGTTTAATAGTGAAGAACTATAATCATTGCTTGACAATTTCAGGAATATCACTTAATAGATTTCAACTGAATTAAGAAGCAGAAAAGGCAATGAACACATTAAAGAATGTAAGGATTTATTGGCAAAATTGGTTCAGAGCAAATCAAAATAACCAAAACAAATTAAAAGTTTAGAAAAATTAGAAACTATTTGTAAAGATTTATTGAAAAACTAATAATTAATCAAACAAAATGAAGATCTAAAAGATCTAATCATAGATGTTAGCAAACAAATATTGAATTCCCAAGAGTACAAACAATAAACCATTATTTTGTTTGAAGCCCTTGATCAATTAGAAGGCATTATCACTAGTCCTAATAAACGGGTTGATGATTTGCTGGATTTGTTCCACAAAGAATTGCAATCACTAACCAAATTAAGAGAATAGACATATCAAAATAATAACATTTACACACAGATCCTAGAAATAATCAAAGAGAAATAAGATAGTCCAACAGTACAAGCCAGCAATTAAAAAGAAGTAGAACATATCTCCTAATTGAGACAATTGGAATAAGAACAATATAAAAAAGAAATCGATATTGCAATTAATCGAAGTCAAAAGTTATTGGAAGTACAGGAGATGAAGATAAAGAATCTTGAGTACTAAATAAGGAAGTAGGAGCAATATATTAATTAATAATATCAATCAACATCGTCTTAGCAGACTGAAATGGATGCATTGATTAAGCAACAAAATAAGTAAATTATTAAATTATAGAAACAATTAAATGAAATCCAATAGTAAAGAGTCTAAGATAAAAAGGACCTGATCAAACTTATATAAGATAGTGAAGGCAAACAAATTGAGAATTAAAATAAAATGTTAAAACAAATAGAAGTAAAATATAATACTATTGCTGATATTGTTAATAAGAAATTAAACAAATTAATTAAACCAGAAAAGGTTTAAAATAATGAAGAACAATCAAAAATAATACACTAAGATACTAATTCCCAGATTAAATAGTTGATTAAGAAGGATCAAGAGAGAGATCAACAATACTAATCATAATTAGAGTAACTAAGACAAGTTATTGATGAATTAAAAAGTAGCATCTAGAATCTTCATGCAGAAAAAGGAGAATTAATTTAGCAATTGGATGAACTTAATAAGGTTGTACAAACTTAAAAAAAGGTTTACTATTCTTTTCGTTAACAATAATAATGATTTAAGCTTATTTATCAAAATTCAATAGTTTTCATTATACATATTTATCAATTTCACAATTAAACTTAAGCTTTCAAAATTAATAAGATTGTCGATATCAAACCAATTAAATCGATATTAATAAATAATCCCTTTCAGTACTCTTTCTAAGCTAACTACTTCGTGATCTTTAACCTTATTTGAGCTCTCAATAACATTAGAAAAATCTATTAATGCAGAGAATATCATGTTTTCTCTGATATTAATCTGCTTGTTTGCATGTTACGTACACAATTGCTTTATCAGCTATTTTACATATATCAGTAATTAAGGTCTAGCCATTAATCCATTTTTATATAGATCGTGAATACATTTCACTGTCGATTTAATTATTTCCTAATTATTCAATGAATTTTGAAATCTCTCCTCAATGCACATATTCAAAGTCTCCCTCAACAAGGGTTTCTTCTTATTATTCTAATAAAAGAGTTATTTCAACTCGGGATTTGATATCAAATTTAATAGACATTACACGTATTTGGAATTCTGCTCTAAGATCAATTTATCCAAATATAAATCTACAATGTATTTAACTAAATCTTTGTAATTCAAAACAATTGCTCCAACAAATTACTCAACCAAGACATTTTTTGGAACGTGGGGTAGTGACAAGATGATTTCTTATTTTAAATTATCCAGTATATTTATCTCTTAAACATTAAATTCCTTGTTGACTCGTTCTTGAAACATTTGATTAAATTACAACTTAGGTGTCAAATAAACTTTTGAATAAAGTAGACTATAATTATTAAATTACAATTACCAATTCTTGAGTTGCTCTTTGTCCAACTTAAATAGCTCTTAAAACACTAAGATTTTCTATTCATATAGGGATTCCATATATTATGACTCAACAATTTAAACTTTTGAATCAGTTAAATCATAGATTGAAGTGATGATACTGTTAAAATTTTTGAAATCATAAAGATAGCAGAAACTATAATGAAGGATTAAGTTTTGATAGATTGATACGAGAAATGAGTCTTCCAAAATCGCTGATAAATTTTTAATAACAAGATAGACTTTGGCATGGTTAGCTTTGATGTCTTTTACTATTTTTTTCTATATTGCTTCTTAAAAGTCGTTTTGTAAATTGAAGATATCGAGCATCACTTTAAAATATTCCTTATTGTCAGTTCTATAAAACCATTCAATGCATTATTCAGCTGTATTTTAAACTAAAATTGTAAATTGCAATCTTACTAATTAAGTACTCATCGTCAAATTATTCAAATAGCAATTAACTAATATTCGGATTGGTAAATGCTTGTAATAATCTATAAGTATTCAAAATCTTCTCTTAATATTAATGAGATTATTGATATTATTCTCTTATGATATCATCCTACAATTTGTATTAAGAATTTGACTATCTACTCATTTTTCTATCTGCCAACTTCTTTAGATGATCAGTGTTATCTCCTAGTTCAACATTGTCTATCAAATAAGCCAGTTGTTCTGCTGTGTAGTAATTCTGTTATTACATTAAAAATACAATTTATTTTCTTTTATAAAATATTAATAATTTATAGTATGGGACCAATGTGTTCAAGCTCGTAAATTAAAAGAAGGGAATCAAAATAAATTTAAACTGATAAAATTGTTGAATAAATTAATAGCAACACAAATATCTTTAATAGCATAAACATAGTAATTGAGTTGATTAACGATATTAGTATCAATGATATGGAGATATATTAGTAAATAATCTTGATTTGCCCTAAAAGCAAGAGGTGTATGTAGAGGAATAGATTAAGATTCAAGTGCTTTAAGAGGATGAATAACAACCAGAGAGTTCTGTTTCTGAATAATAATAAAATCATTCTTTGGTTCCTTCTCAAAATCCACATCCTTCAATCACTTTAGAAAATGAGCAAGAACCTTATTCACAATTGTTGTAAAGTATGATCGTGAAAAAGAAGGAGAAATTATAGATAATGCAACAAGACATCTAATTGCTTGAATATTCACCAATCAAACAAGAATTCAAATCTCAAAGTTCTGATCTCATTCAGTCGGTTGAACCATTCAACTTGGATTTTGAATCATCCTCCTCCTCATAATCAATCTAGTGGAACTAGGAGTACACAATTGATAGCAATGGAGAAATTTTAGTAACTGGAGTTGTTAATTGACTTTTGAATATTATGAATAATATAAAACAATTAATTGAAGCTATTTAAAAAGTGGAACAGGAGTTCCATAAATTAAATATCAATCCTGAGGATCGAATACCCATCATTAGCAAAATGTTATTTAATTAAAATTTGCAGACTTTGGACAATCTTGATTAAGTATTGATCGCATAATTTTAGCAAAGTGGTATACATTCATATAATCCAAGGTCTAAGTGAACTTAATCAATATATTGATTACTTGCTTTATAGATTAGATTCATAATGCGATTTTGAGCTAAATTTAAATTATTAAACAAATGATAAAATATTAGAGGAAATATCATCATATCAGTAATAATTTAAGGAACAAGCGACATAAGATGAGAATGAGAATGGAAATGAGATGAAGAAAATATAGAGGCCGAGAATCTCAGCTTAGAGATGAATTATACGACCATACAAATGATATAAATTTGATTGTTGTCTTAGATATAAAATATAATCTAAATGAAAATATCACAATTCTTGAAGATTTTAAAACAAAAAGTCGAAGTATCTATCTCCTTTTATATTTAAAATGTCTAGATATTATTTTATTGCTATCTAATTATTTTCATCCTTATGAATAAAGAAGAGAAGCTCTTTGATATATATAATTCTATCAAAGTAATTTGTGTCTAAATGTATTAATTTAATAAATACTTTCTTCCTCTGGAGCCCTCTCAAATTCATCAAACCATGCTGGTGTGTTGACAAAGTTTTCCTTATCTACCAAAGGCCCATTTAATTAAGCTTAATACATTTGCAATTCCTCTTCCTTAGGTGTTGGGGATTGTAATAGGATCAGGTAAGTACATATTTATCTGACATTGACATAACTATAATTGTTTAGAAATGGAGAAATACCCATTTTGATCTAGTACTTTGAGAGCTCGCATCCATTATGAAGGAGTGAATCTAATTACGCCATAGGAGGATCTAGACAAAAGCATCGCCAGTTGTTTAATATCAATGAGTAAGTGAGTGCTAGTAATGGCTCTTAAGTCTTCTATTAAATAATATAATTGAGATATGGAAAATCTTTCTTTCGATAAAGGTTCTCTGGCAGTCAAAGGAGGTGGGATAGGTGTCAAGAAATTAAGTACTTCATGACTAATGATGACATCTACAAACTATAATTAGAGTTCCTTCTAAATTCGCTCACATCTCTCTATGTATCCTCTGAATAGATTTGAAATAGCATCTAATGCTTTGATTTCAGTCAAATGAGTGTAATGTATCCATTCATCTAATTTAGAATATAATAGATCAGCAGCCTATCTATATTTCAGAATAGTTTAAGAGGCAAATCTTTTGATCACATCAACTCTTTCTTTAAATATTTGTTTTTCCAAATTGATAGCATTTACAGCTTCTGCATTTTATAATTCCTTCTTTATAACTTCTTCTTCCTTACCTTTTTTTCCCTTTTTCTCCTCTTTCTTTGCTGGCTGTTTACCTCCTTTCTTAGTTTTGTCCTCTATGATTTCCTCTTCTCCTGCAAATATTCTCAAAGCATCAGCTATCAATTTATCTAATCTAATTTATGGATCATCTCCATCCATCAATTGTAATTCTCCGACACCTGGTTATATATCTGATAATTCAATGCCTTCCAATGTACTATAATAATCATTTAATATTTGAATCGAATTTTATGCTCTATCTAATTCAATTGCTAGCATTGCCTTCAATTACTATAAATAGAGATCGATTTCATTTTCTATAAATTGTGAAGTTTATATTTGTTATTTCTCTACTATTAAGTCATCTCTCTTTTAATCAATTAAATCTATTAATTAATCATATAAGTCATCAACTCTCTAATGTAATTCTTCTTTACAAATATCCTCCTCACATAAATCTGGATTCTCCAGAACGAATTCGTTGTATTATTCTTAAAAATTCCTGATGAAAAAAAACTTTTCATCTGGCGTGTTAATTAAATCAATGAATTTGCGTTAGATATCCATTTGATAATTAATTATGAATTCTCTTTGTTCTCTGAATCCCTTGAAAACATTTTAGAGGGACATATACTTATTCTCAATTAGATTCCAAAAACCATTTAAGTATTTTAAGAAGGCCTAATTTGGCTATTTCACAGGCAATGTGTCTAATTGAACTTATTTAAATTAACATTTTTTATCTGATTCTTCCTACTCCTACTATTATTTTATTAATTCTTCTTGCTCCAGTATTTTATTCTGTTAGGCTTCGTACTTTTATTAAATTTAATTAACTTGTATTTAAAGAAAGTTTTAGAATACTTAGTCTACATCATAGAATACTCTTTCATAATTATTAGATGCATCTATATTTATGAATGCTTGTTATAGATTGGATGCACATTTTGATTCAAAATTATCATACCAATTTCTAACCCCCTCTATTTGAGTCATAAAATATGAGTTTTTATCTGAGATCTACTATTAAAGATTGTCAACTTCATATAAAGGCCTGATTCTTTCAATTAAGGGAGCATTATCTACAGGAGGAGGATTGGAATCTAGATGATACAATAAATTGCTATGATTATCATATCTTCTTCCAATAGCTCTTCTTAGACACATCTCATTGGATGGCATTTCCAAATACACACAAACTCCAACTCCACTCTCCTATTTAGTCCTTGGTACTTTTTGATATTCATTGGGTTTGACTATCCTCGCAGCATCTTCAAGTCTAGCCTATAATGCTGTAGGTTCATCCTATGGTTGGATATTAGTTAGATATTTTTCCAAGAGTTTAGCTTAATCATACGTGTGAGGAAACCCAACCAATAACCAGCCAGTGCAATAAGGTTTATTATTTATCATATTATTACGATGAAAATCCTCCCAATTAATGCCATCATCATTGAAATCATCAATAGTTTTGACAGTTCTGGCATTGTGATTTTGGATTTTCTCTTTTTAATCTTCATAAATCTCTTCAAATTTTTATTATGCAAATGTCCTTTTAATCTTCAAAACAATAGCCTTTATGTATAGTTCATCAGGGATATTTTGCCCTTCTAATAAATAATTGGAGATGGATTGACCTAATTCAATTTATTGTTGATCCCAAACCTATGAGTGTTCTTCTCCTTACTGATATATACTTATGTATTCCAATAACTCATTGATTATGACGTCAACACATAATATAGTAATACCATATTTCTAGCTCAATAACTCACTGATAGTTCTCTTACCACTAAATGAGAATCCTATCAAAGACCCTCTAAATGGAACATAGGGAATGTGTAATTCTTACTCTTTTGTTTCGGTAACTTCAAATTAACTCTCAATTAAATATCTCACTAAATTTCCCAGAGTATAATTATTTTAAGCTTGATAGATACTCCATGCTCCAGTGCCTTCTAAATAGTCTTGCATTTCCATTTTAGCCAAAAACATTTTTTATTACTAGTTTTAATTCTCCTGTTTCTTCATTTCCTTTATGGGATCATAGGTTCTAAATCGTTTATAAGGGATCAATTCCATTCCTTATTCAAATAAATGATTGTTTTCTCTAGTGAATTACTCATTTATTTGATTTGAATCATGGTTTTATAAATGTTCGTATACTTATTCTTCAATTTCAAATAGAATTTCAACTAATTTTCTGCATTTCTCATAATTCTATTGTCTAATCAACAATTTATATTCAACATTAATTTCTAATTACCTCTTCTATTGTAATTCAATTTCTTCATTGAATTCATATTATAATGATCTCAACATTTCTTCCTCTTTGAATTTCTGATTGATTACATTCAATTCCTACTTATTTCTATAATTCTCATCTCTTAATTTCCTATTTTCACCAATCACTTCTTTACATTAGAATGCTCTCCATATCTCATACATTATTTCTTACTCTTATCTACTCTATTATTTTAGTTTCTCTAAAACACAACATTCTCTTCTTTGTAATTCATTTGTCTACTTCTCCTAATCTACAATCATCTTCCTTCTCCTTTTATCTCTCTCCTTCCTCATGAATTCATTCATTATCTTATTCCTCAATCCCAAACTAACAGGTTCATCTTGTTATCTATTCTCGAATTATTCAATCTACTACTCCATCTCTCCTTTCAAAAACTATTAAGTCTAAACCAATCTATCCTCTGCTATTTTCTGCATGGTAGATTTAAATTTATCATCATCCACTCTATTTTTATATCTAATTGACTAATTTTTCTTCCAATTCTCAATACCCTTTTAATTCCAATCTTCCATAAATGCCATATTTCTTTATAATTTATTCAATTGTATCTTTCTCATTTCTTCCTTAAGATTCCTCTCTTCTGTTTCCTCCTTTATCTTTAATCTTCGTTCCTTTTCTGCCTATTAAATTGCAAATGTTGTAAATTTGCCGAGATGTCTCTCCAAATTCACATCTTTTTAAGCCTTATTTCTCTCATTCAGTTTCTGTATAAAGAAGTCTTATTCCATCTTATCAAATTATTCTTTTGATTATCGAATGACCATTAAAGGTTGTATCACATTATATTTCCCAGTCTTAGCATGCATCATCACATCATGCGGATCATTCACTTTTTACAATTACTTTAAAATATCAGATCTCTCATACCATTTATAGTTGATATAACAATTGCATAGCCACTCCCTTTTTACCCTTTATAACTTAATCAGCCATCTAAAAATTAAATGAAATGTGAAGTGTCTTGAAGGTTGGTTCAAGCAATTAGAAATTCTTCATTTTAGCCTCTCGGACATCTCTATCTCATTATCTAATTTTATTACTTATTTGAGAATTCCTCAAAATTTAGCTATTGATTGAATTTGCTCAACAATTCACCAAAAAGATACCCATTACTGAAATCATGCTCAAATGATTTTACTTTCTTACTTAATTGCACTTCATCATTAAGCCACACCATAAGAAGTTACGACATTTTTAATTATAATAAAAATTATCAAATCAAATAACAATTGCATTCAGATTCGTCCTCAGAATATCGTGATATAATTGAAAATCGTAATCATTCAGTTTACTCTAAGCCAATTCCTCATAATCGATAGGTGAATCTTTGCCATCTCGTAACACTCTTGCAAAGTTGATCAAATATTCAGTTAATACTAATAGGTATGTTTCACTCATATTTTATAAGTTCCTTTATGCTATTGTCAGATACTCTATGCAATAATCCTAACAAATTTAGGGAACTCTGTCAATACTAAATTCGCATGATAATCTTAATTCTTCTATATCGTGCATGAACTGTACATAAAAATCATGTTCCCTTTTTAGTTCTGGTAACTCTTTTATTAATTGCTGACTCAAAACTAAAACCCACTTTGATAGACAAAAGGATAGTTTCAATAGTACATTATTGCCTTCACAAAATTGCAGAATCTCTGACTTATTAACTAGTATCTCTTAACACAAATAATGCTTAAATATGATCTCTTACCTTCTCTTTTGTTATTCTGGCTAGATTGAATTGATATTGGATTTGGTATCACATGAAGCACTTACTTCTAAAATATTGGTTTTGCTCTAAGATTAAGGTTGTGGAATTGAGTTTTTATCAGCCTTCATCAAAGAAGATGCATTGACCATCTAGACCACTTCTTACCAATTTGGTCTTCGAAATTCGTCTATTGTTAATGTCTTCTCTAGGAAGTACATGCTGAATTCACTAATTTTGGCTTACTTCAATTTCTCTATAATTGGTTGATTCAGGATCTTTTTTAATAAGGATTAAGGATCACTCGCCAACCAAGGGAGATTTCCGTAAATCATTTCAAAATAGATGACTGCCAAAGACCAAATGTCGCATTTGAAACAGTATTATTAATAGCCAAGTAATTGGGGTGCCATGTAATAGGGAGATCCAACCAATGATTTAAGCATGTTTGTGCTTGAATAATTGTTCACTATCTTTGCAAACCCAAAATCGGCAATTTTGAAAACTCCATTGTTAATCAAAATATTGGCTGGTTTCAAATCTCTATGGATGATGCTATGTTTTTGTAATTCTTTGAATCCTTCAACTATTTGTCTGAGGACATCGAATGATTCAACTTCACTTAATCTCTTTTAATTCAGTAGTTCTTTTAGATCCCCGTCCTTGCAATATTCAATAATAATGTAGATGTATTTGGGAGTGTCAATCAAATCTATAAATCGAACAATGTTGGGGTGATTGCATTTTTTTAGAATCTCGATTTCATTAATGATTTGCTATTTAATATACTTGTCTTGTTGCTCGATGAATTTGGTGTCTATTTATTTGATAGCTACTTGCTCATTGTTTTCAGTGTCTTAACCGAGGAACACTTTTCCATAGGCACCTTCTCCCAAACAAAAACGAGAATTGAATTAAAACTTGCCAACTTGAACATTCATATTTAATCGTTTTTATAATAATAATAAATGAAGCAATTCATATGTGTGTTGCTATTCATAGGTGTAATGGCATCTGATTTAGAAAGTACAATAAAAGAAGTAACAACTCAAAAATATGTAGATGAGATAAACTGAATTCGGTCGATCCTTTTTAGAGAAAATACAAATGAATGATCCAGTTGAGAAGATAATTAGGGACATAGCCAACTTTTACAATAGTGTGGATAGAAGATTGGAGGAAGGAGTGCAACAGTTCAAACAATCGCAGGAGAAATGCAATTAGGAGATAAAGGAATTAAAGACTAATGATGAGGAGTTGAATCGAAAACTAGTAATCGAATAAACTATAATACATAGAGAGATATTCAAATAACAAGGGCACGTAAATAACCTCGTTATGATCTAATAATTCACCGATTTCATTAGAAAAATAAGATGAGACAAGAACTTGATCACCAAGAAACCAGGTATATTGAATTGAGAGAAGCAGAACAATCGTTTTTCAATTACAATCAAGATTAACTGGATAAAGCTATGGTTGTTATTGTGGAAATCAGGAATAAATTTATTGGTTACTTGTCATTGAGATAGAATAGACAGAGAAAGGCTGCAGTTAGGGACAATCAGTATTGGGATGACGATGAAACTCCATTTAATGATGATGATGATGACTATGATGAAGAAGAGGAGGAGAGACAACACAATGAGAAGTATGCCTTCATTCAAATTATTGTGGCTATTTAGAGAGTCAAGACTGGATTAGAGATGGTATTCATAAAATATTTATATACAGAATGGAGTTACTCAATTGGTTTAAGGCATCGAAGATTTATGTTAGCAGATGCATGACATCAAGGAAGGAAACATTATCTATGATGATTCAGAAGAAACTCTAAACAAATTGGCTAGCTAAGTCATTGATATCACATCAAGTGTTTTGGATTGGATTGCTTAAGTGAAGAGGAGAGAGGAGAAGGCTGATGATAGCAAAGGAGATGTAATTATCTAAACTTTGAAATTGATAAATAAACAAAAACAATAGGCTGATCTAGAAATCGCATAATTAGGCAATGAATCTGCTGCCTTAAGTTAGCAATTGAGTTCTTTGGAGTAGAGTGAGGATTTGACCAGATTTTCAATTAACAACAGCAAGGATATACTCTAAACTAAGATTGAAATGTGCAATGATTAGGAAGCTGCTTATAAGATGGAAAAAAGATAACTGTAATTTCTTGATTGACATTAGGGAAGAATAACTGAATACTGTTGGGTTGCTGTTGGAGGCCATGGAATAGAAAGGAGGTTAGTTTAAGAGAGTTATGAAGACTTTGGAAGGAGTGGCCGATTACAAATGATTCTGCATCTGGATATAATAAATTATTTAATTATAAATTAATTATGGAGCAAAACATTCCTCATCAGTTGGTAATTCGGAACAAAAATGGAGTGTATCTTTCCAATATGTTGGCAAAGTCAGATGAGGAAATGCAATTGATTAATTAGGATGGAAATGCCTAATTGATCGTTTTGGAAAATCAAATAGTCATGTTCAATAAGTAATCTATCAAGCTCCATGATTATAAATAACAAATTAAGGAACAAGAGTTTACCAACCTGTAGAATATCCATCTTACAGAATCTAAATAAAATCTCATTATTATGGATAAATTGGATTAACAACAATACTAATTGCAAATATTAAAGTTTCCTTCATTAGAATCAAAGGGTATCAATTTCAATCTTAAAAATTTCAAAAGAGAAGCTTGGCCAATCTTAAAATTTTCATTTGAAGATTAATACTTTTTTATTATTCAAAATTAAAAGTTACATTGTTATGCTGATAATTAATGTGTCTATTAAACTGATGTTGGAAATTGTGAATATTTTAGTGTTTAACCTAATACTCAAAAACCGTTGGTTGTTTGCTATAGTTTAATGGATTTCAATATTAAGGAATCCTTTTTAAAGATAGTTGACATGAATGGCAAAATCAAATATGAAAAGAAATTGCATTAAACTAGTGATTTGGAAGTGATTTGGTCACCAAATGGATAATCTTTATTAATAAATAAAGGGTTCCATGAAGACAATACAAATAAAAGTTATTTTGGATAAAATTAAGTTTTGTTCTATGATTTCCCTAAAAATGCTCTAAGAGAATTGCCAACATATGAAGGACCCATTCATCATGTTTAATGGTCACCATCTTCTAAAGAATTCATCTTATTATCTGGTTTCATGCCATCCGGAGCTGTTATGTATGACAATACTTGTAAACCACTTTTCGAATTCGGAAAAGATCATAAGAATAAAATTATTTGGGGAAATGGTAGATTTGTTATGATTTGTGGATTCGGTAATCTGGATGGCTCCATCCATATTTGGGATGCTAAAACTCTTAAATAAGTTAGTACAAACAAATACAAATCAGCGAGTTTATGTCACTGGTCACCATGTAGTCGATACTATGTTTGTGCAAAAGTAACACCCAGAATGAATGTAGACAATTAATATTCACTCTTTGATTATCATGGTAAAGAAATAATCAATAGAAAATTCTTGGAATTATATGATGTGTAATTTAGACCTTCAAATATTAAATTTGAGGAAAGACCTCCTACTCCTCCTAAACAAATTCAGTAAGAACCACCAAAAAAATAATTCATTGCCTTTGCTGATAATCCACTTGCATAATAAATGAGAGCTATGAAGGCAGGAGAAGGCGCAAGAGTATTACAAGTTGATGAAACCTTTGGAAAACAATCTAACAATAACTTCCCTCCTGGCTATGAACCTCCAAAAGAAAAGAAGAAAAGAGTAAGAAAGCCAAAATAATAGTAATAATAATAATGATAGATCATATAAATCTAGAATAATCTATTTCTCTTATTTCTTCCTCCTATGTACATATGAATAATTTAATAATAATAAGTAGTAGATTTCCATTATCTATTTAATGCATATATAGTTTAAATAATTCATCAAGCACAAATTCTAATACAAATAATATTTTTTGATATTTATATAAAGGGAACTATGAATAATTCCTCAAATAGGTTTTAATATTTTTGCACATTATTATGAAATTTTCTTGTCATCTTCATAACTAGTATATTAATTAATGAAATTTTATCTTAAATCACTTCAGACATTTCTTGTAAAACGAACTAAAATGTAGATAATAATTTCTTAATTATAAAAATGTAATCGAAAAAGCAATTAATTAACATAAATAATCTTATGTATTTATCATTTAATATAGATAAATTAGATGTTATTTTATCAACTTTGCTTCCAAAATTACTAATTAACTCAAAAAGGTTATAATATATTAGATTTATTGGTAAATTAATATGTATTATGCAAAAGGCATATAGAATTTGAGAACCAGAATTTTATATAAAAAGAAAATAGAGTTGAACATGAACTAGCGATATTTTGATTATAAATTATTGTATTATTATTTTAAAAAACGAATTAATGATAGTTGCCTTATTTATTACAACTGCATTAGCTCTATAGATGAATGAGCAGGCTACACTAACAACGGAAGCACAAACTGCTGTTAGGGAATTTGTTCAATCTGGTCCATTGGGAAAGATGATGTTTGAGTTTGCTCAAGTAGAGATGCACGTAATAAGCTTTATCAAAAATTAGAGGCTTCTGGTGCTGTAGACATCTTGATTGAAGTTCTCAAGGCTTTTGGTCGTCAATAAGAAGACAGATTGAATGAAGAGAATACGATTGTAATAATGGCTATTTAATATAGTGGTAAAATAGACTTGGGGATCATAATGCTCGTAGAATTCAGTATGAGTCACTGGTAACTGAGGGCGGATTAGCTATTAATAGGGATAGGAAAAAATTAACTTAGGAATATGAACCTAGAAAAGAGGAACTCAATGAAATTTTAACAACTTTGAAAACGAATATGGGCAAAAATGAAGTTGCTAAAAAGAATGCAGAAGCTTTGAGAGCTGAATAGAATGCATAATTCTAACAATAAGCAAATGAAATCACTGAAGCAATTAAAGCAACTGATGACACTCTAGAATACATCAAGAGATGCAGTCAAGGTTCATTTATTGAAGTTGACAAAATTAATGATCATCTTCTATTCTTGTAAAAGAAATCATCTAAATCTACTGATTATGTTGGATCAATAATCTAAGCACTTATGTAAATTAGTGAGAAGTAGAACTTTGCTGATAGGGAGGTTTAGAAGTAATTGGTTGATCTATTGCAATCATTAAGAGGTTATTTTGTGGAAACTCTACAGGCAGCCTACAATGATGAGGATTAATAGAAATTATTGCATGAAAACAGAATGAATCAACTAGAAAATGAAAAATAAGTATTCGAAAAACAATATAGTGATGCTTATGCTGAAAGAGAATAACGATCATGTAGTTTATTCATTCTATTTCTTAGTATAAATTGAAGATACCAATAGATTATTAGATACAAGAGGCAAAGAATTATCAGGTTATTAAGATCGATTGACTACTGAAAACAATAATTTCTCTTAAAATCAAAAGATTCATGATGATCTAGTAGCAGCTATTAGTGGAGAAATAGGATATATCGAAAAGGCACTAGATGTTTTGATGACCTAAGCTTTTTCTGNTATTTATCATTTAATATAGATAAATTAGATGTTATTTTATCAACTTTGCTTCCAAAATTACTAATTAACTCAAAAAGGTTATAATATATTAGATTTATTGGTAAATTAATATGTATTATGCAAAAGGCATATAGAATTTGAGAACCAGAATTTTATATAAAAAGAAAATAGAGTTGAACATGAACTAGCGATATTTTGATTATAAATTATTGTATTATTATTTTAAAAAACGAATTAATGATAGTTGCCTTATTTATTACAACTGCATTAGCTCTATAGATGAATGAGCAGGCTACACTAACAACGGAAGCACAAACTGCTGTTAGGGAATTTGTTCAATCTGGTCCATTGGGAAAGATGATGTTTGAGTTTGCTCAAGTAGAGATGCACGTAATAAGCTTTATCAAAAATTAGAGGCTTCTGGTGCTGTAGACATCTTGATTGAAGTTCTCAAGGCTTTTGGTCGTCAATAAGAAGACAGATTGAATGAAGAGAATACGATTGTAATAATGGCTATTTAATATAGTGGTAAAATAGACTTGGGGATCATAATGCTCGTAGAATTCAGTATGAGTCACTGGTAACTGAGGGCGGATTAGCTATTAATAGGGATAGGAAAAAATTAACTTAGGAATATGAACCTAGAAAAGAGGAACTCAATGAAATTTTAACAACTTTGAAAACGAATATGGGCAAAAATGAAGTTGCTAAAAAGAATGCAGAAGCTTTGAGAGCTGAATAGAATGCATAATTCTAACAATAAGCAAATGAAATCACTGAAGCAATTAAAGCAACTGATGACACTCTAGAATACATCAAGAGATGCAGTCAAGGTTCATTTATTGAAGTTGACAAAATTAATGATCATCTTCTATTCTTGTAAAAGAAATCATCTAAATCTACTGATTATGTTGGATCAATAATCTAAGCACTTATGTAAATTAGTGAGAAGTAGAACTTTGCTGATAGGGAGGTTTAGAAGTAATTGGTTGATCTATTGCAATCATTAAGAGGTTATTTTGTGGAAACTCTACAGGCAGCCTACAATGATGAGGATTAATAGAAATTATTGCATGAAAACAGAATGAATCAACTAGAAAATGAAAAATAAGTATTCGAAAAACAATATAGTGATGCTTATGCTGAAAGAGAATAACGATCATGTAGTTTATTCATTCTATTTCTTAGTATAAATTGAAGATACCAATAGATTATTAGATACAAGAGGCAAAGAATTATCAGGTTATTAAGATCGATTGACTACTGAAAACAATAATTTCTCTTAAAATCAAAAGATTCATGATGATCTAGTAGCAGCTATTAGTGGAGAAATAGGATATATCGAAAAGGCACTAGATGTTTTGATGACCTAAGCTTTTTCTGATGAACTCTAATCAGCTATTAATAAAGCTAAATGAAATATATTCAAATCAAAAATATTTATTATTTTGTTTTTATACAATTAAAGCATATAATTAAATTATTTAAAACCCAAAAGATTTCAAGTTAGATGGAAATTATAATAAGATTTAGTATGAAAATTGTATAACTTAATTTTAAAATCATCATGCAAATTCTGTGTTACAAATTGGGCATTTTTTTGTTTGGGACAACCAATTCTAAATACATTTTTGGTGAAAGATATGGGAAACGTGACACTTCAATTGAACTATAGGATTCTATAATGAATTTTATATAAGTTATTGTAAACAAATTGTGCAATCTGTTTTCTCTTTGAGATCTACTTTAAAAAAAAAATTTTTATTGAAATTTTAAAGAGGTACCAACTTCTTCTATTATGATAGATTATTTTGAACATTATTATTTGCAACATTATTTATGGGTTAAATATTTACACTTTGTTGAGGTTATTACTATTGTACGTCAATTTATTGGTTTTATCTATTTTGTATTTATTCTTCTTAATTTATTTAAGTCAAGTTTCTGGTATATTGATCAGTAAAGAATGGAATAATTAAATATCTTATAAACATCAATACTAGAAATATTAATTAAGTTATTCCACACTCATATTCCAAAAAGATATCATAATTTATTATTACATGATCTGATTCCATCTCATTAGAAAACTCTGACATTCCAACAATTGTGAATATTAAGGATGTTGATATAAAGAGTTTAAATAGTTGATTTTATATTTTGTTCAATCTTAAAATTGAATCTATTAATTCTTAATGATCGACGAACTATATGTCATTATTTTATTAATAACTGTTTTCTATAAATATTTAAGATATAATCTTACATGAAGCAATGAAATATAATAATGATAAGATTAATATTATCATTAAAAAATGATAAAATAAATTCGATGAAATTAGAATATATGAAGAAGTATTGGGCGTTAAAATTATTATTACCAACAAAGCCACAAATTTGCCTAAATTATTAACAAGAAGGATCCCACTAAATATTTTAGTTTACATTATTACTTAAGGAACATCTAATCAATATAAGGAATATTTACTTGTGTTTAGGATGTCGTGTTAATATAAAGGCCATATACGTTATTTGCATGCCAAATAAATTCTTTATGAGATTTTTAAGCCTTCATATATTATAATTGTGAAGAAGACTATTTCACATAAAATTCCTAATTCATTCAGCATGGGTCCTTAAAATTTAGCAGGTATCTTATTTTTAACACAATCGTCATAGTATTAATTTTCATCTAAATGATCAGTTTCATAAGTACGATCATTTCTACTATCATAACATTTATAATAAGTCTTATCTTAAATATTCTTGGTCAACAAAAAAATTGCTAATACACAGTATAAATATGTTAATCTGATAAGAGTAAATTTTGACTATGTCGTAAATTAAAATAGCATGTAACTTGCTGATATATAAACCCAGTTATTCATTTGAATTTCATTGTGGATTCGAATGTTATTCGTTTAAAGTTCGGAAAATTGTTGTTTTATATACATCATGCATCCAAAAAGTATTGTTAACAAAAGTATGAGTAAAATGCCTAAATATATTATCTATTATTATTCATTATTTTTGATAACTGCAATTATCGTTATAATTAATGTAACAAGTATCAAAAGCATTACACAATACAGCAAACACGGAATGAGAGAACTCCATTTATTTTATTATAATGATTATTAAGTTTAAAGTCGTTACCCAGGTTCAGAATAACTTTGATTACTTGAAAAAATGATAGAAATTTACAAATACCTATCTTACTATTAAAGCCTTGAGTTCGTTCGCATTTATTGTCAAATAGAAATATATGATAAATATATATATATAAATATAACTTCATAACGTAGTGTTAACATTTAATTAGTCATAGTTCGTATTAAATAAAAATAATCTTAGTGAATATATAATTATTCATTTTTATTTTCTAATAAAACACTGTTAATAGTTTCAGCTCTTAATTTAAAAATATATTTAAACTAATTATTTTTTATAATATTAATTAATAAAATTATAATGCAGTTGAAAAAAGGGCTATCCATGTTTAAACAATTATCCCTATCCAAAATATTATTTCTATCTCTTAAAATATTAAATACACTTGAAATTATTTATTGAACCAACAACTTTTAATTATTATCTTCAATAACATTGATCCAAATTAGAAGTATGGCAAAAATTTCCATTTTCTTTTCAAATAGCTAACATATTTGATACAAAGGATTATTAATTTAAATTAATCCATTCTTTAGTTTGGAATTATATATATTTTCATTTTCACATTATTTAAATTAAATTTGTAATATTTTCTCTAACTATTTTTTTATCTATTTCTGATATCCATCAAAAGTTCTTTAAAAATGTTAGCAGCTTCTCCTATTCTATTTTTATAAAAATATTCATGATTTTGCAAAAATTATTTAAAGGTAATTTATCTCTTCTAAACTGAGTATAGGCTTCAGAAAGTAAAAGGAAAAAAATAAATTTGGGTCTGATTTTTGTTAAACAGAGAGTTTGCTTTTCAATTGAAAAGTAATACATAAATTTCTTGTAATTTAATAAAAGCGTCAAAGTAAGAATGTAATTTGTTTACCTTCATATTAAATGAATATATAAATGTAACTTGATATAAATTCTCGAATTCATCCAGCTTTTAGCTTTATAAGAAGAATCAATTATATAAAGAATAACTTTAATAAAAAACGAAAAAGCGTTAGAATATTATCTTCTATAAGAGATTTTGTAGATGGAATAAGAAAGTAATTTAGTTAAGTATCCTTATTATAGATCTAAGTAGATTTCTGAAATAATAAACAGTTTTTTACTTAAATTATTCCTTGCTTATAATTGAGATTTATACAGAAATTATAAAAAAATGATATAAGATAAACAAGAGTTTATAACATTTGCGAAATATTATGAAGATTATATATTTTTTTAAAAATGTATGACCAAAATAACCCTTTGCAAGTAATACAGCTTAGAGGTAACAAGGTCAATTAAGGATAAAACATGACTTATGAATGCTAATTATCTACATTGTTAGGCTACGGAATAAATAGAGCATATGTTGGAGTGGATAATTTTGGCAAAAAAGTAGCTATAAAAGAAGTATTAATGATTTGATTCAAGCATCACAATGAAGAAGCGATGAGAAAAGAAATTTAAATATTAGAATAACTCAATCATCCAAATATAGTGTAATATTTAGATTCATGCAATTTATTCCATTAAACTAATCAATATCATTCAGAATGGAATGGCTATATTTGCATGGAATTAGGTATTTACGATTTGTGTACATACAAACAAAAAAAGTTTCCTATTGGCAAAGAATTAGTAGATTAGATGCTGACTGCACTAGCTTATTTATAAAAATAAAAAATCGCCCATTGCGATATTAAACCTTAAAATATTCTAGTTATGTAAACTAATCCTATTGTTTTCAAAATTTGCGATTTTGCATCTAGCAAAATGGAAGAATCAGAATTGACAGAAAGATCAGAAGTATAATAAGCTTAAAAAGGACACACAAGAGCTAAAAAATAGAAGAAATCATATGAAAAAAGCTTCGTTTAGATTGGGGTATAATGTAGTATATATTTAGACTAATTAATATATGTCTCCTGAAATGATAAACAAAAATGTCTAAAACTATTACTTGTCTGATGTTTTTTCTTTAGGATTAGTGTTTTTATATGTTTTTAGGGATTACAGTCTGAATTAGGCAGACAGAGAATAACTAAAAGAATAAAAAATTAGTTAAGAAATTCAAGACAAAATAAATGAAAATGAAGACGATATTCAAAGAATTCTAAATCAAATGATTCAATTTGATCCTCAAGATAGATTAGACTTTATAAATCTTCTGGATTTCTGGAATCAAAATAGGAAGAAAGTCAAAAAATAAGAATATAAATTTACACCTGTTAGAATGAATAGTACAGAATCAAAATTTTTATCTATTTAGCAAATTCAGAATTAAAGGGCATAGGTTTTCAGACTACCTTAATTAATAATTAAGAGAGGTTAAAGAAATTAATATTCTCAACATTATTAAAGTTCTACTCCTTAAAAGGATAATTTAACAATTGATAGAGTTGGACACTCTTATTCAAAACCAAAAAAATTGTAATAAATATCTCCTTCCAATAATTATTTTATGAAACCTCCTAAAACTCCTATTAAATCTAAAGCTTCAAGTCCTACAAAGAGTATGGCAAGTAATAAATTATAATAAACTCAGCATAAAGAAGAAAGAAATACTTTTTCTATAAAGGCAATTTAAGGAATATGAATTATTCACATTTTTTAATAGATTATAATTTAAGGATCAAAAACATTAATAATTGTTCATTAATTTTGATTATCATTTTCTTCTAAAATTTATCCTTCTTATTATAATAATTGTTATTATTATTATTACTATTATGGTTATTCTTATACAAATTTGATTGTTTTTGCTCTAACTCTCTTTTCGAATTTCTCTCTGTCTTTTGGATCACTATCATTCGAATTTTCAGTCCTTTTTAATTGCATTGCATCATCAACATCATCATATTCTTTCTTTATAAATAATAATTCTGTAGCCATATCATCATCAGGTACTTTATATTAACTTATTAATCCGTTGATCTTCACCCATTATTTCTCTTCTTCTTTCAGACGTGCTTTACATATTTCACAAAGCATTTAGAAATCAGTCCTATTATTGCACTTTGCGCATGGTTCTATTGTGATCTAGAAATCTAATTTAAAGAATAATGTACAATGACTTTAAAATTTTTATCGAATCTTTCGTCCTTAATTATCTAACTTGGATCCAAGTCGTGTAATGAGAATTCCAGAGAACTTTAAAATATTAAGTATAATAAATACTTTTATGCAGTCTCATCAATGAATGCTGTATTGAATGCCAATCTAAACATTTTCTCTTTTTTCAAGATTCCTTCGTTGAACACTTTTATTAAAATATCCCCATAAATTGGCATTAGTTTGTCTAATTTGAGCTTAAATTCACAAAAATTTAATACATCATGAGAAACCCCTTTATATTTTTTTGCTTCTTTTTATGTGGAATAAAGTTCTTTATCATTTTTAACTTAAATTACTTGCATATATGGCTTACAACTGCCATTCATATTAAAAGCAGGTGCTCTGCAAATTTAAATATAATCTTACTTTCCCTAAAATGTGATTCTTTTGAGAGTAACAACTGTTGGATAAATTACATAGCCCATACTCAAAAGTTTATAGAAGTATTCAACATATTTCACTTAGCAAGGTTGATTGACTCCCAGACCCTCCTCTTCAAATCTCTTCTTCCCATAATAATAAAGCACATCCTTAACACTCTTGAATTTCCCTGTGTAGAGTAGATAACAGCATATAATTGTGCCTGTTCTGCCTTTGCCAGCAAGACAATGAATGACCACTACATTAATTTTGTCGCCTAATTGTTTATATAAATCTCACCTTTCAAATAACCATGAATAAGATCGCAGATTTCAAACAAAAGATCCAGAGAAGGAGAATGATGATCTTTCCATATCCAACAATCCTGTACTACTCCTTTGAATTTTGATAAGTCATATTTTCGACCACTTAAATTAAAAACCATATAATCTGCATTATGTTATGTATTTAAATAACCAGCAACCTAATTATAATTAAGGTATCACCCACCTAATCTATTGGATTTCGATATAAACCTTCTATTCCTTCCCCAGGATAACTCATTGCAATTATCCTTTTAGTCACGTACGTAAGATCAAGATTATATCCTTCCTATATTAAACGCTTCTTTTTTCCTGAGACCTTCTCTCTTAAGTAATTCATTTTTAATATTAAAAAATATAAAATCAAACACGAATCATTTCCAATAGATTATGCAATTAGATATTCATTCTCTTCTGAACTCCAATTATCAATTCAAGAAACTAATAGAAATCAATTCGTTGAACTTAAAATTTGCAAAACAAAAGTTGATATTCCACTCCTTAAAGATTCTCATTCAGCATCCCAGAAAAATTACTAATTTTACAAAACTAAGACAGTGACAAGGTTTTCATTCCCTTTCCGCAATACCAAAACAAATTCAATAATTCAAGAACAGCATTATTGACTAGTTAATATTCATCACTTAATAATTTATAAGATGTATCCTTCCATTCTTTTTATTGAGTAGAAATCAGAATTGCGTCAGTGACAACTAACTCTTTAACATAAAAATCAAAGGGAGATATTTCTTCTTTACTATTCTTGAATTAAGTTATTTATAAACTTGGTGCTGAATTCATTTCTAATATGAAGGGTTAACCTTGTTTGTTAAGTAAGATATCTAGACCAATAATACAAAAATTTTGAGATTATTCAGGCTTTTCACTTTTTGAATGATAAAGTAAGAATGGATAAATGGCTTTCATGAATTGAGCTATTAAATTTTCGATATTTTGAAATATCACTTAATCATCTTATCCTTGTTTTTATAATGATTATCGAAATGCTTAGAAACTCTATTTGTTTGATTGATTATCATTCATAAAATCTGTTGAACAAGGCACATAATTAGTGCTTTCACAATTAATTGCATAATTTGTTAAATGAGCGAATTGATTTTTATTAGCTTTTTCATAGGCATCAACACATATTCTAACCAGCCCTTCTTTATTCAAATAACAAATATAAGGATTTAATTTTTAAATGAGAATGTAAAATCTAAGATCGAATTTTTTATTATCTATAAGCATAGGGTTATCTATATATTTCTAAATAACCATTTTCTCTAGGCCTGCTTTTTTTATTAAATCATTCATACTATTAGGGAAGAATATCCCTTTCCCTTCAGATCCATTAGATGGTTTGGCAATGAACTAATTGAGATTTTTAGAATACAAGAGATTTCTGTCTTCAGGATAAATGTAGGTTTCAGGGTAAATTTAATTAATTTCTGGGTAGAACATCCCAAATGAAGACAGACACTACTTAGTGGAAGCTTTAGAACTAACAATACCAACCCCTTTAATCTTGTTGCAGATTTATAATCTTGGTCTGTCCATTGAAAATTTGGAGCACTTATCCTTTTTTCTTTAATTCCAAACAATTTTAGCTTTTGAATGTTATTCACCACAATCAATCCAATTCTATTTTTCAATAATCATTTTTAAAAGGGTCCTTTCGCTACCCTTAACATTTGATATATCAAACTTTAGCATATTATATATATATTAACAAATTAATATTAGATCATCTAGATTAATAATAAAAGTTATATAACTTTATAAAAAATTTTTTCATGTCAGATTTATTATTAAAAAAATTGGTAATTGAAGATGCCTGTAGAATATTTTACTATCCGCTAATTCTTGATACAATTTAAAGCCGAGTTTATTATAATTTTAATCTGCTAAATATCTTATTGATACCTGCTAAAAAGAAAAAGGCTTTGCCTCCTCTTAGTTCTTAAATCAAAAATTATCAACTGATGGTTGCTCAGACATTCTATTATTGTATTGATGAGATGGGTGTTTTTAATATATTAAATGTAAACCCATCTTTTCTGTTGAATATTAGAATGCTCTAAAATAGATTTGATTAGGTTAGGAGTTCTCAAAACTAAATCCTTCTTTTATTTTTCCTTATTGTTTAATGAATTTCTTTGTTATTTTTGGCTTCTACTCTTTCTCTCTGCTTTTAATTATTTGAACTACTCTCTGTAACAATCATAGAACTATTCTTATCATACTTAATTGATCATACTTTCTATTACTCTATTAACTAACACATTTGCAGAGTTAAAGTAAAATCTCTTATGTTTCAAGGTTAATTTAGATAATCTAAATAAATTAAGTTATAAAGAGCAAACATAAAGTCTTTAATTTAATCAATAAATGATCACTTTCTGAGTTTATGATGCATAAAATTACAATATAAATTATTTTCTAAGTGACTTTTTTAATAATCTTAAAATTACTAAATTTTATAAATGGAGGGATAATAATATCAATATTTGATGGCAGATGAGTACTTCTTAGAAAATAATGAATCTTATTCGTCATTTTCACTAGGTGATATTTAATTTTTAGTCAATTTAAATGATATTGATGCTCCTATTTTTCAACCCTCCAAAATTCAGAATCCATATGTGAGTTTGATTGGGAATTATTGCATGGCTGGTATTATGATTATTCATAGCCTGTTTAGATTCATCTATTATTTTCATCAACAAAGTCGATCCAATATTTGTTGCTATTCGAGTACTTAGAAATAAATTAGCAAACTAATAATAAGAGAAAAGTATTGAATTTGAGAACATTTTCAATGGTGAAGATACATTTGAAGTTTACTTGAGCAAGCACCAGCAAATAAGAGAGAATATTGATTGCATAAGTAACAAAACTCTGATTGGAGATGACATATATGTTAAGTTGGATAAAGGAAAGCTCTTCTAATTTTTAGATTATAAATACAATAGCATTCTTCAGTATTCAAAAAAAAGTGTGTATTTTGTAGATGATTGCAATTAGAAAAGATAAGATGGTATATAAAATTATAATAAACTTAGAATCCGAGTTACAGATTTGTACTCTCTTTAGATAATATATTGGAGAATAACTATTTAAAGAGTATTAGGCCACTAAAAAAATTGTTGTAGCCAATTAGACATCAACAGTGGAATTTCAAAAAGATCAAAATGGAAGTAAACAAGAATAAAACAAAGAGGTAAACACAACAAAGCAAATCAATAGGACCTCGAAGAAGACAAATAATTAATAAGATTAACAATCATTATAGGCTCGAAAGTGGTGTGGGAATATGGATAAATTCTTAATAAAAATTCCCTAATCAGAATAAAAGAAATGATCAATAGTTATTTTTAAAATATGATTTTGTTATTAGTAGTAATTAATATTATGAAATTCGCATTTGCTTATATGTAATTCTAATATAATTAATTGTAATTATATTGTCTTAATATTATATTATAATAAAATAATACTAAAAATATAATTTATAACCCCTAATTTTATTAATTATATTTTTTTGTTTTTTAGTTTCTAAGTAGAAGGTCAGAAACTAAGGAGAACTTTGAGGAATGGGGGAGAAGAGGCTTGTCATAAGTCAAGAATAAGGGAGGTGGTAATGATTTGGATGCAAAATGGTGAAGCTTACTGCGATCACATAAATTTGAAAGTTAATCGATATCATCATGTTTCTTGTTCTTCTTTAATTTCAGGGAGTTGGTGGAGGAAGGAGCTATAATAGGTTTGCATGCTTGATTATTGTTAGATATAGGCGCTTATATTTATGGGCTATTAAATTTGTAAACAAAAATACATAATATGGTGAAGGAAGTGGTTGAAAAAATAATAATTACTCAGGTTTAACCAAGATGGCACCATAACCGTTATTTTAGTCTATGTTTTAGGATGTGAAAGATGAAATTGATTAATACATTAATTGTGTAGGATGATATGTATTATGATGATGAAATTGAAATTTCTAATATAGTTTTTGCAAAGGACATGATTTCATTGTGAAAATCGGAAGTTTATGCTATATCCTTTGGAGGAGGATCTATTGAATATAGAACAATTAGAGATACATGGTCAATGTTCAGTTTATTGAGTTTGGTTTTCATTTTTAGATTTTTGGATCTGCTTTTGGAGATATTTTTCTTCTCTATATGGTAATTGTAGGATTCACTAGATTAGATATTATAGGTACTTTAATTGTTGTAATGTTTGAAAAATGGATTTAATTTTATCGATGTCCTCGATATCAATTTATTAGGATAAGTTATAATTTTTGTATTTTAGAATAATATTTCGAAAGAGCTGAGCAAATTCAAATTTGATGGCACCATTATTTGAATTTTGATTAACACAAAATATTGAGGAAATAACAGAGGGTTTAAGAGTTTTAGTCATTTGGGATCCTTTTTATAATAAATACATTTATTTACCATTTTTATCTCCATTAACCGCCTTGGAAATACGCCTTAGAACTTTTCGAACCAAGGAGTAAAAATAATTCTTGATTAAACCATCTGTTCTTTATGGCAATTCCTTAGATATACTCCTCTAATTAAGGATATTTAATATAATTACCCATCGATTACCATATTTGCTTTGCAATTCAAAAAGTTTGTCCACTTCATTTTGAGTCCATTAATCTTTGTTGACAACAGGGTTTAACTAATTATGGAATCTCTCCTTGCACGATTTCCCTGATCTTTTATATCCCATGGAGATCATTGTTTTTGAAACTCTCCTCCAATTATAATTTTAAGTCTTGCAGATTTCAAGCAAAGCCTTATCCTCCTAGTTTAAAATAATTAATTAATATACTTCTGGTCTCCAATTCTTCCTTCTCATAATTAATATATATATATATATATATAATTATATAGATAATAGACTATTCAACTCATCTTAATTGCAGCTAATTGTTCTTTCAAAGCAGCTAATTATAGTTGTAATTATAATAATTCAGGACTTGTTCTCATCGATACTTTAGGAGTGTAAACTGGAGCAGGCATATTATTTCCATACATCATTTTTTGAGCTTACGAAACCTATATGAATAAGATAATGGGGTATAATTTACATTTTGGATACCAGTTTCATTCCAATCATTAATCATTTTTTGTCTTTCAATAGAATTTCTACGACTAGATTCTCTACTACTACTACTTTTCTTCTTTTTGCTTTTCTTCTCCTTCTTTTTATGTTTCTTGGGACTCTTTCTAAACATCACAACAATGTCTTACTCAATATTGACTTCTTTCTCCTTTTTCTCTCTATATTCTGGATGCTCTTCATACATTTGATTGAACAAACTCTTCTTAAATTTTGTGGATATCTTCTTTAGATGTAGATAGTTGCATGCTCCACCTCTGTAAATCATTCATTTCTAATTTAATACCTTTAACATGTCCCATCAATGTATTATTTGCATTTAGCACTGCTAAAATCTAGCACAGGCGAATATTCCATCTACAAAGGCCTATTTTCATATGATAAATTCTAAAGAGCATTGAAGCATGACTCTGCAAACAATTCAGATGTATATTTCACATACACATTTCCTACTAAATGATCGCCAATGTTTTCGCATACTATCAAATCCTCTATTTCACCAAACTCTGCTAACTTAACATAATTATCCTCTTTTTACTTTCAAAAATACGTCTTCATAAAAGTTTTCGAATTTCTCCAATGCCTCCTCAATACCCGCTTAAGACACTGCATTTCCTGAAGCTATTGCCACTTCCATTGGAGAGTTTTAATACATATGCTGACCATTATATCACAATTTCTTACTTTAAATAAAATTGTCTAAGAAATTGGAGGGATGCTATGGATTCTTTAACATTTGTTTTCATAACGACAAGCTCCAATTTTGATATAAAATGAACAATTCACCTAATATTAGGAGTGTTAATCATACTTTGTCTTCTTCTGTTCCATACACTCTTTCCAATCCGCCTGCCATTTAATAATTAATTATATATTTATATTTTTGTAAGAGTGAACGCAAATTATAATATTTTTCATATAGTGTAAATATAATTTATTATATTATTAATAGTTATTAATATTCAATATTTTGTAATAATCGCCTACCTTAGGTTAATAATTTAGTGAAATTTACGTTGAATTATTTCAATGGATATATTATAATAATAAATAATTTAAAATTTGGAAATGCAAGCCATCCATTTTCAAAATATCTAGCATAATTTCAAATATCTTAAAAATTTGAGACTAAAAACCCAATTACTCATTTTAATTAGCTTTTAGATTATTTTCATCATGACATTCCTGGTTTTCAGCAATTACATCCACACAGCCTTTATATAGTTATTTTTTGCCGAGTCCTCTCAATAAATTTACCTCAAAACCTCGAATTCATTGCTCAAAACTTAATTAAATGAATATAATTCATACTTCACTTCATTGTTTCATACTAGTAATAAAATGTATATTTATAATTAGATGGACAAACACTGATATCATTCTTCTAACTTTACACATATCTTAGAAATAAAACATAGACACATCTGGATCCTCTAAATCCTAAGTTTAACATGAATTATGGAGGTGTTAATGGCAAAATTCCTAAATCTATTTAATCAAATAGAATCGGCGCTTACAACACCACTATCTCCTGTATATGCTATACTAACAAATCCAAATTTCACCAACCTTATACTCATGAAGAATTAATTAACATTAAAACTCAGGAATCGATGCAGAGTTTTGGCATGGTTATTTTCCAGGGTAAAACCACTTTGTAATCGTTTCTCTATGGGTATGTCTAAAGAGATAACATTTTAATGACTTATCCATGTTTACAAAGACACGACATTGCTAACTATATTCCTGAAAATAGAACTTGGTATATGGAAGCCAAAAGAAACTTTTAAGCCCATAAAATTTATGATAAATACAATTTTTCGATAACTTACCCTTACTTACGTAAGTAATATTAAAATGAATTTAGTGTTTAAGTCAACAAGCGTAGGGTTATCTATGGCGATACCATTTGTTGATAGGAATCTCTCTTTCATTGGAACTGGTGCTTTTGATTTGATTCCATCCAGTTTATTAAAAGAAGTCACTCAATAATTTGGCAGGGATTTCACTTCTATATTTCTTGCATCCTTAGACGGAATACTGATTATGCATCCTTTCAATATAACCTCTGATAAAATACCACTTTATTTCTACAATCAATCTATTACTGGGTTTAGCTTATCAGATTGGTAAGGATTGTCTGATCCTTCATTCAAATCAAATTGCCAGAATTAAACAACAACCATGAATTTTAAGTGTCTTTATAACTCATTTTATAATTAAGATATGTTCGTAAGTTAATAAATATTGCATGAGTTTAATATGTCTGTCATCGTGTAAATTATCTATTTATATTTTAGATTGGTTAGCAGTTCAGAATTTAATAAGTTTTCTGATGAATTCAATTCTAATTTGCACTCAAAATTAAATATTACATTTTAGAATTCATTAATTGAACAAGCAAGTCTATTTGTTTTCCTTAGTTTTCTCATTTACTTCATGATTTCTTATTTATTCTATCCAATAGAATTAATCATTAATGCAGCCATGAATTAAATCTAAAAGAAAAAGTACCAAAACAAAAATTTGAATACGATATTGCAATCGCTATTAAGTGTTTAGATTTTAGACCTCTATAGATCATGTTAACATTTTAATAAACTATTTGAAAGGTTCTCCTTCAATAAAACTGAATAGTGTTAAAAAATTGAAAATCTATAATATCCTTAAAAAATAGAAGAAATTAAATTGTGTTCTTTTGTAGATCCTAAGAAATTAAGAAAACTAGAGGTATAATTCCTTTTTAACAATAGTTTAAATTACAAAATCAATAAAATGAAAATTTTAATTTAGTGAAATCGTTTATCAGATAAGCTTATTTTTAACTACGACTCAAGTGAATTTTGATTTACTTTAACTTGTTTTTGTTTTCATATAGTTATATCATAAAACTGATAAATAATAAAAGTATATTTCAAATCCTCACAGCTTTTCCAACTTAAGAATCTGCTCTTTAATGATGTAACAATTTTAGATGTAGATTTTTAAATGATTAATCTTGTAACATTGGATTCTCAACTGGCATACCTTATCTTTAAGTAGATTCTCCTCTTTCCCCTCTATCTTTCTTAAAAGCCTTCATTTATTGTTTAAAAGTGCAAGTATTAAACGACTTATCATTCACTAACTCGTCTAAACCTGAACTTGGTGTTCTTTTTGCGCTAGTATTCCCAATATTATTCACATAATGTTTCAATCTATCAAAGGCATCTATAAATAGTAATAATTTCTTACTTTATCCATTCTATGAATCCAAGTTAATTGTTACTTTTGGCGCTTCATATTTACCCAAGCCTAATTTTCCCATGAAATTTGATAATTCGTCCTTTCTTTTATAAGGCTTAACATTATCTTTAACTTCAATTGTAAAATTCATAGTTTGTTATACTTTAACATTGAGATAAGTATTTTCTTTTTTTGTTTTTTGGCCTGAAGTTCCAATAAATTATGAAGAGGGACTCGCTTATATAAAACCAAATCTGGCATTTGGAGATTTGCCATGAGACAATTTGTTGTTGATTTGTGGAGCTTATGAATTGAGATAAGTTCCTCCATTTTTGCCACTTCCATTTTCAGTCAGTACTTCTTACTTTAATTTATTGGGAGTATTAAATTATTATAACAAAGTATCAAAGGTTTTAACCTTTTAAGTTTGATTTTAATCAGTACTGACCTTAGTATTAGAAGTGTTATTTTTTAAGTTCTAAAGGAGTTCTTATTGATTATATCTTTCTTTGAAAGGTGTTCTTCGATTGAATAAATCAGTTAGATCTTCTAATGTATTTGCACTCTTAAATTAATCTAGTAATTCCATGTAATTATTAGCTATTACTGGACAATCTGGAATGGGGACTTCTTCCTTTTATACAACAAAATCTGAGTTCTTTACACCAAGCTCTAAATTCTATAAGTAATCTAATTTTTTTTGTGATTAGATTTCTTGTTTTGAAGGGATTTGATGTAAATTACTTTTTTCAATACATTTCAAGCTAAATTCATGTTTAATAGAATCAACAGTTTAATTGATTGGTTCTTATTTACAAAGAGTTTCATTGAGTTATATTAATTATTCTGGATCTTCTTCTAATTTTACATCCAATTAAGCTTATTCATTCTATTAATCAAAGATCTCTTAAGAAATTTATTGTTATAGATTGACTTCTTGTGTTTCCACAGGTTTAATCTCTACTATTACAACTTAGCTTTCTTATGGAATTAAGATTGGCTAATTACTGATTTCTATTTTATTGATATTAGTTTCAATTTTTGTTGATTATTGTGGTATTTCATTGTAGCCTGCTTGAACAGCCATGGCTTTGAATGCGTCAAACTTATTTTTATATTTATCAATTAGATCTTTTGATGATCTTGCCCAAGTGTTGAGAACTTTAGATTCTTGAGGTTGTTCTTATTAAATAGAGGGGTCTTAGACACTTTATTCTTGAGTTTCAGACAATTACTAATTATCGGACATTTTATTATTAAATTTATTTTCTTAATTTTACAATATGCATTATGATCTATTTAGATAACAAAATAATATTAAATTCGGATTATAATTATATATATTAATAAATGGAAATTTATCGTATTCCTGAAGACTTGAGATTCGTAAATCAGATTGGTCAGACTCTTAGTGCAGAAGAGAAGTATTGATTAATGTAATGAAGGATCAAGTTAGAAATTGCTTTGATAAAGCTAGGCGAAACTTAGACATTTGATTAATTGCTATTTTGGGGAAGAATCGAAGGAACAGTTGCCAATTATTATATTGCCATTGGATTGAATTTCAAGAATAATTTTGAATTCCCTCACAAAACATTCTTCTACACTGCAAATTTAAAGGAATTCTAAAATTTACCACCCCTCAATCCAGAATACAAAGAATAAGTTGAAACTTTCAGACAGTTATTTTCTGGATAACCTGAAAAAATACTCATTAATATCACAGGTGAAGATGGAGATCAACCACCTGCTGATTAACCAAATCCAGATGAACCTCAACAAGTTGTAAAAAATGATGATGACTCCGATGTTGAAATAAAACCACCTCCCAAGAATTTTTTGGAAGTGGATAGACTAGCCTATGTGGTTAATGCAATTGAATTCGAATGTGCACTTCTCCCTGTTGGTGCAGTTAGATTGACTCCTACTCACGAATTAAGGTAATTAATTAACTTTCTTTAGATATAATGATTCATTCGAAGGACTCAATCTATAAGAAGCATCAAAGATATCCAATTATCAACATTTCAGAGCACCTCAGAGTCCCAACAAAAAGACATTGATTGCCTAAGACGATGCTCTTTTTCATTATGACTTCTTTGATTAATTGGATGACCATCCTGTTGGATAGTGGAGTTTACAAACTGATTCCTCCAAATATCAAGTACTCATTTATATATATGTTTAGGTCACTATACGTAATCTCTAATGGCCAGGCTTCTTGGGTTATCATAGAGCAGGAACTAGAATTTTTGGATATGCCTATTTTGGGGATGGTATCAAAAATGTGGATTTGGCATTTCAACTATGATTATTAATAATAAATATCCATGCATTCAAAATAATTCATAGTTTATATTGTGTAAATTGCAAAATCATTATAATTCTATTTTATTACTATGTGTTTTACAATTTAATTTATCTCTGAATTCCTAATTCCCAAACTTATCTCTCTTAATATGCAGAATTTGACAATCATATTCATTTAACTATATTAAATTTAATCTGAACTCTAAAATAGTTATTTTGACATATAGATATTCTCTGATGTTTAAAAGTTTCCTAAATTATTTAATATTAAAACCCACATATCAATGAATTTAGTTCTTCAACAAACGTACTTTTTTGTGATTTAAAATATAACGCAGCTTTTGATATTAGATATCAAAGATGCGAATTAAATGTTTCATCATAAAATATATCTTAATAATCTCTTGGTTCAATTCAGTATATCATTACAGTCCTTGCAGGGAATTATTTGGAAATAAACAATATTACATGCAATTGCTATCAATGTCAAAATGTCATTGGGATTCCTAACAGTGATCTTCGATGAATATACATACTCATTAATTTAATTTTAAAGAATTCAATTTGTTTTTAAATAATAGAATAGGGGAGTATATAAATTGAGAAAAAGATGTCTTAATTTGAGCTAGCTAATTAAAGATTTATGTAANTTGCCAATTATTATATTGCTATTGGATTGAATTTCAAGAATAATTTTGAATTTCCCCACAAAACATTCTTCTACACTGCAAATTTAAAGGAATTCTAAAATTTACCACCCCTCAATCCAGAATACAAAGAATAAGTTGAAACTTTCAGACAGTTATTTTCTGGATAACCTGAAAAAATACTCATTAATATCACAGGTGAAGATGGAGATCAACCACCTGCTGATTAACCAAATCCAGATGAACCTCAACAAGTTGTAAAAAATGATGATGACTCCGATGTTGAAATAAAACCACCTCCCAAGAATTTTTTGGAAGTGGATAGACTAGCCTATGTGGTTAATGCAATTGAATTCGAATGTGCACTTCTCCCTGTTGGTGCAGTTAGATTGACTCCTACTCACGAATTAAGGTAATTAATTAACTTTCTTTAGATATAATGATTCATTCGAAGGACTCAATCTATAAGAAGCATCAAAGATATCCAATTATCAACATTTCAGAGCACCTCAGAGTCCCAACAAAAAGACATTGATTGCCTAAGACGATGCTCTTTTTCATTATGACTTCTTTGATTAATTGGATGACCATCCTGTTGGATAGTGGAGTTTACAAACTGATTCCTCCAAATATCAAGTACTCATTTATATATATGTTTAGGTCACTATACGTAATCTCTAATGGCCAGGCTTCTTGGGTTATCATAGAGCAGGAACTAGAATTTTTGGATATGCCTATTTTGGGGATGGTATCAAAAATGTGGATTTGGCATTTCAACTATGATTATTAATAATAAATATCCATGCATTCAAAATAATTCATAGTTTATATTGTGTAAATTGCAAAATCATTATAATTCTATTTTATTACTATGTGTTTTACAATTTAATTTATCTCTGAATTCCTAATTCCCAAACTTATCTCTCTTAATATGCAGAATTTGACAATCATATTCATTTAACTATATTAAATTTAATCTGAACTCTAAAATAGTTATTTTGACATATAGATATTCTCTGATGTTTAAAAGTTTCCTAAATTATTTAATATTAAAACCCACATATCAATGAATTTAGTTCTTCAACAAACGTACTTTTTTGTGATTTAAAATATAACGCAGCTTTTGATATTAGATATCAAAGATGCGAATTAAATGTTTCATCATAAAATATATCTTAATAATCTCTTGGTTCAATTCAGTATATCATTATGAATATTAAAAACCTTCAATACATTAATTATTAAAATGATTACAAATTATAATAATTCAAAAATTTTATTATTCTTAGATATTGATTATTTCCTTTGATTTCTTAGTTTCACTTCTTTAATATAATTTATTATAAAATACTAAATTTTCTTAAAACTCTTTAGTCTTGATAGGTTTGTAATGTAATTCAAAAATTTTATTTATAAAATAATCTATCTCATAATCGCTTTCCACTTTTAAAATTCATAAAATTTTTGATATTTCTTTTCTATTAATTTAAATTATAAGCTACCATTAGTATCAATTAAATGAAAATTAAATTGTTATATGAATTTGCTATTGCAATTTTTATAAAATAAATAAGGTATTTATAATAATTTGTTGAAGTGAATACATTAATATATTAAATTAATTTTTGGATTTGAGAATTATCTGAGTTATAATAAAGTAATGCAATACTGCATTTTAATAAAAGTACTAGAGGGTAGTAATATGGTATTAATCTAGAACACAATAAATTTGATTGTAATATTTTAACTTCAGAAATCGTTACTTTATATTAGAATTGTTATTTATCGATTGAGAAGTATCATTCTTTTGTTTGCGAGTAATAACAATTGATTGTTCTTTTGATGATCTTCTAGAGGTGATATATGATAATTGAAAGTAATATAATGTAAGTTTATTAATTTTGACTTTTTTACTTCTGAGTTCCTTTTGATTTGAAAATGATTTAATTTAGTTAAGATTAATTAAAGCTATCCTGAATTAATCCAAAATTAGGGGGAATATTATATTATATTAATAAATATATGAGTAACCCTTTTTAGATTGTACCATCTGATACTTTTTTGAATATCCTGAACCAAAATAATTACTCCGTAGTGGATATGGATGAAGATTATAGAGCCGAATAGGATTGGATGTTTGAAAACGATTGCAATATAATGGAAGAATAGATATTGCAGTAAGAGCCTCTAATGCCAGAACGATCAAAGGCATTTGTTGGAGGAGAATTATTGCAGAAATATAAGAAAAATAAAGATGATGAACTCTTGAAAAAAAATAAAGAGGTTTTTCAAGCGAATCAATCTAAAAGCATATACCTAAACAAAATTCAATAATTAATAGATAAACCCACTATGGTTGGCAAGCCAAAGCAAACGTAAATGTTAATTATTTGTAAAGTCGTTAAAAAGTGATTGTTGATAGTGACTCATCAGATGGAAAGAATAGATTGGCTAAGAACAGAGAATCTGCTCGAAATTCGAGAAAGAGGAAAAAGATCTATATAGAATTATTGGAAAATAAGGTGAAGGAATTAACAGAGCAATTGCAATAATTAGAATATGTAGTTTAATAAAACAAAATTAAACATCTTTAAGTAATTAATTACATATGATCTTAAAATTTAGCTTGAGAACTTTATTGAAGACTATCACAGATCGATTACCTAACTAAATGACTAAACATCTATTCACTTGTTGCATGAAAACTTTGGTGCTACCTCTCAGAGAAGATGGATGGTATGCACTGAACTCATTAATCTATTAATTGAGACAACAATCCCAATTGAAGTTAAGAAATTGATGGAGTCTGCAAAAAAGGGCACTGATATGTTCATTCAACCGTTGCTTCAACACAATCCATGTTTAAATTATCGAGATTATTTTAAATAAGGGACTATAGATTTAGAAATGTATTCATTTATTTAAATTGAGAGCAACAAAAAATTTTGGTTTGGCATATGATAAAATAAGAGAATAAGTCTTTGCTTTGGAGAGGTTGAAATTGGATGTCATTTAAAAATTAGGAGCACATTCTTACATCGAGTACTTAAATTCATAACAATTGTGAATTGAATATATTTATAACAAACACATTTATAGTACTAATGCAAATTGAAATGTAATTTATAAATGATATTAATTTTAAATTATGATTAATCGAACAATTTAATTTGTGAAAGAAACTCTATGTCATGCTGAAAGTGGACACGATTACTTCCATATTGAAAGAGTTCTCAAAATGGCCACTCGTATAGCAAATGAGGAGAGCAAGAACAAACAAGTTAATTTGAATTTGGTTCAATTGGGAGCTTTGTTGCATGACATAGCAGATCATAAATTCCATGGTGGAGACGATACTATCGGACCTAAAGTAGCTAGGCAATTCTTAGAAAAGGATGGAGAAGCCAATGAGGATTTGATTAAACAGGTAGAAGATATCATCAAGGAAATATCCTTCAAAGGCGCCAAAGTGAAAGACCAGATGTCAACCTTTGAAGGACAAATAGTTTAGGATGCTGATAGATTAGATGCTATTGGAGCCATTGGTATAGCCAGATGCTTCACATATGGTGGATACAAAAATAGATAATTGTATAATCCAGATTTGAAGCCTGAATTTCATGACAACTTCTAGGATTACAAAAAAAATGAGTCAACCACTATCAACCATTTCTATGAAAAGCTATTATTATTAAAAGATAGAATGAACACAGACACAGGGAAAAAAATTGCTGAAAATAGACATTAAATAATGGTGAATTATTTAGATCAATTTTTAAAAGAATGGGAGGGAATTGATTGAATAATATGTGTATATAATAAATATCACAACAAATCTTACATTACTATTAAAGTTATCCTCTCAACCACCATTGAAATAGAGCTCATTGATCTCTTAAAAGACAAAATGACCTAGTCGAATTAAAAATTTCATTTATATGTTATTTTATTTAAATGATATCCCAACTCTTTCTTAACTTAGTGATAATCTGTGTGATTTTTACAATACATTATGACTAAAAGGCAGCAAGAAACAAAAAATCTTTGATAACTACTATTTAATTTTTAAAATACAGATTAAACTTTTTAATAATGTTTATTTGTGATTATTTTCTAACTAAAAAATTTGTTATAAAATTTTAATATTTATTATTAATATAAATATCATTTCGATAACCAATAGTGAATAATCTCGTTTATTTTTTTCAATTGGAAAATAAAAATTAACAAAGCCTGAGATTAATTAGTCGAAGCACTCAATCTTACTGAATTTAAAAAATATATAATAGTTATGATTCTATTATAAATCTTTGAAGTTTAGATAATGTGTATATTTCAAGTTTATATCAAATAATATGATTTCACCATTTTGATTACATAGGTATTTTATTTTTATCCTAAATTTGTTTACACCTATAATGCAAAAATAGAGTACTCATTCGTTTAGGTTTATAGTTTCCACATTTACAGAGATTGCTATTTTTAAATCAATTAGTCTAATATATTTTTGTCATTTGTGATTTTTTTTCTCTATTACTATCATATTATATCATAAAACACGGGTTTTAAACCAATCCAAAAGAGAATTAATTGTGGTTGTATAGGAATTAGAATTTATTCCATTTAATAAAATTTAATGGAGTAGAATACAAAAGTTAATTAAGAATATGTAAGTGATAAACTTATCCTTTAGTTTAAAAAGCTGAAATTAATCCAGAAGAAAATGGAAGACATAAAAGCTGATTAAAGTCCAAGTGTAATTAAGTATATGGTAAGAAGAAAAAGTGCAGAAGAAGTCTAGACCCCTTTACATGATGTTGAATTTAATCAGGAGAAAAAGAAAAAGAAATTATTGCTTTTCAAAACATTCTAAAAAGTTGTTATTGACCCAATCATCAAATTGGATGAAATAAATGAAGAAAAATGGGCAATAATGTCCAACAACTATAAATCATTAATTGAAAAATCAAGGCAAAGTCTCTCAAAACACAGTCAAATATTTTCACCTCCTAAAGCAACAAAGGAACACCATAAGTTTTAGTTTCTAACTCGAAGATAATCAATAGAATTTCGACTTCGTGAAATTGCTACTACTCCAAGCAATCATTCATCTGTATCTCCCATAAAAATCATGTCTAATCCTCAACTTGCAGATCCTAATTATGATAGATTCAAAAAGTATTATCAGAAAATAGGGATTGTAGCTGATAATCCTGTGCAAATGAAGTTCAAATAATTAATGTCTACTCCAGTAGCTCCTTAGAAAAGAAAGGAAAAAAGTTAGCATTCTTGTAATAATTCCTAATAACATTCATCTTCTCCTCCAAAGACTAGAACTCTCCATCTCAAAGCCAATCATAATTCGCTATACTTGTAGGAGATCAAAGAGATCTGTTCAGTTGCATAGAACTATTAAGCGCATGTGAAATAAGATGAGAGGATTTAAATTCATTAAACCAGCAAATAAATGGGGTACATATAAGCAGAATTCAATAAATTCCACAACATGTTAACAACAGATTTAGAAAGATTAGATTTTTATGATGAGAAGAAATGAACTTCAGAATATATGAATAAATTACGATCTGTTTGATAGATTTGGATATCTTAATAATTTGTCATTATAATTTCTGGTAGACTAAATCAATATATCTTATCATTTCCTATTTCACCTGTCCTTTGGCCATGTAAAAAGGAATTGACATTTTGAAATCACATAAGGAGTACATTCTCACAAAAGAATAGTCATCAAAGTTTTTATTTTTGAATCTTCATTTCTTAGCATGAATATATACCTATTATTGATGTAATCGTTATTAATTAAATTTGAGAGTGGCTAAATTAAGTAACCGCTCAGTAAAATTTCTCCTCTCACCTTATTCTTAATTGGATATTAGGAATCTGTGATGGATTTACTAACGTCACACCAAACCTATTTAATAAATATTAAAATAAAAACATTTGTGTCAATTTGTTTAGTTTTCTTATAATAGATAAATTCCCTTGCTGAAGTCATTAGAATTGGTTTATAACTTAAGTAAACGACTGATTCTTTGCTCTCCTCGTTCTGTTTAATAGGATAGAAAGCATCAATTCGAGGATCTAATTCTTTTTATTTTTAAAAATGGCTCATAAAATCAATAAAATTTTGAGGCTTCCCTGGAACTATGAATTCACATCTAGTTGCATTTACTTTTGTTTTCTTATCAATCTCCATTTATTTAATAAATAATTTCAACGAACTTTTCGTATTGATATTATCACATAAGATAATCCAATCATCAACTGGAGAGATGCTATAATCACATTTATCTTGTATTTCTTTGACGATCTCTTCCTAAATTTGTTCATATTATTCAAATTCATTCGTAGTTCCTCTTTCATTCAAAGAACAAGCAGTTGTAATTGTCTCATTGGATAACTCAATTTTGCTCAAGAAATAACAAATGGGTTTGTCTTCATATAACAAGATTTATCTTCTTTATTGACCATAGGTTATTTCTTTCATATACTCCAACTCATCTTGAATGTCCTTGGATGCAATAGATGTTCTGGTGCCATTTCGCTCTTACACACAACACTATGATCCCATTTATATTAATAATATTTTATCTTAGTGAAATATTAATTATCACAAAATATATCGAATATCATATCTTATTACTACTCAAACAAATGATAAGAATTATCAGAAATAAAATATGTTGTTATAAGATCATTAATTTGGCTGGACCTTTTCCTCACTCGTCTCTATATGGACATTTCATCTATTAATTTACGAAGGTAGCTTTATATTATGTAAAACAGTCTAAACAAGCTGCATGTCTATTGCAAGGGAACATTGTTGCATCGATTACATCTCCTAAACAAATTGGACACGTTTAAGGATTAGTCAATGGTAAGGGTGTCATTCTTTTACGTAACTTGATTGATATGCGTTTGATTTTAAGAATTATGTATTTTGGAAATCTACAACAAAGTTGACTAATAAATAAGTATAAAAACTTTAGGAACATTACTACAATTTTAAGCATCTGAATTATAAATGAAATTATTATGCAAATAAAGCAAAGGCATATCAGCACAAAAGGCAAACTAGCTCTGATTCTGTAATTATCATTGCATGAATATGATTTAATTGTGTGACACTCATTCAAACAGCTTTCCTCCAAACATGATGAACATGAATTCTCTACTGGAACTGTTGAAAACAACAAACACTAATTATAATAATCTATTGCCAATTCATTTGTTTAATTGTGTTTAAGTAGAATTTAGAGTCTGTATTTAAAGTTTACATCCTATATTTAATAATATTCTTCCTCGATTTTCATACAAAGTATATTTTGATAATTAATTTATAGACTCTTGCTATAATATTGATAGCAAATTCCTTTGTTCGTGAAAATAGCAAATACATAAGCATCTTATATTGAAAATAGATATTTAATCTTGATTTTTGAGTCTTCGTGATACCAAAATAGCACTTTAGTTGGCACCGTATAATTAACGTGATGAGAATTCATAAATACTGCGGTTCCATTATTCCAATATTATGTTGAAAATACACCATTTTGAGTACTAAACCAAACCTTCTCATCAAGTTGATGAATGTTTTCGTTTAGAAAAATAATATGGAATTGATGGTCTGTGTTTAAATATGTGAATGTTAAGTTAGCATCGTAATTATAGACTTCAATGGATGTATGAGAGTGATTTTTTGGTTTCACTAATGTACTATTGAGAATTTTCATGTTTTGAGTTAATATATTCTTTACATATAAGGACTGGTTTTGATATTGAGCAACAAAGTAAGAGGATGTGATAGTTATATTTGTGAAATTATCATTTGTAATATTAAATGATTCTGTGATACTTAAAGTGGTTTCATTCTATTTTTCATAAAGGGAATAAACAATAATCAGATCTTGATTCCTAAATTAGTTTCTATGAATAATACCATACAGCAAGAAAATGATTTTGGAGACAGAATTCTGTCATGTTTTAGGAAATAATTGAATAGTGATTTAGGTTTTAAAGATAGGAATAAGCAATATCATTGTCTCTATTGAAGATTATGTAATTTTTATAAAGGGTACTATGAGGATGAGTAATATTGAGTTTCCTAAATGCAAATAGTATTTGGAAGTGTAATAATATTAGAAATATCATATTAATTATATAAAAAGAAATTCAAATGTAAATTTGGATAAGGAATTAAAAACAGTTTTAAAATAAATAAATAAATTATTTAATACCAATCATGGCTACCCTGAATGTACAGATCAACGTGAATCAATACTAACTGATATTGTAGAAGGAAAAAGCCAAAAATACTTATCAACTTTAAAAAAAGGACTTTCCTTCTGGCCCAATTAACATCTATGAATAAAGATTCAACTCTGTAAATTTCTCGAATCAGAAAATAAATGAAGTTATTGGATGGATTCTCATAATAGCTGTCATTTTAATGATGCTCGTCATGACCTTATCTCTAATTCAAGATTCAGTTGTTGGATTCACAATCCCATTACTTTCAGTAGTCGTGTTCTTCATAGTGTATCTAAACTGGATATCGATGAAGTTCTTTATCAACTCATGATTGTTATCAAATATATTCAAATGACTAACTGTCTATTTAAAATATTTTTAGTGTAAATAATTTTCATTTTTTTTATTTCCTCTCTTTTTTTTCATCATTATCCTTATGTTTCTTGTGTTTTTTTTCTTCTTTATTTTTGCTCTCCTTGTTTTTCTTCTCTTTTTTTTCTTTCTTCTTTTTGTCTTTCTTGATCTTCTTCTCAATGCATCCATCTTCTTCCTTCTTCACCTAAACTTAATATTAGTCCTAATCTCCATAAGCTTCTAATAAATATTACGCTTCTGTATTCTTAGTCTATTTTTACATAGGACCATTTCCTAATCCTTTCTTCTCATTATTCAATTCATCATCGAAATCTATTTTTGATTTTTTGGTTAACTAAGCCATTTCCTCTTTGGTCAATTTGACTTGCATTGATTTTTATTCATCTGGCTATTCGATTCCCAAAGCTATTCTAATTCTTCTTTCATCCTCTTCCTTAGCTCTTTTAAATTCATCATCCAATTCTAGAATATTTAATTAAAATACAATTAGAATCCAAACCATTTCGATCTTCAGGTTTAATATACCAATCCTTCTTTCTCCATTTGCCTCCCTTATCCAAATAACCAATTATGGTTGTTTATCCCAAATATTATTCCCTATCATGATACTTCATTGTTCTAAGAGACTCCCAATTGAATTGATCGTGTCCTCCTCTGCATCCTGGTCGAATTAGATCAGCATTATTTTAATGCATTTTTCTTATTTTATTTATTATTTTTCATGCCTTTTTTGATTATATTATATTAAGATTTATATTTTTCATTTTTATTAATCAAATCTTTCAAACTTAATATCAATAGCCTTGACATTTGGTTGGTTCTTTCCCTAATACATGATAACTTGAAAACTAAAGTAAGGAACCAATCCTTTCCTCTTTTTTTTATAACACTCTGGATCTACACAAGACTTTTTAAAATCATCTTGATGAACAAATATGTCCTTGTTGTTTTTATCATCCAAAAAAAAACCGTACTGTTTGCTTTCATTATAGAATTTCAAGTATCCAATTACCCTTTCAGGTTGGCTTGCAATAATTTATTGCTGTGTCTATTGTGGATTCTAGTAGGTTTTCCTAAAGGTATATAGGATTATGCATACGTGATAATATTTTATAGAAATAATGTGTCCTCATGTTCCTCTATAATTTATTACACTTAACTACCTTGAAAATTAAAGACACTGTTGCTTTTTTATGAAGTCCTTAGAGTTATGGGAGCATGCGGCGATTTAGCTGAATATTAGTTAACATTCATAATTTTTTATAATTGTGGTGTGAGAGTTTGAGATTGATACTATTTATCAATTTTCTAGGTTTTTGCACTTTGGACACTCAATCCAATATTTCCTAAGTCATTCATCGAAAGCACTACATTCAGAGATGGATGCAGTTTCTGACTGCCCTCCTCCGACAGAGGTCTATTGTATAAGACTGTATTGTTTATCTATAGAAATGAATTGATTGTTTGATCTATTATCTTCTTTATGAACTTAAACTTCTTCCTATACGAATTTGTCTATAATTCATAATAATTGTAATCCTCCTTAAATATCCTTATGGTCTTCGTGTACCCATGATTTATTATCATCGACAAGAGACCATCATCAATAAAGTACAATTCAATCTTCACCTTAAAAATCTAAGAAATCATCTCTAAATTGAGCTATCATCATTTAAAACTTTTTACATATTCAAACTGCTCAGATTGCTAATTTATTATGTATTCAGCTAAGGAACTCACATTATTCAATGTTTTATGATGTTATTTAAATTATTGTAAACATAAGGTTTGTATTTATAATTGATAAATGTCCGTTTAAAATAGTAATGTCGATAAGCATTAGAATAATGTTTTAGGCTCTAAAATTAGTACCATATCATTCTATTCCATCACATTAATACTGGATTCCCTTTTCAGAGTCATTTGACTAGAGCTGATGAGATTGCTGTACATATTTTATTTTAATTATTAAATTTTCTATTGATATTATTAATAAGAAATTGACTTTATTCAAACATATCTAAAGCTTATACATGATCTGTAAATTAATTAAATAATTATTGTGTATTAAAATGAATTAAGAATATAGTTTAATGACGAAAGCTAATATTCCAAATAGTGTAAAAATATCACTAATTTCATAATTGATAATGTTGGCTGTTGCTATTTTATTTGAGTTTACGCTCTTTTTCACAAATCTGTACGAGATTTACTCACCTCAAATATGCACGATCTCATTCACTGGCAAAAAAAGATGCTTGAATTATGATGGCAATTACGAAACTTTCACAGTCGCTTGTGAGGACTGCTAATTTTTATGCCTCATTTGGCCATTGTCCTTGGCTGAAATTATATTATTATTGTGTATTTTTATATGCAAAATATACTACTTTTATACTCTGAAGTGCTGCACTATCATCAAGGTAATATCAATCATTTTAATTGCAATAATACTCAGCTTGGAAATCTATTTACTTTTCTAATTTGATAACAATGTTCCCTAAGTATTAACCTTTAATTATAAAATCAAACTATATCCCATCGTCACAAAACTGATGATCGGAATTTTGATCTTGTCTATCATTATCGCCATATGGATCGAAGATATCTAAACATTTAAGTATAAGAAGCAAAGATTAATGTCAACCTCCTCTTGCTGTTATTCACAATAATTGTTATAAATTTAGTGATCTAAATATTTATATATATTGTTTAATGAATCAAATAACTTTCACATTTTTGCACCTCCTCCTTCTATCCCTCTAATTCAATAATCAATTGTTCTCATCCCACATTTCCATTTAAAGATGAATTATTAAATTGGACATAATTATTGAGTACTTTAAAATTAGGATTAAATTTTATAAATACAAAAGCATTAATAAAACATCCTTCATCCTTGAGTTGCAAACCTATTGTGTCTAAAACTAATATTTAAATATTAGAGGTAACTAGAGATATATTTTTATGTGCTCTTATAAAACAATATTTGAGAAAGTTAAGATTTCAACTCTAATTAAAAATTTAAGAGAATATTCTATTTTCTATAGTTGAGTGAGTATTAAGGACATGCAATACTATTATTTAATCTTATAAAATGATACTCTGTTTCAAAGATTGGATAATTTTTCATGATTTCTAGCTTAAAAATTTCTCATCTTTAAAAAATTATGCAATATTCCAAAAATTTTACTACATACCATCCTTCATTAAAAGAAAGCGTTTTAGTTCCTTTTTCGAATGAGTTATATTAAATTTATAAAAATCATATTTATTATAATACTTGTAATACTTTTTCATTTAACTCTAATGAATCAGAATGATCAGGAAATAACTTAAGTGTTTTTTAAACCAATGAATAACATTGAGAATAATCTTGTTGGTTAAAGTGCAATACACTTAAATTATAGATAGGCTCATAAATGAACTCGTTACTTTCTATGGCTTTCTAAAAGTTCAGCTTGGCTTTGTCAAATTCCTTCCTTTTGGATTGAACCACCTAAATATTTTCTAATCACATACAGCTAAGTTGTTGTAGGCTTCTCCATGATGAGGATCATAACATAGAGATATTTTCAGACATTAATAAGCAGTGCCACTATCTCCTAGATTAATAAATATCTAAGCTAAATGCATTTATTACATGCGATAAGTTATACCATATTTCTGCTCTCTGTTATTCATCCGCCACACTTAAGGCTCTTTCGAAACATGAATAGAATAAATCATATTATCCACTATAAAAACAGCATAATCCTATATTGTTCCAAATTTCTGCAGTATACAAGCCCAATTATAACTACAATAAAATTTGATTTTTACTAATCGCTTATAAAATTGTAAGGCAGTTTCAGGCTAGTCTTGATAAAAATGCTATGCTCCCAAACTAGCCACAGCTTCAATATTGCAATTATCCTTAATTAAAGTATTTTTATAATAGGGCAAGGCTTTTTCAGGTTAATTTAATTAATCATAAACTCTAGCTATACCTATCAAATATGAAATCTCATGAGGATATCGCTCGCTGTTCCTTTTATACAGTTCTATTGCTGTGGTTGGTTAATCCAATCTTAGATAAATTCTAATAGGTTTGAATTTCTTAATACTTTGCTAATTGCAACTAGGTTTTTATCATCTCTTGCATTTTTATAGAACTTTCGAATTGTTTCTCTGCTTCTCTGTAGAGTCCTAACATAAAATATGCCTTTCCTAGTCTTTCCTTCCACCACCAATCAGAATAATTGCTAGCTTAAGTTGCCTCTGCAGCCAATTATAATGCCTGAATAAATTAACTAATTTACTTTTCTGGGATTATGTTCAACATAAATTAAATAATCGCATAACACCCGTGATACTACAGGTTTGGCAGCCATCTTTTTCATGTCTAATCTATCAACCATAATGAATTAATCTCCCATCTATTATAATGAAGCTGTGCCCAATCTTATGTATCTTCCTCCTTATGTCATAGGTCTCGCTGTGCCCAATCTTGTACCGACTCTTGCAGTCTTTACTGCATTCTCTTATGCTTCCTGTCGATTTGTGACTGGCCTAGCATAACCAGTCTACAATCTCCCCATCTTACTCATTGGTCGAATACCCAAAAATAATATATTCTTAATACTTAGCCAGCTTGACTTCCAGGTCGTTGTAAACTTGTACCAGGTCTGGCTACTGTGTTGATTGAATCATCATTCATTAATTGATCTCCTATTCCTTATTCATCTATTTCAATATCATCCAAAAACAATTTTCTGATTAAACTGCTTGCTTTCAAGACCCAAGCAGATTAATCTAAATTATTTGCTTAAAGAATCTTATCGCATAATTGAATAGACTAGTCATATTTTCTCCTTCTATATCTACTTACAGCAATTGCAAAGTCATCCATTTTTATAATTTTTAATTAATTATTCTTAATTTATTCGATAACTTATACTCAATTATTTAATATACTACTACTCGGCGAATTTCTTAAATATGATTGAATCCAGTTAAAGGAGTAAAGAAATATTGTCAACTTTCATTTCTTGTTTTTAATATAAGAATTTTATCTAATGAGAGTGGAAAGTTATTGGTTTCTATTTATTTGAAGTAATTAGGAGAAGCAGTATTTTCAATAAGGTTTATTAAATATTATTCTTAAAAACAGATGTTTATCTTAAAATTAGTATTTGAAAGTCAAAAATTTTATATAAAGAAATTAACAAAAATTATGAGTTGGAAATAATTGCAATAATCTTATTTAGTAAAAGTAAAGGCAATAGAATATTATCAATTCAAAATGCGTTTGGGTGTAATTTTAAGAATAAAAGCAATTATTACTTGAATACTTTGAGAACCTATCTCATTCATTTTTTCTAATAAATTTGATTATGTTTAAATTTCTTATAAACTTCATTCATTTCAATTATTTAGATAGTTTATAATTCTAATAAATAAGTAAAAATAATAAAATCCCTATAAAAATTTAATTCATTTTAAATATGTGTAAAGAGTCCAACTTTTACATATAAGTAATTCGAAATGGTTCAAATTCTTAATTATTAAAATTGTTAATATAAATTTAATTAATGTATACTAAAATTATTACATTGATATATTATCAAATTAGTTAAGGCCATGTATGAAATATTCAAATGGAAATGCCCAAAAATATATTTAGAACAAGTCGCTTTAAAGAATTTGCAGTTTCATTTCACATCAGTTATAATGATATAAAATTATAAGATTTGATTTTGAATAGTTGTGATTAATACGTAGCATATTCTCATAATAAAGTGAATGATTATTTGAAAGTATATTAAAATTTAATAATGGATAAATAATAAGGTTGTTTATATGAGCGTTTTGGTGGCGATTAATAAGTTTCCGAGCTGATTGATTAATTTTACTACAAGGTGTTGTTTGATAAGTTGTTAAGAGACAAGTTTCTGAAGGCAGATATGAGTAGAGTCAGATATCAATAAAAGCGATTCTTCTCATAAATGATGGGAGACAAGAAAACTCAATATACTGGAAGGTAGGATATAAAATGTGATGTTTATAGAGATTTAATTGAGGTGCATCGAAATCTAAATATCTCAGATTAGCAATTTGACAAATTTAAGATTCATTTAAAAAGCATAGCTCAAGATATGGAAGTGAGTGTGGAGGATATCGAAGAGTTGTTGGAGCATGTGGAGAGACATAGAAATGTTATTGTATTTAATAAATGATGTTTTAATTCATATATTAATTTTTATATGAGCGAATTTCCTGAATAAATAGATATATCGAAACTTAGGATAGATTTGGGTCAATAATGGAATGAAATCGAATTGGAAGTGTTTTTAAAGAGTATGATTGAATGATTAAGTTGATTGTAGTCTTTAGACAATAATAATTGGCAGGGGTTGGCAGGATGTAGGAGACTTTGAGACAGTTAGGATATCAGCGAACAACAACAAACTTATTATCTGTATACAAGAAGGTAAGATTAATTATGGATGAAGAATAAAAACTTCTTGGAATCAAATCAAAATTGTACCGCCCATGACTTGTATCTGATATTAAGAGATCATTATGAATAAAATGAACCTTGTGATATACGACCAATTAAGAAGATTAAGAAAAATTAAAATTGTACACAATATTGCATAAACACAAGATCGTAAGAGTATTCCTTAGAAATTCGATATGGATGAGAATGCAAAGGATATGACCTATTATTTCAGTTAAACATAATGTCTCAATAACCAATGTGTTTATGATAACAAAAACATTAGTCAGAATGTATTCATAGATTATTTTAAATTTAAGTTTTGTAAATGGATTTAACATGAATATTTTTATTCGCATTTAGATTATACTTATTTTAGTCTAAATGAATTTTAGCAGATGTTAAGTAAAGCGAGTATTCCATTGGGATCAAAATCAATTGCAGAATGGAGAATTATAAAAATGGTAGAATTTCATTTCTACTCTTTAGGCAGTGGGATAACCAAGGAGATTTTCATTTTATTTCCTTCAATAGGAGATGAGCAAATTGACAAAGTATCGATCTGTTATTAGAAACTACTTGTTCGATTAGAATTATCCTATTCACAGGGATATTAGAAATCTAGATTTAATACATGACATCGTAAGATTGGCACCATTCAATGTTGGTTAAACAGTCTATGCTGTCCATCCAGTATGCAAACATGTTCATGTTGGATCCATCTTGTCTACCAACCTACCTACTATAACTATTAAATTCTCATAGCCAGAATTAGGAGTTCATAAGATATCGGATCAAAATATTTAATTGTATCTATGAATCCCTTATTTATCATAAGAGAAGAGAAGTTCATTAGCAAATAGATGAGTGATGTTCGATTCGATATGCAATAGCAATTAAGTTTCAATACACAGAATGAAAATAAAAACACTTTGATTTCCAGTATTGTTTAGGAGTTGGATCATTATGCTGCAGCCTTTATGATCAGAATTTTGCAGAGGTATCATCATAAGTATTTCAGAAAATATGCCTTGGTTGGACATCTGAAGCAATTGAGTTAGAAATTGTAAAATGAACCAACTCTTATAGAAGATCAAGAATTTAAAGCTCTTTATCAATGGTCTTTGCAACAAATCAAGAATTTCGATTCTGCTTCTAAGCATGTTATGACGAAGTTTAGAATGAGAGGATTGAGTGGATATTGTAAGTGCAATTTGCATATTTATTTCAAGCTTTGCAATAGGTGAACAATAATTTGGATAAGGTTTTGAGTATGCCTTTGGCCTATATGGAGAGAGAGTTGGACCAGAATAATGTGGAACCAGAGGAGGAGAAGAAGAATTTAGAGATAAAGCAGATCATTCATAAACAATAAGATGTATTAATATGTTATTTCTTATTTCAAAGGAAAAAATCAACTCACAATTAAATTCATTACTAACATAAAAATTTGCATTTCTAGAGAAGGACAATTGTAATTATTTACCTTATGATTTTCAATTTGAATAGAATTGAAACCCTTAGTTCAATCACTCTTTGGTCTATTGTTTACTCTAAATAATAGTTAAGATTTGAATATGAATTCCAATAGTCATTGGCAAACATTAAAATAAAATATCTAAGAATCACATCCTCAGTAACTGCAGGAAATATAGGAATCAATACTAAGAATAGTAGGTAATCATAGTAAATGACATAAATTTATATTTCGATTTCAGATTTCAAAGTGAGAAGTTTAGAATTTTTAATTTATTGGTTTCAATTTTAAATGACTAAAATATGGTCTAATATCTGGTTTCTATTTCCGATGAGTTGAAGATGTTTAAGTGTGTTTTTTAATCACCTATGGTTCTTACTCTTTTTTTGTTTGAGGTACACTAAGCTAATGAAAATTCAATCGGCTCTTTTTCTTCATTTACTCCAATAGTTCACTATAGAGGAATTCTTTATTTTTGTTGAGGACAATTGCATTTTCCTTCATGGGAGTTAGTCTTGGTGATATGTTATACACTTAGGATAATTAGATCTCTTTGCAGGTGTTCGTTCTGAATTAGTGTCTCTAAATTAGAATGGATGACCTATTGGAAGCAGGACTACGATGAGAATGGAGTTTTACATGATTTTCATAGATTTGCTCATCATCTGATGCTTTTGAAAAGTTATAATCCTCCTTAATTGAACATTGTTATTTTGATGCTTATATTGAAACTAACTAAGTTGACCGCATTCGCTGCAATAACAACTTTTTCTTCTCAATTAGGTTTCATTTGTATTGATCAAATCTTCCTGATTCAGTTTGTAATTTCTATGCTTTAAACTACTCCTCTTAGACTTATTCAAAGAGTAGACGATTGAATTCGTTTCTGTCAACATTTTATCTGATACACGAGATATACTTTAAGTCACATTAGAGATGATCATTTTATTAAATTTAATGTTTATTTCCTGTCAAAAACTACTACATACTGATTCAAACTATTGTAAATGAAATACTAACTATTATATCAAAAAAAGAAATTAATAGTTTCAGAGTGGACTAACAGTTGACAATGTTTTCTGATGATATTTGGTTCTATGCAAAGTCAATAGTTACGATCTCTATTACATTAATTGAGCTGGCTTTATTGGTTTAAGTAATTGTGAATCTATTTTCCTCAGTGTCACATAAGGCGACAAGTAAGGTAAATTTCTAGGCGTTTTTGAATGTTTTGGAGAACAGTTTGGAGTATATTATGCTAATTAATACACTTTTATTTGCTATTATTATTGTCTTGAGAAATAAGAATGCAATTTTGTCATTTATTCCTATATAATTTATAAAGTCTATGGGCTTTTATTGTTATCCTGCATTGCGTTTATTTTACTTTCATCATAAGTCTTCATTTTTTTCAATGCTTGTTTTATTCGTTACACAGATTTAGGTTAAGCTGATTGTCTAATCATTCTAATTAAACTAAATACATGTGTTAGTTGGAGGCTCTTCTCGTAAGAATTGCTTTTCGATAAGGCCTAGGTCCCTTTATGTTCATGCATTTATATTAAAATGTTCCCAATTGCCCACATTCATCGCAGTAACAGCTTTTCCTTCGAAATGGCCCCTTTATTGTTTTCTAATGTAAAACAAAAGGCTTTAATTAACTTCGTGATTTTTATCTTCTCACTTATCGACCATGTTATCTTAAAGTGGTTGACAATCTGAAAGTCATACTCAAAGGAGAATTAAGACCAGAGCTACTCTCGAATTGTTTCACTTTATCGAGAGCCAATTAATTCATGATTTATTAAATATATATCAATTTTGCTATCATAATAATCCAAAAATTGCAAACCTCATAGACTAATTTGAAAGTTCCCAAAGCCACTCCTTGGAACTCTCTTCCTTAGTCGATGAATCTTTAAATTGCAGATTAATGTATCTTTTTTAATCACAATATTTAAACCCTAATCCTTCTTATTTAATAACTATAAAAAAAGTCTTCCTATTTTATTCCTACTTTCCTTGGAATAAAAAAGGTTCTCAACTCAAACTGAACTTTAAATGACTTTGAGTACTTCGAAAATCAAATAATTAGAAATACATTGTACAGAAATAATTTGTTAAATCTGAAATAAATTCTACACATCAAATATCAATATTTATATTTTCCATAGTGAAACATCCTTGATAATCTGAAATTGTCTAATACAATTTTATAAATTATCATGTACAATATGCTTAAATAGTATTCAATTGAAATGGTGCTAAATACTTTGGATGAATCTATATTAAGTAGATTATTGGAAATATTCTAATTAGAAATATGCAAATTATAATTTAATGAATTGGGATTTTCTAAATAGAAAACTAAAGGAATTCTTTGAATAGAGGCGATAATAATCCATTGATAAATTATTCACACTGAATACCGTAACTGATAATAACTTCCTTAAAAAATAATTCCTAGAGTTGGAAACTTAAGTTACAGAGGAACAAAAATAAATTGTCTCTTAACCTAGTGTCCCTATTACTACACCAACACCTTAAAAGTCGAAATAAACTCCGAAATCCTTTAATTAGATCTCTTATCTCTTTTCTCCTCATGGACCTGCAAGATCAAGGAATTCTATGCAAATGAGATAAATAGTAACAAGTAATCTTAAAAATGAGAATAACAGTTATAATCATGTTAAGAGCAAGGACATCAAGAAAGTTTAAGAACTGGTAGGTTCAAATAGTAAGACTTCATTTAAAAATAATGGAAGGAAACTATAAAAATAGCAAACTTCGGTCTCACAAAAGATTCTAAAAGATTTAGATGATCAATTCGACCCATCACCTACTAATCTCATTAAACCATGTGAATCGCTGAAGTGTTTCATTACACAAACCAAAAATATTAATACATTAACAATGAAAGCCTAATTGAAACTCAAATCTTAAAGATCTATGAGATAATTAAAGCAACCTAGTCCTGCACTTGATAATTTCACTAAATTGGGGTTTGGAAATAGTACAGATCCCAGAGTGGGCTTAGATAGGTTTTTAAGCAATAAATGGTTGTAATTCGTTATTGAATAAAAGTCAATGAGGAAAGATGATTAATTTGATAACTATCTCTAATAATATAATGAATCTAAGTAGAAGGAATAAAGTATTTAAAAATTGAAATAAAAATAACAAATAAGATAGGATTTCAATAGTGAAGTACCGTAATCTTTGATTTTTAAACCACATAGATATACTAAAAAGATTACAAAGATAAAGAAGAATGAAATTTCAGAATTAATCTCCTCCTATTCTCAAACTGTCTTTGATATAGAAAAGAAAAGAGATGATGACGAATTGATTGAATTCTACCCAATCTATTATGAAAAGAAAGTTAAAAGAAGAAGGATTATTCGTAAAATGAAAATTCTAGCCAAAAAGGCTATTAAATTAAGAACATTTGTTTTAGATGTATGCAACATTGTATAACAATATCATAGTTACTCTAAAAATTCTAACAATTTGTACCATACTAAATGCCAGGGTCAATTGCCTTTTTGAGATTTGTTTAGTCAAACAATGTTTAAGCAGTTAAGGAAATGCTGGATTAGGATAATTCATTCATAGGTTCTTTTAATGAACAAGGACAGTATGCCATTCATATAGGAGTGATGATTTAATCGATTGAAATGGTCAAACTACTGTTGTATTATAGAGCGAATGTAAATTCAGAAGACTTCTTTCTCTAAAAACCATTGTATTTCGCTTTGATCACTGATAATTTAGAGATAATTAGATTGTTACTCGCTTGTAGAGCTTCACCATGGGATGAAAATTTAAGAGATTACTTCATTTGTTGTAGAAGTGAGGATGCAAAAAATCTAATAAAACTAGGCTAATATCTTAAAATATATAATAAAGATCCGGAGTGTATATTAAATATAGAAAATATCAAATAACAATTGAATTAGTATTGAATCATCTAAAAAATAATTTTGGTCTTAATTTTGATATTCTTGCATACAACCAATAAGTTAAATTGCAATCATGTTCTAAGTGTAGTGTGTGTAACTTGGGGAAACTAGTTTCTTTCTTAAATATGCTTTCCAAGAAAAGTCCTTCTGGAGGGTATTATTACAATTTAGTATCACAATCTAAGTCTCCATGTTCAAAATGACCTAGCCAAAATATTTTCAGATTTTAATGTTAAGCTATTCCTAAGACGAAGGATTGCGAGACCCAAGAATCTCCAGACACATCCAATTCTTCCAGAAATGGACAATTTTCATTCCAAATTGAAACATCATATTATAATGGGCAGTTCCTCAAACATAGGTATCTTAATTGATGGAATTTAGCTATATTGATATGGGCTTGATCTCTCAATTTTCTTGTGTAAATGATTGACAATCGTTATAATTGGAGATCTTGCATATTCTTAAATGCTTAATCACTAATTTTAGCACATTTTTCGAAGTTATTCCTAACCAACGCAAATTCTGTTAAGGTCGGAAATGAATGAGCAATAATGTCTAAAGATTGATCTCCAATTTTCGAACAATATCTAATCTCTAGAGATTTTAAATGCATGAGATCAATCTGGAACCCACTTTTAGATATTTGTGCATTATATACTTGTTCACTCCCTCCCACAAGTAGTTTTTATAACAATTTGCAATGCTTGGATATGAGATACAGAGAATCATTGGTTAAATGGGGACAATCATGAATGCAGAGTACCTGAAGATTGAATTCAGCAAAAATGCTAATGAACCCATCTTCCCAAGGCAATGAATAGAAATGCAATTCTTATGCACTCTTCAATGTAAGAAATGATTTCATTTCAATCTCATCAAACGGTTTCTTCCTATTTTTTGTATTAACCAAAGTTAGACTCTTGAAATTAGGAAACTTGCGAGTAAAGATCTTTGAGAATTCCATGTTGATATTAGTAAATTTCAAATATTGTATACTCTATGGCAATTACATGAACATATAGGCTGTATCAGTCTGTGTTGCATGAGGAGGCAATTTCATTGAGATTATGGTCTTATCTCTTGAAAATATCTTAAGGATCGGAAACAACGGCTTAGATGAGTCAATGTTTTCTAAATTCGCATGCTCAAACATCAAAGGGTCTTTTTCAATAATTTCTCTCCATCTTCTGCATACTCTCGCCGATCTCACTAAATCAAACTACTTTAATTGATGCAATACCACATTCAAGTATGTAAGGATGATACGTACATAGTCATTCTTCAATAAGGTAAAAGGATCATAAGACGGAGGTTTCCTTATTTATTATTTTTTCATCATAGGAATAGAAATTATGAAATGAATGAATATTAATATTTTGATAATTAACTCTATATGATCATACAAAATTGAAGTTCTTGATGAATGAATATTATTACTTCTAAGAATTTCACTAATAAATAAAATAAATCAAACACTTGCTTAGAATATATATAAGATTAAATATACAAATAATCAATTCATTAAAATCTACTTTTATGTTACTCTTATTCTATGATCCCAACTTCCACTAATAATTAGTTCTCTTCCAGGCATATACTCAAGAGCACTAATTTATTCAGAATGTCTTTTTGCAGTTAAAATTGACTTCCCTGTAGCTATGTCCCAACATCTAATAGTTCTATCAGCACTACCAGACCATAATTATCTATTTTCAATATCAAATCCTAGACAAGTGACTGCTTCTAAATGTCCAACAAAAATGTGTAGTTTAATAGCTCTATCTAAATTCCAAAGTATTATTTTTTTATCAGCTCCTCCAGATGCAATGACTGACATAAATTCACCCATTAGCGATTCTTGTAGATATTTCAAACATAACACTTCTCCATGATGACCATCTAATTGATCCTTACAAGAACCATTTAATACGTTGTACACACCTAAAGTATTCTCTCCTCCACTAATAATTAGACCCTTAGTTTAAACATAACATAATGCTCTAACTCTTTAATTATTTTATATGGTTAGTTTCAACTTCGCCCTGTTTGTTGTCCATATCTTAATGGTGCTATCCAAACTACCTGATGCTAAGTATTCTAAATCCTTTAGATATATCAAACTTTTGACAGGTTACAAATGTCCGACTAACACACTTTCACATATCATTCTTTAATAGTTCCAAATTCTCACTGTTTAATCAGCACTCGCACTACCAAAATTAGTCTCATTAATTTTAGCTAATGCCCACACATCTCCTGCATGTTCACTCATCTAACCCAATGCCACTCCTCCATCTATATCCCATATTTTTATGATTCCTCCACCTCCTGCAGATATCAAAGAAGATTAAGAAAATATACAAAGACATGTCACAATGTCTGTATGTCCACTAAGCACTGTATTTATTGCTTTTGCATATATGTATCGAGATCCACTAAACTCAGCGGAACTTCTATTTTTGGGTATAGTGAATCCTTCCTCTGCTCTATAAATTCGTACAGACTTCCTTTCTTGTTGCTAATTATCCCTCAATAATTCTAATGCATTTCTTTTAAAATCAATGGTTGGAAACAATGCTGACCTTGCACTTTCTAGTTCATATTCTGTTTGCAAATGCGTGGCTCTCTTTTACTCCAATTATAATTCATTGTTCTTGAATAAATTATAAGACTACAATGCTTTCCCGAGTGATGATTTTACTATATTATAAAAATGATCGGTCCGCATATATAACTGATTCTCTAGAACTTGCTTCGAAATTACCTCAGCTCTCTTTTGTAGACTTGGTAATACATTTCCATTCATTTTATCTTGAAAATCCATCAATATCCCAAATTGATTTTCATTTATAGGTCTGACCCTTATTGTATAAGGGGCTACCATGTACATATGCTCAGAAATTACTCCAAGCAAGCTGCCTATCTCAGTTTCATACTATTTGTAATATGAATTTGTATATTCTAAAGCAGAAGAACAAAAGTCATCAACTTCAGCATTTATCCGAGATTTTAGAACTTCGGTTAGCTTTATCAATTATTTCCTCAGCTGCTCCTTCTCGACAGTCATGTGATTCTGAATTGAATAGAGTCTAGCCTTCAGAACATCCAAATCTTTCTCAAGCAACTAAGGAACCTACTTTATTTGATAATCCATATCAGAAAAACTTTATATCATTGGGTAGTGTTAAGCATTGTGCTTGGTCATGCATTGATTACACATCAATTTCTGACCACAATCTTTGACTTAACAAATTAGAGTGTAGGGAGCATTATGTTCAAAACATTTCATTTAATTAATTTTTAGTTATTTCAATTTTACATTTCTGTATTATATAAGCATGTAGAGTAATAATTATTAAATAAAAATGTAAGAAATTTATAATAGATTTATTATTATCAATATAAGGAATAAGCTATGCTATGGAACATGTCTATACTTTTTCATAGACTATTTTCCATTTTTTAATATTATTGAATACAAAACATCAACATGATCTTAATGATATTGTAAATTAATAAAGTCATTCTGACTATTTCTTTCTATATGTATTTTTGATTCAAGTAATAAATTAGACTAAATTAGATCCTTAATGTTTATCCAAAATTATATTGGATAATTTTCAATTAATTAAGGTATTTTAATTCATGAATAAAAAAATAACCTTAAACCTTAAAGATTTGATGATATAAAAACATGATAATAAAAATCAAAATGATATAATACTGTTTCCATCAGAAAATAAATACCATAGTTTCGAATAAATAATTTCACTAAAAGATTTATATTGGTAAAATTCTTAGTTCAGTTCAAAAGTATTGTTTTTACTTAAGAATCTTCTTTTTTTCACCAAAAGTATTGAGAGTATATTTTTGAACCATAATTAGACTAAAGTTGTGAGGAATCAAGTTGATAAAACATTTTTCAAGGCAACAATTCAAATTGTTATCGACAGATGAAAATTCTCTTCATAAGGTAAGGGCATTCTTTCTATGGTTATCTCCTCATTCATAAACTTCTAATATATCTAATATAAATATTAAATGTATTTTAATCTAAAACTCTCTAAACAAATATGTGGTAAATGATAAATAAACACTAATATCACTCTTTAGTCCTCAAATAAATCTATTTCTTAACTACTAATCGGATTTTATAATAATCTGACACAATACTTAATTATTATTACAAAGTTATTATTCACTTTCATTATTCTTTTATATACGAGAAGTGTTTAAAACTAATTCTGAATTAATGAAAAGAGTAGGATATGTTGAGAATGAAAAAATAGTACAACCTTGACAATTTTATTATATCGTTGTTAATTATGGTAGCTATTTTAATAATTAATTATTAATATTCTGGAATTTAAATGGATAGTGTTAAGAAGGAACATTCATACACATATTGGGTTAAAAATGATCCAAATCACCCTAAAATAGATTGCTAGCCAAAGAAAGTTGAAGACCCTACTTAAGTATAACAAGTGCAAACAATAGGGTCTCAATGGAATGTGTCAGGAACATGGGAGGAAAAAAAAGTGCCAATGACTGAAATCAAGAAATCATTAGAAAATATAATTGGAGTAAGAATTATATGTATTAGCTATTTTTAGATGAAGATTGGCTAAACCAAAATTTCTGCAGTAGAATCGGTAGATGGAGAGGCTCATCTCTATTTGAGTAGGGGCAAAAGAAGAATGGGTTATCATTTGAAAATCACATTCGCACTCGAAGATGATGGATAAATCAAATACACAGACTTTACAGATGATGGGGATAGAGATGTAAGAATTTGATACATAATATTTAAGTATGTACTTGAAGATGTGACTGATGAAACAGTTAAGCATTAGATTGAGGATTTGCATCTAAAAACTAAGGAGTTTGTTGAAGTGTTTAAGAATTGATTGTATAAAGTTATGTATTTTAATTTATTAAACACTTTAAAAAAGATTCTAAATTGACAATTTATACATATGTCAGCCTCATCACTTTTTTTTTATTTGTTGAACCTATCCTTATTACTGTTTTGCTTTTGGATTAACTTTTGGTTTTTAGCATTCCTCATAAAATTTCTACAATTAAAGCCTAAATCCTTCATTTGGATGAACAAATTCCCTTTTGTTTTAAATGTATAAAAAAGCTTCATCAGGTTTCATGTTCATCTCCTTGATAAAATAAGCCATCATAACTGAAACTGATCTTGAAATACCTACTTAGCAATGTACAAGAACATTGGTTTTTTTCAAGTACACTTAGATAAATTTACAGGTTTTTTCAAAATGTTCAGAAATTTAAAAATTAGGTTCATCAGGTGCAACTATTCTAAGATGATAAATCTAAGTGGGTATTTTATATTCTAGTTCATCAATTACCGAAATAATGGCACCAAATTTGTATTTGTTGATTGAGTCAAGTGATTTGACTCCTCCAACATAGAGGTTACCTTTGTCTTGAAAATTGGATTTATGAATTAGAGTACATCCAAAATAATCAGGATTCATATTATTAAAATTTTTATTTAATATACATATACATATCAGATGGCTTTTGTTACAGAATTCATCAAAACATTCAAAAACAGAAATATAATAAAAAAAGTATTTTTAATATAACTTAAATGCTGCAAATATGAAATATCATAAATTATAATATGAAAATATAGAACTATGTATAATGAAGGTATTGTTACTGGATTTATATGCCATCTTATTATAGAGTATTGTTATATTTGAATAATTTGTAAACTTACAATCTGAATAGTTGTTTTAGAGTATAAATAAGCAATTAAATCTTTGACTCATAGCTAATTTCACTAAGTATAATATGTACACTTGGAATTGATAAGCCACTTGAGATTTATGATGTACTTCTAATATAGTATAATATTTTATTATAATATGAATGAGTATTTTAGTTAATGTAAATAATTGATATTAATAATGTAAAAAATAAAATTAGACGATGATGAGGAGTTTAACTTTAGAAGGCAGTTTGAAATTTAATAAAGAGCAGTAGAGCCAAAACAACTATCCAAAGTAATATGATGGTTTTAAATAGTTCAAAGATATATTGAACCAAGCTATTGATTTGAACAAGAGGAAGAAAAGTTAATTGGCATCTTATTGGAGATAATAAGTAAGTGAGGAAATAACGAATAACACACAACAATAATTGGATTTTATTTAGGAACAGACTGACGAAGTTTTAACCTATTAATAATACTTGAAGACGAAGTTAGATCAAATCTTAAAGGCAAAGTTATTGACAGAGAGGAGAATAAATAACTTTAAGGATAATCTACGTCATATCAAGACTCAGCCTAATCATGGTCAAAGAGAATTAGATGATAAAGTTAAGATGATGCTCAAGAAAACACAACATTTTACGAATCAGTTTTAGAAGGAAATGGAGAAGTTCAGAAGCTAATCGGAGATGAATCAGGAGGAGTAGTGTCGGGAAGTGGAAAATAGTGAATTTGAGATCAAAGAAATCTAGTTAAAGGTTAAAAAATGTAAATAAAAAAATTAAGAATTGTTGCATTAAATTCGTATTTTGACAGAACAGGAAGAATAGAAAAAGTACAAATTATAAGAGTGCTTCAAAATTAGGGAATATATTGAATTTTTTATGGATGCCAAGTTAAAAGTTTATGATTAAATATAAGGGAATCAAAATCAATTGGAAGAGTTAGGTTAATCATTGCAATAATAAAATGATAAAACATTAACAAGAGACGAGATCTTGAATCAAGTAGATGAGTTCTACAAAACACAAGATATTGGGGAATTGACCAAACAAATTATCAGTACTTACCATTATCTACTTGAACACTAGAATATGCAAACGAATGAATACAATTTTTTTACTGAAGAAAANTGTATAATGAAGGTATTGTTACTGGATTTATATGCCATCTTATTATAGAGTATTGTTATATTTGAATAATTTGTAAACTTACAATCTGAATAGTTGTTTTAGAGTATAAATAAGCAATTAAATCTTTGACTCATAGCTAATTTCACTAAGTATAATATGTACACTTGGAATTGATAAGCCACTTGAGATTTATGATGTACTTCTAATATAGTATAATATTTTATTATAATATGAATGAGTATTTTAGTTAATGTAAATAATTGATATTAATAATGTAAAAAATAAAATTAGACGATGATGAGGAGTTTAACTTTAGAAGGCAGTTTGAAATTTAATAAAGAGCAGTAGAGCCAAAACAACTATCCAAAGTAATATGATGGTTTTAAATAGTTCAAAGATATATTGAACCAAGCTATTGATTTGAACAAGAGGAAGAAAAGTTAATTGGCATCTTATTGGAGATAATAAGTAAGTGAGGAAATAACGAATAACACACAACAATAATTGGATTTTATTTAGGAACAGACTGACGAAGTTTTAACCTATTAATAATACTTGAAGACGAAGTTAGATCAAATCTTAAAGGCAAAGTTATTGACAGAGAGGAGAATAAATAACTTTAAGGATAATCTACGTCATATCAAGACTCAGCCTAATCATGGTCAAAGAGAATTAGATGATAAAGTTAAGATGATGCTCAAGAAAACACAACATTTTACGAATCAGTTTTAGAAGGAAATGGAGAAGTTCAGAAGCTAATCGGAGATGAATCAGGAGGAGTAGTGTCGGGAAGTGGAAAATAGTGAATTTGAGATCAAAGAAATCTAGTTAAAGGTTAAAAAATGTAAATAAAAAAATTAAGAATTGTTGCATTAAATTCGTATTTTGACAGAACAGGAAGAATAGAAAAAGTACAAATTATAAGAGTGCTTCAAAATTAGGGAATATATTGAATTTTTTATGGATGCCAAGTTAAAAGTTTATGATTAAATATAAGGGAATCAAAATCAATTGGAAGAGTTAGGTTAATCATTGCAATAATAAAATGATAAAACATTAACAAGAGACGAGATCTTGAATCAAGTAGATGAGTTCTACAAAACACAAGATATTGGGGAATTGACCAAACAAATTATCAGTACTTACCATTATCTACTTGAACACTAGAATATGCAAACGAATGAATACAATTTTTTTACTGAAGAAAAAACATTAAGATAATAGCAAATCTTGCAATTGAACCTTGAATTATCCCAACTAAAGAATATGTGCAATCTCTCAATAGATGATCAAATTAACTTTGGTTCATACAATAACACTATTATTGAGGGACCTCAAATAATTCATGAGAACTATTAATTGAATTATCATTTACATGGATATCAACTATGTTTAATAACCATATATCAGAAGTTGATTGATATGATTCAAAGATTGTGCAATAATGTGATTTGGTTATCTGAGACAACGAAAACTATTCCAAAATCTTTGGATAACAAATGTATGCAATACCTCAAGAACTTTACAAAGACTGATTTCAATCTATATGTTCCACTTGCCACACAAAGTGTTCCTGTTAATAAATCTACAACCTCAAAGCATATTGGATAGTATGTTTGCATTGGAAAGAGGAATGGTAGCATTACCAGTGAGGAGATTCTTAGTGAACAAAAAATAGAATCCATGACAAGATTTCCAAATTAGTAGTTGGTGAAGTTTAAAACGCATAAGGATTACGAATTTATTGTCAACTAATGGAACGATTTAATAAAGAGTGATTTCATTTTCTAAACTTTGTAATTAGACATCAGTCTGGATGATGTCGATGTCACCTCAAGCAATCATGAAATTATTTGTCATATATATGATTAATATTCTAAACTCATTAAAGAAGCAGATATCAAAAGGCATTTCGAATTACAATTTTCATATTACAGAGACATAATGAGATATATTTACAAAAACAATCAAAATTTTAATCCGAAATCTTTAACTTTGAAATAAAAGTTCAACAATGAAGTTACTTCTCCCTTTTTGTTACAAATTAAATAGCTTTAATTGAAGAGATTGCAGGAATAGGCTAATAGTACTCATTTGGAGGATGAATGCCATTTTAAACTGAATTCTAATAAGGCAGTAAATACTTCAGATGATAGAAAATACCATGAATACTTCATTCATCAGAGTTCAAAAATAAAGAAACAATTCCCTGTTCTACAAGATCAATTAGTTACTAAGACTCTATAAGATATTGACGTTATGAGACAAAAGGAGTTGAATGAGAATTATCAATAGTCTGACTAGATTTCCTCCGATATGGATTATTTAAATTAGGAGAGGCGCAATTTAAAAGGCATTCTTAGTAAGAAGAAACAAAAACCTTAAACGGCCAATAGCAAAACATCCAAGACTGTCACCCGTGAAACATCCAGCATGAAGACTAAAATTATTAAACAAGTTGATCTGTTGCACAAAATATATAAACGTAAGAATATATAACAAATTCTAATTAGTTTCATCCTCAACTCGTAAATTAGAAATCAGTAATAGTTTCAATGCAAATCTGAGTAAGTATACAGAAAAAGTGAAAAGAAAAATATCTGATTATTTTACTCCAAAATTGGATATGGATTTTTGTCAAAAGGAAGAGAGCAGAATTCTCTTGAAGCCAAATTAATTTGAAAAAACTCTTTCGGCATCCAGATCAGTGGAACCCTATCCAATGACTCCTCATTCTGAACAACTGTTGTCATTCGATCGAATTGATTCTTTCAGATAGATTCAAGATTCAACGTAATTGGGAAGTACTAAAAAAGACAAAGCCTTTTTAATTAAAAGAAAATGAATGATTCTTAATTAATATTATTATTATGGAATACACATAGGATTAAATTCAAGATATCATAAGTTTCGTTGCTCAAAAGTGGGACGAGAGACTCTTTGAACAAGCAAAGACCAAATTCCACTCCGTTGTCGAAATCGATTATACATCTTTAGGTGCCCCATCGATTACCTAAGATCCAATTGAAACCTTATGTAACAATTGGAAGATAGTCCTAAGCGGATTCGATAAAACTGTGCATACAGTGAAAGTAAATTAAATTGAGCAGGAGAATGACTTAATTGTAGTGCATTCATCAGTGAATGCATATCATTTTATAGCACATGTGGAGGAGGGAGAAGAATGGACATTGAATGGACGTTATGTGCACAAGTTGAAGAGCATTGATGGAACTCTCAAAATCGTTTACATGAAACTGTAGGTAGAGGAATAAAAGGGTAACCTAAAGTTAATTATGGAGTCAACCAAGAGAACAATGTAATGATTAATAAATAAAATATTTCTTTTATAAAAAGAATATAAATTTATTAATTTTTTGTAGATGATTATATAATTCAAAATCAAATCTAATACGATAAAAATATTAAATTTCAACAATGATGTCATTGTATAATATTATAATTCTGAAGTCTTAATAAGTTGCTAATTTTTTATTGTTTTACTAGTTTTTAATTTTCGAAAAAGGGGTAATTCTAAATGTTTATATCTGAAACACTCACTATAAACTAATCTCCTCAACATTAGCTTCAAACTATTGAGTAATCATAATAGCGCATCCACCCATTTGAGAACATTCAATTTGGTTAGATGTCGAAATCAACAAAAAATATCCCAGAGCTCAAAATGAGAAAAGTCTATCTGATGAAGGTTTCGCATCATAAAATAAATTAGGATAAAGTGAGAAAGAAGTATGTTTGGTTGGAAATGAAGATAAATCAATACAGAGAAAAAGATTCAATTATTCACGATGAGACGAGTAAGAAATTCTTCCTAACTTATTTAAAGAGTTCTGCAGGATTTGTCTATGCGATGATGGCAGCTCTGATCTGATACGACCTTGTAAATGCAAAGGATCTCTATAATTTATTCACGAGAATTGTCTGAAGTTATGGGTATTGGAAAAGCAAGGGATAGAGAAGGTCTATCAAAATGATGTAATCTCATTTCATATATAAAAAAGATAGATTGCGAAGTCTGTCATTCGAAGTTTTTAATGGAAACTAAATTTTCTAATTAAAGGTAGCTGAGAATGTTAAGAAGTGCACCAAGAGCTAGAATATGTTGCTGGACAATTGAAATAATCATGTCTTTGGGTATACTTGGAACCATTATTGCATTGATCTATTAGATTGTTGTAAGATTCAAATATTATAAAATATAGAACGGTATAATAGAACCTCTGATATTGGCAGGCACAACTATATTTGTTATTTTATTGATTCTGATTCTCTCCTTGATTTACGTAAGCTGCGTGGATTAGGTTTCAATTGAAGTTCTTGACCCTTGGAGATTCATTGATGTACAAATGGAAAGTGATTCTAAATCTATTTCGATACTTGAATTAGAAAACCCAATTAAGTAGACTATTTAGATTATAAACAACAATGATGATAGAAATAATATGCGCTACTCCACTATAAATGTAATTTAGATACAGAATTGAATTCAAGAAGCTCTATGTTTATGATTCTATTGTTTTATGCATAAATTATTAATATTGAAGAATAATATGAAAATTGCAATTAATTTATGCATCAAAACAAAAGGAATAATTAATTCAGATCTCTTAATCAAACATAAATGATTCAATGCAATATAAAAACAAAGAAGACATCAAATCTAAATAAACAAAGGATTTGAATTTGTAGTATTAATGAATGAGATCATTGATCAAAATTTCATCATCTCTTGAATTAAACAAATCTAATTTCATTTCAAGTATTAGTAAAAATGTAGTTTATTTTAGTCTTTGCTTAGCCTTCGGAGTATTTTGAAATTTGAATTAATGATTATAATTCCGTTTTCATCTCAGGGGTAATATCAATAATTTTAATTAATTCTTTTAATCTAATAAAGTAAAGTTATTGTAACATCAAATCAAACAAAATAACAAACTAAAGTAGGACATAATTAAAAAGTCCGAGGAAGTTTTATAATAAAGCATCCAAACAAAGTAAGAAAGAAAGTAATTAAATATAAAAATATTAATTTATCTATTGTAAATCAATTATCTCAAAATAAAAAACTTGCACAACTGATTTCTTTTAGACTCAATTTAATGAGAAATGGATATCCCAAATTGTTCACAAGAACTTGTTTATAGAGAAACTCAATGTTAACTTTCTTAAAATACAATAAAGAAGTTGCAGTAATCAAATATAGAAATAAATAGAAATAGTTCCAACAACGTATGAATATTATAAAAGAGTCCTTCAAGAAGGTATATAGTTCATTAAAGGAATGTCTAATTAAGGCATCATTTAGAAGTGATATTGATGAAGAACATAATCATTATTAGACAGAGATTCAATTAGTAATTCCATAAACTAAATTTTGGGTACACTGATATTACAAGATATGGATTATAATTTACTTTCATTTAAACATTTGAACAATGTCATTAATAAGAAACAAAGATCAATAAATTAACTAAATGTAAGTACTGATTATTTGGAATTCTATTGGTGGAAATGATTTAATTTAATGGAAATTAATATATATATAAATGTTATCAATTCTATCTATTAGATAGATTATCTTTGATAAGGTCTGCCATCTTTAAAAATAATAGAATGATGTCCCAATAAATGGTTACACTTCCACTCACATCATCTGCCTTATTGATATCATATGAGTCTCCACAACTAGATATTGAACTGAAAATACTTCAAATTAGTGTATGTGTCATAGAGCAAAAGGAAGGCAAATAAAAAGGAGGATAAGGATATGAACATAATCCAAAAGAGGGATATCTTGGTGAATATTGTGAATAGTTCAAACACTATCAATATGCTGGCTGATACAAATAACACAGCTCCAGAATAAGTTATCTTTCTTCTGACAGTCGAGGAGTACAAAAATAAAAAGAATATTAAGCCTATTTAAAAACTTTAACTTACTTGCAAAATTAACAAAGAGCAGCAATCCAATTTAGGAATTACCAAATGCAACCAAGCAGCCACAAACAGAAGCAAATGACAATGTGAATACAATAAACACTAACCAATTGGTTGGAGACAACGTAATTTGATTACGATAAATCAAAGCCAGAGTGGCTGTTCCTACACAAATTCCTAGACTTAACCAAAATATCCATCTATTTTATTCTAGGAATTTGTCTAATGCAGGAATAGAATGCACAATCCAGACATAGACACCTAAAAGGGAAGTTGTAATTTAAATGCTTACAGATAATGATCATCTACAAGAATAATTTGGAAAACAGGTTTCTAGCATAAATCACTCTTCCATTAAAAGATTAATCGTAGGCATTGACTACTTCTGTGGTTTGTGCTTGCTTATTCCTTGTGGAAAGACGAGGATCTCCAGTTCGAATAGAACTTTCAAATAACATAATAAATTAACAATAATTATTGTATATAAATAATAGAGTAGTTGTATGAATCAAATACACTTTGGCATGGCATAAATTAGTTTGGATATATTAAAATAAAAAGAGAGAGAAATCGAAAATAGATAGAACAATTGAATCAACAAATTTTGTGAGATTAAAGAATGTGTTTGTTGAAATAATCAATAATATTAAATTAATTATCTTAAATATGGATTAGGAAATCAGACCAACACGTTAAAGTATTCTAAAACGATAATCAACTTTTGATAATCCTAATTACATGGAAGAGAAAGAGAAACAGCATCAACAGCATTAGAATAATTTATAAGAAGATTTGCACGTGCAAATAGATACTAGTGTCAAAATAATCACTATTCCTGAGGTTAATGATGCATAAGTGCTGAAGTAATAGGATGAAAGTATAGGATTATTATATTGTTTAGTTCATTTTCCACAGAAAGTCAATAATTTGTGTGAAGCCGAACTCATCAAGATGGCATTAAAGTAAAGTGATATATTGTAATATTAGAAAATCTTAGATATGGGAGGAAGACGAATAATGACTGTTATGATTTATATATTGAATGAATATATCTTAAATTAGTTGATTTTTGAGACTCCTTTAGAGAGAAGATTAGAGTTAGGACTTCCATTATGACTGTCCCCCCTTCCATTTAGATCTCTGAAGTTGGATTTCAATCACTTTTGGATTTATAGATTAATTATGAGATGGTGTGCTTTTTATTATAAATTTTATTTCTTTTTTAATAATTTTGTAATTGTTTCATTAAAATGTCCATTACTGAATCAATAAATAAATACGAAGACTTAAAGAAGTAACATCAATAAGTTAAGAATAATACTATGAAAGTAATATCATCAATTAAGTTATTACATTTTTACATCCAACCGTTGCATGCAGCCAACATCAACTGGTTACAAGCTCCTTCAATATTTGATGTATCATAATATGGAGAGATGCAATTGATTATCTATTCATCACTCAAAAATTCGAACAATCCATCACTCCCCAATATTATGGCTTTGTCATTCTTCCCCAAGTCAAATTATAGGATTTCAGGTTTATCACTTACTCCAACTGAATGAGCAATTTCATCCCCAAGTGATCTTGTCATAGCCAAACCAGGAACATTCTGCTTTGTCCATACTCTGAGAGGACCCACAAAGAGACCTAAGCCATTCATCAGGGGATCTATCCTGCCTCCATTAACCAGGATTCGATCAGCTTCATCTTTGCAACTCGGCTTGTGATCTCTTGACAGTGGTTTCAATCTCCAGGTCTCTTCTCGATTCAACAGAACAGCTCTTGAATCACCCAGGTTTGCACAATAAAGCTAACATTGTTAATAACACAATAACTTTATTATTTTAAACATACACTATCACCAGAGTCGATCCTGAAAAAGAGATATCAATATGACTCTATTGTAACATATCAGACAGTCCTTAAATAATGAGCATCAAACCTTAAGGAGAACTAAATCTATTGTTTTAATTGTCTACTTTCTCTCGAGCATCATTTTATTCTTGGATACTAACTACGGAAGTTGAGCCTTTATGAATCCACTAACCTAATGTCCATGTTCCCCATGTCCATCACAAACTGCAAACAGATGAATAAATTCATTATTATCTATCCTCGCACAACACACATAAGTATCCTGATTCACTTTAGAAGCATTGCTTAATTAGAACCCCTTTCTAGTTCTCCCTGCATATTTAGCTTTGAATACAAAACTATCATCGGGAATCAATCTCGATTGAATCCTAACTAATTCTGAATAAAATTATTACTCAAATTGCTTTACAATTAGGGTTTCTCTTAACCACTGTCTCTGGGTCTAATTTTGAAAGATGTAACCAAAGAAGATTGCGGAGAATTCTTTGATTACTCAAAACTTATCTATGCTTTTTTCTTCTGTGGAGTAAACGATGGTAGAATTGTTCGAGGAGATGTGTGTTGATAGTAGGATGAATTCCCTAATTAGTGATTCTTATTTCGAAATGAATGTTCGAGTTTAAGAGGAGTGAGTAACAGATGAAACTACTTTTATTATTTGCTCTTGCCAAGATTATATTAATTCATTTTATTGCAAATGATATTTTAATCAAAATACACTTTTCTAATTAACTCCAGCTAGTATTATTCCATTAAAAAGATCTCAATCTCATCATCATTAGTTAAATACGATAAAATTCCTGTCTTGTATCAATTGATATATAATTTAATAAATTGGTTTAATTGGCTTAATTGATTGTAAATTAACACAGATATATCAAGCTTCAATCTTGTTTATTAATTCTACAGTATCTCCAGGACTACACAGATTAGCACATGGATATAAATCTTAACTAGTGTCCAAATTCATTGTCTATTTAAATGTTAGTTATTACAAATTTAATCTAGGTTTTCTTCTTTTACCAAGTGATTTTCTTTTTTGGGATATCAACTTCTATTACGATGATGTCTCCAACTCCAAAATCAAACGACTTATGAGCAGAATTCAAGTCTTTCTACAAGTGTGACCATGAGTATGAATTGTTCGATATGAGATAGGACCTAAAATAGAAGCATGACATTACCCATGACCAATATTAGTATAGTTGAACTTATAATTAGCACTTACTATCACTTCTCTATGACAAACACCCACTCCAATCCAACCAGCATATTTAATAACTTTGAAACCGAATTTGTAGACTCCACTCTTAGGAATGCATGGTTCGCAAATAGTAAATCTCTGTCCATTGGATTCAGAAGTCTTTTATTCAGCAATCAAGTTTTGTCCTGAGATTGTTATGTTGGCACCCTTAAATTGAGGAGAAAATTAAAATGAAATTGATTGCACTAAATCAACTGCAGCGATGGGTTGTGCCTTAAACAAATTACTCAAATTGTCCACTTTCCCATCAAATTCATTTTGCAATTCTATCAATTAGTCATTCAATTATCCGAATTGAGTTTTGCATGCATTCATAATTGCAGAGTCAATACTTTGCCTACTAGCAATTCCATTGCTGAATGCGAATTAGTCCAGAATTTATCTATATAATGAATTTGAGTACTGAATATTCTTTTTGTATTGTGGGAAATCGGTGTAGCTGTTGACTAAGTCCAGAAGATAATGTATTGGGATCTTTGAATTTGCGAAAGCTTTAAGTTGATTTTTGAGATCCAAGTAATAGGAATCTATCTTCTTCATTAACTATTTTGAAGTATTCTCCAAGGACTCGTTGAATTTTTGGACCTAGTTGTTTAGAATTAGATATGCATACAGTTCGCAAACACTCACTATGTGATCTATCTAGAAAGAGAGACACGTCTAGGATGCTATAAGCACTTTATTCACTGGTGTTATTATTTGCAGACTCAACTGATTGCAACATGATTTTGAGAGGCAATGTTTGATGATTCTGATGATCTGCATGTTCACACAGAGCTTTGGTTTAATGAAGTAGAATTACGACAAATTAATACAGTTTCATTGCATGATTTATCAGCACATACGATGGAAAGCATGTGTCCATTATGAGTGGGACAAGGGAAATAGTTCATAAGAAATATACAATTTAAACAAATTAGTATTTTACTCAGTATTACACATAATCACTAAAATTTAATAATACTCATTTTCTTGGTGGTTAGCGTTTTTGAGGCTGAGTGGAACGAGGAGGTGGCCCAGATTATTAAGGTTTTGCTTGTGGCTTATTCTAAGGCTTAGGCTACGGCTTTCCTTGAGGTCTTGACTTTCCTTTCCTTTTGTTTTTATCTACATGATAGGAATGTAAATAATACCAGAATCTGAATCCTCGTCTTCTTCATCTTCATCCTGATCACTAATATTATTGAGATCAAGAACATCAGATAGATCCTCATCGTCATCATCATCGTCTTCATCACCATCATCATCGCCATCCTCATCATCTTCTGTGAAATCAGAATCATCATCGCCATCATCACCCTGAAAAGATTAACAAATATATAATTACAGATTCACCAGGTGAGAATTCACTATCACCAGCCTCTGGATCATCTTCTTCATCACCCTCTTCCTCACTCTCTGCCAGAATATTGGTCCATCCTCCATCCTAAACAAATCCTGGAATGTCCTTCTAGATTTATCCAAGAACATTCTTCCAAACCAAGTTTTAACCCACTTCGAAAAAGAGGAGGTTCATCTACTTTAGAAATAATAAAATACTCTATCTAACCAATTCTTGACTCCTTCTAGATCTTTGATATCTATACTCTCAATTCTGAGTACTGGTTTATCGTAGTTCTTGAACACAAACACAAGATCAAAGGATTTGATGCCTGGAATTATACGTTCGAAACAACAGATTTCTACTTCATTTAGTGTCAATATAAAGAATGGACTCTCAACAACATTCATCAAAGTATCACGTGTGGGTTATAAGAATAATCTGGCTCTATTCCAATTGCCTTCAAATCCCAAATCTCTAAATGGTTTTTCAAATAATATCTTATAATCTGCTCCCAACTCCTCAATTGTCTTAATGAAAACCTCAAATTCTTTTGCCATCTTTCTTCTGTGCATCCTCAATCTTTCCTCTTCCTCAATTTCATCCTCATCATTTCTATTAGTTTTCTTTCTACCTTCCAAATGCTCTACTGCACCACCAACTTCGCAATAGAATTGAACATCATGGGTCTTACGCTTGCCCAATACGATTGGAGAATGCAAATGAAAATGCAAAGCAGCTATAATATCCTATTCTGGACTTTAATATATATAATGCTTAATGTTTTTGAACACAATGTCCAATTGCTCCTTATTTGAATGGATATAACGAAATCCATTGGTATGCACTTCTAGAATTCCTGCTGCCTTGCCAGATCCAAAAGTAGGTCTCACCTTCAAGTCCTTAAAGATTGGCTTTCTACCTCCTTTATTAATTATCAATTGTTCCATCTCTCCTACATTTTGCTTCTCTCTCTCCACCTACTACTCAGTCTTGACTTTCTTTTGCAATTATTTAATTTAAAGAATCAAATTCTATGGACGCTCAGACTTCTTTGATCTATATTACAATTCCTTAATGAAGATGGTTTCTCCATCAACCTTAGGAAATTGGATCTATCCAGCTGTAGTCTCTGAAGTGAAGAAGTTAATTCTGATTGATGATCCCATCTTGCCCTCATCGATTTTACTCACATTCTTTATACAAGATACATGGAAAGGAATGTGAGTTCCCAACAATGGTACCAAGAGAGCACATTTCTAATTGTCGATGTAAATCTATCCCTTCTAGAGTTCTTTTGGGTATTGTTCTGGTTTTTAGTAACATTGCAATTTGTCCAATTCCAAAGCCTTCACTTCCTATTGATTTTAAACAAATTAATCTTATTCTAATCTTTATTCCAATTCAGTCTATTTATCCTTTGCCAATTTCTCCTAGTGAATCTGTCTCTATTTTTCATTCTCTCTTTGAATCTATATTTATTGATTACGAGGTCTTGCTCGTATGGGCTTGTCTTTATCAGTCTAAACTGGAGCTGGTTTTCTCTCAGGTTCATCTTCCTCTTACAATTGATAAGATATTTATTTGTAAGCCTTTGGAATTTGTTAGGTGGTGATAGTGGCAGCACCATTTGTGATTACAATTACATCGCCCACTTAAATTGTATAGGTGATATTTTTTTATCCGTTAGGAACATTCTCCATTACCACATTGACGAAATAGACTTCCCCTTTGGCCACCACATGAGTGGATTTTTCATTTATTACCAAATTGGATTCCTTCAATTCAAGTCCAATACCGTATCCGAGTGAATTGGGTAATTATAAATTTTATAAATTGAGTTCCTACAGTTTTTGTTACAATAATTGCAGGGCTTCCTTGAACACCGAGTTTAGAGTTGTGCCAATAGTCATCAATGTAATGATTTTGTTTTGGACTTCCAAAATTGCATTGTAGAGTTTCTTCTAAATTTCAGTGGGATTTATAAAGAGTGTACGGATACAATTGGTATTATACTCATTTACTTAGGTACCAAGTTGGATTATTATGACATCTGAGGAGAGATAGTCTTTGTTGGGTCCTTCCACCTGTTGGTAATTGCCTCCACTCTGTATTATTGGTGTATAAGCAAAATCATAGAGACCATCTTACAATCCAATCTCCTTCATGACTTTTTGCTTATCATTGTCCAACGACTGCTCCACCTTCTTGGCCAAGTCCTGATGAGTGATTCTTGTGCCAACATCTATTGAATCTTCTATTTGTTTGATCAACTTCTTAAATAGGCGGGTAGTCAATTGTGAAGATTGTTAAATAAAACCTTACTCCTAGTCATCTTTAACTGCTAACACATCGCCAATCAATTGAGTGGCATCCACTATTTGTTACCATCCCTTATACTCATACCATTCCGCTGCCAAACTCCCTGCCTATTTCTCAGTAGTGGGCATCCCCAATTTCACATTTCCTATTTTCTATCGAATCTTGTCAAAGGATTCCTTGTTGTCATTCACCTTCTTGTAAAAATTAACCTCAAATTTCCCACTCAATTTGTGCTTGGTCTCTTCCATCATCTGAACTAGAAACTCACTACATAATCTTACGTTTCTTATCACTTGCCAAGTAAAAAATCTATTTCTTCGTGGCCAAAAACACTGTCTCGATCATATCGTATCCGAACAGCCAAACAAACAAGGCCTTGGTTTTCGGTTTGATCGATCCGTCCTCCTTACCAGATAATATACAAATTGCTGGAATGTCCTATTTCATATAGAAATTTGATATACATCGTTGAGTCTGCTCACCAATTATTCCAAATGTCTTTAGAATACATCAGCTATGATCTTTTTATCCATTATTTAATTAATTTAATTCATGCAAATAAATTTTTATCATGTTTTACTCGACCAATCTAATACTTAATTAAATAAGGCCATTTATTTGACAACTTTTCAAACATTCAAAACACTTTACATTAAGAATAAATATTTAAATCCATTAATTTATAACAAAACCCGCTAAAATTCTGATCCCCCTCCTAATTCTATTATTCCCGGGATTCCAATACATTCTCATCAAATTAACAGAGTAATTTCAATCGGTATCACCCAAACCCATATTGTATTATCAATTAATTAACATTTAGTATGTTTTCTTCTTTATAAAATTAAACAACGAATTTCAAGGATAGTTGGGACCCAACACAATTAAACTTTACAGAGCAAGGAAACTCCATCTAACAAAACTGCAAAATACAACACTTTAAACATTCAATATACAAATTAAGAAGGTTTATCAAAGAATTAATTTAAATTCAAATTACCATTCTTGGGAAATCCAAATAAGGATGCCCCTTTGGCATTACGATCTTCATATATTAATGATGAAACCCCTCAAACTATTAAACCTTATATGGTTGTATAATTGAAACAATCGAGTCATAATTTTCCATCGAAATACTGTATCATAGTAATTCCTTTGCATAACTCTCTAAACCATTAAAATTGATTCTCCATCAAAATTATGAATGGCTGTTCATTAAACTCCATTTTGTGTTCTGGTTTTAAATGTCTAGTATTCAATTGTGCTAATTAACCTTGTGAATTAGCGAATCTTAATAATCATCATCAAATTCATCTAAATTACTAACTCTTAAATTTAGAAGACCATCAAGAATGCTAAAGAAGAGATCTATTATCTTGCCCAAATTTCTCTCATTTATGAGTTTTTCTTTGGTTTTTACAGTTTAAAGTACTAATTAAATGGTAACAAATTAATGTTTGATTCTGAGAAATACTCAGCAGTGTAATCCAGATATCTTCAATTTGATAAATTCTACAAGTTGAAGGTAAAAAATAGAAGGAGTGCCTTAATCAATGGTAGTAGTTTGTGATTTTATTAGTTGAAAATAAATAATAGAAAATAGAATATAAAACTCATATCTTAAGATTTAAATTGCAGTTGAGAGTGAAATTGATAAGTACACAAAACAATTGGTTGGGATCGTTGATTGCAGTGAGGAATAGGTTGTGGGTTTGATGAAGGAATATTAGGAATTGTCATATTGACATAGTTGATATAATATATAACTAATTTGATTAATGATGATTTATTTTTAATGAATATTCAAAGTTAAAATAATAGTGCTAGCTATATTTCATCTCCGGAGCGTTCTTGGTGTAAGAATAAATAAATGATGGATGATGAATTTGAGCCGCAGGATAAATAAATGCTAGATGAGACCAATTCAAAATTTTAGAGTCAATGCTTGATTGAGGATCCTCCTAGTAAGTTCATTCAATGATAGTATAGTGTAAAATGAAAACGCTCTGTCTCAAAACTCGTTTCATTATGAGGAGCAACAATAGATGATGCAAGCTGAAATTCTGAGCCCCTCTAAATTGCTGAGAACAGGCAACGAGCCTAAAAGCACCTTATCATTCGATATCAAATTAGAACAAACCTCGATACAAGAGGAGCCTATAGTGAATTCGAGAACGAGGAGGAAAGCGAGCAAAGCCAATTACAATGTACGAATAATCGTTTATTTTAACCCAAGGTTGACGACTCTCCTACGATGGACTCTGAAATTAGGCCTTGTCATTGTTCGAAAACGAATTGTTTATAACTATATTGCTCTTGTTTTCACAATAGGAGATAGTGCACACAAGAGTGCAAATGTTCGGAGTGCTTTAATGATGGATAACATTCGGATGAAGTTCTTAAGGCAATAGAATAGATTAAAATCAAGGAATAAAGGGCATCGCACCACGATCTTGATTCATTTGACACAAGATAGGTTTGGGGATGTAAATGCAAAAAAACTTAGTGCATGAAAGGATATTGCGAATGTTTTATCAGAAACAAAAAATGCAGTTCCCACTGCCAATGCTCTAATTGCCAAAATAAAAAATAAAAAACATCAATAAACAAGAAAATTAAAAAAATATGATTAATTATCTATATAATTAATTTTCTCTTGATGCACTTTATCGTAATAGATCACATTTTAATTCTCTCAATTCTATTTGATGATTTGATACACAGAATTAATAATACTGATCACACATTATTAATTACGAGAGCGAAATCTCCATCAATTTGAGAAGGTTTAATATTAGATAACGGACAATAATTAGTTTCACAATAGAGGATTCATTTCAATCGAAACACCAAGGAATACTGATGGGAAGGCCGATATATCCCAGAGAATGTTATGGTCGCGATATGGGTGATTAACAGAAGTCAGATGAAGTTTATAATATTTATTTATTTGAAATTGTTATTTTAATTCAATGACCGAATTGAATGAGGCTAAAATAATGAATTCTCACTCTTTCAATTATATCAAGAATTAAGAAGCCAAGAAGAATGATGTGGCCGAAGAGTAGAATCTGCAAACTACACAGAAACGAGGACAACCCAAAATTAATATTAATCGTTTGCCTCCAGCCTTTGCAAACTCAAACAAAGTAATCCTATTCCACTAGATATCATGTAGAGAAAGCAAGTAGAACCCTTGATAATTAAAAGGGAATAGAAACAATAAGTACGACAAAATATCCACAACATCGAGGCTATGCAAGAGTACAAATAGGTGAGCCAGATGCTAAGTCCCCTGAAGGCATTAATTATTCATCAAATTCTAGCGTGAGAACAACAATCATTTGAAGAATCCATTCCCACACTTTCGTTAGTTTATGAAGGACCAAAAGAGGATTCATGAGGAACTATCCTTGAGCATAAGCACTTTGGTTCAAAGTCAAATAAGGATAGAAGACATGATCACAACAGGAACCTTGCGTTGTAAGTTTCTCTGTCTATCCTTACAGCATATGCAGATTCCAGTCCAGTTAAAAAGATGTTGCATGCTCCCACTATGAAGCTCTATGTCGTCAAAGAAGTACTTATTCCATTTAACTATAAGGAACCCTTGCATAATAAGGAAATTCGTAAAAACCTAAAAGATTGGATCTCATTTTGGTAGAGTAAATGCTCCAATTCAATCTAGCATGTTTAAATCTACTCTACCTTTTGGAGTACTCCTGAAGGTTACGTCTCAATTGTGATGGAGTATATGAATGGTGGATCCTTACAGGTCAGCATTATGCTCATTATTAGAACTTATTAGAGAGCATGGGTGTCTTACCAGAAAGAAGTATCAAACAATTAGTCTAACCGATTTTGTATGGATTGCAAAAAATCCATTAATCAGGTGCTTAATGTCATGGAGCACTTGGACCTTCGCAAATCTTATTTCTAAGAGATGGCACAGTCAAACTCAGTTAAGGATTGCAATACAGAGCCTAAATTCAAGGAAATTAAGTTTTCAATCAATACATCCTCGGAAGAGCTAAGGAGGCCTAAAGGTATCCAGTATTTAAATCCTAGTTTATATGATCCATCCATACTAGAGACACCTTCCTTGTGGAGCAAAGCACCTAGTGAGAAATATCACTTTCCTACCTAAGATGACTTCATTTTGGAACGTGCAAATGACATTTGGAAACTGGGATGGCTAATATTGAATTGTGCTATTGGCACCATGGAATTCCATCCAAAAGCCTAGCAAATATATGAAGGTTCACGCATCATACTAGAAGAAATTACCAAATATATTGATCAACTAAAAGACACTTGTTGTTTATTACATAGTGAAATTAAGGTTATCCAATTTGTTGAGTAGAATTCTAAAATTGTCAATGAACCTACCAAAATAACCATATTAGATTTGTTGCCACCTGATAAATTTAGTGTTGAATTCATTCAATTTTTGTGCTCTACACTTAAAATCGATCCTAGGCAAAGACACTTTACTGAGTAATTATTATTGCATTCATGGCTAACAGGATATAAAGAATGCAAAGGTAACTCTTTAATACTAAACTAAAATAGGTCCAAATGTGCAATTAAAAGAACTTCTTTCTATCTCCAATGCTTGGAATACCTTCTTGCCAGAAGAATTTCAAGGACAAGGAGCTTAGAAATTAGAAAGACTCTGTGATGCATTGTGTTTGGTGCTATAAAATTCGGAAAAACCTACCATCAATAAGTAACTAATCTCTATTTATTCACTAAGATAGCATCTCTAGGAAAATAGTCCAATTATCAAAGAACTCTCCCATGATATGGGTATCAATGCCAAAGTAATAAGTGAAAGACTAATTTCAATTTTCCAATCGTTAATTTGATATTAAAATGTTTATTGAATTGTAAATTAATATAGTTATAGTATCAATAATAGATTCTTAAAGATATTAAGCCAATTCTCAGATAATCATTTTTAAATACAAGGCACCATATCATATCCTACTAGTGTACATTCCCTTCCACTACATCTCTCTGTTTAAACCCAATTAAAGAGTCAACTTAATTTCTGAACTAATAGAAAATTCAAGATTTCAATTAGAATACATTTAAAACAATTTATCCAATATTTAAAAAAGAATTCTTAAAATCTATTATGTTCCTCTATATTTAACAATTCATGCTAAGAAAAGTCTAATTTATTAAAACCTTTTATTGCATAATTAAACTTTTTCCTTTTTTTTATACAAAATGCTCTTATCCAAAGACTTTTTCCTCAAATAATTTAATAATGTAATATCTTGAGGTCCAAAAGAAATGATTTTCAATCATACTAATCTTATTTAGACTTACTTGAGTGTTTTGAGAAGTGTAGTAATTTTTGATGTGATCATTTTTATTATGAACTCAAATAAAGGATTTTTAGAGATAATCTTTAATTGAGTACCCTGTTACCAAATGCTTCTTAGGTTTTTGGTAGATACCAACATAAGCATTCAAATTATAATGATACTTACTAATGTGACCAACTGCATTATTTCAATAATCAATCCAATATTTCTATATAACAATTTTGAGATTCAAGATGCAAATGAGAATTGTATTAATACTCGAATAAAATTGTAAATTATCTCTAGTATATAAGGAATTGACAGATTTCTAGGTTTCATTTTATGGCAGCAATGTGATGTGCTGTCATTTATTATAAATCAGATATGTCCATTTACGCTTAGCGTTGGAGGAATATCCAATAGAATTTTATATGACTTTCCATTACTGCATTATTGAAACAAGAGCATTTTCTTGCAATTAGATATTGGTATCAATAGGCAAATGATAGTTTGGTGACAAAATAATTTGTAACTAACTAAATCCTTTTCTTATGCAGTTTTGCAAAAGAGTTTATGTGCTTAGAATAGATGCTGGCAATAGAGAGCCAAATGTTTCGATTTATTTAGTTTGATAATAGAGGAGGCAACATCCTAAAGTAATGAATCCTTAATTGTAATCTCATCAATTATTTGATGTATAATTATTATTAAATAATTAATGGAACTACGGCCAGTGACTAGTTTTATTAAACAGAAATACCTCATAAATGAGAGAGACATATAATAGGATGCATTCTCACATAGTATTAGCATTTATTTCAAGCGAACAAAAAAAAGAATTTATGGTTTCACTTTGACAAGTATCATTTAATTTCTGATTGAAGGTCTATTTTTTGTGCTTTTACTTATTCCCTCTATAGTGTTATAATAGGATTCATTGGAAGTGGTTGTTTATCCTTAGAAGGGAGGATAATTTACAGTTAAGGAGTAGCTTGATCCTCCAATAAGTTTGGAGATTGTTTCAAGTGATTCCTATTTGTTGTCGGATGTTCAACTATATTTAGATGGTCAGACAATAGAATAATTTACAATTGAAAAGAAATTGAATACTAATTCAACATACAAAATTGCTAGCAATAAATCCTTTAAAATTAGTATAAATTTAATGATGGTAGCAGTTAGATTAATTTCATAGTTTAGCTTTGTGCCCAGGTCGTATTTAATTATTTAAGCAATAATGGTCGTTCTCTCATTATTGTATCTGATTTAAGAAATTTTGAGAAAGCCAAAAATTTGATTATATATTTGTTTAATATGTACTTACTATAAAACAAAATTCATTCCTACTTTTTAGACTTCCCATCCTTTGGTTTTCCATCCTTCTAGCCAAATTAAGTGATATTGAAGAACAAGAAAATCACCAAAATTACAATATGAGGAATCCAATATACACTGTTATGCAACTCTATTGCCTTTTCCCATTATAAGACACGAACGGCTGTTGCGAAATGATCAAATGTCAAGATACCGAAGACCCAAGCAATTAAATGTCTAACAGGTTATGGGATACTAAAGAATAGTAGTAAACAGAATATACAAATAAAATCTTCTTTGAGCTTTGTAAAAGTACTTGTACACTTGTCCTGTGATGGCCCAAAAGATAAAGAATAGATAGTAACTTAGATAAAAGCCATGCCTATTCATATACACACATAATATTTACCAAAGACTGCTGATCATAAAGACTAGGTAGAATGTCAAACTACCAAATCTCTTTTGAAGACGATCATAGAAACAATATTTCAACCAATTTTGGATATTGCAATTCCATTTCTATGTTTTGATGACGACATTCTTCTCTAATTCAAAGGAGTAATCAAATACAACCCAGAGATCATTTTTTTCTATTTTATATGATTATGTCTATTTTACTTGTCTTGTCATTATAGGTCAATCCCATAGCATCCATTCCTGCTTAAGTAAAGTAGAAGGCAGCTATGTAAGTGAATCTTGCACAGGGAGTGATTACGAAGATCATTGCAAATTTAAACCATAAGCTGTATTGATTTCTCCACTCTTCCGAATAGTACCAATCTGTATCAAAATAAGGTCTTATAAGCAATTCTGCCATACTCACTGCCAAAGCCTTGAGGAAGGAGATCAATGCAAATTTAGGACTATAATGAGTGTAATCAGTCTTTCTTTCTATGAGAGCAACAAATGCATAATAGGGGATAGGTGCTACAACCAAATTGGGGAACATGAAAATGTATGATAAATACATCATAAAAGATGTTTTGCCTTGTACTTTTCCATCTTATTTGTCACAAGCATAGAAGATGTATCTTGCTGTCAACAACATTTGAATTGCATTGTAGTCCATTCTCCAACTCAAGTACTAATAGATGAGTCTATAGATATGCACAAAGGAGAGAATTCCAAATGCAACGATGGACACCGGTAATGCGCATTTTTTGAAGATTTATGCAATAAAGTAAACTGCTATTGTCCAACCCAACATCAATGGAAACCACTCCTTGCAAACGATCACGGAAAAGAAGACCCCCATGAAAAGGTTGAAATACAGTCTTCCAGTTGGACTCTTGATGTAATGGAACACGAATCCAAGGGGAGTACAAATTATCTACAATGATTGTGTGATAGTACCATATAGAGAAGAATTACGAAAAGGTCAATCTCAAAATTGATGAAATTGATCTTTTGCAATTGCTCTTCTAATATATTGACGAATTGGATGATCATAAATAAATCAATAAAATTAATTAATATGTCATAATTAAATATCTATTCTTTTTATAATCATACGATTGCAAATCATTGTTGATGTCATCAATGTGATTGCTTTTTTAAGTTAAAGTCTGTTTCTGTTGCAATTAGTAGAAATGGGAATTCAAAGTTAAATTTAATGTAAATGCTCGAGCTAAGAGTATGATGATTATTTATAAGTCAATTCTGCATTTCAAATTAAAAGTACAAAAATAATTAATTGTATTTTGATAAGACTTTATGAATTCTTAACTTCCAGTAAACAGCTTTGATTTTAGAAGTAAAAGTTTCCATAACAGAAACACTTTCTCCTTTTTTGAACATCCTACTCGTAGAAAATCCTGCTATTGCAATCACTGTGGCAAAAGAAGTCACTTCTAGTAACAACATGCTAATTTACCGACACAAAAAGAAATTGATTATCAGATTTAAGTAGACAATCTGAGGAAACAAAGTTTATGTGATGAGATTAGGACTGAAATCCCCAGTGAATTGAGTCTTATGGAAAGTGAAAATGGAAGACTTTTTAGAAACTCAAATCGATCGATTTCCATTGTCAACCAACATATTAAAAGATCCATGAACTTCGATCAATACAGTCTTGAAACCAACACTAAATTAAAGAGAAGAAGCTGTGAATGTTCAGAATGTGGGAATCCCACATCCTTTTAAAGAAAACATGAAGACTTATCTCTACCTAAAAGAGATAAAAAAATGAAGCAATTCTTAATCAGGAAGCATCGCAACTTGACCAAAATTACATCCAAATAGTTCCAATTAAGTTCAAAAAAAATAATAGTATAAAAATCAATCATTTCTTCTCCTCAAAGCCAGAAATCATTCTAAATTAAATAATTTGAATAAATCAGAAGAACCCAAGATATAAACAAACTAGTACACAATCGAATATCAACAAGAGACTTGGAATAACCAAAACAAGTTTAGAGTAAATATTCTATAATTAATTCTTGCAAACAATTGGACTCTCCCCAATTCTCTCAGAGCAAGTCCCAGAGACAAATATTGCATAAACCAACCATGTCCTTCAGCACCATTTCTACTTCCAAGTGGAAGTCCTATAAAAATACCAAAGATTTCCAATGAAATACTTCAATAATTGATACCCTTTTTTGATCTATAATTTATTAGTTATTTAATCAATTATATAGCTGATTGTCAGATATTTAGAATTTATAAACATTACAACAGAACTCTGTGGAACTATTTAATTGTCTACTTTTATCTTAAATATCTTCCCTCATTGCTTAAATGATTAATAAATAGGTTTTATATATATATCAATCTATTTATTTGTTCATTTTAAAGGAGAATAATTTTATAGATTATTTCTATCAATTCTGTTGAATTATCTATCAAATTCCTTGAGCTACTAACAGTAGTTCAATCGTATTCTATGGTTTTAGTTCTTTTGTATTATGAACAGTTCATTCAAGTATTGCATTTAACATAATTGAAGTGTTATTATTCACTTAATATTTAGGCTTAAGTATATATGAACAGTTGGTGAAAGGGATATGAATTACTAGATTTCTTAATCCTTAGAATATAACTATTAAATATTATAATTAATGAATTCCAACAATAATAATAACAATGACAGTTCAAGTGAGGATGACATGTAAGTGTACGAAACTCTAACGAAATTGCCTCCTGCAAATGATTTGCTTCCTAGGAAATTGACTATAGATATTGATGTAAAATCATTATACCCACTTAAGTGAATCATAATATTTATACATTTAGAGCTCTTCCGCAATTTTGCAAGAATTATGTCTCTTTTTTAGAGGAATCAACCCATCGTCATTGTGCTATATAGGAAACTGCTGCTGGTGATGAAAATAGAACTTTACTTGATTATTACGATGAAAATAAACAAAATCTTGTGTATAAGCGATTTGATCAGTTGGATTTAGGAAAGAGGACAACCAACGACAGAACCTACTTCGCTACTTTAATAGCCAACTTTAAAAGGTAAATCATAATGCTAAAGAAAGAGCACAGCCAAAAGTCTTTTTTAGAGGAGAAGCACTTTTTGATTAGAAATTAACTTCCTGTGCGTCTGATTAAATTCAATTTGATTCCAACTTTGAATCTGGCAACCTCTTTTGTGCATTTAAGAAATCAGAAAATGTGTATGATCTGATCATTTAAAATGATATCAATACTAGGGGCAACACTTAATGGTTCTTCTTTAGTGTGACTGGAGCTAAGGCAGGATAAACCATACAATTTAATTTGCTTAATCATGTATAAGATTATTTCTCATCATAATCTAGTTGAAAAGTGGTAGTCTTTTCAATGAGGGATTGCAACCAGCTGTCTATTCTCTTAAGGATAACCAAATAAACGGATCTGAATGGTGCAGGGATGGATTCAATATCAGCTACTTTAAAAGTCCATTCATGAAGGAATACCCACTCTCTTTGAAAAGGAAATATTATCAGTTGAGATTTCATTACACATTCAAACACAATGACGACAAGGTCTACTTCGCTCACTCCTATCCCTACACTTATACTAATTTACTAGAGTTCCTAAACACACAATTAGATGATCAAGAAAGAAATCAGTAACTGATATTAATAAAAAAGGCATCTATCTCGCAAAGTCCTATGCACAACTCTTGGAGGCAATACTTGCGAAGTATTGACTATCACCTCAAATTCACTGTAGCGTAGAGCCTATAGAAAGGGCGTTGTCTTTCTAGCCAGACAGCATCCAGGTGAACCTCAGGGCTCTTATGTGATGCAAGGAATTATTGATTTTCTTACATCGAATACTCCATAGGCTGAATATTTGAGATAGAATTGCATCTTTAAGTTGTTTCCCATGATGAATCCAGATGGAGTTGTCAATGGGAACTATAGATGTGGATTAGAAGGCAGCGATTTAAACAGAAGGTGGAAAAAACCCAATAAATATTTACATCCCAGTGTGTACTATGCTAAAAAGTATGTCAAAGGGTTCAGTAAAGAGAGACAAATCATACTTGTCATTGATTTGCATGGTCATTCAAGAAAGTAATATTAAGTATCTATCAATTTAAGATAATCCTCCTTTGTTTATGGATGTGCCTATTCTTCTTAAGTTAAAACTATTGAGCGAGTGTTTGCTTTGTTGATGGCTAAACTAAATCCATTTATGGATTATCCCTCCTGTACCTTTAGGATTGAGAATGCTAAAGATAAGACGGCTAGAATTCAACTCTGGAGAGAATTGAAAATCAACTGGGTTTATACTTATGAGTGCAGTTTTTATGGATAATAGAAAAAACATTACCAGATCAAGGATTATCTCAACTGTGGTGTGAGTATTTGCAATGCACTGTCATAAATTGTTAAAGACACTTCAAAGGAATTCACGAATTAAGCCAATGTTCCTGATATCTAATAGCAAATGCTAGAAGAATTAGGCAAGATGCCATAGACTGATGACTAAGACAATGGATCTGATTCTAGTTAATCTGAAGCTGAATTATCGGATGATGAATTAGTTCAATTATTTTAACCTAAGACTTATTCAACCAAACAAAAAAACTTTTTAAAACAACAAGAATTCAATAAAAAAAAGCCTTAACCGGTCAATCCAAAATCAACTATTAACACTTAAAAAGCTTCCATCTTACAAGAGTCACCTTCTAAGAATTCAGATCAAAAACCTCCAATGAGTAGTTAGAAGCCTAAGAATACTTTGTATAGGATCCAAGCCCCCTAGAGATTAAGGTAGGTTGAACAGACAAAATTGCCTGATCCTCCACTGATGGTTGACAAATCAGTATAAACTGATGATTGGATGTATAGATAATGGCTAATTCAAATGGGAAAAATGAAGAAACAACAAGAATTTCAAAGTTTTACTCCCACAAGGAATATATATAAATCTTCATCACAATCAGTAACTAGATTTATTGTGAAAAATTCCTCAACTAAAAACGATAGAGGTCGTGTTGATTCAATTTCACTTGTAACATCAGGCTTACAAAATAAATTAAGTAAAAATTATTTAACAATTAAGTTTCTTCTAGTCAATAGCGGTAAATGATGAGGTACTCTGGTAGTAACTTTATGTCTTGATATTTATTATTATTATAATTTTGTTCATCTCACATCTTTATTAATCAAATTTCTGTATATCTCAAATGCTTCAAGCAATCTAAAGATATCAAATAGATATTCCTATTAACAACGAATAATATATTATTAATGTTATTCATACTAATGAATCTATTACTACAGAAATATTTAAAATTAAGGAGATATGTGAAATAATCTCTAATTTCAATTTTTCTAAATTACAAAGTTTAGCATTTGTAGAAATACCAAAAAAATAATTTGTATAATAATTAATCACTCAACTACTCAAGTCTTGTTTTCAAATTTGCTTAGATTTTTTATTCATCAATTAAATGAGTTTGTGTAATAATCCAAATTTATTTCGTTGAATAGGTTTTTATTATTTTACATTATTTTATTTCTTTTAAGGAAATATATCTCACATAAAAAATTTATGAAACATAATTTTAATAATTTCTAAATAATTTCCAAATTTCTGAAATATTCATAACCTTATATTATTGTTAACCATTCTTATTATTCTGTTAATCTCGCTAATTTAAATAGTTTCCTATTTATAGTGATAAGTTTAATAATTTTAATAATATAATGCGCAAAGTAATTCTCAAAGCCAAAATATATAGTTGTATCCTTATAATACTTTCAGGAACAGTTGCTGTTTTAGCTTGTATATTGGCTGGTTAGGTGAATGATTAAGAAGTAAAAATTTATGGAACTCTTTATGCAATAGCAGCATTAATACTTATGTCAATCAACATTTATATATTCTACTAATTACAAACTATTAATCTGATCAATGCAGAAATCAATAATTTCAATTGCCTCTCTTCATGGAAAATACTGCACAAGTCAATTTTAAATAATTCAGATCTGTGGTTTGCAAATTATGTATTAAAATGCCTAATCGTCATTGTTTTTCATAGTACTATGAGTTTTATAACAAGATTGAAATATAGTGATGTTGCTTTTGAGTTCACCTAAAGTATTTAATAATTAAATTAGATATGTCAATTTCAATTGTACTGTTTATTCTCAGCTTTATACTCGGTTTCGTAGTGTAATTGCTTTTTGTGATATAGCTGATAACAATGTTGGCTGATTTTAAAGAGTATGCAAAAGAAATAGTCTTTACTTTTCATATCAAAGAATCACTTTAAGAAGAAAAGTAATATAAAAGAGCAATTACATTGGTAGCAATCATCTTTATTCTTGGTTCATGTGCATATTATGCATTAAAATTAGCCTTGTATATAATGATAGCCAAAAACAGCGATGAAATTAATACTAAAGTATTTTCAATAATTGTTTCTATCCTAAGTGTTAGTTGCATAATATTGTGCTCCAGAATATACAAATAACTTAAAACTATTTATAAACAAATACCAGACCCCCATGATGTGATAATATATAATATCAATATCCCATGCTTTACAGGATGGTTTATTTTGGTAAGATCATTGGTGTTTTGTAAGAAATTCAGATTTTGGAGAAACTTAACGTTTATTTTGTTGTACATCTAATCTATTTATGGATTAATTAAATTTCCTTTTTATTAGATATATGATGTGACCATAGATTAAATGTACAGTCTTGAATCTTATCTATATTGTGATACGGCTATATTGGTGGCTCTAATGTTTTGGTAGTTCATTGAGCAGTTTGCTAGGGTCATTCATCAAGTTAAGAGAAGATACCTTGCATATCAATTCGAAGATCATAGAGTATTTAATAAATTAATAATAGTAAAATATCATCCTTCCAATCGCAATAGAAGTTTAATAAGACGAATTAGGGAGAATTTAGCATCAACAAATTATAGATAATTTAGTAGAAAACGCAACAGAAGATTATGGAGAATGTTGCTTTTGTTTGGATAAAATCTCAAAAGGTTAAAGAGTGCATAAATTAAAATGTCACTCCTCTCATGTTTTTCATTATTACTGTATGTCTAAATGGTTAGCTAATCATAATAATTGTCCTTTATGTTAATAAACCATAAATTGAAATATATTTATTTTTGATTTTATTAAATTATTGTATATAAATATGATAATTAGATATTTCATAAACATAGTTAATTTTAATTTTGATAGTACAATTAATTTGTTCATTAATAGGTAGTTATCTTCAAATAAGTGTGAGCTTAGAAGTTACTATCTAGAATAAGGAGAATATCTTTAATAGGGAATAAAATTAAATTAAAACAACTGAAGAATAAAAAGTACAATTTCAATGAAAAGATATTATGAAAGCCTTCTTATTTCTACATTTTTGTTAAATTTTAATAAAATTTGTTTTAAAAGAATCAAGGAACCTGTTGATTTCATTATGATTGACATCAATCAGAGTACCTAATCTAAATGAATAATATAAAATACATAATTGTGAATATAATATAGGCATTATTTCGATAAAAATATAATATAAATCTCATAATATTATTAATACAAAATTAATTGTGCATTTAAGATATCTATGTTTATTCAAAACTATTTATTAGATTTTCAAACTAATCATGATATAAAAAAATCTTGATTGTAATAAATTAAATCTTGTTTTCATCATTTAGTATATAGGAATATAATACAAAAAGTCATTATAATTATAAATTTTTATGCTAAATAAATATTATAAATCTTCATTAAAATATGGTCAATTCAAGCAGAGAAAATTCATTATTTTATGACAACTTATATTAGAGAATTAACTATTAAATGATTTAACATAATAAATAACAAGTTAATCTTCTTTAAAAAAATTAGCTTTTTAGGATATTGAAAAGGAATAGCCCACAAAGGTAAAATAATTAATTCAGGATGTTGGAATTGATGGTTATAGACTATATAAAGTAAATGATATATCCAAATAATTAAAATAAAATCAAACATTATATTAAATATTGTTTCCGCGAAGCAATTTTTCTGTTTCTACTCTCAATTTTTCTGTTTTCTTTTCAAAATTATCCAAATATTATAAAAATTGCATTGTGTCTTTTTACTAGTCTTCACTTTCTTCTGTTTTCTCATCTATCTATTCAAGTATGTAAGGTTGGTTGAGCTCTTGAAGGTAGGCAAAGAACTAATCTTGTTATTCTTTTAGCAAAATTGCCTAATTTAAAATCAAATTTGAATTATACTTCTTGATCAGTCCTTCTCTCTAAATATTATCTGCAATCAATTAGTAATTTTAGCATTTTTTCTTATAAATTTGGGCACTCTGCAGATTATTATTATGGTTATTATTGCTCAAAATAGGGTGTGTCTTTTTTGGAAATTTGAGGACGTGCATTTTCTTTCTAATCACTCAAAACTAGATATCTATTTAATTTAGGCAAGGGACCCTCAGGAGGTCTTTTGTCAAAAGGTTCTGAAAGTGTTCCCTTTGAGACTTGATTTAATAAGATGCGAGCATATAAATTTCGATTCTTTTTCCAAACTTCATTGGTAGTCACTTGACATAATTTCTTAGTCCAAGCTTCAACCCTAATTTTTTAATGCTTATTGAGATTTTGATAGGCTTCCTCTATTGAAAGCATCACTTTAATAAATTCCTCGTCCATAATGTCTGTTAATATATTTTATTATATTCAATATCATTCCAAATTTAATCAATATATTTAGAATAATATTCAAATAGTTTTGACTTAAGTTGCATTTTAACTTCAATATAGAATCTACATTATTGAAAATCTCAAAAAATACATAAAACCACATTTTATTTTTTATGAATTCTTTTTGTAACTCAAAGTCCTAATTAAATTCTTAAAGTATTAAATAGATGATAATTCATGTTTGAAAATTCTTGTTTTTTAGTGATTTCTTTTATAATATAATCATAGTCAAATTAGTTCATATCCACCATCCTTTTCAAAAATTTTCAACTTTCTTTTTTAAAGTGAATCGAAATTATTAATTGAAATAATACTCCAATGTTATTCCTTAATATCTTCTAAAACTACTTCAAAATCAACCATTAATTTTCATGTTAGTTTTCTCCTAGGTTTTTGGAAAGTCCTCATAACACAATCATTATCTAAATTCACTTAGTTTTTGACTACTAAATGTTGAACACTGTTTACAAAATATCCTTCAACTGAACGGTAGTGACAACCATAAATAAAATCAGTATGAGAATCTTCTCACTTTGAATATGGATTTTTACTGTAAATAATTAAATTTATAAAAATGTAATTCATTTTCTCTTTGCAAATTCCTACAAAGCCTCCCGTCTTGTAACAGGGTTTTCTCTATCATAATCTGTATTGAAGTGCTCCTCGGCTTCATCATAGGTTTGAACCTCATCTTTCTATTCTAATGGAAATAGAACATTCGAGATTTCTTCCATCGGGAGAAGATTATAAACAACTCCAATTATTATTATAATAAAATCCTACCATTTGACCTCTCCAAATATTATACTGGATACTACTGTATTACCAATGCCAGTAAATATGATGATTAATTCCAACATTTCAATCATTTCAATAGATAAATGTTTGGAAAGAGATTCTTTAATAGTTCTTCTGCGCAGTACGTTGTATTTATCTACAAAATAATATAATGTCAATCCCATAATACTGAATAGTATGCCAACTGGAATGATGTCTCCATAAAAGAATGTAAACCACATAGTTTTCATAATGTCACCATATCTTTTAGCTTAGGAGTAATCAGGCATCTCCATAATTTCATTTGCTTCTTATTAAGTGAGCACACAATTCTTAGCATTTTTTTATTGCTTTTACCTTTGATAATCCTTTTAAATGCTCCATGGATCAACAAACCAAACTATGGGTGGAATGAATGCATTTAAAAGGAATACATTAGATTCATTATAAATAAATCCCCCCTTTCCTATTACATTTCCGGTCAGATAAAAATCTATCACCAAAGATATCAAAGCAGTATTTATAAATAATGCAACTGATTGTTTCCTTGCAAAACTAATATTGAATTTAGTTTTGTTTGATATTTTTTCTAAATCAACGATCAAATGATACACTTTTCCGATTACGAATTTATTGAAAAAGACTACTGTCCACGAAATAGACTAACTAGTTAAGAAGGCTATAGTTTAGGTTAAAGAGTCCTTGATTCCTTTCTTTTCTTATTCTTCAACTTATTCATTCATTCTTTCAGCCAATTCACTAAGGAACCAGATCAAAAAGAAACAACCTGTCATGAAACTAATAGAGATAGACCATGCAATAATACGGGCTTTCACTTTTTATCCTGTTTAGATGTGTATAAACTCCCAATCTACATCATTAGGTTCTGGAGCTTCTTCAACATATAATTTATGTTCATTCAATATTAACCCCTTTTCCTTGATGTCTGCAGTTTTGCCTTAATTAAAGAATGCTTTCATTCTTTCCCAAGTAGTATGTGTATTGTGTTGCAATACCATTTGTTTCATTTCCTCAGTTTAGAAGCTTATGAAGGCGATTCCTGCAAATTTTTCCTTATTTACAAACAATTCATGTTCAACTTAATGAATCTTATGTTCTAAAGATTCTAGTTTTTCATCTAATTATTTGACTTTGAAATCTGTGAAATTCATGCCATTTTCTACTAAGTACTCTTACTTTTCTCTTACCAATTCTTTGAGTGATTCTTCTAATTCGATTATTTCATCTAAATTATAAACCAACACTATTTTCATCACTTTTAATTCTCTGCCATCTGCTGCATAATTTTAGAATATGTTCTTCAATACTTCTCTATAATCTTCATCCAATTTCGGGATGTTTTTCACACAAATCGTATAATCAGACGGAGTCAATTAGGATTCATCAACCTCGATGTCAATACTTCTTTAAGCTTTCCTAAAAAATAAAAATGAAACCATGTTTGCCAATACTACAACTAATGATAAATTGGATTACCAATCTCTAATATCTTGTCTATCATAAACATTCGCTAAACTAACAAAATGCCACATGGATCCTCCACAAATTGAATTATCCTTCTTATGTAAATGATGCTCCAATTTTTAATTGGTAATTTAATGATGTTTGAAATGAGTCCCTTCCAATTTTCCTAGATTATAACAATAATCTCCCATTAGATCGGTAGCTAAACAAAACATTCCTTTCAATAGCCAAAATTCAACCAAAATGAAGATACAATATTTAATGAACATGTAAAACAAAGGAAATCCTGATCCTAAAAATTTCATCTCTATGGGATCGCAATCATACTTTAAATCCATTCTTTCTACAGAATATCCACAACAAGGACATGTTGTCTAATCATCTACTTCCAATTCCTAAGCCACTCTCCTTGCTTTGGCATGTTTCTCTGCAAATTACCAATCACATGGAATTGCTAAAGGATTATAATGATTCTATTCATGCGATTTATGATGTAATTTTTAAACATTTTTTTCACTTTTACTTGGTTAATGTTCTGATAAAGCCCTACTAGGGGCTTAAGAACCATGCTATTAAAATGAATTTTAAATGAAACGACTAGCCATTTCAAAAATTAAAATATTAATAGTGCATATTTAAGTTCATTAAACTTGATTATATTCTATAAAATACTAATTTTAAGTGATATTCATGTACTTTAAACATTAATTAAATAATATTCTATAATGAATCGTCTTTTTGGTACCTCTAAATAAGAACCACCAAAATAATAACCCCCCCCTCCCTAAAATCCCTAATAACCTAAGGTAATAGACTTGTCTGAGCAATAAAAAAGAGTAAGATTTATAACTAATGAAGTCTGAAGCTAAAGTTAAGGAATTGACTGAATAGATCTAAGAATTAGATAAACAAATATGTGAACAATATTAAAAAGCTAAAACCTCTAGGGGAGTACAGCAAACTACGGCTAAGTCAAGAGCAGTAATGCTTCTTAAGAGAAAGAAGATGTACCTGCTTTACATAAGATTAGGTTGGAACAATAATTAGGATAAATGCTCAATAATTAAATGACCTTAGATCAAGTAGCATTTACTAAAGAGAACATTTAAAATACACTTGAAATGGTTTCTAATTTAATTTTTATATAAGGCTTAAGCAATGTAGCAAGTTGTTGCTGTTCAAAAAGAAGCATTCAAAGAAATTGATATGGATAAATTAGAGGGTATAATGCTTCCTTACTATCGTTAGACCTCATGGATGATATGGAGGATATGAAGTTTGAAACTGACTACATGAATGATATGATGAATAGAAATTATTCATGCGATGTCGACGAAAGTGAGTTAGATAGAGAAATGGCAGAAATAGAAAATGATATGAATTTCAACGCATTTCAGCCCCAGCAAATAGAGCAGCAAGCTCCTAAATAAGTTTAACATTTAAATTATAATGTAGAATCAGATAAACTAACAGCAATTCTTTAACGCTTACACCAATTGATTTCCATTAAATATAATAATATTATCAAATTGATATAACCAATCAATTAAATTAATCATTAATATATTTAACTAATAGTTTAATGAAAGAAATTATCGGTATTAACTAACTTTCACTGAATTATTTTATCTTAAATCATATTATAAAAATGTAAGATAAAAATTAAGAAGTAATCTAATGATGATTATAAATTTCTAAAAACATATTATATCTAACTCATTTTTCATAATTCTATTTACAAATTAAAGGTAATATCAAGTTTTCTTCTTATTTTCTTGATTAATTTTAACAATTATAGTGTCGCCCTTATGAAATTTCATGATAGTAATGTTCTTTTGATGTTGTTTCTAAATCTGAGAATGGAATAGTAATGTGTAAATTATCCTAAACTCCTCCTTAAACCCATTTATGCTTCTATACTTCTTATAACTTGATTCTACTTTCATGATTCGGATTTAATAACTCTCTGATCAAAGTTACTAACTCAAAACTTACTTGCCTAGGAAATTTGTATGTTCCTTAACTTATCATTATGAATATCTCTGCATTGTTTTTCCCGTAAAAAGGATACTCTCCAAAAATTAAATAATATAAAAGAATTCCTAATGCCCAAATGTCCAAACAAAAGTTAATTTTTTTGAGTTTTCCTGATAATATTTCAGGGGCTATGTAGAGTATAGTTCCAACATTCAAAGGTTCATCAAATGGTACACCAGTACCTGATAAATAGGCTAAGCCAAAATCAATAATTTTAATCTACTTTAAATATTTAAATATTTACTTAAGAATTATTATTATCAATAAAAATAATATTTTCCAATTTGAGATCTCGATGAATGACATTGTTTTTATGCATATATGATACTCCATCTAAAATCTAAATGAATAAATGCCTGGCTATTTTTTCATTTAATGGCCCGTTTTCTAATTTTAATCATTACAAATACCTTAGACAAAATCGAATAAAGATCCTCCTTTTAAATATTCCATTTCTAAGACTGCTTCTTACTTTTCAGGGAAGAGTTTATATCCATACATGTTTACTATATTTTTATGTTTTAACTGTTCTAAAATCACAGCCTCTCTTGCTATGTATAAATATTAATTTTTTTATTCCTCACTAATAAACTTAATTATCTTCTCTTCATTAGTAACTCTATGTTGAATAAGCATAATTGTTGCTTAACCTCCTTTACAAATAAGAGTCACTGGTAGGTGCTCAAAAAGTATATATTTACTATCTGGCTTTTTGACATTAGTTGTTAAGAATATCTTACCATTATATTTCAAATATTTTAAATCTTCTTCAAAAATCTCTTAACATTTATGATCAAAAAGTCTAACTTTTTATGACGATTTTGTTCCCCCAACTAACTTAATGATTTTGCTCAGGGAAGATGCTTGACTAAAAGTAACATGTATAGGATTTTATTATTGCTAGTATATAGTTAAATGAGAATCGCTACAGAGTGAAGGAAAAGAATTGCATGGTAAATAATTTTTCATTGCGTAATTAAATAAAAATAATCACTTATTTTAAATTTTAATTCATTTACATATAATAATAGGTTATTTTTATATTAATTTTAATTTTTGTCAAATAAATATATTTTTCATTCTTATTGGATCCTAAATTTATCAAATTTCATTATAATTATGACCTAATTGAAAAATAGAATTCAATGATATTCTATTTCTAATTTAGTTTGGAAAGTATGCATAAATAAATGCATTCAATTTTGTTATTGCCTCTTTTTTTCCTTTTTTTATACTTAAATATTAATAAGTAACTATGCAACACTTTGGAAATTTGCCCTGATAGTTTGAAATAGATGTTATGATAAAATGTCGATTTTAGAAATTCTCAAATTTCAACAATGAATATTTTAGACAGCGTTAATCAATAGAGATTTACTTTGTCATCATTTGTTGAATTTACTTTCTGCTTATAATTAAATTTAATTCTGAAATTAGGTTTTTGATATAAATGAAATCAAGATCAAACCCAGGACCAATTCTTGTGTAATTCTTTTTTTTGCTATTTTCAAACATTTTTTAGCCTAATTAATTGAAACTTCTTCATCCATGTTAAAAATGATAATTATCTGAAATCATTTCAAAACCATTATTTAAAAATTGCATATTCCTAAGTTTGCTTCGTTCATTAGTATTTTCATTAGAACAAAAATGTAATAAATAATTACTTAAATTTTTAAGTTTATCTATTTCTAGTAAAAATACATGCAATTCAACATCACTTCCAAAAATGTTGGCTTTAAAAAAGATAGGGATTGTGAGCTCGTTCCATCCACTCCTTAAATAACCCACATATATTTGAATTAATTACAAAATAAAATTTGAACTTTTCCATTATCTTATTTATTGATTTATTTTATAAATTACAATAGATTAATTAAATTATATTGGAAGGACAATATTAATGATAATTGCTCTTTTTATTTCCTTGATTTAAATAGCAAATTTTTAGGAAGCCAATTTTATGCTTTATTGTGATAAAGATATAGTGTTGTAGAATGGAGAAAATTACATTCCTACTATTTATGATTAAAATTCTCCAAATAATTTTTCTTTTAGAGATTAGCCTGAATATCTAGAACTTTTAGATACTTTTAAAATAAATCGGCAAAATATTATATATTCATCATTAACAAATCAACACCTTATCATTATGAACAAATATGGAAATAGATATTCTTTAGAAAAATTTAACCTGATATTTCATTTCACCGAAAATCAGATAATGAATTATACTTTAGCTTAAGTTTATGAGACTGATTTAGAAATTGGTTAATGTGCAAATATAATATTTGTAGATTTATTATTTTCAAATATAAGCATTATTTGCGAATATGATGATTAATATATTGTTTATATGTTGTATTAAGAGAAAAAAGATTCACCTATAATCATCTAGAATTCATATAATTTAAGAATATTAGAATAGTGCACTTTTTCTATTTATTCGCATTAGTACTAATAGATTTTGATTCTAAGTTTTGATAATTGCAAAACCTGGATTATTTATAAATGTGACATTGAACGGATTTAAGTACTTGCTGAATCAAATAATTTTAACAATTAAATTTTGAGACATATTGAATATAGTAACGTGATTATTATGCAATTTGACCATCTGATAATTAATGTTTATTCAAATATTACGCTTTATGAAAACAAATATCAAAAAATACTAAATTTCAAATAATACGATGAGTAGTTTGTAATTGTAGTCGAAAAAACAAACAACGATGTTGTCGATGATCTATAATCTAAAAATTTAATCCTTTACAGAATCCAAAACCCATAAAAAATAATAAAAACTTTTCATTTTATCATTTTATAATTTGATACATATTTAGAATATATAAACCCTTTCTCCATAAGTTATTTTCTACAATTAAAAATGAATTAACGAACTTCACTTTTTTGTAATAATCCCTTATTAATATTAATCAATGAATTTCATGAATTGCATGTAATTAAAATAAATCAGCATTCCAACTATTTAATCTGCAATGAATATGAATCTCAAAATTAAATTAGTTTAATAGAAAACATGTTCCACAGAGATTTGAAGATATTAACTGGTTAAATTATCCATAAAAAAACTTATGAGCAAGAATTTATTAATAATTCCTATAATATTCAAATTAGTCTACTTTAAAATTAATTCTACTTTTCCTTGTATACAGGTTTGTTCTCAAAATTGAAATTGACCCCAGATCTAATTTTTTTAAATAATAGCAGCAAAATTTAATGCAATCTCATAAAATACACCATATTAAGTAGGTCTTGCATTGATCTAATTAAAAATTATCTTTGGATAAAAGAATTTGTTGTCTATTATTAATTGCATGTTTTATATTAATAAGAAAATCTAGAACTTATGTTGATGAATTGTGTAACAAATAAATCCTTTGCTGTTGGTAAATTTGAGGCTCTAAAAATAGAAGAACCTTAATTTTATATTTTTAAGACTTAAATTTTTATACCCTATGAAGATGGAACAAAAGTTTTGTGCCTAGAAATTAGAAATGGTGCAAGCAGCATTAGTCCAAAAATTATTAAAATCTAAGGACGATTAAAAAAAATTCTATGTTATAAAAACATGTATATCATTATTACAAAAGCATATTAAATGTTTTTGTACTAAAACAAATTAATGGCAGTTTCAACTAAAGATATAGCAGAATTAGGAATAATTTCCGTTTATTAATGTGAAAATTTTGAAATCTTTTTTGGCGTTATAAAGGCTTGTAGTTTTAACTAAACAATAATAATTAATACCCAAATATTTACTGTTTAATTCAATTTGGATACCTAAATTCTTTCTATCATTTAAATAAAATCAACCTATAATTCCTACATTTTGATAGAAAAAACAAAAAAAGAATAAATTAACGTGAACAAATACGAATTGATAGGTAATTAAAAAATCCTACTTTTTACACTACCAAAGTTCAGATTTGAATATTAGATTCCTATTAAATATGTAACAGCTGGTAATTTTCTTGCAATAGCAGCAACTAGTAATAATACGAAAGTAATCTTAATTTATTATCTAATCAATGACTATCATGATATTTTAATTGATATTATAATTGTAGATGGTTTTTATTTCCATTTCTGCTCTGATAATTCACTAGCGATTTTAAGTAATTAATAATGGAAAATTTATGATCTACAATCTCTTGACTTGAATTGTAAAATTGAGGAAAAATTTGTTGAAAACTCAAAGATTTTTAATTATGAATTATAATAAATTTCAAAAATCAATTAAAAAGATCAAAAGAAAATCACCCTTAATTTGGAACTTATAAACCTAACAGGAAATATAATTCAAAGCAAATCTTCTGTAGCAACATTCAGATTTAACAATACAAAGTAAAAAATTGTATTTGATCCTCAAATTTTAGTTGCAGGTCCTATCTACAATATAACTTCTTCAAATGCGGCTATTAAGCCTCCACTTTAAAACATAAGAAATATAACTAAAACTTAATGTGCTGAGTTAATTTAAACTATATGTTATAATACAGAAAATAACGAAATTTTCTTAGATCTTTTAAACAATACAATTTATAAGTATATAGGGTAAAAGCATTTAGAAGCATTTAAAAGCGAAGAATATTATATTATAGCTTATTTTTCTGGAGATTTTGTATAAAACTTCGAAATATATAAACAAAATGAAGGATTGATTATAAAAACAAATATATAACAATAATTCAGAATGAAATATGATTGGATAACTATATTTTCAAATTATTGTTTAATATAGTAAAATGAGCAATTACACGTTTATGTAATTTAGTCAGATTAATTGATTAAAATTGATACTTTAGAATTTTAATGTCGTGATTGTGAGACAATCAAAGTGAAAAATTCTAACAATACAATAATGATATCATCAAGTGTAAATGCTCATTTCTCATTCGAATCATTTGTAATTTTGTAAATAATTAAAAACAAAGTTTATTTACATTAATTTAATAAAGTAGAGGAAGAGTTTTTGCTTTAAGAATTAAAAAATATAGAATTAATAAGGTTTTACAATCTCAGTTCAATCTAGGATAATTAATTGTCAGGTAAAATAGTTGCGTTTTAACTTCATCAATAAATATACGTGCTTGACATTGTCCTAAATTTAGAATTAAATTAGTTAAAAATTTCTCGCCAGATAGGAACTGTTTCATATTTTGGAATTACCTATGTGAATCAGATTTTTATCCTTGAATCATATTTAATGTTAATCTCAAGTGATTATTCTTAATATACCTTATTACTCTTATATAATTTGTCAGACTTTTCAGTTTGTAATTCTAAATATCCAATTTAAACTGTCCATATTGATTAGTTTCCATAAATTCAATTTTACAATCTTACTCATTTTTTTATTACTTTTAAGATGAGTGATTAAATTTAACTATTTCAGATATCAGAATATTCATTAGAAATACAAAACACCTCAAATAAATATGCAAATCTTTTGTTTAAAAACAGTGAGCAAAGTTTAGAATTCTAAGCAGAATTAATTTAAATTTCAAACCAAAGTTTATTTTCTATTTGCTAAAAATACATTTTCTATTTAATTTTATTGTCTTGCCTAATATTTTGTTATTTATCAAAGCGAAAAAAAAAATAAAGACACGAGATTGAAAATCACAGTGAGATTGAATTATGAATTCCAATTATTGAGAAAGAAATTAAGATTAGATTATTATGACTGTATGGTTTTTAAATAATATTTATCATTGATAATTGAATGTATGAGTAAATACAACTATTTTATATCTGGTTCTGGTAATACAGTATTATATAAAAATATTTAATTTAAAATGCAAAGTCATGTAAATTTATAGAAATATGAATCTTATGAGTTGCAAAAACCAAGCATTACTATTTTTGAGTAATCAACCTAGATGAATATTTTAACTGATGAATAAATTGATGAATCTGATTCAGAACCTGAGAAGACCATTTAAGAAACGCAAAACCAAAATCTATTACTTTCTAAATAGTACATTTACTTTCACAAATAGAAATAGCCAACATAACAATACAATATTTGAGGATGAAAATGAAGAGGGTGTCTGGGAAGAGAATGCTAAGGAAGTAAATCCTCCAAAGCCATTTTTAATGTCAATTAACTTCTCCAACATTAGTTTGTATCGATTTCCTACACTGGAATAAGAAAAGGTATTTGGTGCTATTTTTATTGCGTAGAATTTAAGGGCTGAGATAAACAATATAGAAATAAATAATAATGTAGTGTATTATTAGATCGAAACCAAATCATCTTAATTGGGGTACACTGTAAAAGTGAAGAGAAGATATAATGATTTTAAGTTTTTGTTGAGGGAATTAACCATCAGATACCCTCAGCTTTTATTACCTTACTTACCAATAGGAATTGGAGTTGGAAAACTTAACAATCGAAGCGTAGAGGAGAGAAAGAGATTATTATAAAATGTTATAAATATCATTACCATGCATTAAGAATTGATACTCTCAAGTTCTGTCAGAAATGTATAATTTAATTTGATCTACTAGTTTTTTGAAGAAGGAGATCAACAGGAATTTGAAAATAAAAGAAAGCAAGGGCAAGCTAATATGAGAGGAGGTTTAGCTTAAAATCTATAAACAGTTATAGATAAAAGCATAAAATCAATTGGATAATTAAAGAATTGGTGGAATGGCACAAATTAAAACAAGAAGTGTGAGGAATTGGAATAAATATAGTTGGAATTAGTCAAATTATTAAGTTAATAAGCAAAGTATTAGAAACTACTTTCCTACATCTAAGCGTTATAAAGAAAATAGTAGAAAATTAAGGATCTAATCGCATAATAAGATAGTTAAAAAACCTAATTATTAATTGAAACTAAACTTCACGATTGTACTTTAGATTATGCAAAAAATTTAGATTTCTAAACCAACACTTTAGAAGATAAATTTGTAATTAATATTTATATTTAGGATTAATATTATCAATAGTAAATTTGGTAATTAATGAATGTAATAGAATTTATTGATTATGCTGATATTTATTTTAAGCAGTTAGTCAAATACATTGAAGATCTTAATGAATAATTAACTTAGGTTGCGCCAAATTAATAAACGTATAACAATCATTAATTATACTAGTCATTAAACAATCAAGGATGAGATTAACAAATATTTGAGCAAAGCTAAGGAATAATTTTGCAATAAAAAAGATGGTATAATATCAAAATACATTGGGATTTAATAAAAAGGATTTACTGATTATTACATTAGCCAATAATAGGAGATCTGGAATTATGCGTAGGAGATGAAAAATTCATTTAATTGATGTGACTTTTGATTTTTATTAAATTAAATAATTTAATCGCTTTAATCAAATAATTACTCAACTATTGCTAATTTTGAGTATTGCATATTATGGTCTGTTTGTCTTCCTTTTTTTTTTTTTTGAAAGAACTGATGAATGCTCAAATAACATGCATTCACATAAGATAAGCTATGATAAGGCTTAGGAAAAGAGGTAGGGCTTACTGTTTTGTAAAGGGCAGCAGTGTAAATTTAATTGAATTAAAACTAAACTTAGCTAAGTGGTATTAAGATCTCAACAAAAAGATAGTTTATATAAGCAATAAACTGAGCTATTAATTAAAAAAAATAGAGGTTGGATGATAGAAAGATTAAATTCTAAATAATTTATATAGAAGGTTTAAGTGATGATTCTTAATTACAAGAAGAAAATAAAAATGGAATAATTTTATACTGGCTTTTATGTAAATTATTCATTTAACTTAATGAATTAATTAGAAACTGGTTATAAATATTGCTCAGATTCTACCAATCTATTAGATAATAATATAAATAAAGCCAATGTATATATATATTAATATAAATGATAATAATTATCAAAGTTCAAGTTTTAAGTAGGTTTTAAGCTATTCAATTTATACTGGTTTAACTAAATATCCATCCATTCCATTTTAGATTGCCAAATTTTCTTCTTCTTATTTCGCATAAGCAGAACATCCAATAATCTAAATTTTTGGATATTATTTTTTAATGATAGAAGTAGCTTAAATACCATTCATTGTAGGCATATCAATGTCCATAAATATTGCTTCATAACCATTACAATTATTACATCTATTGGAGTTCACCATTTAGATAGCAGTATGGCCATCTAAAGAGTATTCTAACTTAAGAGAAGAATTTATCTTTTAAATTAAGAATTTCAGAACTTCTATATTAAATGCATTGTCATCAACAATCAAAATATTAGCACATTGACATTTATTTACATGTTATGATTTGATATTATTGTATCTCCATAAAGATTATCTTCTTTCTGGACTTTCTTCATCGATGTTTTCTGATTCTTCATCATTTTCTGATTCTGAAATATTTTTCGAAACATAGAACCAAAATGATGACCCACTTTAGTATTCTGATTGAAATTGTAATCCTTTTTCATTAAAACTCAAATTTCTAGCAATCATATTACTAATAATTAATCCTAATCCAACTCCTTAAGGATTCAACTTTTTGCTTTCTTTATCTTCCACTCTGGCAAAGGCTTAAATTAATCTTTCTTTATGTTCTTCCTTTATTCCCAGTCCTGTATCATGAACTTCTATTTTTAGAGAACTTGTGTGATAATTTGACACATTGATTTCTATATACCCTTGCAAAGTGTATTTGAAAGCATTTCCAAGAAGGTTTATTATAATTTATCTAATCCTATTTGGATCATTGTTCAGTAATTTTGGTACGTTTTTTCTATAGTTTAATGAGAGATCAATTTTTTTCAGGCTAGCTTCCAAATTGAATAATTCCATACATTCTTCAATCAATCTCTTAAGATCCATTTATACAGGGTTGATTGAAAACTTACCTGCTTTTAATTACGCAAAATCTAGCAAATCGTTGGATAGATTGAGTAAATACTTACAATTTAGTAACGAAATTTGGATGTACTTACTTTAAACATTTGGATCTCTTTCATCTTATAAAGCTGAGATAAATTAAATGATTGAATTGAGAGGTGTACGATATTCATGACTAACAAAGGAAATAATACTGGATTTTACTTAGTATTATTTTTGAATAAACTTTATGTAGTCTCTATGAGTAACATCTCTTATTTAAAGCAAAATCATTAATTTATCATCAACCAAAGTTGCATGCGCATTGATTTCTAATAATCGCTTTTTTGGTTGCTCCAAATCTCCACGGCCATCATTTTCATACCTGTTTCCTAAATAGCTGCCTATAAATACGGTGTTATGAGGGCTATTTTTTAAGATCTAAAAAAATCTTTTGTTTGCCTTAATGTTTCTCAAATCACACAGAAGTTACTAAAATAGTGGAAATTCAATTACATTCAATTCGATTTCTTCTTTAGACAAACGCTTATTGGAAAATTTGTATTATTGGAAAGTCTATTGAAAACTCTAAAAGGATGGAAATGAATCTCTGGGATCTCTGATATCTGGCTTGGCCTAAGTAGTTACAACTTCAGACAATTATTCCAAACAAGTCTTAAAATTAGATTTGTCAGTTATCTTAAATAATTCCAAAGTTGCTGAATTACAAAAGTATATGGCTAGATCTTAAGCCATCAGTAAAATTAGAGGGTCTGGTATTAAATTAAAGAAATGGGAACATTCTGACAACTCCTATTATGGGTTTGTTGGTGATGAATGGTATTATTATTTTCTATAATCGGGACTCTGTACAACATTCAAAATTGACTTCTCATAAGACTTGATATATGATGTCTAAGGATCAATATCCTATTTTTAGTGATTGGCCCATAATACAAAGAGAAGAATTAACAGTAATGAAATCCCTCCAATAAAGGTGTATAGATCATATGAATTCCAACTGCACACTCTAATTAAAGCGTATAAATTGATTAAAATGGTGAGTTTTTACAACAATTCTTTTTTTACTCTTTGTTGACCTATTTCAATACATATAAAATGCAGAATTAAAACACTGAAGTTTTGAAGTTTCACTGCACACTCCACAAAATATATAGCTAAACCTGTCGTGTAGCTCAGATTCATTAGTAAATACCATGTTTCATCCAGTTTAAAAGAGAAGAATATAGCCACTTAAATAGCACTCATTATGCTTAACAAAATTATCATTTCTCTTATTTCAAACCCCAAAAATGGAGTGAGCACTATGCTGATAATCCCTTCAAGGGGTATTTTCATTATTTTTCTCATATATTTATTTATAATTTAGGTATCAATTAATAATTTAAATAAGAAACTTCTCAATGGCGTCAAAATAAAACAACAAGAATAAAAATTATTCCCTATTAAATCCTAAATTATATCAAATTGAACTAGCTTACTAAATAGAAATATATCCTCAAATTTAATGATGAGCATTCAATCAAGAAATAATAACTCTGAACTATTAGTTCCAATTATATTATCAATATCATTATTACTATATCATTCATCTTCAATAAGCACTACCAAATGGCAACCTTTCTCTAAATCTTAATACTCATCACACTTAAGGAAAATAAGCTTTCACAAAATTGGAAGTAATACTAATTGTAAATAAAATCAATAAATAATTAAATTATTCCGAACTTTGTGAATAAAATGGAGAAACAGAAAGAAATTCTTAAATTATATCATGATAATCATGATAAGTAAATAGAAGAAGTGTTTAAGGCTGATCCAAACATTCCCATACACAAATTTCAAACCCAAAAATAATTTACAGGTAATTGGTAATATAGTGATAAGAAATCCAAAAGTTTTGCATTTGGCATGTCTCCATAACAATACAAAACTAATTGAACTCACACTGACATACTGTAGAAATTCCAACCTAATAAATTAAACTCAAATCATCGAATTCATTAATTTATAGAATAAGGATGGATATACCCCTTTGCTTATGGCATCCTTTAAAGGAAATATTGTACATATATTAAGAGATTATCTTTAGGAAATCATGAAGTTATTGCTATAAATAGGAGCTAATTCAAATATAAAGAATACTACCGGATTGTCTGTTCTGCATATGTCTGTTTAGGGCGATCACGTCAAGGCTAGTGTATTATCTTTGAATATTTAGTTATTTTGGATTAATCAAAATATACCTATTGATATATTAGATTACAATCATCAAACTCCTTTGATTTGTGCTTCTTTTTTAGGTTCTTAACAAATGGTTAACTTTCTAATTTCTTGGGGTGCCAAATTGAACGCTCAGACTAAAGACAAAGGTCACACTGCTTTACACGTAGCAACTTAATAAGGACATTCTCGAATTGTGAGAAAACTATTGATCAAAGGAATAGAGAGAAGAATCAAAGATAAGAATGGAAAAACTGCGCTTGATTTAGCCATAGACTCTAAATTTAAATCAATTTAAACTATGATAGTAAGTGATCATAACAAATTTATAGGAAAATAAAATGGGCTTAGCTGAAAGATGCGGTTTGAGATAGCCAGATTCAAAAGTTGAAAAAAACTACATGTCAATGACTATCTATCTAACCCTATATTGCAGTTCCTTTCTTTTGACTATTGCATTCACTTTACCTTGTAACATATATCTCATAATTATATCAAGATTTAGAATCCTTTTAGGGTTGGTACATCGCAACATGCTGTCTAACTCTCCTTTTGACTTGGGTTCTCGTTAAAAGAAATCCAGGCTTTGTACCACGCTCAAATAAAACCTTAATGGTAGGGTGATTTAACATTTATAAGGATCTATTAGATGCTTACTCCGTAGATTAAATATGCCCAGACTGTTCAGATGTAAAACCCCCCAGGTCAAGACATTGCGAAATATGTTTGAAGTGTGTTTATAAATATGACCACCATTGTCCTTGGCTTTCTAATTGCATAGGAGAGAAGAACTAGTATGTATTCCTAGCCTTCCTGTTTACTTTGATTGTCAGTATGGTCTTGTAGATAGTAGTGCAATGTTAAAGTAAAAAATAGGAGAATTGAATTAGTTTTGAGTTTGCAATAAGAAGAGGAAGAGGTGGAATTAGGTTATGTACTCTAATGGATTACATTTTACTATACGATGATTTTTGGATGCTTGTTTATTTTGCCTGTGATGTATAAATTATTTGAGTTAGGTTATTATTTACAGTTTAAATCTATAATTTAATAAAAGGGCAAACAACCTATGAAAGATATATCGAAAGATAAGGGATAAATAGAATTCAATCGAGAAAAGCCAGTGCTGAATAGTAATTAAAACTAATTAAGAGTGCTGCTAGCACAGATACAAGTGAGAGTGAGTTTAAATTTACAATAAAAAGTTAAAAGAAACCTTTGCTTAAGGAAACTGAATTAATCGTATGATAAACAATAAAATTAATTTTTCACACTTTTTTTATTACTCTGAAATCTTTTGATAACTAATTCTCTTCAAACTATAAAATTAATATATAAAATTATTACAATCTTTTCATTTAGATTTAATGCTTCATCATGCCATTTCTATAAGAATTATTAGAGATATACGACTTACACAATCTCAATTTTGTTTGTTCTCACAAGTGCAAATCCTATAAAATGATCATCAAGGCATTTTTATTTTTGTAATAGACATATTGAAAAGCGATAGAAAAATGTTTTTAAATCAAGTTATGGATCTGCAATTTTTAATTAAACAGCAAACTAGATTATTGTTTTTATGATATAAAATGGTCCTATTTCTAAGTCTGTGCCACACTCATTTAAAATGTCTAAAACCTACTTTCCATTTAAATATTGCTTAATATTCAAAACAGCTTTATCAGAAACACATTGCCAAGGCAAATTATCAAAATAAGCAAATAACAATTAGGCAAGCAGTCTCATATCAGTTACATGTCCGATTCGAAAATTGTGAGCATCAAATTATTTCTTTAAACTTCGTAATTCCTTCATATTTAATGGCTGTTAAGTTAATGGTTCACCAACAAATGCTTACAAAATCTATTTTGGAGTTATTAATGATTCTTCCAATAGCAATAAAAATCGATTGAAAATAACATAAAGAGGTGCAGGAATCAACTTAGTTTTGTTCTTTAAATCATTCAATACATATAGGTTTTGTTGTTCTACAATGTCATCACTGGTGAGTCCAGATAATTTTGAATAGTCATACCATTTTCTATTTTATAAGACTATTTCTTATTATATTTTGATACATTTCTCAAACGCTTTCAACAAATCTCTTTAGGCACTTTTGTTCAAAGAATCCCTTCTTCTGGATTAGAATAGTTTAATAGCATCATCAGCAGACATCCTTTCTCCATAAATTAGCCATGCAGCTATTGCCACTCCTGTTCTGCCTGTTCCAGCATGACAATGCACAGCTACTTTCTTTCCTTTTTTTTGCATCAGATCGAAAGCTGAACATATTTTGAGGAGGTTCTCATATGTAGTATCAGCAGTCATATCTTCCCAACCATAATTGAAGAAGCTAATCTTAGCTATTAATTAGATTTGAAATACCTGACTACAGGGATTCAGGATTGTATGAAAATCCAACACCAGGAATTATACCAGGTCCACATTATGCATGTTCTCCTTACAATTACAAATTTATAACTGCTCCGATGTTATGACTTTATATGATAATCACTTTACGATTAGAATTGAGGTATGATTGTAGGCATTAATTTCATACTCAGTCTTTACATAGCCAATATGTCATCTGTTATCCAATCTGAATTTAATCCCTCTATGGCATTTTTATTTTTGTTTGAAGCAGCCTATTCCTTTTTACAATCTTAACCTCCACAAAAATAGCAGATGAAATTATCTAATTCTTGAATTGGTGCAGGACCAGTTTTCTTATTTTTCAAACTTGTCTTCGGCTCAAATTTGTTACTGCTTATCATCTATTGTCTGATAGTAATCCTTTATTATTATGATGATAGAGCCCTTGATTATTGATTGTCCTATTCTAAAGGTGGTAATCTACGAGAATTTGAGTTGGCATTATCCATTTTAATTAAAAATAAAAATCTAACGTATATGAGTTAGACAGAATAGCAGGAGTATAATTATGATGCATAATACTTGGAGATATTTGGATGCAATCATACTACAAGACAGATTCATTCAGAAAAATTGATTTGTCAATAATGTGGCATATTTATCAATAATGTAATAGAGCTGTTTTAAATTAAAGTCAACCACAAGAGTCTACAAAACAATCAAAATGAAGTACAACACCTTCTTCAATCCCTTAAAGATTTTGAGCAACATCTTGGCACCAATGACAATCGCTAAACACTAAATCGCTAGGTTGCCAATAATAGATTTCCTGGAATAAGCTTCTGAAAGATTAAACTTAAGTACAAATACAGCCTTTTTGGCTATTACTTATATTGATCACTTTTTCAATAAAGGTAATGTAAATGAAAACTAGATTTTCTTATATGCTGCTGCCGCTCTGATGCTGGCAGCTAAAGCTTAGGAGCTTGATGAGAGAATCCCTTTCATTAGTAAACTCAAACGCTATTCATCCATGACCTCTCATCCTGAAATCAATAACTTCACTACTTAAGAATTTTGTAATGCTGAAAAAGCTTTAATTGAATCCTTAAATTGGAAATTGCAGAGAATTACTCTCCTAGATAGAATAGAATCTCTGCTTTCCTTTGGAGTCATTGATGATGATGATAGTCTCTCCCAACCACCCTAATAGAAGGAAAACAAAGAACAATAAGTAAATCATATTAAATTGAGAGATTTAAATGAAAAATAAATCAATTACTATGTTAATGAGGTTGAAAACAAATACATAGAAACAGCTTATTCTGTGATTAGAGGTAAAAAAGTTAAATAAGTAGATGATTAAATTTATTTTTCAAACGATCAAACTATATTAGCCTTGTCTTGCGTAGCTTTCCTAAGGAAAAAGGCTGGGTTGCTAAACATCTGGTCTCAACAACTCTAAGCCTTGACTGGAGAATCAGCTTAGAAAATATCAGCTGCTGTATCTTAGATTATGACTCTTACTCCCAAAACTGTAAGCAAGCCTACGATTAACACTTCATCTAGTTCATACTTGAGTAGTTATTAGAACTCTGCAACTTAAAATAAAAGTTCTTATATGAAAAACAGACAATACTTATTTGAATCAAATAAATCATCAGCAGGTGATATCATATCACAATATAATAACACGGCTAAATCACATCTCAAAGTTCCCTTATTTCAGTCTCAATCCACAATGCAATTATCCTCAAAAAGTGAGATAATGAAACCTCATCAAATTAATTAAACCAAATATTCGAGTCGAATTAGCAATTTTACCACTACTAACAATTATTCATACTTATCTGATAATATTGTCCATCCAAATTCTTACATAAAGCATGCTGAATTGGATAAAAAATATGAGTAAATACATAAAGTCAGCGAGACAAAATTTAGAACTAAAATATTCAGTTGATGAATATTTGTCAAAACACAATTATTATAATGTTATAATACTATTTTGTTAATCATCATAATCAATTGTGAAACAAATATCTTATAGCTTCATCAATAAATTTATAAATATAGGAATATTATTCTGAAGTATGAACCATGCCCCATCTTTGTTCTCTCAGTCTACGCACTATTCCAAAGATGGAAAGTCTATAAAGTTCTGGATTTTCTTCCAATTCTTGATATAAAAGGTGAGTATTTACTTTAAATATCATCGCCAATAACCTATTTGTAGGCTTTAAGTAGGATCATTAAATTGGATAATGCAATCAAAGTTCCAGTTCTTCCGACTCCAGCACTAAATTAAAATAATCCTATTCCTTTAATACCTGCAATGAAAAACTACTTTTTGATCTGCCAACAACTTTTCATTAATCATATTTAATAATTCTCTAATCACATCAAAATCACTTGGGGATGGAACTCCTTAATCTGGCCAACCACACCATTGAATTTATTAAACATTTCTCTCTTCTCCCTCTTAGGTTACTTTCAAAACTCGTTTTGTGATATTATTCCCAAGATCATCTTGGCTCTGAAGATATATTTGAATATTCCCACAAATCATTGTTTCTCCAACATTTCTAGGCCAATATTATTCACATTATGCCTGAATATTATAAATTTACTAACTCTTTGGTTCTCTCTCAAATTGCACAACATGACTATCATATTCATATTTTCCTATATAATCATCTTCCAAAAGTGACAAAAAGTTTAGATCAAAGGACCCTATGTAGCCACAATCATCCTCTCCTTTCCATTTATTAACTATGTTGACAAACCTATCAAATACATTGATAAAATTCGCATTAATATAGCATTCTTTTAGATTTTCTTCTTCATCTCCTTCGCTCCTTAATTTTACAATTGAATGCTTGACTAAATTATCACTTATTTATATATACATGGTATGATGTTATTATAGCGATTTAGTCTTTGAATATCAGGATGAAAGTCAAATAAATTTTCGTTATGATATTAAGTTTCTGTTAATCTACGTAATAACTTCATAGAAACTAATCAATACTCTGAATTCCATCTCTAAATCTCTTTTTAATAATTCTTAACTGAAGTGTAAAACTGAAATTCCTTTTTCGATTGCTACTAATTCTGTGTTGCCTTTTACCCACTCATATGAATAATCTCTACTAATTTCCTTACCTTCTACTAAGAAGCCTTGCATTTATTTTATTTTAATAAAATGGAATAAATAACTTCTGGGCAATTTTTAAAGCATGTCTTCATCTTCTCATAAGTTAAATTAAAAAGTCTGTTCGATATCGGTTTAATTATTTCACTTAATACAAAGTAAGAAGTATTAAATAAAATAAGAAATAAAAGTATTTGTTTAAAGTTTTAATTTTGAAATATCTCTCTTGTACCATGATAGGAATATGATCCGATTAATTGATAAACGTAAGTTAATAAAGATAGTAAAACTCTTTTGATTTGATTCAAATAAAATTCTGACTGGAAATGGGAAATTTAAATTAATTAAAGGATAATTTAAGAAAGTCTTCAGATTGATGATTTTATAATATAAATAAAAAAATCAATAAAGTTGAAATCAGTTTTTTAAAGGATTAAGTGATTTCGATTATTATTAGGGTTGAAATGCATCATTCAAAACCTAATCTAATGCTTAATTTAAGGAGCATTGGCGATTTAAAATTAGTTTTTTGTTTTTTTAACAATTTTAATTGGAATCGAATTATTATAAGCCAAGTCTATCATCAAAATTCTATTCAATAATTACCTTGTAAGTTTCTTAATCTGGTTCTGATTACATATTATTGTTATTTATCTTGATGATATTGGTGATTGGTTCCTCCCTCTATGACCCCTATCCTTACTACTCTTAATATTGAGGTACTTCTTATTCTTGATGTTAATTATCATTTTGTGATTAGGATTCGTCGTCTAACTAAAATGAAAACTATAGCTTTTTATTTTTATTGGGTATAAGTTCTGAATGCAATTAGAATAGTATGTCATCAGAAATGAAAACATTCTTTTTCTCCTAAGCTGAATTAAGACCACTATATCTTTATTCTTTAGAAATCAAAAATGGATGCTAAAGGAGATCTTCTGCTTCCCATCTGTCTTCTGGATTCAGTTGCAGACATCTTTTAAGAAAGTCTCTAGCCTACTCAGATTTCAATTCTTCAGGAATAGGAAAGGTGTCAGTTAACTTGCTTATTTTAACCATGACGGTATAGATATTCTTGACTTCTGAGAATGGAGGATGTCCAGTAGCCATTTCAATCATTGTGCAACCCAGACTCCAAATATCGGCCTTCCTATTTTACACTTAATATATTGATGATACTTTCCATAGTGTTACTAATTGATGACCTCTGGAGCCATATAATTTGGAGTGCCGCATAAGGAACCAACAATATCATGTTTGATTTCAGATAATTATTTGCCACTTCCAAAATCTATGGAACAAAGTTTAATAATCTACCTGCTAATTTCACTTATCCATTTTAATTGATTAAGATGTTGGCTCCTTTGATGTCTCTGTGAATTACTCCTTTCGAGTGTAGGTAGTGTAATCCTAATAGAATCTATTTCAAATAAACTCTAATTAAAGACTCCTTGAATTTGCCAAATCTTTTGATCATAGTGAGAACGGAACCACCACTGACATACTCTAAGAAAATATTTAATTAGTCATTTTTTGTTTCTGAACCATAATAACGCACTATGTGAGGATGCTGTAACTTACTCAGAATTTCAATTTCTCTTTAGATAGATTATACTTTCTAAGATAAACATTTGAATTTTACATTCTCATCGCCATTCTTGATAAACACTTGTTTGACAGCCATAATTTACCCACTCACCCTATTCATTCCCAAGACAACTCTACCAAAAGCTCCTTGGCCTATCATTTCTCCTTCTGTCCAAGTGATCTATTTTTCTTATTCCTATTTTTCTTATTTTTCTTATTTTTCTGGTTTTGCCTCCTTGGGAACAACAGCCTCATGACAAACCTCAAAATAATTCGATTCTTCAGGTTATTAAATTGGATGTTCATCACAACCTGCATTGGCATACTTTTTATGTTTAGTTTATTTAGTTAAACAACAACCCATATAATATAAAGAAATTAAAAATGTAATAAAAGCAAAATTAAGCCAAAATAAGGAATGCCTTGCAATAGTAGTTGTTTCCGAAGATGTAGAAGAAAATAGAACAACCCAAAACACAGCCCAAAAGGTATAATATGATTTCCATGATTTAAATTAAGAGCCATTAGAATAGAAGACGAAAATAAACTATCAATAGCATTACCACATATTGAGACTATTGCTATCAATTTTAATTCCAAGTATCAACTAGGCAATATGATTGGAGAAGGTGCACATGGATTAGTGAGAAAAGCCATCAAAGTCGAAACTGGAGAATAAGTAGCAGTCAAAATTTCCAGGAGTGGAGACCCTGAGCTTATCAAAACTTTTACTGAAGCATATAAAAATACCAGAATACTAGATCATGAGTTCATTANATCTTTTAAGAAAGTCTCTAGCCTACTCAGATTTCAATTCTTCAGGAATAGGAAAGGTGTCAGTTAACTTGCTTATTTTAACCATGACGGTATAGATATTCTTGACTTCTGAGAATGGAGGATGTCCAGTAGCCATTTCAATCATTGTGCAACCCAGACTCCAAATATCGGCCTTCCTATTTTACACTTAATATATTGATGATACTTTCCATAGTGTTACTAATTGATGACCTCTGGAGCCATATAATTTGGAGTGCCGCATAAGGAACCAACAATATCATGTTTGATTTCAGATAATTATTTGCCACTTCCAAAATCTATGGAACAAAGTTTAATAATCTACCTGCTAATTTCACTTATCCATTTTAATTGATTAAGATGTTGGCTCCTTTGATGTCTCTGTGAATTACTCCTTTCGAGTGTAGGTAGTGTAATCCTAATAGAATCTATTTCAAATAAACTCTAATTAAAGACTCCTTGAATTTGCCAAATCTTTTGATCATAGTGAGAACGGAACCACCACTGACATACTCTAAGAAAATATTTAATTAGTCATTTTTTGTTTCTGAACCATAATAACGCACTATGTGAGGATGCTGTAACTTACTCAGAATTTCAATTTCTCTTTAGATAGATTATACTTTCTAAGATAAACATTTGAATTTTACATTCTCATCGCCATTCTTGATAAACACTTGTTTGACAGCCATAATTTACCCACTCACCCTATTCATTCCCAAGACAACTCTACCAAAAGCTCCTTGGCCTATCATTTCTCCTTCTGTCCAAGTGATCTATTTTTCTTATTCCTATTTTTCTTATTTTTCTTATTTTTCTGGTTTTGCCTCCTTGGGAACAACAGCCTCATGACAAACCTCAAAATAATTCGATTCTTCAGGTTATTAAATTGGATGTTCATCACAACCTGCATTGGCATACTTTTTATGTTTAGTTTATTTAGTTAAACAACAACCCATATAATATAAAGAAATTAAAAATGTAATAAAAGCAAAATTAAGCCAAAATAAGGAATGCCTTGCAATAGTAGTTGTTTCCGAAGATGTAGAAGAAAATAGAACAACCCAAAACACAGCCCAAAAGGTATAATATGATTTCCATGATTTAAATTAAGAGCCATTAGAATAGAAGACGAAAATAAACTATCAATAGCATTACCACATATTGAGACTATTGCTATCAATTTTAATTCCAAGTATCAACTAGGCAATATGATTGGAGAAGGTGCACATGGATTAGTGAGAAAAGCCATCAAAGTCGAAACTGGAGAATAAGTAGCAGTCAAAATTTCCAGGAGTGGAGACCCTGAGCTTATCAAAACTTTTACTGAAGCATATAAAAATACCAGAATACTAGATCATGAGTTCATTATAAAAGTCTACGAATGTTACATAGACGAACAATCAGAAACTTTATATTTGGTAATGGAGTACTCAAATTTACGCAGCTTGGAAGATGTAATTAAAAAACACAAGAGATTAACGTAAATGTATATCCTTCAATAAGGGAGGAATAAGCCAAGATTTTGATTAGACATATTCTTTTGGCTCTTCAGCATATCCACGAGAGAGGAATCGCTCATAGAGACCTAAAACCAGATAATGTATTGATCAACAAAAAGTCTCTCGATATCAAAATCATAGACTTTGGAGTCAGTAGAAGATTCAAGAAATACAATGGCAGAGAATTTGTCGACGTAAACATGTGGACTAGAACTGGAAATGTTTATTATACAGCTCCAGAGATCTTGACTGGAGGAGGCTATGATGAAAGAGTGGATCTCTGGTCTCTGGGAGTCTGTCTATTTCATATCTTGAGTGGCCAGTTCCCTTTCTTTGAAGATAGTGTATTGGGAACCATAGAGAAAATATTAAAGGGCAATTTTGAACTTAATGAGAATATATCCTGGCTGGCTAGAGATCTAATTAAGCGACTCCTCAATCCCAATCCAGCTGAAAGGTTATCGGCGTAATGTATATTTTAGAGATTCACATTATAGTGGCTCTACAGCATCCCTGGCTCTATCATTACTAGATTGATCCCATCTCACCTAATAGCACCGAACTTATAAGCAAAACCAACTGCAGGGCTTATGATGATATCTGTGACATCTCTCAAGGGGGAGACAAGAATACATATTACAGCAGAAACCTTCATATGAGAAGCAATACTATGACCAAGAGTCCAGCCTTGTATTAGGAACCTAATATCAATACTAACACAAATACAAATACAAATACAAATACAAATACAAATTCAAGTTCAAATTCAAAATCTCCCCTTAATTTATTAAAACAAGATCTCGACGAAGATATTCAATAGTCTCCTTTAATTAAACTGAAGAAAATTCAAAATCAAATGAATAAAGAAATCAATATCATAAAAAAGAATGAATCTAATGTACAAGGCTTACTTAGGATTAGGCAGATATTGCAAATGGAAAAATTAGACATCATACATGAAATTTAATGACTATTTTAATAATAACTCTTAAAATCAATTTTCAGTTTATTATATATTTCAAAGCATTTCTGGATATGTTTGATTCCTTGGTTAGTATGTTTGATACATAGGAGCCATTTACTAGACTGGACCCTATTGAATTTTGTATTAAGGCATCTAGAAGCCACTATTGAAGAACTTGGCGTCTTGTTTCTGGTTCATCTCTTAATACAAATTCAAGATTTATCTGAATTCTATAAACGAGATAAAATTATCATCATTCAGATCGAACATCTTGAAGATCGTCTGCAACTCCTAAGGTTATGCGTTTCTATTAATCTTTCTAAAAGTATTGTTATTTAATTACATCAATAATTGAGCAAATTCTTGAAAATTGAGAAGTCCATCAAGGTCTTAATCAAATTTTTAGAATAAATCATGAACATTTATACTGTATCTTTGAATCGTTTATTACAACTTTTAAATGGTTTTCTCAGGATCAAATATATATGCTTGCATAGGCATTTTATTCACATGAGGTGTTGATTAAGATTGACCTAAATTAGGTTATTATCCCATCTATAAGTTTCGAGGGTCCATATCCTTTTGTTTCCCAGGATAATTTTAAATATTTTTTAATGATGGTATTTACTTATTACTCAATACTTTTTGATTTTGTCGGCCCTTCACTTTTGAAATCACTGCCATCTTTGTATTATTATCTGTTATCCATTTTTCGAATTCCTCTAATGACACAGAATGATCTCCATCCAAATCTAATTTTTTAAATATCACCTAGCAATCTTAACGACTAAGAGTTTAGTCAATTGTATGCAATAATTGAACTAATTCTGAAAACTACAATGTTTGATCACCATTTTCATCAAATTCTTAGAATAGAGATCGAATATTCAAACTTTATTTGATTATTTTCTATCTTAATTCATTCATCAAAAACTTGATTTATTCTTCCTTTATATGTGCCTGATAATTCTTAAAATAATCTTTAACCAATTTATGTTTGAATACTTCATCCCAATTCATTCTTTCTGATTCCTCCATTGCCAAACAACCTTCTATAAACGATTTCATATCGTCACTGACTGATGTTTAGTCATCAGGAAAGTCTAACAATTTATGTTCAATGTTATGCAATAATTATTCAATCCTTGTACCACTCCATGCTGTATAACCATACAGAACATTGTATAATATCATTCCAATCGACCAAATGTCACATTTGCTTGTATATTTACTATTTGCCAAAACTTAAGGAGAATGGAATTTAAAGTCCTCATCCTTACGTGATTGATCTGTTTTGAAATTCTCCATGCATTTTGTTAATCCACAATCTGAATACACTTATTATTTTTACCTGCTAATTTATATCCATTAACTGTTAACATAATATTAGTCAATTTTAATCCTCGATGAATTATTCCGTGGTTTATTAATTCAGTGAACCCTTCCAAAAGATCTATCAAAAGCTTAATACATTCCGATTCAGGTATTTTATGAATTTATTGCAAATAAGTTTGGAGATCTTATTTACAAAGTTCCATGACCACATAATAATTATTGTCTGTTTGTATTACTTCTACCAACTAAACTATTTTTGGGTGCTTTAATTATTGCATCAATTTAATTTCATCCAACAATGCACATTAGAGGCCTTCATCGTCTGTTATGCTATTTTTTTTTATTATCCTTAAAGCATATTGGTTTTTCTTAGCATCAATGGCTTTAACAACCTATCCTTATCAATAAATGGCTTACTGTTCCGGTAGACCCCATCCCAAGCATGTCTTTTGGATTATAAGAGTATTTGTCAATTTATTTCATTAAGAAAATTATAATTTCAGCATTTTTTATCCGCAGCGTTGTATATTAAAATAAAGAAGATATTCAAATGAAAATTATAGAATATAAAGAATTACTGCTTTTCCTTCTACTTTGATCGACAAGTTTAGCTTATATTGATTTTCAGTATATTTATTATAACTCCTTGTTAATATATTTATTAATTTCTGAACATTTATTAATATATTTATCCAAAACCAATAAAATTTATAGATGAACTAGGAATGTTTTCAAACATAAAGACTAAAATGACTTAAAGAATAAAGGGCGATCTTATATACAAACAATTAAAAAAGGAAATTAAAATTAAAAATGATTTTTATTAAGATTTGGATATTGATATATTGAACTTCATTATCAAAAGACCTCTTCTCTAATTTGGAGGAATTCTGATGCAGCGCTCAACTTTTAGGTGAGAACTTCTTATAATCTCTCAACAACTTCCAATTATTATTCTCTTTCAAAGGTTTGAGCTTCATATTGTGATTCTTATTCAGCAGCCCATCTTTCTTGAATGTCCAATGAATCTTCAGCATCTTCAAGGAATAACTATTGAAATTAGGGATTGTATTAGTACAGTTTAATCTTCTAAGTCTTCGACAGCCTCTTAGATGGTGACCTTGAATTAGACGATTGAATTTTCTAAGAATGCCTTTCTTTCAACTAATCTCTTGTGTTCCTCTTATAAGTGACCGCTTTAGACTTCCCAATTGGCAGCTTGTTTTTCTTCTGTGGCAAGAAGGGATGCTCTGCTGGCAACTAATTATTGTCTGATTTAAGCTAAGAGTTCTAAGATCTTGATGATGCTCTTGTTATCAACCTTGGAGGCTAATTATGTCAAGGCATTGATGAGTGGCTATTACAATAGAAATATTATTAATACCTTGAAGAGAGCATGCTTGGATTCCATCAATTTGGCTTAGACTTTTTCGAATCTACTTTTGAGTTGAGCAAAGGCAACACCAGCTTACAAGTGTTAAACGATCTTTGAGGCTTCGTCAATGGCATCGATTTAATCAACGTGTTCTGCATCCTTTCTAACCCAGGTATCGTGTTATGATTGTCTTGTAGCAGATTCATCAGCAAAGCTTTTCTCGTTATTGGCAATATCTGAGGTAACAACTCTGACTTCAGCTTCAGCTTCACCCAATGCTTCGGTTGTGGAATCTCTCAAATTTGAAAGAGCAACAATTTGGGTTTAGTGATAAGCAATTTCTTGTTCTAAGTCAGCAATGATCTAAATAATATTATTATGCTTACCTTTTCGAAAGCAACTGTATCACTCTCATGAACTTTGTCAGCTTTCTTTTAATCTCCGTTGAGTTGGGAAGCAATATTGTTTAAGAGAATTTGAATTTCACCAACAGGTCCTCCTGTGGCCAATTAGAGTTGAAGGACTGACAACACTGAATTTCCAAATGAATCTTTGTTAACTTAAGCCAAGATTTCCTTTGGGCTTTCTGTCTTTGCTACTCTAGCAGTTGCGACTGCAAGGATAAGAGTCAATACAGGGACTATTCTCATGTTATTAATATTAATGAAATGAAATCACATTCACTCTCCAAGACATTAAAAATTACCCGTTTTTTAATTTATTATCTCACCCTCATTAATACGTTTTTGTTTTAATTAAAAACTCACTCATTTTATTATTATTTCCAATAAAACACTCTTTTCATTCCAATCATAGTCTATCCCAACTATCCTTCTGGTTTAAGTTTATCACAAATATTACCTAACAGTTGTTAACAATCAAAGAACTCTATTGCTATTAGATATTATTAACTTTATATTCATAAAGAAGAAGTAATTAGGATGGGATAAATGATTATTGACTCTTCAACATAAAATCAATACTTTTACAATGAAATATCAAATGCACAAACGATCATAAATTTTAGAAGCTAAATACGTTTATAATAAATTCAAAGATATAAATATAATAAGCTTGAATATGATAGATTATAATGAGATAACCATTCAAGAAATATTACAATTTTTTAATTTTCTTTCTCAGTCTCATTAATTATAATATTAAAATCACAAAGGAGTAGATAGAGAACTATAAATTATTTTATAATAGAAAATTTTTATATTATATATATAATCTAATGTATCTATTGTTATAAAAGAGAATACTCAAAAATTTACTTATTGAAAACTGTTATCCACAAAGAAGTAAATGAAAATAATGAGATAATTTTATTGTATAAATAAATTCAAATATGCAATAGATTTTTGATTTCTTAATTGTTTATTGACTTAGCTAATAAATAAGGACTCATCTACCGATAGGGCCATTTCTTCAAATTAGTTATTAATAAATAACTTCTTAGATTAAATGCATATTAGCTCCTTTTGATAACAAGAATTAAATCATTTTGACATTTTCGTCTTTGACAGCTCTATAAAGCAATGTTAAGCCTTAGATGAATTAATCGACAGGATTCTTCTTAAAGTATTCTTTTAATTCAAAATATTCTTCATCTTGGTACCACTTTAGCAATTCAACATTTTCTGGTTCAATTGATGATTTCAAGAATCTTTTTCTTATTGTGGATAGAAATTCAAACGAAGGTTGAGATTATTCGAATTTTGGTGGCTGATGAATTATTGGTTAATGCAAGGATTGGCTGGCATGCATTCTGTTGAGTCGACTATGCGAGAATGATTTGATTTAAGCTTAGTATTTGAGGGAGACGATGGAATTCATTTCCGATCTTACAAATTCCATGGCAAGGTGCTATTCAGAGATGTCTTTTTGAACTTATTTTTCAATGGCTATAATTTTCTTGTTTTCTAAAGGTGGTAGGATGTAAGTACTCTTCTTGCGCATTTAATTATTTAACAATAAAATTATTAAAAGTATGAAATCAAAATAGGCGTAGACACCTGAATATATATTACACATTTTAAGATCATTCAAGTCCTTAATGGGGAAATAAAACTCCATGAGTCCATAGACGAGATGTCAAACTTGTGTGCAGACTGTGAAAAAGGAGGGAAAACAAGCATTTGATTGTTTACTAACATCTCCAATGGTGATGATGGATGATTAAGAATGTGCGAAGGAGGGAGTGGAGGAGAAGATAGAGATTTTGTCGAATCAAATAAAGCAAATGCAGATAAAATAGGAGTAATTGGAGAGTCAACACTATCAATTAAGCAAGAATGTAAAGAAGTTAAATCTCGATAAAAAACAACAATTGCAAGTATGAAATAAGAATAATCAATTAAGGAAAGGAGCTAGATGGTAAGAAAATTGGATTAGATGATTGATATCCAGACAAAGTAGGAAGATAATTTAAATTAGTTAAAGTAACTATTTGCCTCTCGAAAAATAATTTGACAATCTTTTATAAATATATAGTTAAATAAGGAAGGATGGATTATTATTAGTATACTCTAAATTGTTGGTTGGTTTTTTTCAAATTTTTTACATAAAAAGATTAACAAATTATTATTTTATAAAAACTATTCTCAACAAACAAAATATAATGAAAAAACAAAGTGAGAATGATAGGATAGCCTAATAAATATATACCTCTTAGATGTAGAAATTGTAGGGCAAGATATTGGAAAAGAAACTCACTAAAGTGTGTTCAAAACAGCAATTTGAGAGCCAATCATAGAATATCTCGAATAACAACAGTCCTGTGATGGGACGTTAAAAGTCGTTTGAAAATTTATAGAAGGTGAATAGAACATTCGTAAATCCCACTCTTCAGGTGTCGTAACAAAAATTGAGTAGCATTTTGAATGTGATGGCAGGCTAACAGACGAAACCCAAAATTCAGAGTTCATTTAATAATGAATTAATGGATACTGTGAAGATCACTCATAAATTACGTAAGAACTAATCCATGATCTAAATTGATTAACAATCACCTTAATTAACTAAGAATTCCTCATTTCATCGTCCGAACTCAAGTGTCAAGATAAAGAATAGTAATAGTGTCTCCTATGAGTAATCGTAATTGTAGAGAGTTAAAGACAATATCAAATAACTATTATAGGAGAGAGACAGTAATTGGTAGTAAGATTAGAAGGAGATTGCTTTCATGATTAAACTAAACTAATCATTAAACCAATTACTTTCAATAATCTTTTATGAATAACCAAATACATAGCCTACCTCGACTTAAGACACAAATTCGAGTCTTTAATTAGATCATTTCTTCAAAAGACAAATTTCAATATTATAACAATCTTTCACTCAATAAACAGAAAAGAAAAAACTTGAAAATATTCTCACTTCAATCAAAAGAAAACATGAAAATGTGCTCAATGACTACAATTAGTTAATAGAGTAGAAGAAATCTTAGGAGGAAGTAATTAAGAATTTGTAATCACAAATCCAAGGATTGCAGTGCAAAATAAATACATAACAAAAGGAAACGAAGACTGAACAAGGTATTTATTTAATAATAACAGATAGAATTCTTGGAATTGAAGTATCTCGTATAAGGACAATTCGAGGCAATCTAAAAATTATTGTAAAGAGAATAGTTGACAAAGATATTTTTAAAGAGAGTAGGAGACAGCTCGATTTTAGAGTATTTTTTAATTATATCTTTTAGAATGTTTGATTAGTTTATCTAAAATGCTGAACAAACAAACATGGATGACACTGAAGGAAACTTAAATATAGATGTTTTACCATCAAATAAGTTGATCACTCAAAAGAAATTAGTAGCAATTCAAGAACAAATGGGCTTACCTGAAAAGATACTATCTTAATATGAAGAGAATTACAAGCAATAATTAAATTTATACGATTCTTTGTTAGCTGATGATTCAAGTAAGAAATGTATCTTTATTTTATAGGAGTCAATGATTCAGAAGAAAGCAGTTTCGGTTATTTAGGGAAAGAGTAAGCCACTGAAATTAGTTGTTATTTCAATGATGCTGACTAATTCGCATAGACTTAACACAAGGGAAAGGGTATTCATACAATTTCAAAGGAAATGTTGAAGATTAATATGATGGATGTGCAATTGGCTTAAACTGCGTAAGAAATAATATAAATCTTTAGTTTGAAACGTCAAGAAATAGTTGAATAATAATAATAATAATTACTTTAATAAAAGATCTTACCAGATGATTTGATGGATAATGAAAACGAAGAATCTGAGGAGAACTTTTGTGATGATGAATGATAGTTATCATTGGTGATAATTATGTTTGCTCGTTCTATATATGTATATTTCGTATAAGGTTTTATATTTACTATTATTAATTTAATATAATAAATAGAAGAGATTGAAAATCAAAAATTTGTAAAAGATCAAACCCATTTCTTTAGTTTTCCTTTGAACCAGAATCCTTTCTTTTCATTCCCTTCCTTGTCTAAGAATATTCCCATGCCGTCTTACAACCCATTCTTCCATTGTCCCTTATAACAACGACCATCACCATAATTCATTTCTCCGTATCCATGTTTAAGTCCTTCCAAATATTGGCCTGTGTAAATTCGACCTGAAAATAAGTTTAATAACAATTATCAAGTACCGTCGCCCCACTTCATAGTACCATTTCCGTGTTTATTTCCATTCTTCCAATAACCTTCGAAAACCTTCTTTCTGTCTGGCCAAATCTACTAATAAGGATGAAATTTACAAATGTTCCATATCCATGAAATTAGTCATTTTCAAATTCTCCCTCATAAACACAACCATCAGCCAATCGAATTATCCCAAGTCCATTTTTCATTCCCTCCTTGAATTTACCTTCGTAAGAAGATTTGTCTTTGTATATCTCCTTACCCATTCCATGTTGTAATCCTTTCTTCCATTCACCTAAGCATTTTAACATCTGATACCTTAATAGATGCGACCATCGGAATAGACATACTCGCCAATCCCATGGAACATACTGTCAAGCCACTGTCCTTTATACATCTCGGTGCCATTTACGTATATTGCCTCCCCTTAAAGTTCATTGGAAGCCCACTATGATTATATTATTATAATATTACAGTCCCTTCGACATAGCTATGAATAATAAATATAAAAGTTACCACCTATCTTGGAATTAATATTTACCTTTTCCATTAGCTTTGCCATCCTTCCATTCTCCCGTGTAGATGGCTCCGTTCTTCATCAAAATTGAAGATTAATCATAATCGTGGAGTTAGTTGGGATCAAAACAGAATTTCTACTGCTCCACTTGAGTGGGTGCTGAAGTCTCTGGAGATTGTAAAGTTGTCATAAGAGATTTACGAACCTTATGACCTCTGTAGAGTGCTTATATTATGACGATTTTATTCTCATCATAAACAGCAGTACTATCCTCCTTGATGACTGTTTCTGTTTACTTGTGTCCACTTGAATCCATCGTGGGTAAATCTTCAGTTATTGTAGGTTAACTCTTGCAAATGCCCATTCGGAATACTTTTTATCAAAATTATTTTATATTAACAAAATCCTTACTTATTAATGAGGCTATTATAAAAGAGTTGATAAGACAATTAGTCTAGATAAACAATTAACTTAAATGAGCCACAAAATCTCATTCAAAGTATATTATTTATAACAAAATATTTAAACATATTTCCAGAACCAATACAGAACACAACAAATATAAATCCACAATTTGCCAAAAAGCAGTGGATCACAACACATAATCTATTTAATTTATGGGATTTAAAAATTTACTCGTCTAAATTGTGCATTAAAACAATCAATTAAATGTAATAGAGAACTTAGTACATAGCATTGTTAATTATTATAATAAAATTATTTACTTACAATATTTTTTAATTAAATTAACTAATTTAAAGTATTTATTATTACGCTCGACAGCGAATTATAAGTCGTGTTATATTATGTATTTGTATTTATTTTAAAAATAAATTAAATTCAAAATTTTTAGATTACACATAAACAACTATTAATAAGATCTCTCGAAAATTAGAGATGAAACCACACTTTAAATTCATAATCCCTTGAGAGAAAATTGGTTGAGAAAATAACCTAAATTTGAATAATTCACATGGTTTCACAATGCTCATCAATAATTTTATGATTTAGCATGTACAATTGGAATCAGTTTATGATATATGATGAATTAAAGAAAAAAAATATAAGTCTGTTGGGTTTTGAATTGAGATTCATAATTAGCACTTGTATCTAAAATAAGCTAAGACGATAAAATTTCAATTTATATTTCCTTTATAAAATGATACTTAAATATTTCATCATTTAATTAAATCATCCAAAGCTTGATTGAATTCAGTTGGTACAACAGATTTATAAGGATATAAATCAATGGCTTGTTAATTCTATTCTTCGAATTGTTATTAAAGCAAACTCTTAATTTCAGGCTTAATTGTGTTTAAGTACTCTTTTGTTTTAGTTGATAATTCCAATGACAATTTTGGCTGATTAAAGAAAATCAGATAATTTTAAAACTTTTTAATCGAGTCTAAATATGTGAATTTATAATTTACTAATTAAGTCTGCACTTTTAGCTTGTATGTCCTTTAAAAATTCAATCAAGTACTCTTCTTCTACAGGAGAACCCTCCTTGATGTTTCTATTCAAAAATGATTTCTCCTTTGGCTTTCTCTTTCTAACCCCTGTAGTCACAGACATTGTGTAAGAAGACTTTGACATTCCTGATTTTCCACTTACATCACTCATCTGATCAAAATCAGCATTAACTTAAGATGGTGCCAAGATTCCATGTTCTTTCTTCTACTCTTAGACTATCCTTAATCTCTCCAATTTTTAAATGAACAAATGTTGTTAATTCAATAAATGGTTCACTTTCAAAGAGAATGCCAATTACAAATGATCATCAATATTTATTTATTTGTGTCTTAAACATTAAGCTACACTTTCCCACTCTTCTGCTTTACAATAATAATGAATAGCTTATTCATAATTTTTTAAATACTCTTAAACTTATCCACAATCCTTCCATCGTCCAGCAGCCAATAAAATCTAATTATAGTTTAGCAAATAATCCTCTTTTGGATCGAATGATAGAATTCTTTTAGTATCTAATATTTCAGAAGATGCTTAAACTGCTTTTTCATATAATCCAGCACTTTCATAAGCCAAAGATGCTTAATGGTATTACTTCTGATTATTTAAATAGTCTCCCAAAGCTTCCTTCACTTTTTTCATCATTCCTAAATCATTTCTATACACTTCCAAAGCTATTCTAAATCTGTTTTGTTTTCTGATTAACTCAATAGATTTTTATTTCTATTCCTCATTTCCTTCTGATAACACCTTAATAGCCTTATCATAATTCTTTAATTCAATATGGATGGTGGATCTCATATCAATTGGATCTTTTATTTATGAATATCTTTCCAACATAGGCAAATATTCTTTAGGATCCTTCTAAGTGAATTAAGCAACCTGTTTGACCAAATCGAAATCATATGTCCCCAAAGCTACTTCAAACATCTTATTAGCATCTGCTAACCAGCAAATGTATTCTAAAACTTACTCTGACTTAATTTTGTGATGCTTTCTACAGTAATAAAATTAATTCAATACTTGAAAGGTTTGTGGGTTTCTGGATTCAAATGTGGAGGCACTTCTTCTTATTATTATTCTATTTGTTTTAGTTTCAAAGTCTTCAATAGGGCTTCTTCGACTTCACTGGGCTCCTTCTTTAACATTGCTGTAACTATTGTGAGTATATGAGTTTCCCTAAATTTACAGATATAAAGTACTCCTTCATATTGTCAATCAACTTTTAACAAACATAATTAATTTTGGACGTTCCCAATGTTTTATCCACTATTTACACTTTCTGATGTTTGTACTGTTCGGCTGTCAAAACATAAGGAAGTTCAAAACTGATTTCATTATTGAGTGATTAAATAAAAAGCTATAGATATTATTCCGATAATTATTCAATGATCTAGACATCTAATTCACCTGAAAAATCAAACATAAGATTCATGTCTAATTTATGCTTTCTAATCATTTCAAAGCATGTTTTGTATTGCTTGTTATCATAAAGTTGTTTGCACAAATGCAAGGCCATTACTCTTGGGGCTGTTGTTTCCAAGTTTCCTCTTGGTATTTAGACAATAAGTCTATCCAAAGAAACAATCGCCAAAATTTTAGCACCTCTTTCTATATTACTAATATTCAGACTCTTCTTATCAATTTAAATTGGCTTATTGAGATCTAGGATATATAAATTATGAAATTAGTCTGCAGTGTTAATAGTGAATGCTAAGAAATGATCAAAAAATGCAAATGAGGTACATTCAGCTGTCACTAAATGGTTGTTCAAAGTTAATTTGCTATTAGATTTCAGACAAGCAATCCATTCATTATGCTGTTAGATCTTTATATCATAAACATTTTATTCCTTATTTGCCAAGTCAAATTCACTTAAGCTTTCTTCTTATGATTAATCATATATAAACTTTTCTCCAAATCTTGAGTGTAATATTATCTAATGTCCCTTTTTAGTTAAAGCAGAGACTTAAGTAGGTTAAGAGAACTCTTTTCTCCATATATTTATAATTTCAAAACTTGGTGAGATCACAACATCTACTAATTTATCACTTTCAGCTTCATGTACAACAAAAACAGCATGACAAAAAATGAGGTCCTATTATTTGTCCTAATAACAAATCAATTTATGTGCATATTCAATATCTAATTTAACTTTTCCCAAAAAATTGGCATTATCAAATATGGATAGTGTTCCATCAAAAGAATAAACATAAATTAAGTTATCAAAATAAACTAAATCTATTTGACTATCCACCTTTAATTAGTAATGACTTAAAGGTGGTGGGATTACTCCCTTTTTATAATCACTTACTAATAGGGTATCATAATCAGTTGATAAACCTATGGTCGTATTATTAAATTGATAATTCAACCAAAAAATGCTCACATTATTTTAATTAAACACTACTAAAGTATTATTCTCAATGAATGTATAATCTACTAGTTTTTCAAACTTAAAAGCTCGTTTTGCATACCATTTATAATTTTATCTTAAATGAACTGTTATTTTATTTCCCTATTAGGCAGCCAAAATAATTCCATCTGGACTCCACTTGACGTTTGTGGAATCCTCGAAAATGTTGAATTCTAAGTGTCTCAATCCATTCTTCTCCCAAAATATAACTTGTTTCTCTTAAATACCAGCAATGAATTAACTATTAGGCTACCATGAAACTGTATTAACAAGATTTCTTGGTTTCTCAAAGATAGCTTATACTAATCCTCCTTCAGGGTCTGACTTGCTTGGACTTCTGAATTTCTCTAATTGTACATCATATGTTTCGCATATTCTACCACCCTAAACAGCATAATTCAATGAAAAAAACTAGATAATGTTTACAAAATGGCAATACTTTTCCATCGTTTTTAAAAGAAATAGAGACCAGTTAATCAAGGATACCTTCTATATTAATTTCTTTAGTTGGTTCTAATTGTACATCAAAACTCACTAATTTTCCATCACCACAAACAACAACTAGTTATTCTTAATTTGGATTCCATGCTGCACCCAACACTCCACATTCGAACTATCCAACAACTTCAGCCTCGCTCTTTTAAACCTTGATTATAGCTCCATCTCTATAAACGATAATCAATTGATCATTTTCCATTAAATATTGAAAGGATAGAATTTGAGAGTTATTCTGAATTTGTTAACCGACCTAATAAGTTGTTTGAATCTAATATTATTGGTATGTGATACGCTTATTGATTTATTATTATATTCATATTTTATGATGTTGGATTCTTCATCAATTACATACAATATTTTTGATAATTCATCAAATGTAAATGCTAATGGTTGTGAGATTTCATAACTAATGAAATAATAGTTAATCTGAGTACCTTTACTAACATTGAATTTATATTTCTTTCATTAATTAAAAAAATAATTAAATAATTAAATACTAATAATTATATTATAATAGTATACTAATTAGATCAAAAATAAATTTTATTCAAAAGAGTTGGGTACGAAAAGACTTAGGAAGATGCAAAGATGGCAAAAAGGATTTGATTTTAGGGCTACAAATATTCTTTTCTGTACAAAATCTTGGTAAGTTCTTCATTTGGTTTTGTTCCAAAATCAATTTGGCAGTTCTTGAATACTTTGAATATTTCATCATCGGTGAGTTCATATGTAAAATAGCAGGATTCTCAGTTTCAATTAAAGTTTAGGTTTTATTTTTATTGTGTCTCCTAATTTATTTTATTCGAAATTATTTCTTCATTTGTTGATACCTTTCGACATATAGATTTTGAGTTTTTGTTTAAAACTTGCTAAGATGCCCACACTCATTACAATGGCAACTATGCCTTCTCTTCTTTTTCTTAATCTCCAGTATTTATTAATCGTAATTTGGAGGTAGACTGATCAATTTGAGTTACCCTCTCAGAAAGGGAAGCTTCTTAACTGTTTAAATTATCTCTAATGAGACATCTGAGTTAGAATTGGCACTTGAATGAGTAGTATCCCTTTGTCGTCTTAGATGTTCTTAGATTGGGCACTAAACATCAGAATGCAATTTTTGGAACATGCTCTAAATCCCACATTCTTTACAACAGCAACTCTATCTTCTATGATGTTTGATTTGCTCTAGTGATTGATAGGTAAGAGTGAAGCTATTTCTTCTAGTTGTTTTAATATTACAATAATTCATAAAACTAATAAAATATGATCAAATAAAAGTTGATTTAAATCTTACTAGGAACATTAATCTTTTAGAACTCTTCCAAATAATTGATTATTTTCTGTTCACTTCAATTCCTGATGGAAGTGATTTTTCTGTTTTTTATTTATTTGGTCTATTGAATTTAAGAACTATTGTATTCATAAATTTTGATATGTTCTCCCCTTTCAAGCTATCTCATCCTAATGAAGTAAAGGAATTGCAAGAACACTTAGGATTTCTTAGGGAATTCATCTAGTATTTGATTCTATTTTAATTAATTTCATTTCTAAGATACATTGATTGATCAGAGTTTAAAATTTAAATAGTTTAATAATATAGATAATCAATTTCACATTAGCTTTTTCGTCTATCTGCATGAGAAATCTTTAATTGTAGGAAGAACAATCCAGCTGAAACTCACGCATTCAGTTTTGAGTCTTCTGTGTTAATAGTCAATATGTCTCAGACTCATCATTTGCTTTTTTTATTAAATCAGTTGTTTAGGATCGATCCTGCTTCTGCTTTGCATTTATTCGAGTTGAATTGTTCGACTATGTGTAAGGTTTTTTCTTTTTATAACAAAAAGCTTTTTCGACTTTTTCATTTTAATATAAGGAACGTCCTTATGTTTAATTTGGTATTCTGACATAGGCCCACATTCAGAGCAATTACAACTATTCCGTCTAGGCTTTCGATCTGAATTCTTATAAAAAGAAGGAGCCTGACTCATGGATGTAGACATAGTTCTTGAATTCTTACTGATTTGCTATTTTTCATCATTCTAAATTTTCTACTATAGTAATTCTTTTTTGGATTCTTCATTCTGGATTTGCAGTGGCACCCATTCGTTACTTTGATGAATTTATTAAAATTGGCTTAGCCTACCGCAATTATCACAATAACAAGATCGCCTCCTTGTTATCACTTAATTTTTAAAATGTTAAGAAAGATCTGGATATTTTTGTTAACTTGTTCTACGCCATTTAGCATACATCAAATTAAGTACTTAGTTTATAAATAAATTAAATACACAAAATAAATTAAACGTATGAAGTTATGAATTACAATGATATAAGATTATTTCATGATTTGGTCTATGTTTGAGTTTTATCAAAAATATTAGCCATTCAAAATACTCCATGATTTATAAACTTTGTCAGTAAAGTTCGTTAAATTATTTAATTGCTCATTCTTTGTATTCCACTCTAAAAAGTCTAGTAGTTAATTCTTACAATTTTACACTCTATTAGTCTTTTGATTGTATAATTACTTTAAGATTTGGATAATCTTCAGAGGATAATAATATGAGTTAATGAATACTTTAGTGATAGTATATCATAATAATTAAGGATGTGATTGAAAAAATTGTAGAAAATCAAAATTGAAACATTTCTTTTTCTAATTCCAATATATTTTGTTGATAGATGAATAAATTTAAAATATATTATATAATTTATTGGCAGGAAGCTTAAAGAGATTAATTATTATTTATATTCAACGATAATCAAATATTCACTACATATCCCAATTTCTTTAATTCTTCCATCTTTTTTTTTGCTTTGGTTGCATTAATCAAAGTCTAAGACAAATAGATATTTTTGGGTAGTTGTCCAGTTTTGACTATATTGAGAATGGTATCAAGTGTTCTCTCTGAAATCATATTGGAAGATAGATGCAAAGATGTAATATTCTGATTCTAAGTCAAAGCCTACAATATAACATTGGCACCCTCATCACTAATCTTATTCCTGGCTAATTTCAACTATTTCACTTTTTTACAATTTTTCAGTTGTTCTGCAACAACATTGCAACCCTCATCTCCCAATTCTTAAAGAATAGAAAGCATATCTTACCCGCATTAGACAGATCCACAATTTCCAAATTGTCATTTCTAAATGCCTGCATGATGGGTTCAAACTTATCATTAATTTTAAAGGTCTTCTTCCTTTTTTCCTGTAACTTGGGAGTCGGAGATATCCCTTGTCTCAACAAGGAAACAGGAGGAGGAGGTTACAAAGAGGCATTATTGTAGACATCCTTACTGGGACTCTTCTACTTTAATTATTTCAAGGGAGTGATGGACTACAAACTATGAATAGCAGGTTCTGTTCTCACAGGGCTTTTGGCTTGTTGCAATTGTGATTAGGATGTATATTTCAACTCGTGCATAGAATTGGATACCACATGAACGACCTAAGAAACCAAATTGTCATCATGGTCTATCCAATCGGCTACGGAGTTATCTCTTAAAAGAAGTGGTTCCTCTTGATCATATTTACTGAAACTATTCTCTACTTGATTTGGTTCATTGTGATTTAATTGAAATGTCAGAGAGCACATAGAATCAAAACATTTGTCTATTTCATGTTTCTTAAAGTCCACTCTAATTTTCTTGATTTTCACATTATTAATTCGCTATTCCAACATCTTTAGAGTTCTGTCCATTTCATCTATTATGACACTGCCTTAGAACTCCTGATTGTATAGTAAATCCAAGGGTAACTCACCACTTTCAGTCTTGGTTGAAAAATACAGCAACCTATCCTTGGCTCCTATCTTCCACAAGTCTGCCTATTACAAAATCTACTAGATTGACTCCTTGATCTATCTCTTGGTTTACTACTCCAAAGTTTATGTTAATCCATTCAATTACTCTAACAACTTATTCTCCTTCAGATCTAGTTACTAATGCAATTCTTTGAACTTCTCTCTAACTGTCATCTGACTCTCCTACAACATTATTGCATACTTTTCATTCAATGGCTCATAAAATTTAGACTCTGTTAACTCCTATTGTTTATCCAAGATTCTCTAATATGTCTGCATGATATTCTCAGCCTTAGATGCTATCTCTCTGACAACATCATCAACCGACCGAACCTCGTGATGTCTGTGATTCCCGAATAGAGCACATTTTGTACAAATTCGAATCTTATCAGTTAAACATACGATCTCCAGTTTCTCCAGATGTTCGGTGCACAATTCAATCTTCTCATACGCCAGGTTATTCAAATGTAACTAATATTCTGGTTGCTCTATTGATGGTCTCTACTTCACTACCATTTTTAAAAGTTAACAATTCTTTGGAAACTCTGTTATGTGTGTCTTCCCCTTTGCAAGAATACTTTATATATCTCATTGTCAGAATTACTTATCCTCAGGACAGCATATCTGCTATCCATCTGCACTCATCAACATCTATTAAATGCACTTTTAGCAGATCGTATGTCCACAATCAGGAAGCATCAACGGAATATTCTCGAATTCATTGAATATATTATGGCATTACGGACAAATGAGCTCTTCCATTTTAATTAAAATAACGATATATCATTAAAGGAATACTATTATTTAATTATAAAACTCATATTTCAATTCCAATACAAACAGAAAGTATAATTAATATTTATTGATTAAATAACAAATAAATTTTAGTAATTATGGTTTTCATGTAAAATTTTGTAAAAATCAAAATCTCCAAAATTTAACTTAAGACTTTTGTGTCGTTCAAGTTATAATCACAATTGTACATAATCGAATTTAATCAATTCAATCTTATCTGAAAAGTGATCAATCAAGCGAAAATCGCTTTTATTATTAAATATCAGATTTAATTCTTCATCAAAATTAAGATATTTATTTAAAAAATGCCAAAGATATTAGATAGCATTTCTCTGACATTGTTAAAATTAAAAAAATGAATTCGTGTATCAAGCAGATAAATATTCAACAAACAGATTGGTGAGAAATATCAGACTTTTATAATAAAAAATGGACTAATAACATTAGACAATATATTAAATTGTAAACGATCTTATGGAAACTTGGAGGTATATTGCAAATCTTTATTCTGATTGTTACCAAAGTGTGATCAAATAGATGAGCCTGTTCCACAGTAACAAAAACAATGATTAAAAATTAATTTAAATATATATCTAGAGATAACAATTTAGAATTCATAAGATTTACAATATTTAATCTTCTTTATTGTTGTTAAATAATTAATATAAAACACTTACTTGCATCAACATCGAGGGTTTTTTTAAGGTCAGATTATGACTAACTAGCTTTACTTTTCTATTGATTTTATTATAAACCTGCTTTCAATTTTGTTGTATTATTTCTTCTCCTTTTGTTTTTCTCAATTTGCTATTAAATAAATGTATTTTAGACTCTTTCCTATAGTTTGAATCATTTATGGATTTAAACTTAATGTTTAGTTTAACCCTCTACAATTTTACGAATTGGCGTAACTTATGAGTCGGTACTTCATTATTATATCCAAAGAAATACAATATTTAAATTAGGCTTTTTTCATTCAACATTAATGATTAATCTCAATAATACTTCTCTCATGAAATTATTTAATATTAACTTAGGCATATTTACTTCTTTAGTAAACCAGATATATTACGGATTGGCTGATTACCATCATATTTTAATATATATTTAAATTGGCACATTCATATTTTTTAAAATATTGAATTAATTAATTCTATATGAATATATTAAATCACTTTATTATTCTATTACACTTGATATTTTGCTAATGTATTTTGATAAATCACTAAATAAAAATTATGTCTGAAAATCCTGCTATTATTATGGACAACGGATCATATCAACTAAAAGCGGGTATTGCAAAAGATAAGAATCCAAGTTGCTGTTTTCCTGCAGTAGTAGGAAGACCCAAAAATCATGAAGCTATGGTTGGTGAGAACATCAAGGAGGTCTATATTGGGCAAGAGGCTTTAAAAAAGAAAGGCGTGTTAACACTGAAGCACCCAATTGATAATGGTATTATCTATTCTTGGGATGGTATAGAATGTATCTACAAAGTATATAGATATAGAAAGAATTTGGAGTCATGCATTCTTTAATGAATTAAAAGTCGATCCAGAAAATCACCCAGTTTATTGACAGAAGTTCCAATGAATCCAAAGGCCAACAGAGAAAAGATGATATAAATCATGTTCGAAACATTCAACGTGCCATCATTCTACGTTTCTAATCAAGCTGTGCTCGCACTCCATGCTTCAGGAAGAATAACTGGTATTGTTTTAGATTCTGGATTTGGGGTCACTCACACAGTCCCAATCTATGAAGGTTATAGTTTTTCACATGCTATCCACAGAAGTGACTTAGCAGGAAGATACTGCACTGAATATTTGGCTAAAATCTTGACTGAATTGGGTTATAGCTTTACAACTTCAGCAGAAATGGAAATTGTTTAAGAAATGAAAGAGAAATTGTGCTATGTTGCTCTTGACTATGAAAAGGAAATGAACATTTATAACGAGAGTGCCGCCAAAAACATTGCCTATGAATTACCAGACGGAAACATTCTTTTAATCGAAAATCAAAGATTCAGATGTCCTGAATTACTCTTTTAACCAAGCCTCATTGGTCTTGAAGTTTCAGGTATCCATCAATTAATTTTCAAATCAATTATGAAGTGCGATATTGACGTCAGACAGAAGATGTACGAATTTTAAATTTAAATCTTAGTTACGCTAATGTTATCATGTCAGGAGGTACAACTTAGTTCGCTGGAATCAAAGAAAGATTGAGCAAAGAATTAATCTCGCTTGCCCCATCATCTATGAAAATTAATATCTTTAATGCATTTGAGACTGATTTCCCAGTATGGTAAGGTGGATAAATGTTATCAGAACTCCAGAGCTTCGGATCAATGTGGATCACAAGAAGCGAGTATGATGAATGTGGTCCAACAATTGTTCATAGAAGGTGTTTCTGAAAGATCAATCATATTAATATATCAATATCGACAATAGATTTTTTTATTCAAACAGGGGTTGGTCAAGGCTGTCATATAAGATTGACCCTAAGAAGCCAGTAATACGGGTAGCCCAGAGGATGGCTTACTTCATACACGAAGTCTAAAAATCCTGGTGGTGAATTCTGGAATACATTTCAAATTCGCTTTGCTCAAATTTTGATAAATCAATAACATACAGTTGAACACTTGTACTTTTGTTTAAAAAACAAATATTTACATTTTTACTATCATCAGTAATTATTGTTTTTATACCTAATCATTTAGAAACATTACAATTTTCTATTGTCTAGTCTAATTATCTATTCAATTATAGCTTAATCATCATAAAAGTTTGTAAGAATGGATTACAAATAATCTAGCAAGATCTAAACAAACATGAAATAAAATTATATTATAGTTTATGTATCTATACTATATTCCTCTTAAATTTAATGAAAATAAATATTGCTCATATCAAAACAGTATATGATCTCAAAATACTATTCTATCTCCAAAGACATATTTTTATTAGGCTTCCTTATGTTAAATATCATTTATAAGTATTAATATTTGCTTAATACCCAAAAAGTAATAGAATTTTTAAAGAATTATTTAAATTAATTTTATTGTTTAATTAACATAGTAATTATAAAAAAAATGAAAACACAAATTTCTTAAGATTTAATAAATCAGTACATTTAAATGGGATTCCCATTCGAATAAATTATTACGGCTTGGGATTTGATTGATTTTGAGTAGGAAATGTTAAACATGCTCTTAATTTTGTCAAGTTAAATATAATAGAGTTAGAAAAGCGGAATTGTATGACTTTTAATATTGTTATTAGAAACAACAAGAAGATTCGGCCATAGCATAGCTGTTGCTTGAATCACAGTTAAACAATTAATAGTCAGAAATTCAAATAATCTTGCCTTAATAGAAAATGAGAGTCAATGGAATACCATGCGGGTTAAAAAATATTGGGAATACTTGCTATTTCAATAGTCTGATGTAGATATATTTCTTTAACAGTCAATTTGTGAAGACTATAATGGCTTTCTAACCTCCGTTATAACACAAGGATGCCAAAATTGTTAAATCATCCTAATTGGTATTAAACCTATAAAATCTTTTCGTAAGAATGATTGGAAGTGATAAGAAGTATGCAGATCCAGGAGAAGTTGTTAGGTGTATAACTGACCATTTAGGAAATTCACTTCCTATTGGGAGTTAAAAAGATGTAGGGGAATTCAATGATTATTTCTTAAGTAGGATAGGAGAAGGTCTAACATAGAAAGAACAACAATATAACCAAATTAAAGATAGCCAGATTGAATCTTCTTCTTCATCAATATTAAAGTAAAGGTCTTCCATTATCCAGGTTGATGACCTTGTTTCAGAATTGTTTTTTTGCTAGGTATTTAGCCAAATTGAGTTTGAACAATAAGGTGTTCAATAAATCAAAGAAAAAAATGAGATTTGCAATTGGATTCCACTTAATATAAAAGATGGAAATTTATATGATAGTTTTGAAAGTTTGATTATTAATCATTTAGAGGATTTCAAAAATGATTTAAATGAAACTGTTTAAGCTATTCAATACAATTGGATATCTTCTCCGCCTAAAACGCTATCATTTTAACTTTAAAGAGTTCATTTTCGCTAAGAATAAGGTATCTTATTAAGGATAATGTAGTTTAGGTAAATCAATTAAATTAAATGATGAGTTTACATTTGATGAAGAAATCTATATAGATCGCATTTTAAAGAAAAATCGGGAGAAATATCGAAATATATTAAAAAAAACTAAAGAATTAAAGTCTTAATTACAGTAGTTTAAACTATAATAAGAATAGAATAATTTTAATAATCAATGGGTTATTTAGAATATAATAACAAGTACGATTTAATACATGTTTACTTAAAACAATGGAAACAAAAATCCTGGATTGTTCAACTAATAAGTATAGTAATTTCACGAATAATAAATGGCAATTAAAAACCAATAACTCTAATAAAAATGCGATGATATTGAAAAGTAAATACAGACTAATTTTGATGATTTAAAAAATTACAAATACGTTCTCTAATCCATTCTTATGCATAATGGTTAAGCTGGTAATCTATATTCTATTATTAGATTGTGGACATTATTACACTTATATCAAAGATTTTGGGCTTAATAAATGGTTTAAATTCAATGACATTGAAGTTTAGGAGGTGACTAAAGAGAAGGTATTTTATGATGCTTTCGGAAAAAATAAAGGAGAGAATGCATATCTATTAATCTATATTAAAGTAGATATTATGGAAAAAGATTTGCAGTCGTAGATGAGAACCTACAGAACAAGCTCTTCATTTCAATATTTATAAGACACTTATGGAAGTTTCCTTAATAATAAGTAAAGAGAAGAATTAGCCAAAGAGAATTTATAGCTTTAAAAAGAAATAGGCCAAATTTAACCTTCATTAATAGACTAAATTATGGAGTCTTATTCAGAGCAATTCAATATTATTAATTAGCAGTATATGAATATATCTAACTTTTGGTAAACAGTAGAGTTAAAGCCATTGATTATGATGAACTTTCCAATGTATATTATGAGCAAAATGGCTTTATCCACTAATGGTTATTATGAAAATATATTAAAATGGGTGGTGATTGAATCGGCATTTGTATAGGTGAATCCAGATAAATCAGGTGGTTAAGGGAAAAATATATAAATGTCCAATGATGTAATTTAAATGATAATCATAGTTATAAATGCAAATAATGAATAAATTTAAGGAACTCAATTTCCCATTAGAGTTGTTAAGCCAAACATAATTAAATGAGAAATAGAAATTGCTATAGGAATACAGCTCATATATTTAAATGGCATCTTTGGCCTCTATACTGTTTGATACAGTCATATCCGAAAATTTTACAAGTGCTTTATCAATTCTACATCAATTGTAAACAAGGGTTGAAGAATCGAATTAGCACATTTATTTTAAACAAATAGTAAGTTATTTATAAAGATTAATTCCTATCATAATAATAGGCAAAATGATTCCTGTGCAAGAACCCGTAAATTTGCAAGAATTGGAGTTACTTCAAATTTATTTCGTTTATTAGTATTTCAAGCATTAATTAACAACTGTATGGGAAAGATAAATCTTGATAATGATGAGTGCGATCTTAAAAAATCATTATGAACCATAAATTCAGAAAATTATTGATTAATTTCACAATAAAAATTTAGATCCACATTTAGTAGGAAATATTATTAAGATTAGTAACGTAAATACTTATAAAAATTATAAATATAGGATGTAATTAGTCAACAAGCATATTTAATTAGTCATTATGATATTTACAATTGGTTTCCGACTTAAAAGTTAGATATTTTATTTGATAGTTTGGTCACAAGTGAGAATGATTTGAAACTCAAATTTTAAGTACGATAACTATTAAATTTAGAAATATATCAAGATAAAAATGGAAATTGAAAGATAAAATGAACCTTTGATATAAGAATAAATAGAAGCTTTATTAATTTGATAAATATTTAAGCATAAATATAATTACATAATTCAAAATCTTTCAATTATTTTTAAATATTAATTGTTTTGCCTTTGTTTTTTGTCCTCTTCATTTCTCAGTTTAGGATCATTTTACAAGATCTAAGGGTCTCAACAGAAGTAGAGATGCAGTCACAGACGGATTAATCATATATTTTGAAGTAATATATAAAGTTTCAAATATTTGGATATAAATAGAATTTTAAATAAGTAAATATATTATTTAATTATATATTTAATTAAAAATACTTAATAATTAATTTAATAAATTCTAGAACAAAAATTTATATTAAGTAAATTTTATTGTGCTGTGATGTCATAGGTTTTTAAAATGACATTAAAATGAAATTGGATGAATTCATTAAAAATTAAATTAAATGCAATAAAAGGAATAGTAACAATAAAAGGGATCTTCATCTGTCTTTAACAAGATATTATGGACTATTGTAGTTATCCTCATTGCCTACAATCTTCACTTGTATACGAAAAGTAGTTCTTCTGTTCACTTTGAAATTAAAGGAAATGGTAATTTTTAGATATATATTTAGAAATCACAATGTTGAATGATGGCCAATTATTGAAAGACTCTCACATTAAGTCACTTTCTGAGGTACTCAATAGCAATCCCCAGACAAGTAAATTAAATGCATAATTGTCAATTAATGCATTTACTAATTTTAGAGACTTCTTTAAAAGTTTGGAGAGATTAAGCAACTTGAATGAATGTAAGAATATGATATTTATTTATTATAGTAACTCTGTCTATTGGAAACAATCCAATTGTTAATGAATTAGAATAAGCTAAAGCATTAAGCCAAGCATTAGCCAAACTCACAAAATTACACTCTTTAAACTTAGGCATAGATTCTATCTTCAATAACGAAAGCAGGGAAATCATTTTATAAGGATTGAGCAAAGTTTCTGGATTGACTTAATTACGTGTCTCTCTGATCAATAGTGATTTATCTGGAAATGGATTGAAATCACTTTATCCATTGACAGAATTGAGAAATTTGAAGTCTTTGGAACTGTTGTTGGTTGGTAGTAAATTAAAAGAAGAAGAAATGAAACATTTGTAAACTATTTTACATAAGCTACCAAAATTAAACAAATTGAATCTTAATCTCTATGCAAACAAAATATAAATTGATGGAGCTATCACATTGAGTGGAGGCTTATTTTAATAAAGACAATTGAAAGAATTCGGAATCGATCTATATTTCAATAACATCACTGCTAATGGAACAGAAAGTTTAATGGGAGTAGTTGGTGCAATGGAAAACTTGACCTCATTAAATTTAGGTTTGGAATTCAATTACATAACCAATGAGGGAGGTATTCAAGTTGGAAAGGCATTGTCATAATTCAAGAACTTGAAAGATTTATCAGTAAATGCTGCCACAAAGAATTTTGGTTGGGATGGTTATGAGGCTATTGTTAGTGCAATTGAGAAATTACCACCTCTCGATAATCTAGAATTGATAATTGGGGTCAATAAGTGTGGATTACCAGGAGCAGAATTATTAAAATAAGCATTATTTAAACATGATAAACTAAAGTCCTTGAAAATCAACTTTTTAGAAAACTATATTGGTGATGCAGGAGCCACATTCATTGCTGAAGGAATTCAATATCAAAAAAATTTAGAAGAACTAAAAGTCAACATGAACTTCAACTCAATGTCAGATAGAGGTGCACTTGAATTAGCCAGGGCTATCAAAAATGCTAAGTCACCAAAGGTATCAATATCATTCATCATTTTTAGGTTGTCGACTTTAGAGTAAGCTAAAACTAAATTACTGATAAAGGTATCAAAGACATCTTTGTGCTCTTGGAACAAGCTCTTCCCAAATTAAATCAATTGGATGTCGAATTGTTAAACACTGCCCTTACAAATGCCACAAGAGATGATATAGAACTGAAATATGGAAAAATTGACAAATTGTAAATTAGATTAAACACAATCCCACCAAGTAATTGGGAATGATTTTGTTATTTATGTATAAATCAAAGTTTCCTTTTATATTGTCTGCTTTATCTTTTAGGTTTCTTAATTTTAAACTCTTCCTCACTCTCTTCTTCCTCTTCTTCTGAATCATTTTTCTTTAATTTCTATTTCTTTTATTTCTATCCTTTTTCTTTTTCTTCTTCTTCGTCATCATCGTCGTCATCTTATTGATTATTACCTTTTGAATTTGTCTTTTTTAATAAATTTTTCAAATAATTTTAATCATTTTATTTCATTTTCTCATAAGCATACCTTAAACCTTCGCTACTAAAATATTTAATATTTTTTTCAATAAATTCAATTACTCCTTTCAAATCAGCTAATGACATTTCTCTTAATAACCAACCTGTTCCTAATTAATTAAATCGTTCTTAATGAACTATGTTCTCTTAACATATCTCGAAAAGCAGATTCATATCACAGACTTTCTTTCTTGCCAAGGTTACAAAGCCTACACAACTAGATCTTCTCATCCATAAATTTTCCTGCTTAGCCCAATCCAACATTAATTTAGCGTTTTCCTTGTCAATTACAAACTTCTTTAATACTCTTCCACAATACGTATCTGCTGTTGCCCATTCTTTTATGTGACCATCAACAAACCATTTTTCTGTTAGCTTTATTCTTTAAAAATTAAATTTGATTTTTTCCGCAATCATCAATGCTATCTTCTTATCTTCCCCATATTCTTATCTCATTAAAAAATCAGCTATCTCATACTTTTGATCATCTTCCAATTCTTTTATTTCATCCTTGAATGAGTTGAATACCTTAGTAATTTCAGGTTATTATAAACCTCTAAAAGGAAGAACATTTTTCATGTAAGCAGAAAGTTCCTTTCCTTTTTTAGGATTTGCAATTTCAATCATCGCTTTTTAAATGGCTTATTTCATTATATTATAAATTTTTAATCGTTTAATACCTCAAATATATTCTTGCAATTAATTGATCACAATTTTTCAAACAAAAATATATATTATTGACATCTCAAACAGATAATTATTCTAATGCATTAAAAAATATCAAATTGAATAGATATATAAGAAAACACAATTTAAAAGATCTATTACAAGAAGATTTTTTGTACTTATCTATATATAAAATTATAATTAGTTTCCATTTCAAGTGTAAAATCTATAATCTATGATGATTAAGATTAAAAGTGCATTGGATTACATCAGATTCAAAAAGAAAGTTATTAATTTAACCAATATTTTTCTGTATATGTCAAAGTTTTTCCCTTAACTAAACAAACTTTTTTATGAAATTAAAATGGGAAATGATTATTGTGTGAGCAGAAGAAACTCTAAATCTAAAATCTCCGAGCACAGAATGTTTTAATAAGATATCCAATATCAACTAGAAAGATTAAAGAACATAGACAAATAATATATTGTTATCTAATATGAAAATAAATCAATTGAAGATCTCTTAAGAAACATCGATATCAATATTACAAATTAGGTGAATAGAGAACAAGAAAATGAAAATCTCAATTCATAAGACTCAATTGTCATCGACTTTGCTTAATTTACTCAGTTCGGAAATGAGATAATATAATAACTACAACAGAAAATCTAAGATTTAACGTTGAAGAAGTAGGATTGGTCCCTTTTAGTTGATGACAGTTCAAGCTCTCACTTTTTGTAACTTCAAATGTCATAAACTTAAATGGAGGATGGAAACAAGATAAATACTATTATTAGTCAATTTATAGTTCCATGCAATCCTAAAAAGTTCATTGATTATATGGGAAACTTTAAAGAACAAAAGGAATTAGATCTTAGAATAGATTAATTTAGATGTATCTCGAAGAATAACGAGGATTAAGAATAAATTATCTATTTAAGTTATAAAAGTGTTTCAATAATATCTGCTAGAGATTTTATCTATTTCAAAAAGACTAAATTGATTGATGAGACTAATGATGTATGGTGTGATGCAAGTAGATCTATTGACAATAATAACTATTGTTCTGTAAATAATAAGATTGTTAGAGGAACAATTTATTTAAGTGGATATGTAATTTAGCCTCTTAAAAATGTTCTAAAGAATGATCCCTATTCCCAAAGGTATCTATTTTAATTGTAAAATAGATTTGCCTCGATATCGAAGAAAGCAGAGAATTATTCCTTTGTATAAATGTGTTCATAATGTGACTTCAAATTGAAAGTGCCTTTTTATATTGCGAAAGGATAGGTGAAGCAAGAGATGATTAATTATATCAATCTACTTTATAGAAACTTATAATGATTTAAATTGCTTCATTTGTTAACGCATAGTTGCACACATTGATTATTAAATAACACTATTTTTATAAATTATATTATAGATTCTTATTCAATTAAGTAAAGTTTAATAACTTCATTCAATTATTTTATAATTGAATTCTTATTGTTGATAATCTCAATTTATTAAATAATTGCATTTCCATAAATCTTGTATTACTTAATGAATCAACAATATACTTTGCTGTTATATCCACATGTTTATCTAATAATTCAATGATTTAAGTTGTTTAATAATTGTATGGATCTATATATCTTTTGTTAGAATTGATATGATCTCTATATTTATTATAAGAGACATGTATCATAGTCCATTATCCATTAAACAAGCTATGTTGGAATTCAATTTTTGAGCAATTTGAAATTCTGTTTAATTGCCCTCAGATTTAAGAGTAAAGACTTCTTCTGGATTCTGAACTATTTGTTATGCACTTGTAGAAGCCATGGAAATGACTAAGAAATATAAATATGTAAGATGTTTTTCAATTATATTATATTGTATTATTCATGAATCAATTAACTGATTCATGAAGGCATTTGAATTTAAGAAATATAAATAAATTTAAAATATGAATAAAGAAGAAGCAGAGACATTTAAATAACCATTAATTAATGAAGTTAGTTAATAGTTTAGCAAACAATCAAAAAAGTCAAGAGGAAAGTCTTAATTATCTGTTTTGACTGAGCATTCAAAAATGGACACTCATTTATATGAAATCCCAGATCTTACATAGATAACGCAGAAAGTACTTTGTCGTTTGATTGCTGTTTCTGTTGTTTGCATAATATTTCTGGTGGCTGAAGTAAGAATACTTAATCCTAAGAAAGGTCATAGGAGGTTTATGGGCATAATCATTGGCCATCTTATCAGATGCTGCTCACATGTTCTCAGATATGAGTGGCTTCTTCATTTCTATATTCTCCATTTGGCTTGGGCAAAAACCCGCCTCTCAAAAAATGTCATTCGGATATCACAGAGCCGAGGTCATAGGAGCTTTGGGTAGTATTATATTGATATGGGGATTGACTATCCTATTGTTCTATGAAGCAACTATCAGAGTTATAGAGGAAGCCATAGTTACTGACCCTTTAATAATGTTGATAACAGCAGGATTTGGGTTGTTTTGTAATTTAGTAATGGCAAAGGTATTGCATTCTTCGCCCACAGGTGGACATGATCATGGAAATATAATGCATTAATGTAGTGAACACAATCATGGTCATGGTCATGATCACGGCCATGAACATAATCATGATCATAATCACAATCATGACCATAGTCATACTCATGAGGATAATCACTCTCATAGCAAATAAAAATAGCAAAAGAAAAAGAAAAAGATTAGCATAAAATAAAAGAGACAACAAGTAAGCGAGAATGGAATTAGTATGTTAGTTGTTGAACAAGATATTGAATCAGAATCAAGTGACAAAAATTTAACAATCAAAGAAGAAAGTGAAAGTTCTTCTTCATGTAAAAGCAATAAGTAATAGTAAAATGTTGGATAAAAGTAATAATAATAAGCTCGTGAACACAATCATTCAGAAAATTGTGGACATGATCATCAAAAAATTGATATTCCTAATGATATTGAAAATTAAAAGTGCAAAAACAAAAAAAATTAGAAAGATTCAAAAAGTTCAGAAGATAGTCATAGTAGTTGTAATGGAAAAGAACACAATCATGACCATGAACATGACCACTCTCATTCACATTCCCAAGATAATTCACATTCACATGATCAATCCCATTCACATGATCATTCTCATTCACATGACCATTCACATTCAGATGATCATTAACATAATCATAAAGATAAATCAAATAAATTAAAAAGTAAAAATTTAACTGAAATCAATGAACATGATAATTATAATCTTAAGGCAGCTATGATACATGTTATCGGTGATATTCTATAATCAATTGGAGTTCTAATTGCTGCCATCTTAATATACTTTTTTGGTTAAAAAAAGGATGAAAATAATAAAATCGTTTTTACATATTGGTAATATGCTGATCCTTTTTGTACATATCTTTTTAGCATTCTTGTTCTCTTCACTACTTTTGGAGTTGCTAAAGAATGTTTAAGAGTGCTAATGGAAGGTACACCATAAAGTAAATTCAATTATTTATTCTTTAGATTTAATAATTGAGGAATTCAATGAAAAGTTAAAGGGCATTCATAGAGTGAAAGAAGTACATGATTTACATATTTGGTCGCTTTCAGTTGGTAAACCAGCCATGTCTGCACATATAGTCTGTATTGAAAATCCAGAATATGTCCTAAGAAAAGCCACAAAATTGTGTAGATAATTTGGAATATATCATTCGACAATATAGATTGAATTATATGACAGACAAGGTGCAAACGATTATATTAAATGTGATCATAATTTGCATAAATGAAATTTAAAAACTGTAAATTAGTTATTGTGAAAGATTTATCATTACATTAATTTTTTTGCAATTATATTAATTAAATCACAAATTTGTAAATTATAATCCTAATGCAAATAGCCAGACCTACCCCGAAATATCGTAATCTTTCTCCTTCTATAATTGTATCAACTCTTCAGCCAACTTTTTGCCCATTGTTAATTCATACACAACAATATTTTCATCAAATTCTAAATGTTATTAAGGGTTTTAAGAAAGTTCAGAATCACCGTCAATATCAACCAGATAATTGTAACAATATTCATTTGATTTCCAAGGATCTGTTCTCGTAATAACATCTTTATGCTGATTATTGTTTAATGTGGCGATATAACCTGTTTCTTCTTTTAACTCCCGAATTCCATTTTCATAATAATCTCCTTCCTTGTCTATTAATCCTCCAGGAAATTCTAAACAATATTTACGAATAGGAGGTCTGAAATTGGCAACTATGATTATTGTATTTGGTTTATTCTTGTAGTTCACTATTGGTATTACTCGAACACCTCCTCTATAACCTGGTGGTTTCTCGGTGTATTCATAGACCTTTTACCTCTCTTTAATTTTAAATAGTAGAAGTTTGAAGTGTAACCACTTTCCAGCATGAACTAATTGCTCTGTTGCTTAAGTGTTTTAATTCATTTATATGATTAATTTATTACGTACTATTTGACCAAAATGAAGCAATCATATCTAAAATAAAAATAAAAATCAATAATGCAAAAATATCTCCAAAACACCTTTGCAAAATAATTAAATAAAGCTTCATTTGCTTATTTCAGTCATTCTGGACATGCCTCCAAAAAACCTCCCGTGAGAGTGGCAATTACAGGAGCAGCTGGATAAATTGGTTACTCCTTAATATTTAGAATTGCAAGTGGCGAGATGTTAGGACCAAATCAACCAGTTATTCTTCATTTGATCGATTTACCATTTGCTATGGCTGCATTGAATGGAGTAGTAATGGAAATTCAAGATTGCGCATTCCCACTTGTCAAAGGAATAGTGGCAACTGACAATCAAGCAGTTGGATTCAAAAATGTTGATTACGCTCTCCTTGTTGGTGCAAAACCAAGAGGTCCAGGAATGGAAAGAGGAGACCTATTAAAGGACAATGGTAAAATATTCACAGAAACTGGAAAGCATATCAATGTAGAATATTTCATATTAACTCGTAGGAACATGCAAGTAGAGACATCAAAGTGGTTGTGGTTGGTAATCCATGCAATACAAATTGCTTAATTTTAGCAAATCAAATTAAAGATATTCCAAAAGAAAACTTTACAGCTATGACTAGATTGGATCATAATAGAGCACAACATCAATTAGCTGACAAATTGGGAGTTCACACCACCGATATCAGAAGAATAGCCATCTTTGGAAATCATTCCCCCACTATGGTACCCTATATTGATTAAATGACAGCAAAAAGTAATCAAGGATTTTGTATTCATTAGATCACAAAGCCACTGTGGATTAATAATGGGTTTCCTAAACTTTTATTCCAACTGTTCAATAAAGAGGAGCTGAAATCATTAAAGCTAGAAAACTGTCCAGTGCAGCTTCAGCTGGAAATGCAGCCATGAATCACATTACTACTTGGGTTAATGGTACTGCTGAAGGTAATACACAATTAATAATTTAAGGTGATTTTACATCCATGGCCATCCCTTCCGATGGTAGTTATGGAGTACCCAAGGGATTGATTTTCTCATTTCCCGTTTCTGTCAAAAATGGAAAATACTCCATTGTTTAGGGGTTGCCAATTTCACCCTTCTACTAAGGCCTTCTTGATAAAACCATAAAGGAATTAGTTGATGAGAGAAATGCAGTTGATCATTTGCTTAAATGATATTCCATATTTAATCAATCCATATTAAAATATTTAGATCAGTGAATTTTTTTGTCCATTCATTTTTTTTATTGGTTTTTGTTATAAAACAGAATGCATAAAGATGTTTATTAAGAAATCAGCTACAATTAGTTATAGAATATCTATATTTAGAATAAGAATATATATCAATGCGGACTTTCAGGAACATAATGTTTTTTTCATTAAGTGTTAGGATGTCTTCAGTGAGGTTAACAATTTCTTGTTTCTAAAGAACCTATTGAATTTTTAAAAATGCTGATCATCCTCTATCTTATAAGGTTAGGAATAATCATTTTGATCTTCGAATACAATTTACTTAGTTGGGAAATATTTTTTGAAGAGTTTTTTACTTGACGATGCATAACTAATAGCTGTTTTTATAACATCCTCATTTTCAATATGTTGTCTATAACCAGGAAATCCACTTAAATAGTTACAGAATAATACCCATATCTGGCTTTGTAAAGCTGCAAAAACTGGCCAAGAGAAGATTGTTTGTCGTCGAGTACTATTTTCTTTACTCTGAGATCTTAATTATCATCCCATATCTCGAATTCTTCTTCTGCACTCACTTAACTATCACTCACAGATACTATGGATTGTCTGCAACTGATGCTATTCTATTAAGACAATAGTTTTATGGGTTGGATTTTAATGAAGCTTTTATTAAAGTGTTCTTATGGTTTATTGGTTCTATTGGTTAGAGATTAGCAAGTTAGACTCATTTATAGTGATTTTTGAATGGATTGTTATTTTTAGAAGAAGTCCTTTTTGGATTTGATACGGAAAGTCTATGAGGTTTTCATTAATATATAAATTAAAATCGCAAATCTTGATTGCTTATAATTCGATCTCTAATCAATTATCGTTTTGACATAATTAATTCCATTGTTGGTAGACAAAATTATAAGATTTTAATTCAGAATATTTATTTTCCAAAATCGCATTAGATTAGAATAGTAATAATAACAATATCCTCCTCTTTATATATTTGAATTGTTGAACCTAATAATAGTAAGGTTAAATTTTTATTATAATAATTAATTATTTATATATATGGGCAAATTCACAAAAGATAAAAGAGTATAAAGAAATTCATCATATTCTAAATAAGTATTATATAATATACTTATTAAATATAAACTTATCACTATAAATGCACTTTTCACCATTTTTAGGATATTTATTATAGGAAAGCCAAAGAAGATCAATTCAGAGCCAGATCAGCATATAAGCTATTACAAATAGATGACTCCTTCTAAATATTTAGACAAGTTGAGAGAGCAATAGATTTATGTGCTGCTCCTGGCAGTTGGTCATAAGTTCTGGTTAAGAAGTTGACAGAAAAGAATTTCCTTCCATCCGAGAGTTGCAGAATAGTTTCAGTGGATTTGTAAGAGATGGCTCCATTAGATCACGTCACTTAAATTTAAGGCGATATAACTAAAAAAACTACTGTGGATGAGATTTTAAAAAAGTTCAATTACTAAAGAGCAGATATAATTGTTTGTGATGGTGCACCTGATGTCACAGGATTTCATGATATTGATTATTACATCTAATCTTAATTGATAGTGGCTGCATTGAATATCTGTTTGATGACTTTGAGAGAAAATGGAATATTTGTTGCAAAAATATTTAAAGGTTCAGATATCAAGTTGTTGTACTCTTAGTTTAAACTGTTCTTCAATTAAGTGTATTTTATGAAACCCAAGTCAAGTAGAGCCTCAAGTGTCGAGTACTTTATTATGTAAATAAGTAATAAATAAATTTAGATGTCTTCAATATACACCTAAAATTTAAACTCAAAACTTCCACTTATACACATTTCTGAAGGAAATTGAATAGGCAGAAAAACAGAAACAAGAAGTTAGTGATTAATAAACAGAAAAGGAATAGTCCAAATATTACAAATTTATTACATGTGGAGATCTATCAGGATTTGATGAAAATTGAGTATAAACATAATTCAGATTCATAATTCAACTGTTAATTATTTTACTATTAATGTTAAATTTTTTGTTTCAATTTTGCTTAAAGTTATTAAGATGTAGAAATTTCATTATACATCAAATTGAATTTGTGTTTAGATTCTTTGCAATTGGCAATAATATTAATTTTGCTTCATTTGTCTTGCTACTGATAAAAACGTCTTTCTATTTTGTAAAGTCTACATCTGAAATTGACTATTCAATATTCCTAAATATTTTTGATTAGATAATAATATAACTAATATTAAAAGATGATTTTCCTTGAGGATGCTTAGAGAGGACAAGCTCAATCACCAGAATCTTTTAAAAGATTGTTTTTACCTCACAAGAGTGATATGGGTTTTGTGTTTACGAAGTTGAATAAGCAACTTACAACTGTCAAAAGTACAGAAAGAAAACTCTTTAAAAAACGTCAACCTGATGAAGAATAGGAGTAAGCGAAGCTCGATTAGTCTTCTAGCTTAGAGGTAAAGATGGCTGATGATCTTTTGAAACACGAGGTGTGTGATTGGTAGAATTTCATGTAGAAGGATTAAGAGACAATCCGTCAAATTAACTCCTAAGATGAATTGCTTTAAGAACTACCTTCAAAAATCAAAACTCAAGAAACTACTAAGAGAAGTAAGATTTGGCAAGAAGGGAATGAACGATATGTGTTTTTTTCAAGGATGAGACAAGGAAAGTAAGCTTATATATTAATTATGAAAAAGTAAATTGTTACCTAACTTGAGTTCGCAAGACTTTCTTTCTTCAGTGCGACATTCATCCAAACTAAATGAATATGCTAAGGTGTATAAATAATAGCCTCAAAATATTTATTTGAGTCTCAATCTTTCTCAGCCAAAAAGAGTTCCCAAGACTTTTGGATTAATACAGAACACCTCCTAATTGCAAAGCGTTAATACAAATAGATGTTTAAGATCAAGAGAAGATTGCAGAGCATTCTCATGTGCAATGCTAACCTCGCAAAGCAAAACCATAACATCTCTATAAATGAATCACAATATATTCGATCCACAATAATTGAGAGATGTGTTATTAACCTTTCCAACAGCACTTAAAGACTTAGAATTAATTGATTGCAAACTTCATTATTAGCACATGGACATTTTAATGGCATTTATTAATAAAAATTAAATAGTAAAAATTAATCTAGAAAAAAACAACATTCGAGATTAGGGATGTAAAATCATCATGAGATATTTGATGAATAATAATACCCTCTAACATTTGAACCTAAATAACAATTAAATTACAGAATGTTCGAGCATGGCCATATCAAATCTATTAAAATAAACACAGAGACTATTGGAATTATATTTGGGATACAACAATTTAAACTCAAGTGCAGGAAATGCTATCTGGAAGGCTATGTACAAAAACACTAGTGTCAAAATATTGGATTTGTCTCATAATAACATAGCTTCTCTGGAATGTGCAGCATCAATTGCCAAAGCTATTGCAAGACCATACAATGAATTACTTCATGTAGACTTATCCTATAATAAGTTTACTTATCCACAAGCTCAATTAATTTCAGAATCCTTAATCAAAAATGAAACTATTTATGGCTTTCATTTCGAAGGAAATTAAAGTGAATTATGTGTTAATCCAAATGGATTTTTGGTTAATAACATTCAATTCAAAAAAGCTTTAAGTGATAAACTAATTTAACTCTACAAACAACCTTAATATTTCAAATTACTCGAAATTCCTAAATAGCAATCCTATTAACCTCCCAAGCAATACGAAGAGTTAGTCATGCCATTTAGTAGACAGAGAAAGATTAGATCTACTAAGTCAAACATGCAAAAGGGCAATTAATTAAATAAATTAGACACTTGTTGGATTTGTGAAGGATGGCAAGAAATTAGATTTGAATGGAATGCCTATAAGTCTGGTAGTTTATACAATGAACCCATATTCATTCACTTTGATTTTGAAGATTATCGACCTTTGTTGATGACACATCTAAATAATGAGTTCTTTTTCGTGAAGATGTGTCCACCCAATCAAGAAATACAATATTTCTTCACTAATCCCATATTAGGTGTTTAATAACCTGCTATGGATTAACCGATTAAATACTTAGACACTCCAATTCTGTCTATTCCTTTTTTATATAACGAGGAAATTTTAGTTGATGGAAATGCGCTTGATTAAGTCAACGTGTTGCAAACATACAATAAATAATAATTGTTTGACAAATACATGCCCTTAGTATAATGCAAACCTAGAGAACCCTTAGCTAAATTTGACTTCTCTCCTTATTTGAACATCAAAAAACATAACTGGTCAGTTGAAACATCTATCTTTCGCAATTTTTAACCAGATACTCCATAATTGATTGACCAATGTTTTGAATTTGATTTTCAGAATTCCAAAGTAACGAGATTGGTTAAGGAAACAGAGATTGTTGAAGTGAAGGAAACTCTGAAAGATTTATATAGGAACTTATTCCATGTCTATAAATACCATGCTGCTGGATCGTAAGGTCAACCCATTCCTTGTATTTTGATACAGGATTATATTGATTTTTTAGTGTAGACATCCCTCATGGAAGGAATGAAGACCAATGATATTGATATTAGTTTTACATCGACCAGTGCAGCCAAAGATGTGGCATTTCCTTAAGCATATGAGAAAGGATTAGTAAGATGCTAATTACTTGAAATCATGATAAGATTATGCAATGATAAATACATACGTCCAGGATTATTTACTTCAATGGTAGATTCAATCAGCGCTATTAAATAATAATGTTAAGAATACTTTAGTAGATTCGATTAAGCATAATAGTGGAGGAAAACAAGGCTTTGGAATTAAAAATGTGATATTTTACTAAATGATAGAGTTGCTATGCTAAAATCTCTTTACAAATATTGCTGCAAACTCAGTAAGAAGCCTTAGTAATTCAAAAATGATTATGTATCAATTCAAGATTTTAAGGATATGGTAAATCAATGCAAATTAATCTGTGATGATCTAAATGAAAGGGAATGTTGTTTAGTTTATTTATAGTCTATGATAACTTAAAAGGATGAACTCTTCTCACCCAAGCATTATTAAATGAATTTTCATGAATTTATTGAATCTGTTGGTAGATTGGCTGAAAAGTTGTCAATTATTCGTGGTGATAAGCCTATAGATATTGACGACAGAAGGGCTAAAGATTTACACACAAAACTAGATGGATTTCTGTTGTATGTTTATTTGAATATAGGAAATGAGATGAAATCAACTCTCCCACCCAATGATCCAGATATCAAGGGGGTCGACAAATGCATGATAAATGACTTTAAGTCTTTGAAATAGAAATTAGAGGATTCCTTTACTGATGGTGATGAGCCACCTTATGATCCAAGAGTGGAGCTGCCTCATCTTTCTAGTCAGATAACAAATTTATTGGGTAATACCTTAGGAGGCAAGAAACAAACACTTAGATCTCAAATGAAATAGATAAAAAAAGAAGAGTAGAAATTTTCTTTAATAAATTTTGTTTAATACTTTAAAAGCATATAACAATTAAACAAAGATTAAGATGATTGATTTTTGTATTAATATATCATTAAACCTTGTTTTTATTATGATAATATATAATAGCATTTTATTCGATACGCATGTTTTATAATTTTAAAATATCAAATTATAAATTCTTTAATCAAAATGATGACTTTTATATAATTATATAATTAATCGTTATAAAAAAGGGAATCTTTTTAATTAAGAGTAAAAAACGAGTAAATTTATATAATTCCTCATTATTTCTATTCAAATTTGGTAAAAGCATATTTGAATTTTATCTCTTTAGTTTTTACTTTTGCTTCGTCATCTTCTGTTTTGTTTGCAGCATACAAATTCTCAAAAGGGAGAGGATTATATCCAGAAGTATTGTAAATCTATGATAATTCACTTAGGAAAATCTGTCCCTTTTTTATTTTTTTTTAATAGACTATTGATTATTTTGATAATGTTACCTGAATTGTAAATCCTGGTGGCTGTTGGATAGTAAGATTATAAAGCATAAACATTTTTTGACATACTAGTAAGTGCATAATACTTATCAGTGACTGAGAGCTCTTTAAACTCATTGGTTGAGAAAATTTAATTGTTTGACCATAAAGATAATACTTTACTTTAACCTTCGATGTAATTTTACCATTCATCTTATAATTGAGACAAGTGATCCAGATCTAATAGTTCAATATATTGAATAAAGTAATTTCTGCACTTTTCAGCTTCAGAACACTTGAGTTTGAATTTCTTTAATCCGTTTAAAATCGAAGAATTAGATTGGATGATATTTCTCTCCTTGGGGGAGAGGTGATTGCAAAAAATAAACCATGCTCTAGATAGAGTGTCTTCATCTGTCTTATATGATTGAGTGAGATATCTTAAAATAACAGATAATTTTCTGAGCAGTAAAAGATGTTTACTATGATTTTCTAAATAATTAGAGATTATAAAAAATGAGTGATCCACGCAATTACAACCTGTCCATCTGACACGAAATGGGAACTTTTTAACTCCGATCCCAATGTCATCTCCAAAAGTCCAAGCAGGCTTAAGAGCTTTTCTTTTTTCTTTCTACTTATTTTGAGTTTGTTATTCTATCTCCGATCTCATTTCTCCATGAAAGCATTATTCCATAATCAGATTTATTTTTACTTACATCCGATATTTTTGGATCTCGTTTGATTATTTAGCCCCGAACCTCCTGTAAAGCTTTAAACCTTGTTCATCTGCTGCTTCAGCAATTTGTAAGTAGTTCCTTTTAAAAATTTCAATCTCCTAGTTATAATATACTATTCTGATATTAGCAATTTTGGTAAAGTCCAAGTTAAATTTTAGCAATGACATATTGTATTTGAAGACCGGGTTCTTCTCTTTTAAATTAGATCCAAGATGGTTGATCTTATCCTATAGAAATTTGAGCTATTCTAGAATCATAGGTATGCAAGCAGTAATATCGATAAGAACTTTAAAATAGTCATTTAAAACTTCCCCAAACCATTACAATTTTAAATCCCCATTCAGACCTAAATTGTAACTGAGACTTTTCCCTAAATTAAATTTTATAACTAATACCATCTTCATCAAGTTTATAGTAAACTCCATTTTCTTTTCCTTGACCTAAATTACAAATTGATACGAATCTTGTCCAAAACCCAAATGCATCAAGTAGTGTTTAATTTGTAGTCAGGGATACCTATTGTAGAATAGCATTTAACCTTTGTAATACGAAAAAGGATGATCCTATTACTATTAATTTATTTGTATAATTAGCGAACTTCTTTGAGCAAATTGTTCACAACAAATATCAATTAAGTGAGTTCAATGGATAAAGTTCCTGTTCTCAAAAATTAAAAATCATCGAATGCCAAAGTCTATTACTCATCTGAGGAAACGCATCCCATATTTTATTATTATTTATACTATAGCTCACATCAATAAATAAAATTTCACTTTAGATTTATTTAATCAATCTTTTATGTTAATTTAAATCTTACAAAAACGATATTTTATAAAACGAAGCGACGAAGTGTAAACAATTTTAGAGATTCTCTACTATATTTTATATAATAGTACTTTTAATTGGTCAACTCTGAATATACGATCATTTATTTTTATATTAATACAAAAACAGCACGCTTAATCAGTTAAGAAAAAAATAAAAATTAAATATTGAAATTGTTGATATATTCTGAGGATATATTCAAAATGGCTTAAAATGAAATTCTAAAATAGCACTTTAATATCCTGATCTAAAACTATTTTATAAATAATATAAATAGACAATTATTTTTCAAATGTGTCAATATGATGATAACACTTATTTTATTATAATAATAATGCCTAAATGGCTGCTATTTTTATCCTACTTTACAGCTTATTCGATTATTCAAATAAAATCTAATAATTGCTCAATAATTATTTATTAAAAATAATAAATATGCACATTATTATAAATAATGATCAGTTTTGCGAGATTGTAATAAAAATTATAATATTCTTTAAAAATTGAATGTTAAGTAATTCTAGACTTGAAAAGAGACATTAGGTGAATCCATCCAACATGGTACCTCGTAAATACAATTATGTATACTTTTCTAATTGTGGTTTATAGACATCTTAAATAATTAAAACAGTAAATATTATTAATAAAGTCTTAATGAATAATCATTGACACAATGTTGCAAAATATATATATATTAAATTAATAAGTATTGCTTTGTATAAATCAGAAGATCGATTTCTTTAGGAAGAATTTATTAAAAAGTCATGTTTGAAAGCAGGAAATAACAATATTAGTATTCTGAAGTAAATATTTATAATTATGATGTTTATTAATATATTTTGGAAAGTATAACATTAATTTATTAACGATGAAACAAATAGTGATAAATTTCTCTGATCTTAATGATGAAGCAAAGAAAAAGTATATTAGATTTTTGAAACAAAATAACATAAGCATAGAGAATTAATCATTAAAGAAATCGCAATTGCATTTATAACATCGATCTAGATAATTTAGTACTTTGAGTGACATTGCCAATAGCAAGGCCTTCACACCAGCCAGTAATAGATTTCATTTAATAAGGAAGAGTCGTAGAAATAAGTTTCCTAACACTTTAAGACAGATCATTCTGTTGGAGCCAAATTTAGCGATTTAGAAGAGGCATATCCTAAAATAATGAGTAGAATTTAAAATAAAGACCTATTATCAAGACCTTTGAAATTGAATTTTAACGAGCTAAGTCTTCTGATAGAGGAAATATATTAAAAAAAGTTTGTAGAAGATTCTAATCAAATTGCTAGGAATTAGAAAGTTTCAGAAATTGCATTTGTTGACTATGTCTACGAATTTCTATAAAATAAGTTTAAGCATTCAAAAAATCAAGTAAGATTTTACTTATTATATTAGTTAATAATAAACTTTTTAGCATCTGTTGATTTACATGCATTGAAAAGGAAAGATGTAAATATTTTCTAGCAATTTTTGAAATTCAATAAACAAGAAGTGTTGACATTTTACTTGTTCACAAGAGCAGTTATATAAAAGGAACTTAAATTGTCATTCTATCATCGTAAACTATTTTAGTTATATCATTATTAAAGCACTTAGAAAGCAAGGGATAGATAGTAATCAATTGCAATTGAATTAAAAGTAGGTTCAATAGATCTCCTTACTTTTATATGGATCCCCAGAGAAATATCAAGAATTCAAGAAATTCTTTCCTGGAAACAGCATATCTGTAAGTGAATTTTCGTTTGCAGCCATCCTAATTTATGAAGCTCAACATCAAACCAACAAGCAAAAACCATTTTAACAACAACACAGATCACTCTCCCCTCTTCAAAATACCAGTTATGACGACTCTTAGGAATTAAGATAACCAGACTCTCCTTTGTTTATGCAATCAGAAATGTCTATGGATAATAACAGGTAGTAAAATGAAAACTTCTTCTCCTCTGCCTTATAAAGTGTTAGTAGTCAGAAGAAGCAACGCTGGCAAGTGTAGATAAAATTTCATCGAATGCCCAGTGCTGCTAATAATGTTTAAAAGTTGATTAATGAAAAATTGGAAACCAAATTATCTGATTTTATTGAAGAAATGCTTTCAGAAATGGAGGATCTCACTGATGATTAAAAATAATAGTGTGTGAGTGGAATAGAAGCTAGGATTGTAGACACTATGGCCATTCTTTTGGATGCTATCTATAAGTATGATAAGTTATTATGGTATTATTAATTAAACTTATCAAGGTTTAAGAAACTGAACAAATAGCCAGATGAATTTGGATTAGAGTATATAGAGAATTTATAGAAACTTTATCGTTCACTAGTAAAGGCAAAACAGCCTTTGGATGATCAATTAGATTAGCTTTGCCAATAGATGATGCAAGTAATGAATTAATTAATATTTAAAGACTCCAGATTTAGCGAAGTAAATAGGAAATGAATTATTGCAATACTTCTATAATTGTAAATGATACTCAATAGTTAAATATAAATATAAAAATAATTCATCAATTTAAGTATACTCTAAAACTGGATCTATTGATTAGTTCCATTCTTCAACTTTATTTATTTCATTCTAGGCTTGGTATTGGTTATTTCAATTAAAGGAGCATTATATTGTTAAGTAGTCAAAAGATTACCAATGAGATTTTAGAATTTGATTTTTGTTTACTATTACCGCACATTATATTTTAGACAGGAATATGAGCAATTTGATTTTTGGTTATTTTATAGCTATAATTAAAAGTATAATAAGAGTGCCACTGGCTTTTTATGTTGTATAGTTGATGCTTAGATTTTGAAATCAGAAGTAGACAATTCTAATAGTTTAAGGATTTGCAACTGCTTTTGAATTATTCAGAGGTTTTTGAAGCAATCATCGAAGGTACAGAAGCTTACTTTAGAACTGTGTCTCTTAAATTTTAATAATAAATATCATAATTAGATATATATTATTCTATGTTTTTACTTTGAAAGTTTGAATTTTAATTAATTAATTAAAGAAAATATTAATATGAATAACTTAAATAATAATAACAATAATAATAAAGATAAGATTTTTAATCCCTACCAAGATACCTATTTCAATCAAACCATCAATATTATAAGGAAGAACAGAAAAGTTGAGAAAAAAATTCTAATCTCCATATGTGGCACTCCTCTATTTTATTGATTCATATTATTTAACATTTAAATGAAAAATATGATAATTACAATTCTCATATCTTCATAGAATAATCTTGTTATTCTTAAACAATTAATTGTGCCCTATTTACACAAAGATTTGTTTGAATAAAATTAGATGAATCTTTCAACTTATCCCCTGTTAAACACAGTTTTTCTTCACAATTGACTTTAATTTCAGTTCTGAATTTATAAGTACAAATTTTAACCTGATTATCAAAATATGAAAATTGTGCATTTAATTAAAAATATTAAAATTGAAATTTTAAGAGCTTTACTTGTCTCTAGTAAAAGTTTGAAGTAATAATTTTTTGTGTTAGAAAAATCATTTAAGAAGTTGATTAATAAATCCCTTCTACAACCTAGGAATTAAAATTTGAATTTTATTAAGGCCTTTTGTTATATTAATTTAAATTTAATTATAGAATAATAATTCATCAGAGATATTTTACATTTAAAAATATAAATAATATTATTATGTTTAGTTCATTATCAGAATTTGAGTAAAATATTTGAAAATTGATTTTTCTTTATGCACTCTTTGTCCGAAAACATAACTAATTTCTAAATTTTCGAAGATGTAAAAAATAATCATACTCCAATAACAAGAAATATTACAATAGTGGTACATTTTATCGATTTTTTTTAATTATCTAATTTAACTTAACCAGTTTGAAATATCTCTTGGAACTAAAAAAAAAGGTTTGAGAATCAATTAAAACAGATGCAAGACTGCTGCTTTTTTCAATTAATGAAAAAGAAGAAATTTTGTATCATGAGGTTTAAAATACAAATTTTTATTGATATAAAATTTTTTTGAAGAAAATAGTATGATAAAGTATTATGTTTTAAATTCAAAAATATCATTTTGAGGGATTCCTAAAAATTATTTCAAAGATGGTTTTATTGGATAATATCCTATAAATATTGGTTCTTTGTCTTGTAATCTTCTTTTCATAGCTATAATTTGTTTGCATTTTGTTCAAGCATTTTGGAATAATTAGTTTGGATAATGTTGTATAACAAAAGATAAAATAAATTAAGTGGTGTATATAATAATAAATAGTGGTTTTTCAAACAATAGTCCACACCTATATGGAACTAATGAAAGAATAATACAAGAATAATAATAACTAGTATGTATTATATAAATTTAAAATGTAAATTTTCTTATAATTTCTGTGGAATACATGTTAAGTATTAATAATCAATCGGTTTGTGATTCAGATTTGATCATATTAATTATAATTGTATAGTATATTTTTATGGGATTTAAAGTTGATTGAGTGTAATGAATTCTGATTTAATAAAAATATTAAATAAATCATCACACATGGCATTCCAATAAGACTATGACNGAATAATCTTGTTATTCTTAAACAATTAATTGTGCCCTATTTACACAAAGATTTGTTTGAATAAAATTAGATGAATCTTTCAACTTATCCCCTGTTAAACACAGTTTTTCTTCACAATTGACTTTAATTTCAGTTCTGAATTTATAAGTACAAATTTTAACCTGATTATCAAAATATGAAAATTGTGCATTTAATTAAAAATATTAAAATTGAAATTTTAAGAGCTTTACTTGTCTCTAGTAAAAGTTTGAAGTAATAATTTTTTGTGTTAGAAAAATCATTTAAGAAGTTGATTAATAAATCCCTTCTACAACCTAGGAATTAAAATTTGAATTTTATTAAGGCCTTTTGTTATATTAATTTAAATTTAATTATAGAATAATAATTCATCAGAGATATTTTACATTTAAAAATATAAATAATATTATTATGTTTAGTTCATTATCAGAATTTGAGTAAAATATTTGAAAATTGATTTTTCTTTATGCACTCTTTGTCCGAAAACATAACTAATTTCTAAATTTTCGAAGATGTAAAAAATAATCATACTCCAATAACAAGAAATATTACAATAGTGGTACATTTTATCGATTTTTTTTAATTATCTAATTTAACTTAACCAGTTTGAAATATCTCTTGGAACTAAAAAAAAAGGTTTGAGAATCAATTAAAACAGATGCAAGACTGCTGCTTTTTTCAATTAATGAAAAAGAAGAAATTTTGTATCATGAGGTTTAAAATACAAATTTTTATTGATATAAAATTTTTTTGAAGAAAATAGTATGATAAAGTATTATGTTTTAAATTCAAAAATATCATTTTGAGGGATTCCTAAAAATTATTTCAAAGATGGTTTTATTGGATAATATCCTATAAATATTGGTTCTTTGTCTTGTAATCTTCTTTTCATAGCTATAATTTGTTTGCATTTTGTTCAAGCATTTTGGAATAATTAGTTTGGATAATGTTGTATAACAAAAGATAAAATAAATTAAGTGGTGTATATAATAATAAATAGTGGTTTTTCAAACAATAGTCCACACCTATATGGAACTAATGAAAGAATAATACAAGAATAATAATAACTAGTATGTATTATATAAATTTAAAATGTAAATTTTCTTATAATTTCTGTGGAATACATGTTAAGTATTAATAATCAATCGGTTTGTGATTCAGATTTGATCATATTAATTATAATTGTATAGTATATTTTTATGGGATTTAAAGTTGATTGAGTGTAATGAATTCTGATTTAATAAAAATATTAAATAAATCATCACACATGGCATTCCAATAAGACTATGACTACTTGTTCAAGATCCTCCTGATCGGTAATTCAGCCGTTGGCAAGGTAAGACCTAAAATGTAATTGATTAGAGCTCACTATTGTTGCGATTTTCAGATTAGATTTTTAGTGAGTCTTTCCTTCCTACAATTGGTGTAGATTTCAAAATTCGTACTTTTGACATGCAAGGAAAATCAGTAAAGATGTAAATTTGGGACACTGCAGGTCAAGAGAGATTCAAAACTATTACAGCATCCTATTATAAGGGAGCTCATGGAATCATTCTGACCTACGACATCACAGACAAATAAAGTTTTAAGGACATCGAGAATTGGTTGGCAGGTAATCTATATATTTAAAATAACAGAGGTTGAAAAGCATGCTTCTGAGAATGTGGTTAGATTATTGGTTGGAAACAAGGCTGATTTGGAGAGCAAGAGACAAGTTACCTATGAAGAAGGCAAAGAGTTGGCTGATAGTTTGGGCATCAAGTTTATCGAGGCTTCAGCCAAAGCAAACACCAATGTGGACCAAGCCTTTATGACTTTGGCTAATAACATCAAGGCCAAGATTGGCAAGTCCGAAGACAAACCAACTCCAGGAGGAAAGACCCCAACTGGTGGTTTAAAGAATCCATAACCTACAAAAAAGGAAGGAACCTGCTGTTGAAATTAAGATAAATTATTAAATAATGGGATTTAAGGAAGCATTCACGAGACAAGGCGATGGAGAGAATCTCCTCTTCGATGATGATGCATTCATCTATTTCGCCATTTCCATTCTTACTTTGGTTGTTCTTCCTCTGGTCTACTCCGTTATCAAGCCGCTCTTCACAACATACGTGTTGGGAGAAAATAAAAGAAAATTAGCACGTGTTCCCAAAAGCGGCAATGATCAACTCAATCTACAATTGGCTAAATAGGAATTGAGATTGAAATGGCTTACAACAGGTTATGTGTTTAAGGTAAAAAGCTGATTCTTATCTTAGATCATAATACTTGTGGCTCTATTGCTAATGCTTAATGCATCCATATAATCTTTGCCAAATGCAGAAAAAATCAAAGGGTTTGATCCTTATGAGATTTTAGAAATTGATCCAAGTGCAACAGAATAGGAAATTCGTAAAGCATATAGAAAAATATCATTAAAATTGCATCCAGATAAAAATCCTGATGATCCATAAGCAAATCAAAAATTTATCCTCCTTACAAAAGCATATGAATGTTTAACAGATGAAGACAAAAAATCCTTATGTATGAAATATGGGAATCCAGATGGACAATAAAGTTTATCTGTTGGTATAGCAATGCCATCATTTCTATTAAAAAAAGAAAATAGAGCTGCCTTTTTAGCTGTAATTTTCCTTTTGCTTTTGGTTGTTGTACCAATAATTGTTTTGTACGAGTTGAGATCGATAGGAAAATATGATTAAAATGGAGTCATGCTTAGCAATCAGGAGAAATTCGAAAGAGGATTGGAAGAGAACTTATTAATAAAAAAAGGAGTAGAATTATCTAGTTGCAGTGATGAATTATGTAGATTACGATTGAAAACTGAATAATAAGCTATTGACTTAGAAAAACTAGTTAATGAATTGAAAGAAGAAGCTGAATTAAGAAAAATCTAAAAATTTGAAATAACAGAGGCGCTTGAATAGTCAAAAAAATAGAAGAATAAAAAAAGAAGAGTGACCATCTCTGTTGCCATGATTTTAATCTATGCCCATTTATTTGGTAAACCCATTCCTGAGAGTGTTAAATCATTATATAGATCCACGATTAAGATAATTCCAAAATTAGTCAACTCAATGGTAAGATTGGCATTTGAATTCTCTATGAAATACAAAGTAATTCAATGGAGACAAAGGGGAAGGTTTTAAACTAAATTTATGGGTGCAAGATGCATTAATAACATATTATAATTCTCTCAATGCATAGTTTAAGGTATATATGAAACAGATAACCCAATTAATTAAATTGAATTCTTTGCTACAAAAGCCAAAGATTATATTAAAAAGGGGAAGATGCCAGTGTTTCAAGAATTAGTTCAAAAATAAGTGGATTAGAGAGTGGTAAGCAATTTAAATGATGAATTAGTTGCCAAATTGGGTGCCAGAGGAATTCAAAGACGAAATTATGAAGGAAATCAATATGTTCCCATATTTGGATGTCAAACATGAAGTGACAGTTGATGATGAATCTATTGTGGAATAATGTAATGAAGATATCTTTAGTGTAATCATTATTTAAAATGTAGATTAAAATAACTTTAACAAGAATGAACACTCCTGAAGGATAAGACATTCCATTTGCTCATTCCAATAGATTTACTTATGTAAAGGAGGAGGGATGGCATATTTTAATAACATTTTAAAATGAAGTGTTTTATTATGCTTTTTTGAATGGTTCGAATAGAGAGCAAACAACAGAATTCAAATTCTAACCAAAGATGTATTTTGGAGATATCGTTGAATTTGAATTCGTTTTATTCGTCATATCTGATTGTTACAGAGGATTGGATTCTGAAATACCAATTAAATTTAAAGCCAAAAAAGCAAGTTAAATAAGCAGAGTAAGCATTTCGTATATTTTAGGCCGTTGAGTACCATAAGGAAGATTAAGAATTGGATAAGTCACTTCCATTTATTCAATCAATGTTATTCCCCATGTAAAATAAAGTCGAGGATAGTGATTCAGAAGATGAAGATCAATAAAAGAAAGATGATGAATGAGATTGAGTATTAGAATATTACCCATATATATTGTATATTAATTTGTCGTTTAATATTAAATGTTATCAAAGTGATTTTAATTTAATTCTAGACTCATTTAATATTTTGATAATATGAAATATATAATAAAATAAATAAATGATAATAACTCCTAATATCTGTTTATTCTACATTTTCTCATTATTAATAACAGGAATCACTATCTCTGCTCTCTTCTATAGAAAAACATAAAAAAATCATTTTTCAATATATGAACATTATTTAGTATGAGAAATAAAATCAAATCTATTAAATTTGCATCTTCTAATGATAGAGTCTAAAAGTTAAAGAAAGAACTGAAAAAATCAAGCAAAAAGGCTTAAAGCCAATAATGAATGATGATTATTATGAATAGCTTCGAAGGCAATATTGTATAGTTTGAATTAAAAATGAATTAATAAAGTTTGTGCTTAAGATTATAAACATTGCATAAACACAGGCATCTCTCTCATCCGATTTATTATGCGCCCAAATCTAAATAACATAGAAGCTTTAGTTTGCCTAAACTCTTTGTCTTTAGTACAAGGAAGTAATTTCAAGAGATCCCTCAAAAAATGAGAAGAAAAAGCTGTGATTGTCAAGAATGTGGAAGAATGACAAGCTTCCAATATAAAAACATGAATATCCCATTCATTCTCAAGCCATCCAGACTAAGAAAGTAACCATCTCTCAAAAATAATCGATTATTGACTGCATAAAATACAAGTATACGTTTGCACTAGCAATATCATAGAAAAACTATTTCGCAAATTCTCTGCCTCTAAATAAGATTCGTTAATTAGTACTTCATCTTCTCAATTAATGCTTACTTCTCTCCGTAGAGCATCAGCAAGAACCACAGAAAAACTAATTGAAGACACCCAAATTCGCATACATGAGCCTCCTAAAACCTCTAAAAGTCATTTCTAATAAGATTCTTAAAAACCAGAAATAAAAAAGATTACATTATAAATTCCAAAATCATCGAGAATTATCAAAACACAACCTTCTGATCACTAAAGCATTAAGTTGCCGTAGACACTAAAAAGCATGAAGTAAATTCACACTAGAAGCTTTCTTTGCTCATACTTAACTAAATATAAGAAATCGAAAACATGTATGGTTTAATAAAAGATATGAAAAAATCTTTATAAAATATATATCATTATAGAAATAGTGTTTAAATATATATATAATAAACTGATATACACTTCTCAGCTTATTACATACTTGAATTAGTTGGTTTCATCATTCTCCATTATATTATCTTGGAAATAAATATCTGGAAAAAAGGGGGTTTTTTATTAGAAACTTAAATTTGATTTTGAGAGTCCTAATATAATAGGCAATATGCATAATAAGCTTAATTTTGTCCATTATAATTTTTGGCGATGAACCCAAATTTCATTAGCTTTAATTTCCATGCTACTATTATCGCTTACATAATATTAAATATTTAGTTTATTTAATCAAATATCTTCTTAAAAAAAAAAATATTTTTTGACTTATTTATATTGCTCTAAAATCTTTTATTTTTATTCTTAGATATTTTTAGTTAAATTCTTTTTATGTCTTCTCATTTTCTAAATTCAATAAAATTATCTACAATTCTGAAGATAATTTATTACAGAATTTAGGGTCTTTTGTATGACATAATCCAAAATAGTAGTCTGTTAGAACTAATTAACCAACACTCGACTCGCTTCAATAAATCATATTTTTATTTCCATAGTAGTAGGTTATTATTAAAAATTATAACTAATTGTTCTAAAACATTATGAAATTTATTTTTTCTTATATTAGATTAAAATTCAAAAATAATAATTAAAGCCAAAAAAATTTAGTCTCCATTCTCCTGAAATTTTTATTCTATTTAAATTAACAAAAAATTTTTATTTTTGTAAATCATAAAGTTTACATTACTTTCTTTAATAATTCTATGGCTTATCTACCAAATAAAATAATAATCATTTGATTAAATGATACATTATAAACAGTAAAGCAGTAATATTTAATTTTGCACTTCTTAATTATGATCATCCCAATTTCTATGCTTTCAAGTTAAATTCATTATGAGATTAGGCTCAAATTAATAGTTACGGAGTTGTATTATGAATAAACAGTATTTTATTAGAGAAATATAAATTAAATAATTCCCTAATTAATTGAAAGAATATGAGCTATTAAATAAGTACAGAACATCTCAAAAGACAATAATATTTGTTTAAATTAAGAGTTCGTTATTTTAAAATGAGGAATTTTTTCCATTATCCTTCTATTGAAATATAGATGCATAAAAACGAAGAACCACAGTGTTACATAAAAGTTCTTATCGTTTGATATAGTCGCAGTAGTATTCTATATTTTAGTTTAAACTAAATCGAAATTAATTTGATATAAATGCTTATTCTAAATATAGTTAAATCCTTATACTCATCAATCTTAAAGATTAGGTGTTTCAAATAAGGTGTGTAGTTTGATAACAGTCAATTTAGAAATAGATTTTGCTAATTTAGTCTCTAGATTAATCTCATTTTCAGATCTTATAATAATTAGAATAAATCGGTGATTATATTAACTCTAGGAGAGTTATTACATCTGAATTAATAATAAAAATATATTTTGATACTATAGAGGCAACTGTGAATTCAAGCAAGCAGAATCTTTAGGTTAGATCCTGGTTTTACAAATTAAATACAAGTATTTGAGTCTAGAAGCAGAAGGGAAAGCTTAAGCTTTGTCAATGGGATGGAGACTGATTAATGTTTAAGATATATAAATTAATGCACAATATAAATTTAAGAATAATGTGGGGATGACAGAAAAAAATTGATTTTATAAAAAACTAAAAAAATTGAAAAACGCATAGTTTGTGTAATTTAAGCCAAATAAGGGTGGCGAGAAAACATTAATAATATTAATGAAAGCTTTATTGATCTTAGGATTAGTGATCTTCACACAAGCCGTCTTCGTTAAGCATGCTTCTGAACCACATGCTGCCGTCTTCGCTTAACTCGAAGCCCTTGAAGACCATCCATTGGGAAAGAAAATTTTGGACACAATCGCCTTGTAAATGAAGAACAAGTCACCACTCTCTGACATTGCCAAGATGCTCTAAGACTTGAGAGAGAACTTAGTCCTCTAATAACAAGATGCTGAATTAGTCCACGTCGCTTAAGAAGCTGACTGTGAAGCTGAAATCTATGGATATAACAGAAGAATCGACTTCGCTTCCAACGAAATCACCGAAGCCACCATCGATATCAACAAGTACACTGCTGATATTGAACTCTTGGAAACAGATATTGCCAACAAGGAATAATAATTATAAATCTTAGCCAACTAAGAGGAATAACTCAGATAAAAGAGAGCTGAAGACCACGCTTCATTCGAAGAAAGATAAATCACAACCCCAAAGGTCGTTGAAGCCCTCGACGTCATCGCCGCCAAATTGAGCGCTATCCAACCAGAAGCTGATGCTGAAGCAGTCCTTGCTGAATTAGAAAGAGTCGGTGGAAACAACCCCATCCTCGCCCTCGTCCAATTGGCCTCCACATTCTCAGCTGAGAAATTATAAAACGTCTAAGACAAGATCGCTGAATTGAGAGCCTCATTGGAATAATCCATCATTGACGACTAAGAAGAAGAAGTCTAAGCTTAACTTAACTTCGAAGCTTAACTCGTTGAAATCAACGAATAAAGAGCTGCCCTCTAATCCGAAAAGGCTGACTCCGAAACCAAATTAGGATAAGCTTAAGTCTAATTAGCTGCCGCCAAGAAGAGAAAGTATGATGCTGGAAGAGAACTCGACTCAGCCACCAGAGGAAAGGTTGCCAAGGAAGCTGAATGTGATGCTTGGAGAACTTAATATGCCAGAGACACCGAATAAAGAACCGTCGAAATCGGTATCATCAGATAAGTCGAATAAATCCTCGCCACCAAGTTGGAAGGTGCCTCCTCATACATCAAAGGAAGAATCAACTGAAATTGATGTATATTAATCATTTAATCAAATTTCTAAATTTTTTTTCATTATTTTTATTGTAATTAATGGACAATACTAAATGTTTTAAGAGCAAAACCCAACACTCCATTCTGTTTATTCAAATTCTCATAATAAGGCTAGATTTTCAATGAGAATTTCCTCATATCAATAATATCTAAATAACAAGTTTAATGTTAATATTCGTAATAAAAAAATATTTCACAAGAAAACTTAGATACTCATCCATTATTGAATTCTATATCGTTTAATTTTGTTAAATTATTTAGCCTTATAAAGTATTTATATAGAAGAAGAAGTGAAAGTAAGTTAAGAAACACATATAGATGATTACAAACCATTTTAACAGGAAAATAAACAAACAAACTAAAATAAGATTTTGATTGAATATAAATTAATTTTAATATTTTTATTTAAATATTCTGATACTATTAGATTTATTCTTCATTTATCTATGAAATAACTAAAACAAATCATTGTTTTGCTTAACTATTAATATATTTGGATTTTCAATCTCTAAATTAGACCTTTTTCTATGGTTTTTCTTTATAATTAAGAGAACTACAAGAGGATTCCGGGTATTGCTCATATGTCCGTGCACTTAAAATTCCTTTAATTCCATCTTGTTAAAATTTGACTTCTTCATCTACCACTATTTTTGGTTCTAAGTAGATTATTATATGTTGTGAACGAGGGGAATTAGGACGAGAAGATAACAATCCATCTCCATTTTAGAATGCGTACATTTAGCTATGATCCTATATCAATTCCTCAAAGTTGGCTAATTGAAGTGAGTCTCCCTAAGATTTTATGATGCTGTCTTATTTACTCGAAGTAATTATTTCTTCTTCGACCTTTGTCGCATCAACAGTTGTAAAACAACTATAATTACCCATTATATATATTAATAATAATGTATTCTGAAACTTCACTCTCTCTATATCCCATAAATAAGAGGACAAGTTAGTTATTTCAGATGCATTTTTTTTCATTAGTATTCCTAAGAATGGAGACTCTTATGATAACAACAACTATAACGAATCAGACTTAAAACTAACCATAAATTTGATATGAAATTAATTTATTTTAGATTTTAATATTAGAGCTTAAAAATACATTTTAGTATGACAAAGTTATCAATGCTTGGCATTAGGCATCTTTGGCTTATACGATTACAAATGGCTAAAATCATAGATAGAAGTGTTGTCCTTCTTTTAATTGACATCGGAATTGATTGATGTTAAATAATTCTTAGTCAATTTTAAATTAGCCTGAGATGATGATTGAAGTCCCTTAAACTCCAAAGTCTTTGCACTTTATGTTGTTTATTTCGGGATCACGGGCTTGTTCTCTGTTGTAATAAAATCTAATATATCATCCAAATCATTGCTATCAGTTTTTTGAATTTTTTATTAATTCCCAAATTGAAGTGATAAATCACCCTTTACACTTTGAGTTGTGACCTTCTGTTTTTTATCCATGTTTGTATCTTTAACATCCTTACTCCAAGCCTTATCCTAATCCTCAAATACTAATGTTGGAGCAATCTTCTGTATATTGTAAAAGTAGGGGTGTGTCAGAATTTATTAAGCAGTAATTCTCTTATTCGGATCCCATTTGATCATTTGAGACAGTAAATTCAGAGCTTCTATGCTTGCATTTGGGATTAACTGCTATAACTGAAGAGGTTAATATTGTGCTAATCCCATTCCTAATTAAGATACTAAGCGACAGCCCTCTGGCCAATCTGTTTAAGTAAACGTACTTAAAATAGATTTCTAGAATAATACCCTAAAGTGGACAGTATCTTATTGAATTACTCCAACTCAGTATTACCCTAAAATAGGGGTCTATTAAGAAATAACTCAGCCATAATACAGCCCAAGGCAAAAATGTCAACTGGACTGTTGTAATTGATTTGTTTCAATAATATTTCTGGAGCCTAAATACATAAGGGGTCTACTTACCCGATACCATCTTGTGGCGACATAATCAGTATATGGTGGTCGTGACCTTATTTCTCTTGCTAAACCAAAATCGATAATCTTCACAATTCCATTTTCTGTCATGAGCATATTCTCTGGTTTAAGATCTCTATGAAAGTAACCGTGCTTATGCATATAGCTTAAACCATTTGCAACCTAATAGATGATTGATTTGATTTGATCATCTGACATTGTTTTACCCTAATATTAAGTTTAGATTATATTCTACTTATTCTCTATGTTAAGAGTATATTTAATATATGCTCATTTCTACAAACTCAAACACTAAACAAAGAGTATCAGCATCAAGAAAAACTATGATAGATCTAATTAGAGGTTACTTTCTTTCAGTTTTACAATGTTAGGATGATTTTGAAGTTTCATTAAGGCTTTGACCTCTCTCAGATTTGTACATTCTTCAAAATTGTGATATTTTTATTTCATTTTTTTGATGGCTACTAATTCAAAATTCTCTGTGTTTTCCGCCTTCATCACTACACCAAAAGTGCCATCTCCGCTTTTTTTAATCTCTTTGAATTTTTTCATTGAAATTTATATTTTTATTAATACTAACAATTAAATCTCGATCACACTATAAAGATGGACTGAATGACATAAATAACAAATTCAATATTCAATAATGAACACAAACCTTATTAGAGTTCTCAATTTAATGTACTGTTTCTAGCAATAAATAATTTTATATAAAAATGTATAGTAATTAGTTTCATAACAATTGATATGGCACTGAAAATAATACATTTATAACTAGGTGACAAATCTATTTAGTAATTTAAGCTTGAAGACTCGTTTTTAAGATTAAATTTAGATACAATTTTATATTAAATCTTTGGGGTTCTTTATTTCATGAATTATTTGATTGATTTGATCTAAATATATTTTTAAAATATGGGAGGAATATCAATTAATTACAAATAGATTTCAGAATGTAAATTAGAGTAATAGTAGAAAGCTTAGCAGGTGATCTTCAATCATGATTTCTCAATAATATTTATGATTTAGTACACTTTAACTACGTTAATCCATATGAATCAATTACTAGTCATGTAATTTAAAAAAGGAAAAATAAAAACAATTTCAAGATAGAATTTCTAAGGAGTATTGCTACCTTTAAAAAATAGTCGTCTTTTATTAAAAACTTGTGAATAAAAAGGAGGATTGGTGTTAATTCCTATTACAGCTTCAAATAATATAAAATATTTAAGAAGAATCTAGTATAAAGGGGAATGTCCTTATTTTAATTCTTTTCCAAAAATAAATTGTTTAGTAATTAATAAAAATGAGAGTTTAATAGTATGTGGAGGAAAAGCTTTATATTTTTGGACCTTCTAAAATGAAGAGCAAGTGATTGATTATTTTTCTTATGATTTTACTTATCCATTTTAAGAAATAATATAAATATGTTTTAATTAATCAGAAACTAAAGTTATTATTTCTACAGGGTAAAAAATAATAGTTTATCATTACGATATTTAAAAGTTATGTTGGATCTTATAAAATTAATTAAAAAAATCGCCCTTAAAATATCACCAGTTCATTAATGATGATATTTTAGTTGTCAGAACATAAAATTCTTATTTTTGGCTTTTTGCTCAGACTTACTGCCTAAATCATATTGAATCATATGTTCTGAATAAAGAAAATGGATAATTTGAATCAAAGATGTTAATAAACGACAAGCATGAGTCTTTTAGAATATTATATTATTGCCCAAAGAAAAAAATTCTAGTGAATATTAGACAAAATGTTCTGAAATTTATAAATATAAAGGATGATGGTAATATGTCTACTTAAAAAATAATTAAATTAGATCAAAAATACGATTATATAACAATTAGTGAGGACTTAAGATATTTTGTGGTTTGCAAATAAAATTTGATGAAAGTTTTTTAGTTATAGTCAAAATGAAAATATAATAAACGATGAGAACTTATTGTAATACTATTATATCACAAATCCGTTCTAACTTGTTTAGACATAGAAATTCTTTGAGATAATTGGGTTTGTCCAGTGTATAACGGTTTCTTTTAAAATAATGAAGAGAAGTCATCTCCAAAACCCTATGAATTTCTTTTACTTCCCACTCTTGATCTAGCAGTTTTATTAAGAGTATAAAGCATTTTTTTATCCCTCTTTTCATCAATAAGGGGGTCCTCTCTAAAATATAAAATCTAAATTACAATAATTTGAGTTTTTTCTTTATCCTTATGATTTGATTGATAGCTACAGCACTGAATGTATAGGAAGAAAACGAATGAGCAATGTTTCGTTTGCGTTCTAAATATTTTGTTAAAATTCGAATTGCTTTGGATATCACGACTTTTGGGTTATTCCAAGTATAGTAACATTCAAAGTTTTTCATATTTTCGAAACCTTCTAATTCCATAGAAGTCGACTGTTTTTCAAATATTGGTATAGATATTTCTTAAGAGGGATTTTCTGACAGCAATTTCGTAGTTTTATGTGTCTTAGCAGTTCTGCTTCTATTCGTTTAGGTTTTTGTGGTTTTTCTCTTTAACTCATTCTTATCTTCTTTTGCATCAATGGAATCTCTTTTATAATCAACTGATTAAGTTGAAGACATAAGAATGATTTCTCCTTAAGTATCTTTAAATTTTGATTTTCTTTTAATTGGCCTTTCCTTTTCTTAATAATGATCTACTTGGGTTTGAGATGAGAATGGTTAGTAAGATTCTTCTCTATTCTATTTTCGAATGTTTGTTGTTTGTTTTTTACCGATTCTATTAGGTATATCTACTGGACTAAGCAATCTATCATTTTTTAAAGAGTGTCTTTTATCTTCCTTGACATTAGTGTTCAGATATCCTTGGTTGACATTTATGATATTGATATCGTGATCATCTAATTTTAGTTTATTTTGAAAAGAATCTTGTCCTCCAAAACCAGCAGTTTGTATTGTGTTTTTGGCAGTAGAATTTCTCTTTTTATTAGGACTAACGCTATGATCAGAATCTTCACTCTCTTAAATGGGTTATAAATTTCTAGTATTGCTATGGTTGTTTTCATTCTAAGTATTTTAGCGAATTTAGGATTATTTTATGGAGATTTTGGATTAGCTTTTATTTTGGTAGGCTATGAATAAATGCGAAATCTTACAATATTCATATGGATAATCATCATTATCATCGTAGGAAACATCTGAATTCTCATCAACAATAGAAGGGCTTTCGTTTTAAAGTTGATTAGTTTAAAATTCTCTAACAATTGTAAGTGTCTTCTTCATTTCTAATAAGGTTGCATAATAACTTCTATCGGATCTCTACCGAACATAAGTAACATTTCTCTGTTGTTGAATAGGAAAGTACTCCTTTTTAATCACTTTCTCCTTGTCTGGAACAAAATGGAGAATAGGGCAATCCTTAATGAGATGATCAAATTTCCTGCATGAATAACATTATAACTAAGCTGGCTGATAATTCTCGCTTTGCAAAATTTAATCTCTTACTTCACAAAAGCGTTCCTAAAAATTACATTATGACAATTACTAAATCAGTTTCATTGGTTTGGAGCACATTTAACAGTTTTTATCTAGTGATTTTGTAAGCTCTCGAAAATCCAATGCTTTTGGCAGAAGCAGTACGATTTAGACCAGTAAAAAATGAGTACTCCCCAAATGTTTACCCTTTCTCCAAAAAAGAGAGCACTCTAGTAATTTTGCCCTAAGGTTCATTCTGAAAAAGAATGGAAATCTTTCCTTTGGTTATTAGATAAAGTGAACAATCATCTGGAGTTCCTTATTGTATAATTTAGTCCTCAGGAGAGAATCTGACTTCTTCTATAAGTAACGATAATTCTCTTAAAGTTTTTTAAGAGAACTTCGTTAAGACTTTGTTAGTTTTCATTACATTAAGTCTAATTTCAAAGGTAAGTTCCTCCTATAAAGAGCTTGATAGTTTAGTAGTAATTTGAGAAACTTCTTCATCATTAATTTCTTATTCTTCTTAAAAGATATAATCATAATAATTCCTAATTCTGGATTAGAGTTCAACCTTAATTTGATTTTTAGTCAGGTATTGATTCAGTAGATTAGTGCTTCTCTTGTAGAGTACTTATCTTGAATTCAGATTGCTGAGCATGAGACCTATACTATTGAAAGAGAAGGCAAACACTCCGCAAGCTAAGAACATACTCAGATTTGCACATAATCTTTCGTAATCGTTTTAAGGGGTCAAATCACCATAACCAACAGTGATCATAGTTTAAACAGCCCAGTAGAATGCATAATTGTATTTCGTGAATATATTTGCATCAGCTATGTGATAGATCTCCAACCAAGTTTTATGGTATCCTATTTGATAGAAAGCAACACTATGCCAAAGACAAGCGAATAGATGGCCAACATACACTACCATAAATAGGAGTTTAATTAATTCAATGACATCTTGGACCCATCCTGAGAAATTGAAAAATCTAAGATTCATAAATTAAGTTTTACTCTTCTAATTTATGCACTCTGCCCTGCAATTTGAATATTCTACTACAATAATAGATTGCATATGGTAGTATTTGCCAACCAGGATTTTCTTGAGAATCACCAATGCTTGTATATTGAGCAATTAGCAATGAGACTATGGAGCACTACAATATATAACATATATGATTACCAAATCGTAGATGGCTTGAGTATTGAGATAATTAGTGAATATCTTGCCCCTAGTTCTGATGATGATGCCTTTCTTAATGTACGATGTATTTATCACAATGAATCCATCGATTATGATGGAGAAGAGGAAGTAGAGTTCCACGTCTTTCACAATCAGATTGCCAAATACTACTTAATTCAAAGTGATTCCAAAGGATAAGTTGAAGGGGGTCCAAAAGAAAATTATAATAATTGTGAGAATGTACAACAATTACCAACCAATAACCAAGTAGCTGCTTTGATCTAAAATGGGAACAAATCTTAATTTCTTACAAAACTTCCCAACCAAATTTTTATTAGCATGTCGTTTCGAATCCACATATCTTAAATCATCAAGCATAGTATTTTGATAAATGCTAAATTGTGAAAGTTTTTTCACATACGATCTTTAAAGCAAAAGATCAATAAAGTGATGATATCGACTTTTGGCAATCACTAATTTAAGGAAGTTATTTACTCCCTCTTTAGGAAGATTGTTATAACTGCTTTAAGCATGTTCTCTAATTTATTCCTTATTCGAAGTGCTTCCCAGTATTTTTTCTTCCATTAAGGAGGTCTTAGGGGTTAATTAAATGAATCCTGAATGAGGAGACGAAGATGGATTAATTTATTCCGTTGCTTTGGGTAAACTCATATTTGAAGGTGGTTTGATTGAATAATCAGCCACATCTTATAGGGGGTCAATCTTGGTTGCAAGTTTGGCAGGACCTCTGAACTAATGTTTCATTTGCTCTTCACTATAACTGGGAGGAATCATGGCAAATTGGGAAATGCAGTTATCGCCATTATCCTGCAGCAGATCTGATAAACTCATTAATTTATTAATGACATATATTCCCTGCAAGTTACTGCTAAGTAAATTTCCCCAATTAGAGATATCCTGTCCTCTGCTCAATGAAAAACCAACACAGCAAAGTGTTCATTAATTTTGAAGGAACCAAAGAGGTGATTACAAATTACTCTACTCTTTCCACTCTTGAAGAGTAATTTCAAATACTTTATGATGTTCATAATCAAAATTTAAAGGAATTTCAAGGAATTGTATAACAAATCTTTCAAATATTAAACGCATCTGAGGGTTTAATTCATTAATAAAAAACATTAATCAACTTCTATGTTATTTAAAAAGATAATATTCTCTAAGTGTGTAAAATCATATTTTAAAATAAAAAATAATATATTTTCATTATTGTACAAAGTTTGCCAATAGTAAGTTAATAGAAGTACAACTGATATTCTCTTAAATAACCCTTCTGGTACTGGGAATAGAAATATTTGTAAATAGAGGAGCATCCATATTCAATAAAAGAATCAATTAAGAATTTCTAAATATAATAATGTAATTCGATTAATATTCTTATTTAAATTCTAGAATTTTTAGTCAAATACACGTAATAATTAAAATTATGAAATAGCTTCTCTTGCTCTCCTTACTTGCTTTCGCTGCCATTGCTGATTATGAATATGATGGTGATGTTATGGTACTCACAGAAGAAACATTTGATCAAGCCTTCAATGAATTCGATTATTTGATGTTTGAATTCTATGCTCCTTGGTGTGGACATTGCAAAGAACTTGCACCTAAATATGCTGAAGCTGCCACTGCTCTCAGACCTGAAGGAATAGTTTTGGCCAAGATAGACGCAACAGTCTAAAAGAAATTGGCTGAAAAGTATGGAGTCAAAGGATATCCAACTATCAAATTCAGTGCCAAATAAGCAGTAAAGGATTTTGAAGGTGGTAGAACTGCTGACGGTATTAAGAATTGGATTTACAGCAATCTTAATCCAGAGAGTGAATTACTTGAGACTCTTGAATAAGTCAAAGAGGCTATTGCTCAAAACAATGTTCAATTCGTCTATTTTGCAGAGGAATAAAGTGAAAAGGATAGAGAGTTGAGAAAATACAAAGAATTCTCATTCACCATGAAATAGCATTTTGCCCATACAACAAGCAAAACAATCAGAGAAGCACTCAACGTACCCAAAGGAACTTACTTTGTTGGATTTAGAAATGAAAAGCCTTATTACTATTAAGGAAAGCTTTCATTCCCAATCATGAAAACCTTCGTAGAAAACGTTGCTAATGAGAGAGTTCAAGCATACTCAGAGAAGAAGGAATTATTAGACGAAAGAATAACAAAGAGCAAACCTTTTGTTGTTGTCTTCACTGACGAATCTGAAGTCTAAGCTGCTGCCTAAGCATGGTCCTTCCAAGACGAATTACTTTTCATCAAGAATGTTGATGAAGAATTCACCAGAAAGATCCAAGTCAGACCTCAAGATCAAAAGGGAGTTTTCATCATTAAGGGAGATCAAAGATACAAGAGAGTTGAAGGTTAAAGTGTTGGTGACTTCTTGGAAGCCTTCCAATCAGGAAAAGCTCACAAGTACCTCAAATCTTAAGCTGCTCCACAATAATAAGGATTGGTCAGAACACTCATCGGAGATACTTATGATGATACAAAGGCTGTTAATGATTCAGTAATCTTATACTTTGATTCTCAAAACGAAGAACAGTAATTTATTAATTTTAATAATTTAGTAACGCAGTACAAGAACAATTCTTGAAGGTGGCTGAGAGACTCCAATAAAATAAATAATTGACCTTCAATAAAATCGATTTGTCTTAAAATGAAGTTAGCGATTTAACAGAATCCGTTGAAATCGTTAAAATTAGATTATACAAAAATAACTAGCCCATTAAATTCGTAATCAGAGCAAACAAAATTCAAGAGGAAAGATTTATCAAATGGATTTTAGATAACGCAGCTAGTACGGTTGTTGATCCAAAAGCTGAATTATGATTTTGTGTAAAATAACATAATATAATTATTCTATATAGAAAATTCTAGATTTTTTTACGTAATTTATATCCAAATTTGATTCGTCATTGATGAATAAATTAATATGGCAGATCAACTTGTTTTAGGATATTGGGGAATCAGAGGATTGGCTCAACCATGTAAGAATTCTTATCATCCTTCTAGTGAGATATTTGTTGGAATACTTGGGATTACCATATGAAGATAAAAGATACCTCAAACCTGAAGAATGGTTCGGTGGACTTTGTTAAGCTCCATTCAACGCCCACGTTCTTGTCAACCTCCCATACATCAAGGATGGCGAGAAGTACGTCTATGAGAGTGCTGCCCTTTATGTCTACTTGGCTCACAAGGCAAATAGAGCTGATCTCTTGGGATCCACACCAGACGAATAAGTCGCTGTGGCCTAAGTGAGAGGTGTCATCTAAGATGCCTTGAAAGGTTTCTTCCACCTCATCACCCTACCTGAGGATCAATATGCAGCCAAGAAAGAGGAAGTCTTCACTAATGAAGTTGCTTGGTTGATTGACAGATTAGACAAATTCATCGGTGGAAAGACATGGGCAGCTGGAGCCAATCTTACATACATTGACTTCGCTCTCTTCGAATTAGAAGAAACATTGAAAGCCTTCCATGCCGAATCATGGGCCAAGTTTGCTAATCTCTAAAAGCATCACTAGGAATTTTCAAACATTCCTTAAATCAAGGAATACTTGGCTTCAGGAAGATTCCTCGCTGGTCCCTTCTACCCACCAGGAAGATTTAGATGGGGATTCTGATTGTTACATTATGCATTTCATATAAATTATTAAATAGAACCAACAATATATAAAATAAAAAAATCATCCTTATGTCTAATTAAACTTATTTTTTTAATATATTTATATTAATTATTAAATATTGCAAACACTTGTTCAAGACAAATTTTATTAAATTAATCTATAAAAATCGCTAAATTGATTCTATCATTTCCTTTATTTAGTTCTAGGCTTGTTAAATTTTGCGATCAAATTTTACTCTAGTCTAAAAATAATAATTTTCACTCCATCTAAAAGTAATTTATGAACTAACTTAATTGTTTGTAATCTTTAGGCTGGCTATTATTTATCATCTATCCAAATATTATTATTTTTCAATTGTAATATCTTCTTATATTCATTTTTTTATAATTTATTTTTTATTTTATTCTGTTTTATTGTTATATTATACATATTTAAAAACTTATAATTAATATAATATTACAACAAAAATAAAGAATTACAAATTTTCCATTATATTGCTAAATAATCATATTTATTGAACATGAGGAAAAAGCAGCAAAGCCTTTTTAACTATACACATATTTTATGTATTAAATAATGTATAAAAGAAGCACTAGTCATTTGGATTTAGAAATTCCCAATTTATACATATAGGAACTATTTTCAATTAAATACATAATTAATATGTTTGTATTTATTATTATGCAAAGGTTGTAGTGGCATTCAATAAAAATTCAGTCGAATAAATAATAATTTTATGTAAATTTAGAATCATCTCATCAAAATTCCAAGTATCCTTTTAAGTATTTCCCTGTTTCTCTAGTCAAATTTTCAATCATATTGTGCTGATCTTTAACATTTTTCCATTAATCTGCCTGCTCATCATAATAATATTAGAATAAATTAAATGGTGTTTAGAGATATAATCTCCTTTCTTTCACATTAGTTGTAAAATTATATTCCCCTAAATTTTTCACAGATACACATAGACTGAGAGGATCTGATCTGATTTCAATTCTATTTTCATATTCTTTCAGTTTATTAAACGATTATTCAACTTTGTGTAATAGATAACCTATTTCTCCTAAGAATTGTTCCTAGGGTATGAATGCTCTAAAATAGAATATCAATTGTACATCTTGGGCTAAGTAGCGAATCGATAAAAACTAATCAAATTACTCCTCAAATAAAACATAATTAATGATTTTAGAATAAATTAAAGACTATCCTATATTTCAATCATTTCTATATGTTTTGGGACTATTGGTATTCCTTAAATTATTGAATGCTCTAACTTTCGTATGGAAATTGATACGTCCAAGCACTAATCTGTCGAGGTATGGAATTGGGTCGTGGATTTTAATAACTGGGGCATCGGATGGAATAGGAAAGCAATTGGCAATTCAAATTTCATAGAAAGGGTTCAAGATAATTCTGGTAGCTCGCAACAGATAGAAGTTGGAGACAGTATCAAAATAACTAAATACTGAATCGCTAATCATTGTGGCAGACTTTTCCTAATCAAAAGATAAAAATATATTTGATCAAATTATGAATTAGGTTGGAGAAAGGGATGTAAGTGTATTAGTTAACAATGTTGGAGTTGATGTACTAAATAAATTCCATTTGCATTCAGATGAAGAGATTTATAACACAATAACAGTCAATTGCTTCCCAATTACTCTTCTTTGCAAGAGATTTATCCCTAGATTTTTGAAAAGATATCAACATAAATCAGCTATTGTTAATGTAACATCTTTAGCTGGAAAGATCCCAACCCCATATTTCAATGTATACAGTGCTACAAAAGCATTCGGAGAGTTCTTAACCACTACACTTGGTGCTGAATACCCAGAATTGGAAGTTTTTTCTTTAAGTCCAGGTGAAGTCTCGACCAACTTGACCTAAAATAGACAACCAAGTTTCCTTACAATTTCAGCTTTCGATTGCGCTAATGGTTTGATAAAGAGGATGGGGTAAAACACAAGTGGCCATTGGAATCATGAAATATAGGCAGCATTTCAAAAACTGGTTCCTTCTTGCTTCTATAATTTTGTCTTGGTCAAGGTTCAAATATTATTGATATACTGTAGATTCTGGCACCAAAATGGCTTAAGGAAAGATCATAACACTAGAATGATAAAAAAATTAATTGACCTATCAATTATAAATATTATTTCACATATTCATTCTTACTTAATACATGGCTAGTGTAACTTAATCGACCGATAACTCATCTACATCACCTTATGGCTTTGTTCCTCAGACAAAGGAAAAGGAATCTATTACCTTCAATCTCAGTTGGAAGGCATTGTTAAGAAAAAAAAATTAGACTAAACGCCCCATTTTCAAAACTGCTCCAAGACTAACAGAATCAAAAAAGTCAAAGAATATCCCTAAAAATGTTTCCAAAGCCATCATTCAATAGATTCTGAATAAAAATGTCATGAATCAGATAACGGATCATGATGAGTTCCTCAAATTCATCAATAGACATAAAAAAATCTAAAATCTAGCTAATCTCATCAAAATAACAAGACCTCATAAGATAGCAAAACTAAATAAATTATAGCAATAATTTAGATAGATCTGGTATATTAATCCTTTAAATTTTTAGTTGGAATTTTCTAAAAAAGGAATACATACCTTACGTATTCAATTCCAAAATCAAAAACCCAGAAGGTCATTTGAAATATAGAATTCAGTTTATGAAAGTATTTGCCGAATAATAATGATTAATCTTATATATGAATATCATAAATCATTACTGAATTGAGTTACAACTTTTGTGAATCACTTAAATGGTTTTAAGGCATTCAAATAGTTTGTTTTAGTGCTTGTTAATGTATTAAAATATCAGGATACTATTTAATACATATTTTATAAACAAGAAATATTAAAATAGCATTTTTTTCATAAATAAAAAATAAATCAAAATTCAGAAGATAATGTTTTGCAAATTTATTATGAAGGTTGGGATTTAGACCATGAGATATCAAATTAGACCTTGTATTGCTTATAGAATTATTGCAAATAACCACTTGAACTTGCATAATCTGAATGCCTTTTAGATTAACTAATTAACACGTTTCGCAGAAGAAGAGGAGGATGATTAAAACGAATTGAATTTGATTAATTGTTTGTCGGAGGTGAAATCTATAAAAGGATATTGAGTATATGATATAATGATAGTATTTACATTCGTTAATGGATGTAAATAAAATGTATAAGAAAAATTATTTCTTAATCGAAAAAAAATCAAAAATCAACATCTTCTCCCAACTGATTTTTTGCGATTCATATCCTTTTTATCTTTTTAATCTTTATCATTCATTTTCTTTGATTCACCTTTGCCTTCATCTTTGGCATTTTTGGTTCCTTTTTTACTATTAATCATTTATATATAATTTACTTGTCTTTATCATCCTTCTTTTTGTCATCCTTCTTCATTTCTTATTTTTCATCCTTTTCTGGCTTCTATTATGCAGTTTCTTCATCATCCTTCATTTTTCTGGGCCCTCTTTTATAAGGCGGCAATTCTTAATATTATAAATCTTATCTTGTGGCTGATCTCTTAAACTTCTCCTCTATCAATTGGTCAAATTGCTCTCTTTTTTCTGAATACTTTCTAATATATTATTTATCAGTGTTTACTTTGTCCAATCATCCATTTATTTATGATATAGTTCTAGTTTCTTCTCAAACTCATCATCATACTTCTTTCTGTCCTTATTTGAAAGTCTGTTATATTGATCCACTAATGCCTTCGTTACTTAACCAAAGGATGAATCAGGGTTTTCTTCAGAATATGCCCTTCTGTTCTCTGCTATGTACACTAAGCATCCTGACACTGGCTTCTTTGGCTTCTCAGGTATTTCCATTAAAGCTTTGTACTTTTTCAAATCTTATGCAGACCCTCCATAATATAAAAGTAAATCTTCTTTGTATTTAGCCTCCATTTTTTCGAAATCATCCTCGTATTTTTCCTTTTCCTCCTCATCCATTTGCTTCCACATATCCCTGATCTTGTTTTGGATTTCTTTACCTTTCATCTTCCCATCTTTTTTCATTTAAGCAGCTTTTTCAGCATAATAAGCCTGATAGGAATTCATATATATCCTAGTAGGGGGCTTCTTTAGAGTTCCACTTCTGAGTTACATCATTTGAGAGGGATTTTCAAATTTAAATTTTATATATATATAAATTTTGTATAGGATTTACAAAAATTAATACATAAAATGAATGCATTTCTGATGATATTATATTTATTTCAATTTTTTCAAAAATATTTCAATTAATTAGACATATTTTATAAAAGTAAAATATATTGAATGAATTAATATGATAATATATTTAAATAAGATCTTCAATGGTATTGATTATTGAATAAATCTGTTTATCCAATATAATTTTGACTTTAATTTCTATTCGAGCCTATTCGAGTCTAATTTCAAATAGGTTTAATTATTTTTTATAAATATTGGAAATGGGAATTATTTTCAATACTTTTGTCAAAATAATTTTTGTTTTATTTTCTAAAAAAAAAATTTTATTTAAACTTTTCATCTTAATTTTGTTTCTGATACTTTAACTTCATATCCATATATTAAAGGATAATATCTTCAGTCTATGCTCAATAACTTTATGCAAGAGTTCAAAAAAGGTTCAAATATATGATTTCCGAAATAAGAATAGAAAATTCTTAAAAGAGCAAAGGCCGATTACTTTGAGTGAGATAGCCTATAAGGTCTTGATAAAGGTTTGAATAGAAAACCTAACTGTGATGCAGATGCTGGGTGACTAAATTTGAAGATGAATATAAGTATATATATATAAGTAATCACATCATTTGGTTTGTTTCTAGTACTCCAAGTTTGGAAATATAAATTTTGTTGGACTGAAAATAGGTATTGATAAGTGGGGAGAAGTGGGTGAATTTAGATCATCAATTTCTTCATCCTTATTCAATATAATCAAAAGCGGACTTGTAGATATTTCCTTTTTTGATTTCTTCTCTTATGCTTTCTTCATGAATCTGTTCTTTTAAATATTCAAGGAGCTCATTCTGATATTCCAATTATTAAAAAAATGAATACAAATTTAGATTGTTAAACAGTATTTCTATAGATTACTTTGAAATTGAAAAGAATTAGATTGAACAACAAAGAATCAATACCTTTAACTTTCTCAGATTGTGAAATGAATAGATAAAAAAGATCATTCTATCAAAAAAGGAAAAAAAGATTTGATCTTCTTTTGTATTGCAAAATTTTTTATATATTCAGATTAGTATTTTTAATTAATTTATTCTCATATAAAATAAAATTAAATACTACTTAATTCTAGAGCTAACAAATATATTAAGATAAGTAGTTATTAAGAAAATTCTTGAAATCAACTAAATCCAAAATATTATTTTCAAGTGTTCCGAAATGAATACTATCAAAATATGAATAAGCTTCTTATAATGTATGGACACTTCAAAGTGAACATATAATTTCTTAGCATTCTATTGTTGATAACATGATTCTAATAGGGCAGAAAACTATATTAAAGTATGTTTGAAAAGATAAAGAAATATCAAGAGTGAAAATGCAAAGCATCTTTAGAATGGGTTCGAACAAAATTGAATAAAACTGAAAATATAATTAATTAATAAATGATTAGAAATCCTTAAAATCCAATAGTATTTTTTGATGTGGCTATTGCGGGTTAAAAAGTAGGCAGGATTAGAATGGAATTGTATGCTGATGTAGTTCCAAAAACAGCTGAAAATTTCAGACAACTATGCACAGGAGAATATAAGAGATTTGATAAGCCTGCTGGTTTCAAGGGTTGTTAATTCCATAGAGTAATAAAGGATTTCATGATTTAAGGAGGTGATTTTGTGATGGTATACATTATTTATTAGAATAGGGGGATGGCACTGGATGTGTTTCAATTTATGGGGATAAATTTGAAGATGAGAATTTTTAATTGAGACATGACGAACCTGGGTTATTATCAATGGCAAATTCTGGTCCAAATAGTAATGGTTGTTAGTTTTTTATTACTTGTACAAAATGCGATTGGTTAGATGGCAAACATGTCGTGTTTGGTAAAGTAATTGATGCAGGATCAATGTAAGTGATAAGAAGAATTGAAACTACACCAGTTGGTCCTCAAAATAAACCAAAATAAATAATCATTATTGAAGAATGTGGAGAGTTGTGAATAATTAAAGTTTGTATTCTCAAAAGAAATAATTAATCATGTTATCAAATTTCTATTCAAATGGAAAATTTATTTTAATGTTATTTAATGCATATTGAAAATTTCAAAATTTGCCTTAGTTTGATATCAAACTAAGAAGTTCATCACCACAGTGTTCATCATATTTTTTCTCTATTTTAATGGCTGCTAAGGCTGATGTAAGTTAAATAATTTATTATTCATTGAGTTTCAGTTATTTAATTTACTGATCTCCCATTTACATCAACATCTATTCAGATATTTTTAATCCTTATAAGATTTTATAAATGCATTCTCCCTAGAAATGAATATAATTAAATTTACCTCGTTTAATTTAAGAATTTCTTCATAAAGTTTTTTTGAGTAAGAAAGATAGGAATTACTTTACACATTTTGTTAGGCCTTAATAGTGTAATTGTTGCCCATAATATGTAATTATTTTTAATCTGGAGTAGTGGGGGCAGTTCGATGTTTTTTCTAAGGTTAAAACTGTTATTGTATATTATGCTTTTTTTTTTGCATTTTTGAACCATCCGAAAAATCAGAGCCTCTTCTTGAATGAGAATCGGAAGTCTTAGTATTTGTGATGGATTATTAGCAAAATGGTTACCCAATTTCCATTTTCTCTTTGCTCATATAATCTTGGGGAATATAATTAGGGATTATTGGACCAAGATAATTTGATGTCGGTTTATATGGTTATCTTTTGGCCTCAACATGTAGATTAGGTTCTTCTATAATCCATTAATTGTCTGCTAATTATTTACGAATCCTAATAAAATTTAACTGAAAGTTGTACCTTTTTTCTTAATCTGAGTGATAGAATGCGCATTCGGCCAATTTCTTATTGCAATTGGTTTAAGTGCAGGGCTTGGTCTTATAGATTAGTGGATGGTATTCGAATTCTTTCCAACCATGACAATATTGACATTCTTCTTAATCTGGACATCCTCCTTTGTCGTAATTCAATATCTAATTGGTTTTGTTCCAATGTGGACACTCCTTTGGTTGCAACTTCTTTGGATCTCTTCTAAAGTCTTAGGCATTATGAGCATAGACGCATGATGCTCTATCATGACTAAGTTTAATGATTAGTTGATAATCTTACTTGGTTGTAAGGGGACACCAAACAGTTTTGTATTAATACATCCAGAAGTTTTTGTCTTGGACCATTCCATCTAATTTAACAGGAATGATTAATTCTTGATCATTATGAGCAAATGAACAATAGACTCCATAATCACAATCCTTAATGTGAGTACAATATTTAGTCTTGTATCTATTGGGATGGTACACTTGCTCCACTTTATTGTGAGCAAATTGGCACTCATCACCTTATGGACAATTATCAGCTTGCGGGCATAATTGGCATCTGAAATAAATATTCCAGATTTTATTTACTTGTAAGAATGAGATTTAAGATCTCTTCTACGATCAGTTTCGTCATGAAAAAATGGACAAAACTTTTTTTAGTTAATTTGATGTTGAATCTAACATTTTTAAGTTTTAAATTGATGAGGATCAATATGTTGTTGAATCCTAACTGGTGAATTAGGATTGTAAGCATCTAAATTAGTAAGTGACGATTCGTGTGAACGAACTCTTCTACTTCCTAGCATTCGTTAATAAACTATTTTTTATATTAACTATTTAATCAACTCATCATCATCATAAAATTTATAAAAAATGCTAGTTATAGCAAAATTTGAATTCTCAGAAAATACAATTATGTAACCATGTAATTTAAAGATGATAATGAACAAATATTAAATATTTTAAATTTTCATAACTTAATTGAGTTTATTGAATTCAAATTAATGCTACCCATACCTTAAAATTATCTATTCTTTAATTTTCCCTTCTCCTTCTTAAAATTGTCTCCCCTTGTGAACTTCAACTTCTCATTTCCAAACTCACCATATTGATCCCCTTCTCCAAACTTCTTTTTGGCCTCAAAAGTGTTGTCTCTCAAATGTTCTGGCATTTTCTCAAACACTGTTTCATCACATTTTTGGAAAAACCTCTTCTTCTCCTTTTTCTCTCCAACCTCCTCAGTGATTGGTATGTCTTATATTTAACATCTCAATACTACTCATTTGAGTGAATGTTCTCTTATCTGACAATTGCTTTGCAGATTATTTGTTGTTCTTCGCCTCCTCCTTTGGTTAATCACTTTCCTCCTCCTCTTGTTCTTCTTATTCTTCATGCTCAGCCTCAGCAACAAATTTGGCAGCAAGCTTACTAATCAATATGCAATTGCTAATTACGGATGTCCTTCAACATAATATTTTATTATTTTTTATAAATCCTTGTTCGTCATTGGAGTTTCATCATGTTCGTACAAAGAATCAATTTGCTTTGCAGATTTCTTCAATCCAATGGATCTCAAGTATTCTACTATCAAGGGTAACACATCTTGTGGAGTCAAGTCTCTTTGCATCAAAATAATAAATGGAATTTATTTTAATCACACAAAAATCGCTATTAAAATTCTTATGCAATAATAACAAATATAAAAACAGAATTTCGCTGCATTAAATTAAGAACAAGAACTCAAACTCCAACAACAACAATAAGAAATCCTGAGCAACATGTACTAAATAAATCAATAATCTGCCAATTCACTCGTGACTGTATGCAATTAATCATTTATATTAGCTTCACAATCAAGGCGAAAAAATTAATCAATTTGAACAAAACTTAGATCAAAATCAATAGAAATTACATAAGATCGATTACATCTTGGACGTCATCAAATCTCCATGGGGCTAATTTAAGGCTCTCTTCACTCAACCCAAACAAGAGAAGGTGGGAAATCAAAAGAAAGATGATTAAAAACAACAAATACAATAACCACCTTAAAGGTAGGTTGATGATATCTATGATGAGATGATCAATTAAACTAATTAAATGAAATACTAATAACTTTTAACACATCAAACCATAACTAATCAAAATTCCTAATTAGATAGAATAAACTAAAAGGCTGACAAGCAAACTGTCCAAATGTCCAAATAGAATGAAAAAACAAAAAGTATCATTAAATGAATGCATTTAAATATTAGAATATAGAAATGATTTCTATTATTTTTATATTTATCATTATATAAAAACAACATTAAAGTATATCAATCTATATTCATCAATTTTTATAGTAAATTACAATAAATTCATTAATTATATAGTAATAGACACATTTAAAGAATAATCCTTAAACAACATGTAGATGATGAATTATTCTTATAATTTCTGTTTTTATTATAATCATCTCAAAGAATCTATGAATAAACTAAAAATAACTATAAAACATAAAGCTTCCTAACAACTGAAATTATTGCTCAACACTAATATTAAGGAGATCTTAATTTTAAATTATAAATAGTTAATTTATTAATCAGATTTCAAAATCAGGTATAATAACATGTACCTATCTATTTGACCAATAGGGTAATTCTTCAGCAATCTGCTAGGCCTTAATGATCAGTTCTAAATAATATATGATTTTTTACATTCTCCTTCACTGCTTCTATTGGGCATCTTCTTCAACATACTTCCAAGTAACTACATACACAATACGTTATTGTAAGAATCTGAATTCTCGAGCATTTGTAAAACTATCCTATACATGCTCTCAGCTCTATCAAACTAAAAAAGTCTTCATTTATATAATACATATTTATTTGTACTGCAAGTCCATGCCAAAAATAAGAGGGATCTGTCCATATTGGTTGGATCTTACTCTTCATAAAAATTGATTGTAGTTTTCAACCAAAATTACAATTCAGTTCTTTTAGAGGGTGCTTTATTTAAAACAAATTCACTTAAATTGAGTAAGGGTTTTCCTACATGCAAACTTTTGAATTAGGTTTTAGTTAGATTGGTTTTATCCTATGGTAGAAGATCTTCATTCAGTAACCATTCCAATCCTGTTTTAATTTGATTGTTTGAATGCTCTATGTAATAAATAGACTTCTTAAATAGAGGTATCACATTTTCAAAATCTGCATCTATATTTTCAGCTGGGATGTCACTTTGTAGAGGCCCTGTCTCTTCCTCATTATCACTTACAAATTCTCTAAGACTTGGGAACTTATGCCACCATGAAGCCACAGCTAAACTATTATAAGCCCATCCTTTTAATTGATTAGATGGATCTGAAGCCAGACACTCCCTCAATCTCGATTTGGCATCAGTATAGTTTTCCTTTAATAAATAAGCAGTCTTTGAATAGTGTATAAATTTGATACTCCCAAAAAATACAGAAATTGCTTCTAATAACCTAAGGGTACATTTTCTCTCTGCATTTCACTCAATAAAGCCTTGCCCAAGAGTATGGCCTTATTTAGATTGTACTTCAAACAATGAGTTAAGAGATCACTGTAAGCAGAATAGACCAGGGCGTAATTAGCTTTTTGTCTTAAAAATTGTCTGATTATTTCTTCTAGTTGAGCTTCTGCATCCTCATATCTTCTTAGTTATAGATTGGAGTAGACAATTCTATTAATTTAGATGTGCAGATCTACCTTCTTGAAACATCAACCCATTCCTTATCTTTTAAGTTGTTGGTTTCTAAAAAACTCTTGAATCTTCCAAAGAATTGTAAGGCCACTCTATATTTACCATGTTGCATTTGTTCAAGACCATATCAACCACAAATATAATTAAATTTGTACTTGTATTGTTCTGTAGCTAATACAGTTGAATACATTTCATCCTGTTGTGATTGCTATTGTTTTGGCTCAATAGTCTGATTGAAATAAAACTTGGGAGTGGATTTTTGAAATGTGATTAAAGCATTCCGAACAATTTTAAAGAGCATAAGAGATGATAATAATATTTATTGATGTGAGTGTGTAAAATCAAAGAGGATTATTATTATATATAAATCAGTAGTCTTATGTAAACAATATCGATAGTGGGTTTTTTGATTCGATACATAATAAAAATAATTTTTAACAAAGAGAGCAATGATGACAGAGGAAGACTTCTTAAACGGATATATGTCTAGAAATCACAGGATTTCGGAGGGATATGCCTATGCCATATCTGCAGTTTGGTATTAATGGATGTCAATATTAGGTATAGACAATTTGAGAGATTCTTATAAAATCCATCAGGCGTTGATGTTTCAAGATTTAACAAAATTCAAAATGCTAATATAGTATAGAGATCCATGGATAAGTCAGTCTCCTTAAAATAATATTCACTTCCTCCTTATCAGCAAATAAATTATTCTCATGTTTATGGATTGAAGCCAGATGCTTAATATCATGTGGATTTCCTCATTGTCTCAATCGATGTATGGCACTTTTTTAAACAGTATTACGGTGCAGGTATATCTACTGATAGAGATTAATTTAGATTACGACGTGATTGTTTTTGTCACTAAACTTCATCCTCAAATCACCAACTATATCCAATGCGATAATTTAGAGGAAGGGCTGTGTGTTTGCAAAGAAATCATCAATATCATCTTTGTCATAATATTTCCAAGAAACACCACTGTTATGCAAGCCATCTTTACTCCCATAAGTCCTTGGATGGATTTGATGAAACTCCGCACTTTTCTCTTTGCCATGTACAATCTGGGAACTGATACAATCAAGTTCACCAATGAAGCCTACATTTATTTCAACAAAAAAAAAGTACCCTTTAAGGGCAATAGAATACTTCACGATATTGGCATCACTCAGGATCTTTAGATTGTCATGGCCTGTCAAAACTTGTTGATGTAAGACATAGAGGAAGAGGTAGAAACAGATGGAGAGGAACAGTAACTGGAATAAAGTAATAAATTCTCATTCTATTCTTCTTAGATTTACATGACAAACAAGAGTTCTTAGATATCTTAGAAAAAGCACTTGATGAATAGTCTACTTTGCAACTGAGTATAAAATCAATTGAAAACATTCAATAAACTTTAGAGCAAAATGACTTCTTTTAAATTTGAATTTATTGTTATTATATAAAAATATATATATATATTAGAGTGAAAAAGGTGAATATTTTACTAAGAATCGACCAAAACTACTAAAATTTAGGATCTGACAACTTTTCAGTTTAATTTACAAAAAATGTTTGCTCGTCGTAATGGTTCCAGATTAAAATTGAATGATACTTAGAAGAACTTTGTAATCAAGGTAAATCATTCTTATTAATGTATTAATAGAGAGCATGCTCTACCAATAAATCCTCTATTTCTAGTTTAAATACCAGTAATTCTTCCAAATTTTTTGTAAAAGAAATCTCCTATTTGAGTAGTAATTTGAAGATAAGACACATCCAGAAGACGGAAAACTATTAGATCTGTTATCAGAAAATGAAAATCTATAGAAGTCTCATATCTATCATCTCCAAATGAGTTCTTTTCAAATTCATAATGATGAATCTGTCTAGTAAAGATGTAAATATCTAATACCTTAAATTGATATAGATGCCCTGTCAGATGATGTCAACAACCCCTAATTGAGAAGAAACATCACTTATAATTGGCATTATCATAATGACCATCAACAACATCTATGTTAAGATACAGTTTCTTTTAGTTTCTCAATCAAGAAGCATGGAATCAAAGAGATGTTGAGAGCCAAGATGGTAGATTGGATGATAGAAGTATTCGGGAACTACCCTACTACTACCACATCATAGACCTACTTCAGAGCTGTTGGTCTATTAGATGCTTTTCTCAAAAAAACTTCGATGTATTATTACGATGGAGATGTGCATCTTATGGGCATCAGTTGCATGTTCATAGCATCCAAACTTGAAGATATCTATCACATTCCATTAAGTGACATTGTTACTAGAGTTGGACACAATAAATTCAATACTATTAAGGTTAAAAATATGGAATAAACCATTTTGGAAACTCTATAATTCAATGTCTATTTCCCAACTCCTTTAGATTATTTATAAAATCTATTTTACAAGTGCTTCAGCCTAAATGATAAGTAATATTTTAAAATAAATCTATAGCTAGACATTGTAGAACATCTACGAGACATGCATATATATATTAAAAATGTGTATGCATGATTTACACATGCTCAACTTTACACCAAATCTCCTATCAGCAGCTATTGTAGGCTATGCAGTTAGAGAATACATCGATACAAAATAAGAAAATAAAAAGGCCGACAATTTAAAATTAAATAAATAATCTGTAATAATTTTGTACTTAGTTATTTAGCAAGATTCTATTGTTAAAATTGCCAAAATAGACTTTAATACATACAATGAATGCTAGAAGTAAATTGCTGAGTTGATTAACACATTCAAATCCAAATATCCAGATCTTAATAATTTAGAAAAGTTTTCTTGACAATTATATTTTTGAATTAATTATTTTCATTTATCATGTAAATTGGGATTCACTAACTAACATAGAATGGTTGATTCTAAAGGGTTTGGTGGGTTGTAAAATTACAAATTATTTATATATTTTTATTAAATAAGTTTATCGAACTACTTAAATCAAATTCAATAGATTTCTAGCTTGTTGTAAATCATAATTGATATAATATTTAAATTAAAAGACATTCCAATAATTCTGAGTAGCTTTGATAAATACTAATATATATATAATTTATACTTTATACTTTAATGCTAAGTTAATATTAATTTTTTATATTAATATTACTACTAATTTATAATGTACTGATGGTTTCTGATAATATAAGATATGATTTTACATTGTCTTTGATTTTCATTGGTTGATTCTATGTTAATGTGATTTAATCAATTGGAATTCACCGTGAGATTTTTTGGATTTTATTAAAATTTACTATTTTGAACCAATATTCTTAATCAACCAATCATAATACAGAATTACTTATTTTAATAAACTTAAAACCCCTTAAATATAAATTCAAAAATTAAATTAAATAATCAATAAAAATGGCTAGAACTAAGTAAACTGCAAGAAAGAGCACTGCTGGTAATAAAAAACCAACTAAACATTTGGCTACCAAGGCTGCAAGAAAGACTGCACCAGCTGTTGGAGCTACTGGAGGTTTAAAGAAACCCCACAAATTCAGACCAGGAACTGTCGCCCTCAGAGAAATCAGAAAATACTAAAAGTCAACTGAATTGTTGATCAGAAAACTTCCATTCTAAAGATTGGTCAGAGAAATCGCACATGAATTCCAAAAGGAACTCAGATTCTAAAGCTCAGCTGTCTTGGCACTTTAAGAAGCTGCTGAAGCTTACCTCGTTGGATTATTTGAAGACACCAACTTGTGTGCTATTCATGCAAGAAGAGTCACAATTATGTCAAGAGATATCTAATTGGCCAGAAGAATCAGAGGAGAAAGATTCTGATCAATTAATATTATATTCAATTAAATGTGTTCATCTCTTTTAATGCAAAATATTTTCTTAAAATTTTCATTTTCATGGAAACAATAAATTTAGAAATTCTAAAATTTATTATAACACATTTTAAATTAATAATGAATTATCCAATATCATTTGAATTTAACATAAATCTAATAAATAATAACCTCTTCAATTTTAGTGTAAGTAGATATTTGTAAATATATAAATCAGAATAAATGTTCTTTAATTGAATATGAATCCAATACTTTTGATTTAATATATTTATAATATTATATTAGATTGAAAAATCTAATATTTCTAATTGAATTTAGTAAAAATAACATCCTTATAAGAACATTGTATGATTTTTGATAACTATTGTGTCTTAAAGTGAAATAATTAATAATACCTAGGTATTATAAAAATATTAAATAACCCTCGGATCAAATTTTATTAATTCTTTAATTAAATTAATCCAGCCATTAAATTAGATAGAAATGATAATCAAACAAGGAAATTATAAAGGGAATCCTAAATACAAAGATCTAATCATTATATTTCAATTTTTAGTATCCAGAGCTCTTAATTTTTCAACAATATTAATGATTCAATTAGTTATTCTGATTCTAAGCAAGTAAATTAACACTTTAATTTCACTAATATTAGATGGTTGGTAATTTTGAAATGGGTTCTATATTTATTTTATGATATATACATCATTTATAATATATGGTTAGTCATAAAATTCTCTTCCATAACCAATAAAATAACAAATATATTATTGATTTTTTAGAAATTTGTTATAATATAAAAGTAAAATTTTATATAAATTCTCATAAAATAAGCAAGAGATTATTATTAATAGAAAAGTAATTCCAACTCTGTATTATTTACAACCTTTTAGTAATAAAGGGGATTAAAAGAATAGAATTCTTATTTAGAAAATGAATGTCGCAATGCATCTCCCTTTTTCAGATTATTGATCAAATTTAGAGTTAATGCAAAAATATTATTATTGTTTAACTATAGTTAAACATTATATCTGTTATATGCTGCTAATATTGTTTGTTGCATTAAAACTGCTTCGAGTACCGCCCTAGGATTTTTTTCTTAAATTCGATGTCATAATTATACATTAGGTATTTACAACTCTATCTCATATTAGAACGTTAGCTTAATAGCTATACAGACCATGTTGATTGTATTTGAATATTAAGTTGAAATTTCACCATTTTGAAGAAAAAAAAATAATGTATTTTCTGGTTTCTTCTGATCAGGGAATAATTATAAATAAATCTCTAGAGAATTGAATAATTCATTAGAAAACAAAGTATATAAGGAGATGAAGAAAGATAGAACTGTATTACTGATGATTCTGTAATTATCTGAAGCGATTGAATGTAGAAATATCATTACTTCTTCAGAATAGATAAAATTTGTTTGAATTATTATATAAGATTGCATAAATGATAACTCGATTAGCAGAAATTCATAAGGAGATGGTGTGAATAGATTTTAAGGTGATTCTCGAGTTTTGAGATAAAATTCAATTTATTGTTGTGATATTCAATTATATTTAATATCTTATCAAGATATATTGTTGATTGAGAGTTAATTAATCGAAAAGCAGAAAATAAAAAGGGGTCGGAAAGAGTTGAACTTTCTTTTTTATTCTTTGGACTAATAAATGCCACCGCTGGCACAACCCCTCCTTATCCTATTCAAGAAATAACAAATTCGTATAAATAGTAATGTTGTTATGTGATAATTCATAGTAACTAATAGGAAGGTCTAAAGTAAAGAGGAAGCTGAGAATGCTATCATACTTATGAAGTCATAATATATAATATTTTAATTTTTATGAAAATTATTATTATGAGAGATTATTTTGATCTAAAGAGTTGAAATAGAATCAAAAAAATCTGCTCGAGTAGAATATTAAATGAAGTTAAATATTTGCTATTTAAACGAGTTTGAATCACTTATAATTTAAATGAAACAAACTATTGGAAGCATGGAAATGAAGAAAAGTAGAATTTTTCAGTTTTACAAGATCAAAATGTAATATGAGATTAATAATGTAGTCATTACATATTGATTAGGAGAACTAATTTAAATAAGGGAAATATTAATGTAAAATTATTCAAAGTGAATGATGATGCATTGATAAAGAAGTAGTATTAAGATAATAAACGAATGTTACAAATTCGAGAATTTTACAAGTCAATAATGAAAACTTGAAAATGTTAAAAAATGATTTTTTCAGAGAAACATTGAATGAGCACGTATAAAAAATCAGCTGATCCCATTAACATAATTAAATCATTTTCTGAAACTTAATCTTTAGAAGGACAGTTTCCAAATATATAGAAAATTAAAACTAATAAAGTTGTTGTTGATTATTATTTTTAAGTTAATATTATTTGAAATATTTCCGAAATTCTAAAATAATTATTTTTTACATAATCAAGTCTTTAAATGTAATAGAATTACAAAAACTTTGATGATATTAATTAAAATAACTAAAAAATTGAACTAATCTAATGGAGTAGCACTAGGGATTCTTCCAAGAATTGAAACAAATCTACAATATTAAAATACCGATTCCAGAACCATCAGTCTATTAACAAAAACATGCCAAAAAGTTTTTATTTTATATTGATCTTACAAATACTCAAAAATACTATGATTTAATGTCCAAATTATCGATTAATAATAGCCAAGAAAGATAATGGTAAGGTGGATAATTATGCGAATTTGAATTTTAAAATGATAAATAAGAATAATAATCTATTTTCTGCTATTATTTCGATAATTTTATAGAAAATGATGAAATAAAAATCTAGAGTTTATTTAGATTTCGAATATTTTTGGACAATTTCATAAAAACTCAAGAAAACTATTAGATAAAATTTGTATTTCACTTTGTACTAAAAAAGAACTAAAATTATTTAGAATTTGAATAACATTTAATAAAATATTCTTATTTAATTCTCGATGGGTCTTTCTACAAGGATTAAGATTTCATATGTGTGTATGATAAATGGGATAAAGATGAAATGAACTGTTGTAAGGTTTCATCTAAAAAAATACATCATAATAAAAATAAAGTATAGGATAGATTTGACCTTTCATATATTAAATTATTGGATGAAGCTTTTGTTTACGCTTAATATAAATAGATTGTTCAGAATTCGATAGGATATAAATGTTAAGAGTATTTGTAATCTTAGGTTGATGTAGTTTTAAAAGAATTTGAAAAAGAACTTGAGAAACTTTAAAATGACATAGAGCTAATGATTGAATTCCCAGTCAATCTGGCTAATGAAATAGAATCTAATTAAAATGTTTCACAATATTTAGAAAGTTTGAAGACTTTTATTGATGAGGTTTTCATGTTAGTAAAGGTAGATGAGAATTTTGATAAAATGGTAGAAGGATTATTAAAAGCTTTAAAAAATTAAAGATCGAAAATGTTGGAATGTTTAAATAAAATTGTTAAAGAAATTAGTTAATTTGAAAACTATTTAATAATAAATTATTAAGAAAAATCACCTAATGAAGTATTTAATTAATTGCTTCAATTTTAATTTAAATTAGATGAATCTGATATTAAAGTTTTGCAATAAATAAAACAATATTAATACAATTATGGTGTTATAACTAAAACTATGCTTACGATTTAAATTAACTTTTATTAATGGTTTGAGTACTTCGATTTGTTTCTTCCATAAAGCTTCGCATATTTTTAAAGAATAAATAATAAAAAATATAATATAAATTTTAAAAAACCTTATGTTATTGTTTTAGGCATGACAAAAGTTGGGAAAAGTACATTACTCAATATATTAAATAAACCAGAGAATATTAGAATTACAAAGGATAATAAGTTCGATGTAGAAAAACGGAATAGTAAAATTCTATTATCTCATAAAAATACTAGTTAAACATTTTAGACATAAGAAGTGGATATTGGTGAATTTATATTTGTTGATACTCCTGGGTTACGTGATACTAATGGTGTTAATATAGTTTTCAATAAGTTAAACATCTTTAATACAATAAATTAAGTAAGAGAATAGATTTTTCTATTTTTGATTGATGGAGCACAACTTTCAACGAGTAAAAACGATTTAATAGATTCAATAAATCAAATAAATTTGATGCTAACTGATCAATATCTTGAAAATAATATCATTCCTATGTTCACTAAGGTAAAAGATGATGATAATATGAAATAAATAATTACAACATGGTAAGCCGAGACAATGAAAGATATTACAGATCAGAAATAATTAAAAAAATTTTGAATATCATTAAAAAAGCACTAGATCAAGAAAATTATATCAAAATTTATTAGGCAAATCACTATGAAATCCATGAAGAAATAAAATTATTGGAATAAGAAATTAAAGATTTAAAAGAATAAATCTTGTTATTATCTAAAAAAAGGGAAGTATGCACGGATCAATTTGAGCAATTAGAACAAAAAGAAAAAGAGTTACAAGACTTAAACAAACAGAGATTATTATCAAAAAAAATAACTTAAATTAAAGAGGATGTTTTAGGGAAATGTAAAATTATCTTAGAAAGGAAAAAAAATGCATTGCAAGGAAAATCAGATCTTAATTAGAAGAATAAACTCAATTTATCTGAGGAAGAGAATCAACTATTATATAAGATATTAGAACATCGAGACAAATTTTATAAACATCTCTTAAACAATATAACAAATGAATTTATTGCTTAGATGCTTTTTGATAATTCAATGAGTATAAATGATAAGGTTAGTCTATTATATAAAATAGACAATGTAAATTTGGAAAGAATTTAAGATATACCTGAAGAACTAATGAGTCAAAAGACATAAGATTAGATTTATAAGCTTGATCGCTTTAATAATAATATAAAGGAGCATGATGAAAATAAGGATCCAACCAAAGTTGATTTTAAAGAATTTAAGAAAAAATTCACATTCATTTGTGCAGCTTTTACAAATGAAGCCTCTATCCATCATGAACTCTAAGAATTTTTAACTTATAAGTGGAAGTAAATAGATTAATTCTATAAAATCCCCTTAAGCATACCCAATATATTAATTACAATACCTTGTGCTCTTATTATGGCGATATCTGCTGGGAGTGAATTATTTAAAAAAAGTTTATTTGTATAAAAGATGGAAAAAGAGAAATAAGAGAAGCTTATTTAAGCCTAGATTCAGCAAAAGTATTTTAAAGAATTTGAGAAAAAAAATAGATGAGTAGTAATATTTATCTAAAAATTATACAATTTTTTTCTTATAGTCTATAAAGGCATTACTTTAATTCTTAATTTTAAGTTTATATTTAATTTTTTGAGATCTATATACCAATCTTTTGAATAGAGAGAAATAAAGAAAATAAAAAATTCAACTTAATTCAAATTCAACATAATAAATAAATTCTTCCTGTAAATTATTTTTGTAATTAGTTCTATATACATTGTAAAATTACCTAATTTATTAGAATTACTTTATTGTATTCAATTTTGTTTGATAAAATATTTCTGACTATTTCAAGATATAAAATCTTAAAACATATCATTTTATAAGAGATAATGAAAGTCAAAATAATCATATAAAAATCATATTCAAATAATCTTATATTTATACCCTCTTTCTAATCCATGAATTCTTATGCGAGTTCTTTTTAATTATGTTTGAAATCTAAATAGAATTTAGTTTTTTCTAACTATAAATCTTCACTTTGAAATTGTTCATCTTCATCAAATTATATTTTTTCAATTTCAATTTCATAATCTGGTGCTTCATCTAATATTTCAATATAGAGATCTCTTCTTAATTTTTATGATAGATCATGAAGAAGATTCGTTTAATTTTTATCAAAAAATGAATCATCCTTTAAATTATTAGAATGAACACTCTCTTCTGCCTAATAAACAACAATAGGTGGTAAATTTCTGTTACTCTAATTTTGAATATTGTTTTGACTACCAGAATGTTATAATTGTATCCCGCCTCCCATCTTTTAACCATCTTATGCTTTCATTATCAACGTAGGTCCTCTTTGACCCCTTTTTNTTTATCTGAGGAAGAGAATCAACTATTATATAAGATATTAGAACATCGAGACAAATTTTATAAACATCTCTTAAACAATATAACAAATGAATTTATTGCTTAGATGCTTTTTGATAATTCAATGAGTATAAATGATAAGGTTAGTCTATTATATAAAATAGACAATGTAAATTTGGAAAGAATTTAAGATATACCTGAAGAACTAATGAGTCAAAAGACATAAGATTAGATTTATAAGCTTGATCGCTTTAATAATAATATAAAGGAGCATGATGAAAATAAGGATCCAACCAAAGTTGATTTTAAAGAATTTAAGAAAAAATTCACATTCATTTGTGCAGCTTTTACAAATGAAGCCTCTATCCATCATGAACTCTAAGAATTTTTAACTTATAAGTGGAAGTAAATAGATTAATTCTATAAAATCCCCTTAAGCATACCCAATATATTAATTACAATACCTTGTGCTCTTATTATGGCGATATCTGCTGGGAGTGAATTATTTAAAAAAAGTTTATTTGTATAAAAGATGGAAAAAGAGAAATAAGAGAAGCTTATTTAAGCCTAGATTCAGCAAAAGTATTTTAAAGAATTTGAGAAAAAAAATAGATGAGTAGTAATATTTATCTAAAAATTATACAATTTTTTTCTTATAGTCTATAAAGGCATTACTTTAATTCTTAATTTTAAGTTTATATTTAATTTTTTGAGATCTATATACCAATCTTTTGAATAGAGAGAAATAAAGAAAATAAAAAATTCAACTTAATTCAAATTCAACATAATAAATAAATTCTTCCTGTAAATTATTTTTGTAATTAGTTCTATATACATTGTAAAATTACCTAATTTATTAGAATTACTTTATTGTATTCAATTTTGTTTGATAAAATATTTCTGACTATTTCAAGATATAAAATCTTAAAACATATCATTTTATAAGAGATAATGAAAGTCAAAATAATCATATAAAAATCATATTCAAATAATCTTATATTTATACCCTCTTTCTAATCCATGAATTCTTATGCGAGTTCTTTTTAATTATGTTTGAAATCTAAATAGAATTTAGTTTTTTCTAACTATAAATCTTCACTTTGAAATTGTTCATCTTCATCAAATTATATTTTTTCAATTTCAATTTCATAATCTGGTGCTTCATCTAATATTTCAATATAGAGATCTCTTCTTAATTTTTATGATAGATCATGAAGAAGATTCGTTTAATTTTTATCAAAAAATGAATCATCCTTTAAATTATTAGAATGAACACTCTCTTCTGCCTAATAAACAACAATAGGTGGTAAATTTCTGTTACTCTAATTTTGAATATTGTTTTGACTACCAGAATGTTATAATTGTATCCCGCCTCCCATCTTTTAACCATCTTATGCTTTCATTATCAACGTAGGTCCTCTTTGACCCCTTTTTCTCAAAACTT